GCAATGAGGTGACTTTTTCATTCCTCCTCCTCCTCGCCACTCCGTCCTTTTACAGATTAAACTTAATTCATCGATTAGTCAGTTAAAGCACTTGAGTTACTGTACAGAATGAGGGCTCTTTCTGACCAGACAAAACTGGCTAAACTTTTAAAGTCACATTGATTCATTGTCATTTCTGATGCTGTTATCATAGTTACGTGTATAATTATTAATGCTTATACTATTTTTTGCCTCTATTTTGTGTGTTTAATATAACGTTTGGAAACTTTTTCCCTTTTCAGGATTCCATTCCACGGGACCAACTGATAGAGGAAATTCGAAAACGCACATTGTGTTCACCATCTCCACAATAATCTTCACCACCACCACCATCTCAACTACCGTCACCATCATCACCTCCACTATTAACTTCGCAACCACCATCATTGCCATCACCTTTACCATTACTACCATCTTGCCAAAATGGCCTTCTGTAACGTGCTTGTGGTGGCCATGTAAGATGTTGATGTGTCCTGCCATGTGCAGCGAGGAGGGATGACGAGAAATAAAAAGGCAGCCTAACCCGAAGACCAGCTGCAGCATCCTCTTGCCTGAGAGAGCGGATATGTGTATGCGTATTGTGGGAGTGGTAGTGTCGTGGTTCGCATAATGCACTGCGAACCCGGCGACCTGAGTGACTCGCAGCCAACATCGGTAACGATTATCTGAACTGCTCCTGGGGCCTCCCTTAGGTTGACTCAACCTCAAATGAGTACCTGGTGTGATGTGTAAACATCGCCACTAGGGAGACAAAGGCGGCCAGGTATGGTGCCGGCCACCCACGCCCTCGTGTGCCGTGCCGGCCTTCATAGGTGCTCGCTAACAGCACTTGCCCCAAGTCTTTTAAGGCTGTACAGGGGATCTTTGTGTGTACTGTAGTTGTGTATACTAAAGGGTATGTATGTGTGTGTGAGTGTTGTATGACAGTGTGTATGGTTACATAGGCATGTATGCGTGGCATGTTTAGCATGTTCACTGTTTATGTAAGCAAGTGTATGTTGAGGGTGTGTGTAAAGTGTTGTGTCCAGTAAACGGTGTGAGTGCATAGCCAATTGTATGTAAGCATGGGCAGTCTGCATAAAAATGTGTGCGTGCAGACGAGTGTGTGTGTGTATGTGGAGTCGCGTGTGTGTGCTAAGTATGTGTGCATTTAAAAAGAGAGACTGTGTGGGTGTACTGTGTTTGCCCTGTAGACTAAAGTCAACACCGCCCCATATTTCCACTCCGCTGGCAGAATGTTAAAATTATCAACGTGCACACACGCAGTGTATATACACTTACTCGCATACACGTTACTTTAATCTATTGAATTGATTACATTTACTTAAATTCATAGGCAATTATATGTTTGCATATGTATGCATCCAAACGCAGTTACCCGTATCGGCATATAATGCATTGTGTTGTGCAATGCATTATATGCCGAGGCACAAATCAGACTGTGGTGTTCCAGCGGTTTCTAATATGAACAACTTAAAATATTATCTTCATTAGGCAATTCACGTTGAAAGAATCATGTAAACAAAAACAATTTAAAGAAAAGTATTTACACACTCTTTGTTTTTTTCCCGTAAAGTCACGTAGGTAATACAATAAAATAAATGAAAACAACTAAATTAAATCAGGTGATGAGGGAGGCTTGTGTTGCCTCTGAAACGTGATTTCATTTAGTTTTATTTTATTAATTGGTTTACCTACATGACTTTACCGAAAAAACTAAAGAGTATGAATCTTTGCAGTCACGAAAGCTTCAAATCTAAAAGTATTTCCATTAGAAAAATAATTTCCCATCTCCAGCAGCTTGATGGGGTGGCCCCCCAACGCCTCTAGTGGACTAACCTCGTCTGATCAACACTCAGTGGACCAAGTAACACAGCACGTACAAAACTTTTAACACATGGTTGATTGCGAGCATGTGTACGATCTATATATATACACACAGACTATCTCTCCAGGTATATCTGTGCATGCAAATTAAAATCCTGGTCATGGATCTACTAAATCTGTCAACTCTTTGGGGTCAGTAAAATAAGTTCAACTTTATAGGAGGAAAACATTTATCTAGAAAAGCATCATTGAGCCTCAAGATGTATTTTCAGGATCGTTCTGCATGAGGATGTTTGGCAAGGTCTGTTCGTGAGTGTTTTGCTTATGGGAGGAGTCTGGCATAAATCCCCACGTGTCGACTCAAGAATCAAGTCCGGATCATTTGAGGTGAGGAATTTTAGGAGGCCGTCGAAGAGAACGTTGCAGTAGTCGAGTTGAGACGGGAAAAGTAAGTGCCAGATATTGGAGGCATTATACTAATAGAGATATTAAGTCCTGAAAAGTTCAGATATGTTGAAAGAGAATGGGAGCTCTGAATGAATAATTCCAAGTTTAACACGTAGGCTTTCACGACCAATATAATCCATGAACTTTTTTAGGATAGATCGTATAAACCAATCGGTAATGGACATCCTTTGTAATTTATATGCATAAATTACCCCCACCCCCTTATGGCTTTCACACCTGATTGACTCACAATCACATTTAACCCTCTATTTAAGAACGAAACAGGAGGATTTATCCATATCGCCTGATGATGCTAGTTGTAATTACTGGTGAAACTTCGTACTCGAATTGTAAATATGGGTTTAATCTTCTTCAACACCGGTGTGCTGTGCTTGTAACGAATTGGCATGTTCTGTTGACGTGACAACCCTTACTGATTGACTGTGCCGGGTGGTGGCGAGTTTAACGACGCTTTTATATTTACGTGATCTAACCCAAAAAACCTCTTATGGATAATAATTCCCAAGTTTACACACTGCCAGTGTAATAGAGTTTAGAAGGTGTACATCCCAACTGGAGACTTAGCAGCGAGCAGACTAAGCGTTGATCAAGACTTTATTTTTGGCAACATTTAACCAGAGAAAGAAGAAGAAATCCAAAATGAGACCACGCCAAGGCACGATGTGAATGTGGACTGTTTGGGTTTGTGAACATGTAGGCCTGAGTACCATCAGATTAAAAGTGCGATGACTGACATTACATATGGATATATTTGTTTCGATTTAAAGCTTTCGTGACTGCAGAGATTAATCCTCTTGGTTCTTTCGGTAAAGTCACGTAGAAGGGAAATAATAAAAATAAAATTATTCTCACGACGTTTATATCAATTGGGAGGAGCTATGTGAAGAGCAAAAAGGTTAAGAATGGAATATTGTGTGACCCCATAGCACTGGGGGTTTTGGACATTTCTCGCACCGTAGCAGTTTTAAAGAAATCAGTTTAAAATCTAGATTTTTAAAAAGTGCATAGCATCATTGTATTCCTAATATCAGAAGAGCGGATCAGACGGCTGCAGAAGCGCATCTGAAAGTTTGTGATGCAGTGACCGTCTTTGTTCGATGGCTAGCCAAAAGTCGCGTGGGTGACTGGAGTTCGCATGATGGGTTATGCTCCTTGATGAGATCAGCAAGGTATTGTGGTTCATTTGTGGCAAGCACTTTGTGTGTAATGAGACCGACCTTATTGTGTATTCGTTTGGCAACCGGAAGCTAATGCAGCTCAGCAAGCACTGGACGGACATGGTCGGATCCTGCAGTATCCATCACGACACGTGTCAGAGAATTGTGTACACGCTGCAGCTTGGCAATGCTTTTGCCAGATGCCCAGTAGAGTAGTGAGTAGCAATATTTGAGTCTTATAGATACTATGCTAATGGTTGAATATATAGTAGAGCCCTGATTTGAAAATAGCAGGACCTGACTATATTTTGAACGTGGTGATCAAACAACATTCTGGTCGAGTATGGTCCCGAGGTTCTTTAGATGAGTATAAAACTGAATCCTTGAGTCTGCAACCACCACAGCTGATCCACAGTGTCAACCAGCAGAACTTCCGATTTTTCTCGATTAAGCCGCATTTCGTTTCGTGCAAAGCACACGTGTATCCCCTAACGTGCAATCTTCGAGGTTACCGAGGCTTTCCATATCTAACTTTGACTTCACTGTGCATGGTGTACAATTGTGTATCTTCACCATATTGGTGGAACTTGATGTCATCCAAGGGAACCAGACAGGAAGTGTGCTGGAAATGCTCAAAGAAGATGGTGTGGCTGATGGTGTTGGAAGCAATGGAGAAGTCTTGGAGCAAGATGATCCAGGGTCTAAAGAGAGGATCAATTATTACACGTACACGAGTAGTGTGGGTGGAGTGGCCTTGGCAGACAGCAGTGTACGAAGTTGTAAAGACTGAAGGGAGATGTGCTTTGAGAGTTGGGAGACAACCCTTTCTATGACTTCCTCTAAGAAAGAGAATTTTGAGATAGTGGAATTTTGCAAAGTTGTTTCGGTTCAGGGTTGGTTTTTCAAGGTGGCAAATGACAGCAGCAGTTTTGAGAGCAAAGGAGACAATGCCAGATGAGAGAGAGTTATTGCGTAAGCTGGTAAATTAGAGCACCAGGGTGGATTGGCAGTGATGGATGAGTTTGGTGACCATAGAATTGAAGATGTCATTTGATGTCATTTATAGTTACAGGCTGGGAAATGTCAAGGGTAGGTGATGAATAGCTAGGACATGCAACAGCAGAAGCAGTCAGATACCAGAATATTTTTCGTAATTTCCTAGACCGTTTGACAGGTAGAGGAGGCGAGTTTGCACTTGGCAATGGATGGGGTAATGGAGAAAGACAAGTTCTGAAAATTCTGGGGCAATGTATGATTGATTACCAAATGGTTTCCTGCACCATATGCGGTCAGTGTAGAGGAGACATCTGATTTGGACTTTACCAGAACTGAGATTTACACACCACACATTCAAACAATCACACATACATTCACACACCCCCACACACATTCACACACGTAGATGTACAGACACGGGGCCTAGCAATCACACACATGCAGCCATTCATTCACTAACCCGGGTTCATATAGTTGCACACGCCACACATTCTCACACGCAGCTGTCGATCGTGCAGCCTGTGTCTCACATCCAGAAATGTGGAAGCTCCCGTGAAGAGAACCCATTCCAGGACTAGAATAAAACCCTCTCCTTCAGCACAACCCCGATCAGAACATAGATCATAGCTTGCAACAAAACCCAGGTCAGATTTTGGACCAGGCTTGGTGGAGGAATCCAGAACGTTCGGTCAAAGAACCCGACCCAGGTTTTTGGTTAAAACTCGTAGAGAAATCAGTGTCCAGTGGAACAAATCCTGACCAGCGCGATGTTGCTGTTCCTGCTGCTGCTACTTGCGGGGACCGGCAAGTATCCCCCTCACACCTCATCACAATACCACACAGCATCGTCACATCACCCAATGTCATCTTTTCACACTTCATCACACGTCTCACAAAACACCTCGTCACGCTACACCTTAGACGTCACATCACACATCATAACAGATCTTACACCACACCTCGTCACATCACACATGGTCACAACAACTCGTTATCTCTCGTCATATACTTACACTTTAGCACATGAACTCGTTAAAGCACATTGTATCACCCATGTACACCTTGTCATAGCATCACGTGACAATCTCATCGTAAACTCGTGATATCATCACTATTCATCCCAACATCACACTTTCTGACATCATCAAACCTCGTAACATCACATATTGTTACATTAATCACTGCAGTAACATAGCTATGTGTATGCAACACATTCACACACGTGAATTTATTTAGTTCATTATTCATCCAAGGTCAATGAAATACTGCTTTGGATGCATTTTGTGGGAGTTCTACAGTGGTAGTCCATGGATATAGTGATCCTCGCCATGGGAATGTGGAGTTTCCACCACTGACTGAGGACCACCCAAAGGAGATGAATGCTGCCTCACTGCGAGTTTAATCAGAGCAGATCGTCCACCTGTATTCGTCAAATAATTAATATTTATGTAAAAATACTGTACTGAGGAGACATCATGAGAGAATGAGCCCCTTGATAGACATTACAAGCCCAGGATTGCAGTGTGTGTGTACAGCAGCTTGATCTCCGCTTGTTTGTGCCGTGTATTTGTAGGGGTGGGAGCGACAATTCCCACAAAACAAGGATTAAGTGCCAAAGTGGGTAAAGCAGAAGTAACCACAAACGTTCCAGAAATTCCAGGAATCCTGCAAAACCCTGAAAACCCGGACCCAGAGGAGGGAGTGAGAAGTCTGGAAACACCCGCGGGAACTGTGGGAACTATTGGAAAATCAGAGGTGACGGCAAGCCTCAGGGGAAAAGATAGAGCCGTGGAAATTGAGTTGAAAGCTTCTGAAAAACCTCAAAAACTGGACGGAGCCACGAGGTTTCAAGAAAAAGTTGGAAAAGTTGCAACTGGAAAGGAGCCTCAGGAAAAAGAAGGAAAAGCAGGATTGAAATCTGAGATGGCATCCAAAATTGTGAAACCGGTAACAGTGGTGGTGGTGAAAAAGCTGCAGAAACCTGGAGTGGGTATCTTGAAAAAACCCACGGGAGAGGGAGACAAAGCCCAGAAAGGCAGTAAGTTGGAAAACATTGGAAATCCAGGGAGCACTGGGGATTTGGGAAAGCAAGAACCCTTGAAATCAGCTGAAATTCTCGATGCAAAGCCAGGAATTGTTGAGGAATCGGGAGTGATTGGAAAAGCAAATGTGGTAGGGGCAGGTGGGTCAGGTAAACTCAGAACAGTAACATCAGGAATTATTGGGAAAGTTAGAATTCCGCAAGCAAAGACGATTGCACAAGGTAATGGAACAATTCCCAACAAGAAGGGCATTCCGGAAATTTACGCAAAAGTGGGGCTGCTTCCCGAAGTTAAAGCCAATCGGTCAGGAAATCCAGTGGGATCTGCACTCTCGGGGAAACCTGAGGGTAAACCTGATGAGTCCGAAAAAGCTGGTGTCTCTGGAAAGGATGCTCATGCAGCGACTGTGGGGAAAAATGGGACATGGTTTCGAAGAATTGTGGCAAAGAACGGGACGAAGCTGCAAGGCAGTGTGCGAATAAACGGGACGAAGCCGGCGCAAGTCATCGTGGGGACCGCCACGCAACGGCCTGTGAGTGTAAGTGGATGTCAGATTGTGCAGGTCTATGCTCCATCTTTGGGGACTTTCCTCGATAAACTTAGCCTAAAATGAGTGCCTGGTGCGTAGGGACAGGTTTCATCGTGTGGTGTGTACTAAGTAGGAACCAGTGGTGTAGCGGTTTACTCGTGGTTCACTACAACACCAAGGTCGATTCTTGGCTATGCACCGCAAAAGGTCGACTTGATCTGAAAAACAATTGCAGTGTCACGTAGTGCTAAACCATCTCTCCTTGCGCCTTACCATCGTTAATAGGCACTCGCTAAGAACACTTTGCTTTGGATCTAGTATTGCTTGTTATCTGTAGGAATGTTCATCAACTGCACGTCATTTTAGACACACCCATAAATGCCCCCCCCACCACCCATAGATTATATCTTTGTGGGGAGTTCAGAGCATCAATGAATGGGTGAAAATTAGCGTCGACATAAAATGTAGACTATCTCGCATCTGCTCCACTCTGAGGTGAAGCAGGTTTTGTTGGCTCAGGAGCTTAGTGATAGTGAAATGGTTCTGCAGATAGGTCCGTCAGGGGACTCCTCAACATACGCAGAGTGCCAGGCTGTGGATGCTCAGTTAGTGCAGACATGAGCTATTGCAGTCTGAAACTGATAACATGTGAGTCTGACCTACGAGATCTAGTGTAAATATATATTCGTCACTCATTTTGTTTGCACATTCCCACCATGCAATGCCACTGCCATCACTCCCGACGTTCTTGGGCTGCGGTCGTCCTTGTAACAGAGCTGTTTGGTTCGATGGACCTTACCAGCAGAAATAAAGCCCGAGACTGAGTTCGGTCTATCAGCATTGACACCGTCACCTGGGCCCGTGTTGGCCCGTCGTCCACTGACTTTTCATTCCACGTGATGCCCGAGTGACTCGAGCCGGGTACGAGGTGTGCTCGCGGTTGTTCACGAAAGCCCGTGACGGTTAAGTGGATGAGAACCCGCGGTGGGTCGCGGTCGTTTCCGAAAGCCGACGACGATTGCGGTTTGACGAGAGAGCTTCGTGGGCTGTGGCGGGCGCGTTTTTTTTTCTTCCGTGCGTGGCCCCCAACGCTGCCCGCAGGCGGTGTTGGCACGCCGCGTCGGCGCGGTCCTCGCGCCGGTGCGCGCCGTGGAGGAGCTGCCCGCCGGGACGCGCAACCTCGTGCTGCGCTGTCGTGCCGAGTACGTCGCCTGGAGATACCCGGCGCATCTCCACGATCTCCCCGACGCACTCAGGTGCTTCCTCTCAACCCGCCCACCACCCAACTCCACACCTGGCCCCTACTCCTCTCCTCCATCGTGGCACATTCCTCAACAAAAAGGACCTCTCGCTCCACTACCACTCATACTTGGGGGTCTGTTTCGTGATCCCCCGTGAGACGCTGTCACCGCACTCCGTCATTAACGGCTGGCCGGTTCTGTCCCATGCGCTGTCAGAAGCCATCATCTCATCAAAAGCTCTCACGGTGTCTCTCTCGGCTCTCAATGTCTCACATGCGTTGATTGTGGATGTGTCTACCTTTTTCTTGTACGGTACTTTCCACTCCTATCGTGGGTTTTTTTTATCGTTCGTTGTTGTAACGATCTGACCCGCCACTCCTGGACATGTGATGAAGAGCTTTATGGCTTATCGGATTCCTCCAATATATATAAATATTGAGATTTTTAATATGAATACTTGTCCGGGATACGTGTTCGTATATGTATGTGCGAGTTTGTGTGTCTTTCTATTGTTGTGGGTGCATGCCAATGTGTGAACGAGTCTTGGGAGCAGTGATGCAATGGTTGGCGCACTGCGCTACAAAGCAGACAACTTGAGTTCAATGTCCACGGCTAACATCGGTGGCAAATATTGGAACAGGTCCTTGGATTTTCCTAGGTCAATTAATCATTAAATGAGAATAGCTGCTGCTGCTGGACGTATTACCACTTCCAAGACAAAGGTGACCGGACGTGGTTCAGAGCGCACCCCTCCCGCAAGTGACTTCTTGTTTGTAATGCGTTTACTTATTTTGTCTACTCCCTCCTTGGATTGGTTAAAACTAACTTGGCATTAAATTATGACACGTTTGTATGTTGTTTTTCCCTTCTTGCCATATGAAAGACAAAAAAAGCAGTGTGTTCGTGTGGCTATGACAGCATATCACCCTCGTAGTCAAGTAGGTTTAAGCCATTGCTCGCTGTACGGAGGGCGAATTACTTGGTTCACTAATTAAGGCCATCGTACATTTACACTGTGAGTCTGGAGCATTGACACTTGAAGCCTTTTGGTTGACCCCACACACTGTGACTGAACACAATGAACTTTCACCCCAGAGTGCTTCGGGACCGAAATTCGAGGCCAGTGGCTGTCGATGTTTCGTAAGCGGATGTGCGGGTCGAAGGTCAGGGTTTTTTCTTTTAAACCTTCTGAGCCATAACTCGAATTTACATCAATATCCAGTAAACATGGAACGTTGGGATATTCATCCAACGGTTTTACTGGGTTTGTGTGTATTAAACGTGCGTGTGTGTGTGGTGTAGCTGGCGCAGTAGGGGGCACAGGTGGTGCATCGGCCAGTCATCTCAGTCAGTCGACCCATGGCACCTGGGTCTGCCCCGTGACCTCCTGCCAGCGGGCGTTCGACACTTCACGTGGCCTCAATGTGCACATAGCCTGGCACAAGTGTCGTGGTGACAACACCGCCGCTTAGTGTTGTTGTTGGCGTAGGATTGTGGGGAGCGGTCGTGTAAGCGCTGCGCTACGAACCCAACGACCCAAGTTCGATCACCGCTCACGGCTACCAACACCGGTGATGATTATCTGAACCGGTCATGGGTTTCCCCAAGGTGGACTCAGCCTCAAATGACTACCTGGTGTGGTGCGTAAACATCGCCACCGGGGAGACAAAGGCGGCCGGGCGTGGTTACTGGCCACCCACCCCCTCGTGTGCCGTGCCGGCCTCCACAGGTGCTCGCAAACATCCCTTGCCCCATACTCTTTGGTTTTTTCGGTAAAGTCACGTCGGTAAAACAATCAATAAAATAAAATAAATGAAAACAACTAAATTAAATCACGACGTTTCGGAGGCAGCACAAGCTTCCTTCCTCAGGTGTACAGTTATTTTGCTGTGCTCTTTTTTACACCTGATGAAGGAAGCTTGTGTTGCCTCCGAAACGTCGTGATTTAATTGAGTTGTTTTCATTTATTTCATTGATCGTTTTACCTACGTGACTTTACCGAAAAAAACAAAGAGCATGAATCCTTGCAGTCACGAAAGCTTCAAATCTAGAATCACTTTCCCCAACAGTCTGTTACAGGCGACACGTGGTGGGCCCTTTGTCCTGTGTCTCTGTAGGATTTCGTCTGGTCCCGGCTACAGCGAGCTCACCCTGCACAACAGCACCTCCGCAGACACAGGCGCCTTTAGCTGTCGTGGCAATAGCAGCAGCATCAACGGCACGCGCATCGCCACGGCCACCACCTACATCTACTTCACAGGTACGACGAACACGTGGCGACAGAGCGACTTTTAGCATATATTGTTTTTTTCATACAACGTTATATTGTGGATCTAGATTTGAAGTTTTCGTGACTGCGGGGATCCATACTCTTTGGTTCTTTCGGTAACGTCACGTAGGTAGAAAATAAAATAAATGAAATCACAACGTTTCGGTCATCAGGTGGGACAACCACAGCAATTATTGATCTAGTTAGAATCGTTATTTAGAACTCTGCCATCCCGCGTGACAAACCAGACCCTGCACTGCGGGCCGTCATTCCACAACTCTGGCAATTGGCAAGCGTCGACATCTCGTCCCCTATTTCTCCGACAAGGCTAAAGGAAACCAGGAATGGCTCTCTGGTTGCCAATAAAACTTCCTCCTTCAACGCCTCTCCTCAGCATTCCATCGGCAGTCGTCACCCAAGGTCAATTGACCTAATCAAATAATTTTTCCGTTTCTCAATATGGTTGTGGTTGTGACAATGATGATGATAATGTTTGGGGCAGTGGTTGTGATGATGATGCTCATAGTAATACTCGGGTGCGGTGTGTAAAAACATCGCTACTGGGGAGACAAAGGCGGTCGGGCGTGGTTACTGGCCACCTACCCTGTCGTGTATCATACCGGCATTCACATGTGCTCGCTAACAGCACTTGCCCCTACAGTCTCTTAAAGCTACGCGGGGGATCTTTGTCGTTGGCAGAAGAGAGCGGTCGTGTGGCAGTTCGGGGCCGTCCATAAATGACGTCACGCACCTAGGGGAGGGGGGGGTCAGACATTTGTGACGATGTGAGACGAGGGGGGGGGGGTTTGAGAAATAGGACGTCAAATCAAAATGCACAACTTTAAATAAATATAGACAACACGTTCTACTTACTTAAATAGACTTTTTAATAAATGTTTTCTCCTACAACATCAGAGTGCAGCGGCACATTAAATACGCACTACAATGACAATAGTTTAAAGCGATTTGAAGCATGTTTTATTTTGTGGGGGGGGGGGGGCAGAGCTTTGTGACGTCATATTTGAGGGGGGGGGTCTGACTTTTTGTGACACCGTGTGACGAAGGGGGGGGGGGGGGGGGGAAGGTCAAAAATCGCGTGACGTCATTTATGGACGGCCCCTAACAGCACTCCCCCCCCACCCAAACAGTCTGTAAAGGCTCTACGGGGGTAATCTTTGTCGATGCCGATCGTGACGATGACGGCCGTTGTTGTCGATGTCTCCAGACCCCTCCACGCTGCTCGTGAGTCGCGGGGAGCCGTTCGGGCTGGTGGTGGCGCGGGGTCCCCGCCCTGCCGTGGTGCCGTGCCGCGCCACCAACCCCCGCGCGCACGTGCAGCTCCAGAGCGCGAGCCACGCGGGGAGCGCGCCTCCCAGTACGCGACTCACACTCACACACTCATACATTCACATTCTCACACACTCATACACACACTCACACACAACAACAACCGCCATTCACCACTAAGTGGCAGTGACGTCACCATGACGCTTGTGCCAGGCCATGTGCACCTTGAGGCCACGTGAAGTGTCGAACGCCCGCTGGCAGGAGGTCACGGGGCAAACCCAGGTGCCACGGGTCGACTGACTGAGATGATCGAGATGACTGGCTGATGCACCACCTGTGCCCCCTACTGTGCCAACCTGCTGTCCTTTAGCCACCCAGCGCTCCGCTCGTTGTTGGGAGCGTCGCTCCTCCGCCCTCCGTTGTTGTTGGAGGTCGACTGCCTCCAACTGCCCAGTAGCGTCCTTCACGAGCCTCCTCCAGATGCCGATCTTGACACCGCTGGTACCAGTCATCGGCAAGTCCACTCAGCTCCACGTCCTCCTGTACCACATAACTCCATCTCTTCTCCAGCCCGTGCCATACCCGTTTAGCCCCCTCGATCCGGCCGAACAAAAGCTGTTTAGGCATGCGGTGGCTGGGCATGCGGGCTACATGACCCAGCCAATGCAGCCTTGCCTGCCGGAGAAGCTCACCGATGGGACTTTGCCCAGATCTTTCAAGGATTTGTGAGCTCCTCACACAATCTAGCCTGGTTAAGCCCAGGATGGATCGTAGGTGGGCCAGCCTAAATGTTTCCAACCGGCGAAGATGCTCCATTAAGGGGGTCCACGTTTCGCAAGCGTAGAGAAGGGAGGGAATGACTGTGGCCGAGAAGACCTGAAGCTTCGCGCAGAGCGACAGACCAGGTAGCTTCCACACAGCGTTACGCAACCGATGAAAAGATATTGCTGCTCGACTGATTTGGAGTGAGACCTCTGCTGTTAAACCGGAGCCGGTCATAAGGACACTGCCCAGATATTGAAAACTCTCCACTCTCTCCACAACTGCCCCATCACCAATTGGGAGTTGTGGGGATGGACTGTTCGATGGTACAAAATACCCTGGCAGATGCTTAGTTTTGGTGGGGCTGATGGTAAAGCCCCACCTCTTAGTTGCAAGTTCCAGGTTTAGCAGCAGCCCCTCCAACTCCTCCTCTGAGTGAGCAGCGATTACCAGATCATCGGCATACATAACATGGTTGAGCAATAAGGAGCCATCCCTTGACCGCACCCAGGCATCGATCAGCCTCCCATTATATCTGTACCAGATGGAAATTCCTCTGGTACAGCTATTGAAGGCCTCACAAACTACGTGATCAAAATGATGTTAATGAATGTGTGAGCCAGAAGACATCCTTGTCGCACCCCAAGGTGTACAGCGAATCGGTCCGACTCCCAGCCACGTAGATTTACCCGGGCCCGCTCACCATCATGAAGGTCCTTCATGATCGTGAGCAGAGGGTCAGGGACTTTGAAAGTATGAAGAACAACCCAGAGCCCAGGCCTACTGATGGTATCATTGGCCTTGACCAGGTCAATAAAACAGAGATGTAGGTCTTGTAGGAATTCCCTACACTTCTGCTGTAGCAGACGGACAGAAAATATGGCATCCGTGCAGGAACGCCCTTTCCTGAAACCACATTGAGGCTCCGCAAGCCTCTCCTCAGCGTGCCTAGCAAGGCGATGTTGAATAATCCTTGCCACACATGACCCCTGCGCTCCTCATCTCTGCTGCCCCTTAGACGTGACATACGATCCCCGCGTGGGGTTCCTGCTGGAGATCCCTCCACCCGAGGCTGCGGGGCTGCTACGCTGCGTCGCGACGCTGGGCGGTGTGCGCCAATCGTCCGTCCCATACCTGCTCGTCTACGTGGATTGTGAGCTCCCGTGTCCCCTTCCCGCACATATTACACGAGCGCTTACTGCACTCGGCATCATTATCAGAAGAATACATTCAGAATTCTCAGAGCAGCGTCTCCCCGTTACAGAACAGTCTGTGGAAGATGATATAACTGAACAGCTTCCAAGGGCCTTTCAAGTGACATGCTTTATCCACCCACGAGGGGACGATGCCCTTTTCAACATGTCCTGCAAAAGAGTGAGATGTTGGTCGCAACCCAGTAAACGTTGAACGTTGGAACCAATGTTGGGCCAACGTTGCATTTTGACTGGAATGTCAGTCAAACCAATGTTATGAATAGCTGGACTTTAGCCAGTTAATGTGATGTGTTTTGTACAATCATTGGTGATCGGGCTGAGATCTGCACCTCGCTAGATATGAGAATACAGTGATTACACTGTATTCTCAATCCAGGACCTCAGTGAGGCCGTCTCAGTTTTTTTATGCCTGACCCACCCGGCCAAATTGTGCTCCCTGTCTCTCCCCCGACATCATTCTCCCATTCCTTTCCATCCATGTTTCTCCCCTCATCTCCCACCATGTCTCTTTGCCTGTGTCTCTCCCTGTCCTCTCTCCTCGTGCTCCTTTCCCCTCTATCTGAAATGGATAAATGTACCTAAGAGAGCCTCACTGAGTCTCAAGACTCCTCTTCAAACAAAATCTTGAATTGGGAAGCTTAGCCCATTTCATTAATGTATGGCATGTGGGAGTAAACAGAACCAAGAAGAAAGCCACACATAATAGGGGATAACGCTCCATGTGTGTTGACTTGTGGCGACACACACACACATCTGTGTATTGCTGCGTGGGCCAGCCCCTTCTGAGGCCCCGGTGGCTGCACTGGTTGCATCGACATCGGCCGCCAGTCTCCAAGATGATGTTACCCTGGTCTGCGAAGTCAAGGGACAGGCTGGGGTCACGGCTGATGTCTCCTGGAAATTCCCTGGGCAACAGGTAACCATGGAAATGAAGCCTTCACCATCCACACACCGAACAGCTCCATGTTCCTAGGCTGTCTTCAAAAACTAGAAGGCCCTTCTATAACTAAACCATGTGGTGCACGTTGTCAATGTTTACTGTGTCTCCCTGAGGTTGACATCGCCTAAACTAAATACCAGATGTGGCGTGGTCGACATCACGACTGAAGAGACTGTTAGCAATACAGTATATGGTTTTGACCACAGCAGATGTGCACGTAAGACTTTCTCAAGGCGTAAACAGTATTTGGTACAATTTATCCTTTTAATTATTGGGAGTTTGCATGTATGGGTGGGCACATGAGTGTGGGCATTTGTGTACTTGTGGATATGTTGGGCATGGTGCACGTCTGGCCGTCCGTGGGATGACGCTCATGTGTGTGGTGCCAGGCGGGGCGTCCAACTGTGCGCCTCGATTACTACGAGGACTTCCCTTCGGTGCGGGAGACACGCAGCGTCCTCCTCATCCCCGCATTCCTCGCACATGACGCAGGTGCACACCTACACAAAGCAGCACCAACCTAACATGTAACTAATTTACTACGGAGCAAAGTTTCATTGAGACTTAAGACTTTTTCAAGAAGGGCTCCTGCAATGGAATGTTTGGCCAATTAATTTTAAAGAAGCTTTTCTTGCGGTAGGAAGCAGGAGTACCCGGTGAAAGCCAACCATTCGTATTTTGGGGCAATACTCAAAGATCCATACAAACTGGCTCAAACACTTGCTTGCTGTACTGGACATCTCCTGGTCACCTCCCTGCTGTGATAATTTGAGTTCACTCACTTCACTCTATTTCTTTTATTTGATCTCCCTTTAGCTACCTTTTGTCTGCATTTAATTTCACTGCATCTCACATTAATATCTCAATCTTACGTGTATATAGTACTGAAGACAAACGTAGCACTATGTCGACCCTGTCGGCTTCACTAATGTCACTTTCCTCAACAGTCTGTAAGGCTATAATAGGTGGCTCGTTTTGTTTATCTGTCACAGGGGAGTACCAGTGCAGCGCACACAATGCCAAGGGAGTCTCCATAGCAACTGCAAACATCATCCTGTTGCCTGGCAACCCCATCAAGGCGGGGTTACGTGACCAGCAGCAGCCAATCAACAGCAGCCTGGAGGAAGTGAAGCGCCTGTACGACCAGGTCAAGAAATCTGAGTCACATGATCGCAAGCAGCCAATAATAAACCCAGAGTTGACTGGACAAGAAAATCCGATTGGGGCGACTGTAAAGCCACATGATGATAAGCAGCCCAGAAAATCAGCTCCAACACCAGTCCGGAATAAACTATTTGGAAATTTTCTGAACCGAAAACAGCCTTTTGGAAAACCAGTCTTGAGCGGGCAGAATAAAACGATTGGAAGATTTCAGAAACCACCCGTGCTAAAGCAGCCAATCAAATCGGTTGGATTGGCAACACAAAAATTGGCAATTGCGAGCTTGCGATCACGCGGCCAAAAGCAACCGGTCAAACATGGGGTGTTGCGACAGAGCGAGGAGATCAAGGACATCAAGTCAAGTGATCAAGAGGAAATTGGACTAGTTGAAACAGGTAGTAGTGAGCAAGCGCTGTAATTTAGGATTAAGTTATATCGATTTATAAGGGATCATTTGTGCAGTGATATTTCTACCCCATGACAACTTTAATACAGGTAGGAACAACAGGTTCCACACTGCCCACCAGGGATTATTTGTCTGTCTGTCGTGCATATTTGTCTGTCGTGCACGAATGCGCTGTCCAACCAAGTTCCTACCTGCCCACTCCGAAGGAACGTGTTACTAGTTTCACATAGTAATCAGTGCAGTTTACCCCTGCTACCACACGTGGCAGCTATGAACCAACTTTAATAACCACCAATAAAGCATCCTGTTGGTATATACTTTAAAGTCTTAATGAAATGCTTATACATGGCCTCCTTTAGATAAAAAAACATATATATTGTCAGATTCCCGATACTGTCATGTGGTCTAAATGTTTCACCTTAGCAGCGGTGCTTTGTTATACTCATCGCTTGTTAGTTTGTAATAAAGTGGGAGATTACTGTATGCACATTTATGGATCACGTACATTGTAAGTTTGTCAGTAGGGATGGGGAAGGAGCAGGAGGTGCTAAGAATTACTGGGTACAGATAGGATTGCCTTCAGCTCGGGCCATCGGTAAGTACAACAACATGCCGACTGTCGGGTGAATGAAACCTCGTGTTGAACTGGAAGCAGAATCGCAGAAACATTTAATTGACCTTGTAAAAACAAGTGTATTTACTCATTGGTATTTACAGCCCATGGGGCTATACCAGTGGTCTTATTAACCTTTGTTTCATCTTCTTGGTTCTTTCGGTAAAGTCAAGAAGATGAATCCCTGCAGTCACGAAAGCTTTAAATCGAAACCTTTGTTTCTTGCAAGGATGACTAATTAATAAGCGATGCCTGCTGTTGATAAGTCAAGACGGGGATACAAAATTGTAATTGCATTGCAATGAATCACAATCTAATTCAGTTGCAATCAAGTACAGCTGTACTAAAGTTTAGTTTCTGCAATAATTTATATTGTGGTAAATAATAAAACCATAACTGAGTAGGCAACATCATTGGTTGTAAGGTAATAAAATATATTTCTGCCGATTGCCTGTTTCAATTACAAGTCGTTTTTAAAAGTATGTAAAACAAAATATCTGGTTAAAATAGTAAAAGAAGCATTCTGCATTGTGATGTCATTTTTGGGGGGATGCCACGACGCCAGGAAGTAAAACTTTAAAAATACTGTATGCTTTGTAAAAAAAAAATCCTTGTAAGAAGAAAACTTTAAAATGCCTTAGAAGTCATGTTTTAACTACAAGTATGAAAAAAGCTCCATATTTTCACAAAAATCTAAAACTCTCACACGCACACATCCAATACACGTATATCGAGCATCGACCGGAAATATTTCACAATAAAAGGTCCCCTGATGAGCTCAAGAGACACTGTAGGGGCCAAGGGCTATTAGAGAGTGCTTATGAAGTTCTGTACACAACACACGGGGGTTGTGTGGCTACTGATTAGAGTGCAGGGTACACCAGTGCTGGTGTTCACATGTGCCAGGTGTTTGTGTAGTGCTCGAACCGACACGACAGCTTCTTGTCTTTCCTCGTTACTTTATTCCGCGTATATTGTTCCACATCTCTCCCTTCAACACCGCTCAATGTTCCTCGCTCGCTCGCCGCGCTCCACCGGCCTCGCTCGCTCCACCCTCTACTCCTCCGTCGACTCTCCTCTCCGCTCTCTCCAGTTCGGCTGCTCTTTATCAGCTCCGCCGTTCTACTCCGTCGTAACTGCACCAGTTCTCCTTCCATGCTCCAGCCGCTTCCTACTCTCCGTCGTCTCTCTGTTGCTCTACGCTACTCCACTGCTACCCTACACTTCTCCACTGCTACCCTACGCTATACTCACTCTGCTGCGCCGTCTCTTCATCTGTCTCTCCTCCCAGGCACGAACTCTCGTCTCACTCCACCACCCCTGACTTTATCCCCGAACCAATTAACCCCTAATTAATCAGGCCATCCCCCGCGACGCCACTCGCCCCCACTGCCACGTGGCGTTGTTTTTCCAGACACGCCGGCGCCAATCTCCAACAACCCCTCTCGTCCAATCAACGCCCTGCATCCTTAATTACCCCCTGCCACCTGCTGCCACCCTTAACCATCACGCCACCTTAATTTGGACAACGATCAGCAAATCAGCACCCTGTGTCCTCATTTGCCCTCACTGTCCGCCTGCGTGCGCGCATACCGACCCAGCGCGTGACGCGTATCTCAAGCACTACATTTGCTTTAGGATGAGCTGACCTATGAGACACAGTTCGGGTTTACACACAATTTTCCATTGATGATGTGAACCATGGCTTGGAATTAAACTCCTGGTCTCCAAAATCGCAAAGCAGTAACGTGTGCCAACACTGCCATGATTTGGGGTTGCAATTAAACATAATTTGTCTTTATACTCTTTGGTTCGGTAAAGTCACGCTCTCTCATAGTTTTGTGCTCTGCTAGCCTCAAAAGCTACATTAGCACATTTGCATTTATATTCTTTTTTTTATTCTCGCATTCATATTGAGCATAACTCACCGATGGATCTACACACTATTACAAGCTTAGTATACTCGAGCATAATCACCACACAGACACAGGATATGAGGTAATGTCATGCCATATATTTGAGCAGCTCCGATTGTGGATGTCCTGTGCTAGTGCTAAAACCTTAAGGGTAGTTATTATAAAAACGTAAGTAACACTCGTGGTAAGCATAGCAAGACTCGAGCCACGCGGAGATTAACGGTTTATCACAAGTGGTGCAGACAGTGGTGTCCTTTGAAGGTCATTACATCTAACTACACTGGGTTCTCAAGCAGCTTGTGTCACGGTATATGTGGCACGAATAATATATTGGGAAAGTGTTCTCTTCCTTTTATAAACCATATAAACAGTATTGCACATATACTAAAAGTGTGTGCACATATTTTAAAACACACGTATCGTTATTTTCCCAGCAGAATCAAGAAACAAAATTTTTAGCTTGAAGCATGTGTAAAAACTGCACAATTACTGTTGTGAAAATATAAGGCACATCGAGAATCAAACTATGACAGACATTTTACAAACTGCCAAAAATGTGATGCACATTTTGCAAAGACAGAACAAGACAGAACAAGACTAAATTAATCAGTCACCCAGCAGCATATATGGCTAAAGGTGTGAAAAAGTAAAACATTTTTATCATACATTGCTTTAGTCGGGCCACGACATACAAATAAATTATCGTATTTCTCTCCTTAGCTATCGATTATCACCACGCTGCATTACCATGAACTGCTCCATCGTCAATTCCTTCAACTCGTCTGAATCGATTCCACTCCCGGCAATAGAACGGCCCTATACAATACTTGACTTTATTGTGAATTTATAGCAGATGTCATTTATGGGTAAAATCCATTCCGAGTGTTGGGTTATGCACATTATCTGCAAACGTGAATTTTCGATTTTGGATCGATTTATTGCATTTTTCAATCAAAGAAAAGTTGAAATATGTTTTAATATTAATTGCCATATTACTAAAGACTATAAAATGTATACTGACAGTATTATTGTATAATTTTGTATGTAACATAAGCAGCACTGTTTAGGTTCTGCAGTGGAAAAACCTTAGGCTCAGGAGGCCCAAGAGTTCCTTGCCAGCCATGCCAGATAAGCCTAGCATGACCCTGGCATAGTTCTGCTATACAGTGGAAAAGTGGTATAAGATTCCAAGCACTCGTTTTGAGGGCAAGACAGATGACAACCCCCAATGCCAATTCTACCCAACTGCCATCGCCAATCTATCCTCACAGGCATGATGGAAGGGTTGTGATGAAGGGAAGTAACCTCAAGCAGACGCGGAGGCCTGTAGGTACTGCACCACAACCGCAAGTGCCTGGCAGGCACGCAACGCCCCTGACAGTTGCTCCCTAAGAAGAGCAACTTCACTATCTGTCCCCATGCCTAAATCTAGCTTAGAGATTTGAGTATTGACCCGAGCAAGTCTGGATCCACGTGAGTCTGCCACTGGATGTTTATAAAGGCTTGAATTTGGTCTAGCAACTTTACAACTATTTGGATTTGGTCTAGCAATGCTGGTCATGTTAGAATTTGATCTGACAGGTTTAGCAATGTCTGAATTTGGCCTCAAATGTTTTGAGCCATTTGACTCGGCAGGTCCAGTAAGTTTGGAAATGCTTGAATCTGGTTTACCAAATTTATAACCATTCAAGTCATACCTGGTGAACCTAGAAATACTTGTCTCAGGCCGAGATGATTTGGAAATGCTTGAGTTTGTTCCTTCAAGTTTAGAAGTGTTTGCATTTGGTCTGGCAAGTGCAACCCGAGGCATGTTTGACTTAGTTGGCTTGGAAACAATTGAAGATGATTGACTGAGTTTAGAAACATTTAAAACAGGCTTTGTGAGTTTAGAAATGCTTAAGTTGGTCTTATCAAGTTTCAAAACATTTGAATATAGCCCAGAAAGTCTAACTAAAGGTGTTTTTAGTCCTGTCAACCTTGCAGAAGAATAGTTGGGTTTGGTCTTTTCTGAAACATTCAGATTTGGCCTTGCCAGCTTAGTGGGGTTGGTGCTTGAAGGCTTAGCTAGCCGAGAAACCTTGACCGACAACCGGGCAGGCTCTGGGGTAGCGCTAACCCCTCCATGCCCCCTCCGCCCAGTGACCCCTGGTGTCTCCTGTGTAGCCATGCCTTCTCCCTTGGACTCCATGAGCCGCGTACTTGGGGTTCTGAGCCCAACAGGGTGAAGTTTTGGCCGTGGATGCCCAGGCCCTGCGGCCCTAAGAGAAGCAAGTTTTCTGGGCCCCACAGCATCACGCCCGGCCTGAGCAGAGTTGCTGGCCTCAACCCGCTCAGGCTTTGGCATCTGGGATGACTCGGTTCTCTCCTGACGCATCTTAATGCTCACCGGCTTGGTTATACACAGACTTGGCTGCGTTTGACTCGACCCAATCTCACTAGGTTTCCCAGAATCCTTTCCAGAGGTTGTGACCACGATCGATTGGGACAAAGCAGCCTTGGACAAGAGCAAGCTCGACTCATCCACTCCACCCACCTCTGCTTTGCCTGGCAGCTGAGGCCCACGCAAACTGGACTTGGCGAGCTTGGACAGACATGGCTTTGCGAGTTTTGTGGTAGCCAATGGAGGCCTCGCTAAGTGTGAACTACTTGAGCTGGGTTTTGGTACAGCAAAACTAGAGCCGCCAGGTCCTAGCAACTTCGAGGCATACGAGGGTGGCTTTGCCAAATGCCTCACCATTCCGTTGGTTCCAATAGATCTAGTGTTGTTTAAATTGGTAGCAGTTGCTGTGGTGGTATTGTTGAGGTTGGTGCTAGTTGGTCTGGTGCTGTTTAGATTATAACTATTTGGCCTGGTGCTGTTTAGGTTAGTTCCAGTAGATTTGGTGCTGTTCAGATTTGTTACAGTAGATTTGGTGCTGTTCAGATTTGTTACAGTAGATTTGGTGCAGTTCAGGTTGGTTCCAATAGATTTGGTCCTGTTGAGGTTGGTTCCAGGTCTGGTGCTGTTGAGGTTGGTTGCCGGAATGGCCACAGACGACCCACGAGATTTGGAAGATGTCACTGCTGGTGCCCGGAAGCCAAAGCGACTACGAGGCCCAGGGAGAGGAGTGGCTGTGGTGACTGTCATGTTGAACATCAGTGGTGTCGACGTGCACAGCTCTAGGCCCGAGAAAAACCTGGAACTCTTTGCTGGTGTTACATCGGGGGTCAGCTCTGCTGCTCGTTCAGATGGCAGTGCCAGATCCAGCTTGGACCACGTATCACCATCACACATTAGCTCCTTGAGGGCGCCGTTCTCTCTACTGGGTGGCAATAGCTCAGAGTCATCCCTGTCAGGACAGCTAAAGTTGTTGTTATCATTATGATCTTGTACATTGCAGGCAAGACCGTCGTTTTGGCCACTGCTGTGAATGCAGGATCCGTCTTCCTCACATGGGGCTTGATGGGTTTCACAGAGGCTGTTCTCCACTGCAGGAATGTGAGGATTGTAATCACCATCATCACTACCATTATCCTTACAACTATTGTCACAGGTGCTACCAATATTATTGCTTTCAATGATATTGGTATCATTCCCATTTGCTTTTGGATGATCCCTGTCATCCAACACAAGGAGCAACTTGCTTGCCAATTCCTCATACTCGTGTTCCTCCTTATCATCATCCTTCTCACCATGTCTTAAATGTTGTGTGGTGCTTGCGTCAGTCTCGAAAGGCATCTTTGGTAACTCTGTGCAGTTTTTCAGGCTCTCCTTAGTGGTCGTACAGTCATCCATTAGGATTAATTTATCACTGTAATTGTTAACATTGTCGCTTTTACTTCCACTGTGACTTTCACTGTCACTGAGGAGAACAGTTGCATGTGCATTTATTTCACTGGTGATATTGCTGCCCTCAGACCATTCTCCCAGTCGATTATTGTTTTCCATCAAACCATTACCCCTGGAGTCACTATCACAGGCATCATCATCAGTGTCATCACTTGCTGTGCGCAGAGGATTTGGTTGGAGAGCATCCTTATTTCCTGCGACGTTTGCACATTTGTCAATAAAATCATCACCATTGTCCGCACCTTCACTGTTTTCACTTCCCTGGTTGTCGATTCCATTGTCAATCCCACCCTCATCAGCTATCGATTCCACCATTCCTAAACCATCAATTGATCTAAACTCTTTGAGTTTATCAGGGCATTTCCCCACCTGATCCCTCTTTTTACTTTCATCACCATCCAAAATTTCAGACACATGCCTGGAATCCCCATTACTCCCCCTCAGCAGCATCATTTCCTGGAATGCAAAGTCTGCATCACATCCAGCGAGCCTTCTCTCCGCCCCACGCCACGGCGATGCATTCACGTTAGGGGTTCCTGTTAAACTACTCGTACTGGTCAAGTTGTCACTGCACAGCTTTTCCGCCCAAATGCCTGAATACGTGCCGAGGCCTGGCATTGGTGATTCTACGGAGAGTTCCAACAAACCACTTGGGAATTCTGTGTCAAGCAAAAATGAGGGATCCTTGAAACCGTTTAGAATGTTTACAGCTTGGCGGGGATGGCTGTGGTTCATGATCTTGACTGAGTTACACAATGGGGTTGCGCCATTTGCTCGTGCCATTGAGCCGTCATCGTTGTGACGAGTACCGTTCATCTCCTCGATAATGAACGTCCCATTTAAAGTGGGCCCACAACACCTTCCCTTTTCACACATTGCACCTCCGCTTGCCACATCTTTTGACATGTCGAACTTGCGGTCAAGGTCGTTGTCAGGGTCATGGTCACCTGGAGCTGTGTCTTTACTCCACCAGGAGTTCTCTTCCTGTTTTCTCGGTCCTGACGCTGCCTGTGGTGGAAACGCAAGTAGACGGTTCACTGGTGCTCAGGTCAGCCACCCTGATGTTTTAAATCTCATAAGCTTATTCATATGAATTCCTGGCCAGTTGCTTGGGCTGTTGTCTAACTGCCATTCTTCATCATCCACTGCTGGATTATTTTACAATACATCATGTGCAACAGTATAAAGTATCTATTTATATTGATAACGATTTATACAATATAGCCTAGGCATACCAATGTTGATGTTGCAAAGCCCACGTCAACATTGCAGCAGATGTGTGTTTTGATACAAGGGTAGTTCATTTCGATTTTAGCATTTATGATAAACTAAACTAACCAAACTTTTATATTTTAGCAGGTAAGGCACACTGAACTATATATCTCTAAACGCATGTTTCTAAATGTGGAGGGGAAAACCGGAGGACCCAGAGAAAAGTCCACGTGAACACAGGGAGAACATGCAAACTCCAAATATACAGGCGTCAGGGTCAGGACCGAACCCATGACCTCCTGTATTCCGGGAGAGGTAGTTAACATATCGCCACCGTGGCAACTCATCGAATGACAATAGCATACAAAAAAAGCACTACGAAAATATATCAACAGTTTCCCGCACATATCAAAATATGGAAGCCTGCAAAAGTCGATTTTCAGAATAAATAAGCAAAAGAAAGTAAATTTTGAATAATTTTGCTACGCATTTAAAGATATCCGTCTGAAGGACAAAATTGGAAAACTGACGATGTTGATCTGTAATGTTTGTGACAAAAATCTGACGATTGTAATACTGATGACAACGACGAGAATGCAGCCTTTCCGTAGAATAAACTCTTCATCTGGCGGCTCAACAACGATGTGCATGAACACCTCGGTTACCCACCATCGTTGACTTAGCACCCTGAGCAGCCGGCCTGACACTGGCGTCCTCTTGAACCTGAACACAATGCATGCGGAATAGAGAATTCAGTACAAGCTAGCCCACATGTTGACTGCACTCCACACAAACGAGTACAACAGCATAACATTACCGCCACTTAGAGCAATATCGTACGTTGTGGGCAAACGACTGTACTGTAGTTACAACACGTTGCTGTGATTCTAGATTTGAAGCTTTCGTGACTGCAAGGATTCATACTCTGAGGTTTTTTCGGTAAAGTCACGTAGATAAAAATAGAAATAATGATTCATATTAAATAAAAAATAATAGAAATACTTATTTCTATTATTATTTCTATTACTTTTATTACAAGTATTTATATAATTATATTATTTCTATATTTTTTGTTATAATTTATTATTTTATTATAATAGAAATAAAAAAGAAATATTTGTTTCTATTATTTTTATTATTTATTTTTATTTTTACCTACGTGACTTTACCGAAAAAACACCTAAGAGTACGTTGCTGTGACTGAAATTAGTAATTTATTATACAATAAACATCAGAATTTCGTAAAGATATGCATCGTGTTCCTCTTGATCAAGGCAGTCATTGACGAACGCGTAAAATTCTGCAGTGATTCGTAAGAGACCGACTATTTATATCTTAGACTTAAAGCTGTTGTCCTGATGACGACCGCTCGTGTTGCGATCGAAACGCCGTAGCTTTTTTGTCCTTTTCTTTTAAACTATCTACGTGACTTTACCATAAAGACCCGAAGAAGACAAGATAATGTGTAAAAAGGACTCGAGTGGTGGCCAAAAAAACGTTGCAGCGATTCGCCGAGACATTTAAAAATAACTTACGAAAAATATTGAGCTGCGGTCACGAGTAAACGTCTCTAATGACTCGTGCACGACTGTAGCGATGAGTTGTAGTCAGTAATCACCGTGTGTTTGTGTGTCTTAGCGGTTAAACTCACGATGTTGGCGATGTTGGCGAGGCCGGAGGAGGCTCCGGCGCGCGTCCTCTTCGCGGAAAATTCAAACAAAAAAATTCGCAACGGAAATCGGTGACGTCACGGCACAGGGGCAGCCAATAGAATCGTCCGGCGTGAGAGCCGCCGCTGATTGGCTGCCACGCGATGGGGGGGGGGGGGCGGAGTGTGAATAACTTAATCGATTAGCAATATTCCGATGCTTTATGTAACTTCACAAGTTAAACGGTTAAAAATCGACGAATTCCTCCACTCACGTGGAGGTGGGTGGGACCTTTTTGTTTTTGCGAGAATCAAAGTAGGTGAAATAATAAGTATAACCCGTAAAAACCAAGTTTTTCACTATAAATCCTTTATATGCGTGGCAGCGAACTTAATATAAAGGATTTAAAAATATATTCGCCTGTGGAAGACGCGGGGATCGATCCCGCGACCTTTGGCATGGGAAGCGAGGGCGCTACTAACTGCGCTACTCCGCCACGGCCTGTCGAGGGGTTACGCTCTGGGCTCTTATACTGTGATGTTCAGCCAAAGCCATGAATGCGTTCTATTTGAATATATGTAAAATATTTTTTTTGCCTAAAAAGTGTAAAATTTTGGGAATTTTTTTTCACGAACAATAATTGTCTGGCACAACGAGTCTGTGTGGAAAATGTCAGCTCGATTGGATCACGGGAAGTGGGTTCAAAAACGACCGAAAGATTTGCACAGGTCCTAAGCAAGCAAGCAAGCACGCGAACTTAATATAAAGGATTTAAAAATAGGGTTTGCCCGTTCTGGCAATAAAACACGTGGTGCTAGGATGTTAAAACACCAGATACCCATATAACTGTCAAGGGGCCGTCCATAAATGACGTCACGCACCTAGGGAGGGGGGAGGTCAGACATTTGTGACGATGTGTGACGAGGGGGGGGGGGTCAAAAATCGTCCAAAATCGCGTGACGTCATTTATGGACGGCCCCCAACCCCTTATCAGTGCCCTACCTTATTACAGACAAATTTTAGACCTTTTCGGTCAACCCGTGGCCTTCAAAAAAACACTTCTGGTGTAACCAAGGGACGTGTGCCACTTACGAACTTGTATCGCGCATACAATGAGTTTGCTGTGAATGTAGGGAGCAAGAGACCACGGCACACATCGTCTCCGGCTGTGTCAGGGTGTTCCGGGCAGCCTGGTTGCCCCTCCACGTACTGGAAGAGGCTGTCACGTGGCTTTGTGGCTGTGGGTTGATGTCCACTCACAGAACATGGGAATACATTTTTTCCCCGTGTATCTGGTGCTCTGTGCGAAAGTCACGTGTAAAAGCATTCGCTAAATAAAACGTCATTGCACATGGGCCAGAGGGATAGTTTTTCTAATTTAACTTGCACCAGCAGGAAGCCCGTAATCACGTGAACAAACGTTTGAATGTTTTCATCAGATATCCCTTTACAATAATTGGCACAGACTGTAATGAAGACTCCTCTACTGCTAGCCATTTTTTTGTATTAGACGTGTTTGTGGATGTGTGCACGAGAAATTGATCCATTGAAAAACCGTGACGTGATTTGGTGGTTCATGTAGAAAACGCGATAAAAATATTGTGCTTTCATTTATTCATTTTATTTGAAACGTCACTTTTTACATAAACATCTTTATACAATTTTAGAAGCTGTGTGCATTGTGGCTGGGAATAAATGCTCACAACAGCAACTGTGATCTCCTTGGCAAAGGTGAAACACCCTGCTTGTTAAATAAAAGGCTAGTGAGCCCCAAAGTGATGTCATAAGTAAAGCCTAATAAGAACACAGATTGATAAACTTAAACTACATTAGTTGTGGCTGTTTAAGACTCATGAAACGCTACTGTCAAATTCAGTAACTGCAAATCCCCATCAATGTTAATATTAAAAAACCCTAATTGCTATAACATAGTTACAATTATTGAAGTCCAGCTTCAAACCGCTGATGGTGAATACCAGTTTCTGGGAAATGCATCTCAATGATTCTTGCGGAACAAAGCTTCAATGTGTTGATCTTGAAAATCATTCTCCTGGAGCAGAGACCCGAGAGAATAGTGAGAGGAGAGGCTACCCGAGCTGCGACAGATCAGGGCCTCCACCCTGGTAGTTTCCACTTATTTCTGCTCCGCTGAAGTCAAATCCTGGGTTCTGTTGCAATAACACGTACACATAGGAGCACACAAGCACAAACACAGACATAGGCATACATGGACACCCAAAGGCACACAGATACATGGATGACCACACACATTCATGGGCACAGACACATGGGCAGATATAAAGGAGCACAAAGACACACAAATGTGTACACAGATGCATACGTGGGCACAAAGAAGCATGCATAAGCATACACTATGCTGGAAGGAAGCAGCAACACATCAATATTGAGTTTTAAGCTCACACACCATATGCATATAAATAACAAAAAATATTTTGGTTTTTTTATTGATATAATAGGTTCACGTGACCAATTTCTTCAACCACTACAGGCACTACTCTTCACAACATTGTAAAATAAACTATTATTGAATTGAATCGCAATGGTAAATTGTAATAATTCATTGACTTGCCAGGGGAGTGAATTGTATTTATAACAGTTTTAGGTAATGGGAATGATAAAGGTGAATGGTGGGCATGTATTGTGAGCATAAGAATTGATCGATCAATGCATTGTTACATGCCTAGTAGCAAGTAAGGAAATACTGATAGTGATGTTAATGCAGGTGATGAGAGTGATGACGAAGCTGATTTTAGTGATGGTAAGAGAATCCCACCTCATTTTGGAATCTCTCCAGAGTGAGCTTCTTCTGCATGTTATCCAGGGTAATGGGGTCGGCAGGGAAGGCTCCCTCAAGCAAGGACGGCCAGCAGCTTCTAGCCTCACGGTGTGACTTCACCAGCACCACGCGCAACACACGGCGGTCCTCTACATCATCCGGCACATCATACCACCATCACCATATAATCACAGCACAACCAACACAAAGCACCTTCACAACCTCCACCACATCGCAATCACAATACAACACCACAATACCACCATAATATAGAATATCACAACTCGCAGCAGTGAACCCATACATCACCTTCACATCATAGCATCACCATCGCAATTTAACGAACACAAAACATCATCACCCTGTTTCACCGGCACCACAAACCCCATGCCATAATGAGGTAACAAAAGCAAATATGGTGCATGGAAATGTTGGGAGTCTCACCCAGGGTCCATGTGCTTTCGTCTGAAATCACGCTTCCCCACAGCTTTCCCTGTAGAAAGGAGTGACTGGTCAGTGTAACAATGCAACCACAATCAACTTACACACACACACTCGCATTGGCAAACGGCAGTGTCTAGGCAATGGCAACAACACTGTGACATGCAATCAATGCCACCATGCCCATCGTCATCACCTTACCAGTAGGAATTCACATATGCATTAATTACCATCGATTATGCTCATGGTATGCATAAAATCTAGTGGAGAAAATGTTGAAATTTTTGCAAATGTTATATTGTTACATTTTCACTTATGGAATTCACAAAACTACACGACAAATAAAAATAAGTACACAGGTGATGGTAAACCAGGACAATAATCGATTCTAACATTGAATTGTCACCCCGAGTCTCAATGATTCACTCAATCACTGGGGAATTAATGTTTACACACTGACCCTAATTATCCACTGTCCCATCGTCTCTCCATTACCATCCCCACTCTTGTTCCTATTGCCGATGTCATCAAGCTATTATCCCTGATCCTTCTCTAATGCCTGTTGTCATCTATCAGCCTTCATTCACTGGTACCTGGATGAGGTTGGTACCTGGATGAGGTTGGTACCTGGATGAGGTTGGTACCTGGATGAGGTTGGTGCCAAGGACCTTGACGAGTAGGGTGCGAGGTGCGAGCTCACAGCGAACGTCACGCGGAGGAGTTCCTACGGGAACGGACACCTCGAGCACGACCTCCTCCAACGTCTGGTACCTACATTGCAAGGACATTACACCATCACACTGCAACACCATACAGCAACAGAGTATCCTTAGGTTTTTTCGGTAAAGTCACGTAGGTAAAAACATTAAAAAGTAAAATAAAATAAAAATCACGACGTTTCGGAGGCAACACAAGCTTCCGTCTTCAGGTGGTACCGTCACAGCCACGACAGCTGTATCAAGTAAATGAGAGATTTCAGGAGTTACCACTGCGTTTATATAATGTTTGGAGAAGGTGGTGGGGCATGGGCCGCATCTTTATTATTAATATGGTAAGGTGAGGCTTGAGACTAAGAATAGACTGCATAACAAAGGCTGAGCCTTATGGAGAGGTGCGGTTTGTGACTCAACCTGTAACAGGGAGAAAAAACCTAAGGATATGAATCATTGCAGTCACGAAAGCTTTAAATCTAGAAGCAACAGAGTATATTATAACTTTTAAATATTTTCCTTCTAATTAATGCCTGCACCCACGTATTATTAATCAGAACTTCTGAATATCCGTGAAAAAGACCTTGATAGCTCATCGGATTTCTCCAGAACAAAGAATCTGATAAATATTCTGATAATCCATTAGCTAACATATACCCCTGCCAAGGATATCAAGTAGGTCAAGGCAACTATTGAGCCATCGACACCACTTTTTCAATAACATACCTCCAAAGTAGTGTTTGATCACATCGTTAAACTGGCAGCATGACTGTATGCAGATTTTAGCAGCAGTAAAAATCGAATATTGCTGTACCAGAGCAGAAAAATCGAGCAGCATATGAAGATGATTCAGATTTCACAACTCAAGTGCTATCGCTCTGAAATGTTTCCTGTCGTCGTCGTCGTCATTGATGATATGCAATGCTATTGCGGTCCTGGTTAATATGCTGTCCATATTATCTATGTTACGTCATTACTGTCGTATAACGGACGTAGGCAAATGATATTATCAAAGTGTTGTCAGTGTGGCGTTTGTATTTTCTCCCCCCTCTTCTGTGCCGATTTCCTCCTTTAACTGGAAACGTACGGCGATGGCCAAACATCACACACTACATGACCCTCCTGAAAAGGAGTCTGTGGACTCCGTCTGGATTCCCTATGCAAATAAGCATTACCTGTCAACCCATACGGTTTGCCCATATTCTTGTACAGGGAAATTGAGTGTTCAGGCCCATTCAATACGGGCAAACATTTAATTTGTTTTTTTTTTGTGTTTCTCCCTTGTGATGGGACTTTGTTGAATGAACGTTTAGATTTAAGGGCACGGCGAGACCAATAATGTCTGAATTAGTCTGTAATAAGGTAGGCAATGATAAGGTGTTGAAGGGTTTGAAATAAGTGCTTACTGTATTATTATTTAGATTTTAAGCTTTCGTGACTGCAGGGATTCATCTTCTTGGTTCTTTCGGTAAAGTCACGTAGAATGGAAATAATAAAAATAAAACATAATAAAGTAATTCTCACTATTTACTTTATTCTGTTTTATTTTTATTATTTTATTATTTCCATTCTACGTGACTTTACCGAAAGAACCAAGAAGATGTATTATTATTATCGTGCGACCGGATTGTTGTGAAAAATCGAGATCGCTCTCCTCTCACCAGCGACCCCACGGCGTCTCGCTCGCCACCACGCCGCTCTTCTCCTCGAAGTGGCTCATTTCTCTTTCCCCGCAGCGGCCCCCAGATCGCACTTGCTCCACGCTTTTACAACCGAGCCAATGTCAGCTACAAGCGACAAATAAATACAACGCGAGCCGCGACACCGACAACAGTCAGCAACAACGCACGGCATCCGGAGAGCAACGGCAACACAATAAAGCTGTCGTACAACCGGCGACAAAAGCTGTAGCAAACACAAAGTGATACAATTAAGCAGCGACACAGGGACACAAGCTTTAGCAAACACAAAGCGATAGGATTAAACCGCGGCACAAACAGACACAGTGACTTACTAAATCGAGTTGCGGCTTGAGGGCCCCGTGTGACGCTTTACGGCCACGTGTGCCGTCAAGCAAGCGCGAGCGGTGTCGTAAAACGTCGTAAAGCGCCTACACGGGCAGTCGTCGATTTACGAACACGGATCCTTCGTAAGTGGAACGGTTCGAAAGTCGGAACACAACAATGTACCGTCTTCTTGGTTCTTTCGGTAAAGTCACGTAGAAGGGAAATAATAAAAGAATACAAATTAAACATAATAAAATACAATAATATACAATCGTATTTTATTATGTTTTATTATTTTAATACAATTGTATTTTATTATGTTTTATTTTTATTATTTTATTATTTCCCTTCTACGTGACTTTACCGAAAGAACCAAAAAGATGAATCCCTGCAGTCACGAAAGCTTTAAATCGAAAAAAAACCCAATGTGCTGCATTGAAATGCCCACACGGTCAGTGTTATGAAATGTGTTACGGTTCAACAAAAAAGGGAAGCATTGCTAAACTGATAAATAATACATAAAGTACCATAGAAAAATCACCATTGGAACCTCCTTTGCCAGTAGCAAAATATGATAATTGGTTTTTTTACCCTTTTATCTGGCAACAAAACTGACACCTTGTCTCGGGTGTGGACCAATCAATTTCAAGGACAGTGCATACATTATCAGAGTTGTGTTTTTTTTGTTTGCATTCCGACCGCAGGTATTGTGGTCAATGCAAACATGACTCCTTGTAAAAAAAAGGTGTCAGTTTTGTTGCCAGATAAAAGTGTAAAAAAACAATTATCATAGAAAAATCAGTTTCATTCTCACTTACCTTGAGTCCTGATGCTGGCTTGATTGTTGGAAGGGGCGCAATGCGTCACCATAATTGCACACACGGGGCACACACGTGCACCAACGACAATCCCCATACAGGCTTAACAGACTGTTGGAGAGCAGCTCCTATAAAGGCCATCGGCGCTGCACCAGTGACCACCATTGACTACCCAGTGCTGATGTGTACACACCATACCAGTGACTCATTTGAGGCTGAGTCCCTCCACATCCAGAATCAACATGCCTTTTGAGTATTTGGCTGCTATACATTTCCACATAAGCCACTTTTTTTTGTTATGTGGTTAGGTCGCTTCTGAAAAAAGAGCTATATAGCTTAGTGGGCCTTACCTGGTAACATGAAAATGGTAGTAACCTCTGCAACAAGCGATGAATACGCTACCACTGAGTCATCGCCCTCATGCAATTCTGCGATACAGGGTGATGCACTGCGAGCTAAAGAGTTCATTGTGGACGTTGCCTCATCTCATTACGTAACCCTGATAGCATACTTGCAAAAACAAAAATAAATACATGATAGTATTTTTTGTAAAAAGCAAACAGTAGACTCCACCACCTGCAAAGTGGTACAATCTCTTGACACCAACAATGGTCGATGACCTCCTGACACCACCATCACCACGACTGCCTCCACCACTTAACGTTCATGGTGAGGACACTGGGAAAAGAGGGGAGACTTGTGATAATTTATTTCTACCCAGAGACAGAAACTTGTATAAGCAGATGAGGGACCACTGAGACCAGAGTTCTTATTTGCAAGGGTCAAATAATCACATCAAACAAATGGAGAACAATTGGAATGAAGTAGGATAAATACAATGCGACATTTCTACTCAGCTAAAATACATGCCACAACGAGGCTTAACGTGCTTTAAACCATTCATAAATCAGTCTTTGGGTGGGAGGTGACGCACGTGTGCAATGCAGTAATTTGAAGGTGAGTCAAGTGAATTATACTAAAACATTCACGTGTGCCGAGACACAAACCCACAGCCATCGTTATGACGCGAAGCTGCGTGACGTCACTGTCACGTGACGCTGAGTGACAATGACGTCACGCGCAGCCAGACTCCCAGCCCCACGTGGCAGGCTCGTTCCGAGCTGATTTGCATCGGGAACGCAGGCTCGCGTATTTATTCATCTCGGTGATTTTATTAAACATTATTTGTTGATTCCTCGTAGGCTGTGGTGCAAAAGCGCAAATAGCAACAACAACAATAGCATTGCCTTAAAATAATATTTTACACAATAGTCCACGTTTCAAGCAATGCCCGATTCATTATACGAGCAAATGTTCGTGCTGTGAAGAATGGCCATTGGCCGAAACGTACTGTTTTCTATATTTTAGATGTAACGAGTCGCCGCATATAATATGTTACTACGCTTACGATTATCGTCAGAAGTGATCTATCCACTGCTGGATTAAGGCCTCGGCTAAACCGTCGCCAATCGATCACACGTCCCGCAGTGCAACAACGAATCCACCTCTCACCTGCACACCGTGCTCCGTCTCTGCGGTGGACGCGCGCTCCTCCAGCGGAGGAACAGCATTTATCTCCTGAACATATTGCTGCCATACACAAGAATACTAATCTGCTGGTAGCGCATGCGGTGTATGAATTACAAACGAGGGGCACAATAAAGCGGCGCATGCGGTCTATGAATTACAAACGAGGGGCACAAATAGAGCGGCGCATGCGGTGTGTGAATTACAAACGAGGGGCACAAATAAAGCGGCGCATGCGGTCTATGAATTACAAACGAGTGGCTCCAAAAGAACAGCGCATGCGGTGTATGAATTATAAAGAGGGGTCTCAGAGCAGCGCATACGGTGTATGAATTACAAAAAAGGAGCATCAATAGAGCGGCGCATACGGTGTATGAATTCTAAAGAGGAGTCTTATAGAGCAGCGCATACGGTGTATGAATTACAAACGAAGGGCATCAATAGAGCGGCGCATACGGTGTATGAATTATAAAGAGGGGTCTCATAGAGCGGCGCATACGGTGTATGAATTATAAATAGGGTCTCATAGAGCAGCGCATGCGGTGTATGAATTACAAACAAGGAGCATCAATAGAGCAGCGCATGCGGTGTATGAATTACAAAGCGAGTCTGTTCGCGCATGCGCAGTGTGAGGGACCTCCCCAGCGCGTGCCATCTGGTGCCAGGTCGGCAGCGACGAGGCGGGCGGCGTGACAACGAGAGGGGACGACGAGGAGATAACGAGGAGATAACGAAGTGACAGAGGAAGAGGAGGAAGAGGAGTCGCCTTTGGTTAAATCTCTCGCGGCGTTTGTGGATCCCCCACGCAGAGCGACGATGGCGGTGAGAGCCGCGGAGCTGAGGCGGTGCGCTGCTAACAGGCCACGTGTCGTGCCCGCACTGTACCGCGCGCCTCTTGTTACAGTTTTAACTATTAAACATCGTGCCGTGAATGTTCTAGTCGTTGTTCTCGTTCTCGTCGTTGTCTGACAGGTTGCTACTGTGTATGCAGCGATGTTGTGGGAGGTTAAACACCCGTAGGGTGGACGCGTCCCCGTCATGTGAATGTGGATCTCTCTGGACTCCTCAGGGGTTGGGGGTTTCGTAAAATGAGATCGGAGCTTGAAGTTAAAATAATACTGCGCTGTGGTGTTTAATATTCGCTAGGCATGTGAGCGTGGCATGCTACATACGCCAATTATTGTGTTTGTGGTGTCCTTTGCGTTAGAGGTTCACTCCAGGACGCTGAAGTTGGCAGTCCGAAATTCAGATTTCGGAAGACTTTTCCACACTCTTAACCTACATTCATGCACACAGTGATAACAATAATATACACTCGGGGGCACCCCCGTGCAAGGACTAAATAATGCTGCCCACAACGCGTTATTCCACATTACACATCCAAAGTGGTCATCCGACTCGAGTTAAAAGTTGTAAAAGGCCCTCTGATATCCCATAAGCCGTCAAACAGCTGAAATAATACGACCGGGCGAATAGGGTCGACAACTTCAACCACAACAGACACAGTCCAGAGATGCCACGCACAACTGAATTAATTGTAATCTGAAATAATGTTTTTAAAAATAATAACGAAAAATATGTCACGCCGGCATTTTTCAGTTGCGCACATTTTCTAATTGTTCATGATGGAAAACCAAAAGCTAAGTAAGGTTATACTGGATGAAATGTTAATGCCAGAAACGTCACCCTGGAGGATGGTCAAAATACGCTAATTTAGAATGGAAATAGAGAACCAATGTCTCCTTAAGCCCCAACGGCCTTGTGGGATTCATCTTCTTGATTCTTTCGGTAAAGTCACGTAGAAGGGAAATAATAAAATAATAAAAATAAAACAATAAAATACAATTCTCACGACGTTTCGGCCACAACGCAAGCAGCTGTCCTCAGGTGAAGAACAGGGCTGTCGGAAAGACAGCGTCCGAATGAACACCATCAAACTTGGCAGCGTATATATTTAAGCAAGGCCTTGTGGGAGTTAATCTCAACAGCAGTATTGAGTGCAAGCAAACTGGACCGGTTTCGACACAGTGCCTCATCAGTAGCCAAGCTTGCTTGCTTCAATTGATGCAGGTGAACTGCCATATGTTAGAGACCAGGACCCTCTCTTTAAGATATAGGTCCTATACTCTTTGGTTCTTTCGGTAAAATCGTTGTGGAGAATATAATACATACGACACTGGTTCTGAACCCTGGTCTGGAGATGATGTTGCAGTCGAGGATTCTTCACTTTCATTGAGCTTTAATGGCAAGCTGCGTCTCTTACCAGGAGCGTAAAGGCAGAGCCAAGGTGGACTTCCTGAAGGCGTTGGAGAAAAGTGTACAGACGAGATGGGCCGAGGAGCGTGCGTTTGAGGTGGATGCGCCAGAACCTGGGAAAAAGTAGGTGTATAGTGTATACCCATGTATACACGCAAAAATGTTCCCACAAACCTATACACAACTACATGCATGTTTTGCATTAACTTCAGAATCTTACCTCAACATCAAACACACACAAAACATCATTCACCACACAGTGATTTTACCAAGGTACCTGATCAGGCTTGGTCCGCAGCAAGGCCACATTGAGTGGTGCAGTGAAATTCTGATACTCTGGGAGGTCTTGCCCCTGAATCCTATAATTTGCAGCTGCAAAATAAATGAATACATCAGCTGGGAAATTGTAGATTTTAGGAGTTTTTCGCTGTGCAACTCTGTTGATCCGTAAAAAATTCGTGGGTGTTAGGAGTTTCGCCGTATTTTTTTTTTTATACAAATGTAGCATATCTGCCATTTATATATATAAAAGAGAAATTTGTGAATATGTGCCTGTTCAAAATGTTTAGCATACTTTCCAACATGCAACAAACTTGACATTTGGCATGTGGGTAGCTTCCAGACTGTATACAATGCGAAAAGTATAAAAAATAGACTTTTGTATTTTTTGGGCGGGGGGGGGGGGGCACAATAATGGATATATTTTGCATGGCAAGTGAGCGGTGATGTCACATCTGTGATGTCACCCAAATGCGGCAGCGTTACGCAGTGTGCCTGCTGACATCATGCATCCCCCACCCTCCGCGTAGGCTGTGTATTAATCCAAGACAAGAATCCAAGTCTCGGGCAAAGCCGGGTAGTAAAGCTAGTATGGGTATATAATTCAGGCATTTTAAGATTTTGAGAGTTTATAGCCAAGATAAAAAAATGCAAATAACCTAAATTACTCGACATGTCCCATTAGGACAGTCTGTGTGACATAAAACAATCTTAATTCCAATACAATTGTTGTGTGTGCAAGCATAAGTGTGTAATTGCACATCTTTATTCTGTGGTAACCCTTACAAGGGAATCCCAAACTGCGTTTGCCTTGATAATCTGTCAGGCCACATGTGGATCTCTGTCTTTGGTGTATATGTTCAGTGGTGCAGTGGCGCACACTGCTTTTATTCTAGTGGACTAAGCTCTGTTCCTGGCCATACATATATTGGAAAGTGGTATCTGAATGCGGGTTGACTTGGCCTTAACATTAGTGCTTAGTAAAGCTTGTGAACATTGGCACTGGGAACACAAAGACGACTGGGCAGAATGCTGAGTTTACTACTCAATAGTTTGCTGTGCTGGGCTGATAGATGCGATCTACTAGTCTGTGAAGCTACAAGGAAGATGCTTGTTTTTGTTTATCTGTGTATTTGTGTGTGCCGGCACACAGACAATCCAAGTTCATGGTGTCATTCCCATATCCATACATGAATGGACGTCTGCATCTGGGCCACACCTTCAGCCTCTCCAAATGCGAGGTGAAAATAGTGACTCCATCTCACACAGTCTACATACATCAAAGATGTCAGGTTCTCAAAAGTATATTTTTGACATCCTTGAGTTAATGAATGGTAATGATACACATCTACATTACTTTAGATATAGTTATAATTGGGTTCTGACCTTAATGAATGAATGCCTGTGGCTCTTCTGAACCATTGCAAGAGTGTCTGCACCTCATTATTTGCTCTTAGGACCCCATATTTCGTGACCTTTGTGTGTTGCCATTTGTGTTCCCTTGTGTGTATGTCCTTATATTTCATGGTCTGTGTTATTTCATTGACACAAAGAAACTTGCACCCTTGTGTCCCCATTTGTTTGCAGTTTGCTGTTGGTTACCGTCGCTTGAAGGGGGACCTTTGTCTTTACCCATTTGGACTCCACTGCACTGGAATGCCAATTAAGGTAAACTGCACCCTTGAGTCTATGAATTCTGCCAATTTGGTGGCACAATTTTACTTAAGAAGCCATTCTTTTTGTTTACATTGGTGAATGTAGTGCCTCGATATGTAAAGTGGCCACGTGAACTAATTACATAAAACATGAATAGAAAAATATATAATCGCACACATGTACCAGTGTTGTAACAATGCACTCTTTTTGGATAGTCTGGCAGCATCCACTGTCTCCAGGTGATCACTGACCATACACCAAACTGGAGGCTAAACAGACATGGCATGTGCGAGAGAAGAGATGGGCTAATTGTGGTACAGAAGGACTTGGAGATGAGGAGACTTGCAGACATCTTATCCCAGCAGTGTCAAGATCGGTCTCGGTGGAGGGGGCTCGTGAAGGGATCTACTGGGCAGTTGTAGATAATCGCCCTCCAGCCAAAAGGGAAGGCTGGAGAGTGATGCCAACAACAATGAGCAGATAGCCAGGATGGCTAGACAAAATGTGTTGACACAATGGCTAGTACATGTGCTGCATCTGCCCATCTTTTAGGTCAGTTAACCCATAACAGCTGTATCCAGTGACCTGGCAGTGAACATTTGACACTTGACCTTAAGGTGCACCTCAAAATCCAAATATTTATTTAGACTGGAGGAATCCCATGACCTATGAAGCTTTTTTCACAGATGTCCAGTTGGGGCGGGTCAGAATGTTACGTGGCATAAGAGCTCAAGTGGTGAATAGCAGTTGTATGGTTGTGTATGCGTGATGTTGCTGTGTTGCTGCGTGCCTTGTAGGCATGTGCCGACAAGCTGAAGTATGAGCTGGAGACATTTGGGAACCCGCCTGTGTTTCCTGATTGGGTGGAAGAGGTGCAAGAGGAGGGAGGCAAACTGGATGTAGATGCCACTGTCGCAAAGGACAAGACCAAGAGCAAGAAGGCAAGGCCCTTGCTTCCCACCAATATTCACCAATTGCAGCATCACTAGGAAGCTACAAAAATACCCTTGAATAACATTTTCAGTGGAAACATGTATTCAGTTGCATCATTCACTGAATGAATTCACCAGATGGGTGGTGATTCAGCCCAGCGGTAGCACGTTCGCTGCTTTTTACAGGGCTTCATGGTTCAAATCCAGCGGCCGCCTGGACTATTACTGCGGGTGTAACAACCGTAATAATATGCACAGTGGAAGTTAAAGATCCACTGATGTCATTCACAAGAGTAGGCTGTCTTGGTTGGTGTCAGTGTCCAGATTATACATAGCAATCCTTACCCCCTACTGACAGACTAATGGCCCTGATCACCTCATCTTGCAAATTAGGATATCTTGATCTGTTGAGTTTTCAACAGGTAAAACAATAAATTAACAATCTTTTCTTCTGAATTCCACTCGTGTTATTGCCATTCATAACTTCTCACTCAGATTTACAATCCACCTGTTGTTAGCATGCCACTCTGTTGGTGGTGATACTAATATTAGGAGTTTATGCTAAGTTGATGGATTTTGGGTATTTTTCTGCACTGTTAAGGTTAGTGGCATTTTCTTACGTCCTAGGGTCAAATAATTGATTGGGTGTAAATTATGTTTTAATATTAGCCTAAAATAATGAGGTTAGGGCTGCTTTTGTGTAGGTATATTGTTAGTCATTGTTCATATCCATACATGCTTGTGTACATGCATGTATACGAGTGTTCGTACATGTACATGAGTGTGTGTTGACTGTCAACAAACTGTCCTTCAGTAAAACTTCATTACTCCACCCATAGAGAATTCGTTTGTCTCCTAACCTCCATTGACGGAACTATCATCATTGGCTCTGTGCATGTAGCGGTGAATAGTTGTGCATGTTGTTGTGCGTGCGTTCACGCTTGTGTGTACGTGCATCTATTCAAACAGAGCAAGGCAGTGGCCAAATCCGGGGCAATGCGATTCCAGTGGCAGATCATGCGCTCGCTGGGGCTGAATGACACGGAGATCACAGCCTTCGCCAATGCCGAGCACTGGCTCCAGTACTTTCCCCCACTCGCTGTGAAGGACCTGCAGGGCATGGGGCTCAAGGTAACACACGTGCACTTGCACACACTTTCCTCCATTCACTGTAAAGGCTCTTCATAGCATGGAGCTTAAGGTCACCAAAAAAACAGTTGCCATTCTCCACTAAGTGGCAATAATGTTAACAACGGCACTTATACCACGCGAGGTGTACTTTGAGACCACGTGAAGTATCAAAGGCTTGCTGTCAGGAAGTCACGGGACAGACTCATGTACGTTGAAACCACGTGAAGTATCAAAGGCTTGCTGGCACCTGTGCTCACCACTGAAGAGTGCTTCACTATGGACATCTAAAACTTTTCGTGCAGAACTCTCACATAGGTGAACTTGTGTCATGTGTGCAGGTGGACTGGCGGAGGTCATTCATCACGACAGATGCGAACCCATACTATGACTCCTTCGTGCGTTGGCAGTTCTTGACACTCAAGGAAAGAGGAAAGATCAAATTTGGCAAACGGTGGGTTCGGCAGATGATGAAGATAATGAGCAATGAGGAGAACAAATGACGTATGCATGTGTGTATTCAGTGATATTGGGCAGATCCTGCAGGTGGCAATATCTGATACTAATTATCGTAGGATTGGCGATAGCAGCAGGCATAATCATACCCTTTTTTGTGCTCTATCAGCCACAACAGTTGATTACACGAGTAATGACACTGTGGCCTTTAAAGACACATCCATAATACAAGACTTTTTGAGCAATGGCCTTTTGTAACAAATCGAGACCAGAGAGTTCGTAGTTAACAGTTGGAGACTACACTTCATACCATGAAGCCTGATAGGAATTAAATATTTGACATTTTTCCTGTGCACAGATTTTAAGATGAACAGTTTATAAATTGGCAAATGAATGAACCTTTTATAGAAGCTTTAGAATAGTCATCACTAGTATGACTGTTCGTGTTACTGTGGCTGATGTGGGGCTGTATTGTGGTGTGTACTGTGTGTGTAGTTACACCATCTACTCTCCAAAGGATGGGCAGCCCTGCATGGACCACGACAGGCAAACTGGCGAGGTGAGGTTACAATGTTCAAATACCAACGGAGGAATCAAAATAGTTATGAACCTCGCCTTAAGAATGAAATGAACAGCAATAATCATCCTAACAAAACCACTACCACTTGCTATGGTTACAAAAAGAACAAATACAGGCAGACCTCGCTTAGCGCAACCCCGTAGAATGCTGATTCATTTTAGCGCTCTTTGTTCTGGAGAAATGTTTTACAAAAAAAAATGTAAATATCTAAACAGCGCTGACAACTAAGAACACGCAGCAACACCAGCAGAGGAAACGTCCCCGTCCCCATCATTCGCTAAGCCAATGAGAATGACGTACGCTGATCCAACCAGACCCCCCCCCACCCCCTGTGATTCGATTATCACACTTCGTGGTCATGATTACATTAAAATGGATCTATTTTTTAAAATGTTATTAATGTGCGTTTAGTCAGGTGAGAACTCACGAGACCAAGATAGAGTCTCAGCCTCTACCTAAAAGAAATCTCACCACAAACATTTTGATTGAGGGCATCACTAAAACACGTATTGGAAGCACATCAGCTCCATCCTCGTCTCCCAACGCTGTCTTGTAGGCGTACAGTAGAAAGCACTCGTGACTACAGTCCATACTACTTGAATACATAAATTTTGTTTATGCGATAACGTTTACTATATGTATTATTATTTGTGGAGATAATACCGAAATCCCAATTAATTCCTCATGTTGGTCATACAAAATAAATAACTGCCAGGAATGCATCCCCATATATACAATGATATAATGAGCCCTTTTAGCGCCGGTTAAATTTGTGCTCCCTTCTCCAGGAAAACATCTTGAGTGCTACGCGAGGTCTGTCTATACTAACTGACCACAATATAGCCCTAACCCTAAACATAGCATGAACACTAGTCATTACCTAACAACATTAACACTGACCATTACTAAGCAATAACATTAACACGATCCATTGCCCAGAATATAACAATAAAATTAACACTGGCCTTTGTCTATCATATAATTAACATGGTGTATTAACTTTAAAAAAGCATTTTGACCCTGAATATAACAGTTTACATCAACTCTAACCTTGACTCTGACAATGATATTAACACTAAACCAAGCAATAACGATGACATTAACACCATCCATAACACTTGCCAGCAACATTACCCCCGTGCCTTACAATATAAATATAAACTGAAACCCAGGACACATTAGAGTTCATAGCCTGATGGTGGCATGGTCATACCATCTAATTCATAATCATGAATTTGCATTTTTAGAAATGTGAAGAAAGTATCAAAATACTTTAACAAAAGGGGAATTCAGCATGGTGAGACACTTTTGCCAATGCTAGAAGTTGGTCTCCAAAAAAATAGATTGGCGAAACAAAGGCAAATATAAATGTAGAAAACATGAACCGGCTCAGTTTTGTTGATGCATCATCATTATCACCTCCAATGGGGAAAAAATTAGGAAATGTGAGAAAAACTTAATAGACAGGGCTGTACAGTTGGACTCCAGATAAACATGAGCACGTACAGGAAGTTTGCTCAATTATTGGAGATGTCTGCCAGAGGGACAAAACTCAAAAACACAGCAGAAAATGTGAGGGGGGGTTTTAAGTGCACTTTGGAATTCCGTGTACCCAGCAGTCTATATTGGCTACATGGGGATCTTTGTTTTTATGTTAGGGTGTGGGCCCGCAAGAGTACACCCTCATCAAGATGAAACTTCTGGAGCCATTTCCTGCAAAACTCAGGTATCAACCTCGACTCAAACTTTTGAGATTTTAAAATCACTTGGAGTTGTGCTTGAGTAAATATCATGGTGCCATCACTCTTGTCTTGTGATGCTGTTTCTATTTATGATCATTTTAATGGATATCTTGGTCTTGCATCAGTGTTTTTTTTACTAATGGTGATATTGACAGTTATGTTTATTTAATTGTTTTAGTTGATAATGATGGCGACATTCACAATGGTAATTATGTGCACATCTATCTCAGCCATCTGGCAGGAGAGGCCGTGTTCCTGGTGGCAGCCACGCTGCGTCCGGAGACGATGTTTGGGCAGACCAACTGCTGGTTGGGGCCGGATGTGCGCTACATTGCATTCCGCACAGCCTGCGGAGCCGTGTTTGTGTGTACGGCACGCGCCGCACGCAACATGTCCTACCAGGGCTTCACGACTGCCGATGGGCATGTCGACAAACTCGCCCAGCTCACCGGGGTGGTGAGCAGCACATGCCTTCGCTGCAGCTTACGTCTCCATTAACAACTTGTGTCTGCCACCACTAAATCAATCTCACATGGCATGCATTGTCACAACAAACAGTGGACATTGTTATGGTTTCTATTTAATGTTAATAATTTTAGATATAAAAAATTGTGATTTGCATAGGAGCCACATGTATATATTAAGTGACAATGGAGTGTACACAAAGATAAACTAAGGGTCTTTTACGAATCTTATGTTTCAGGGTTAATGCCTGACACTCAGAGTGAGACTAAGACTCCTTTGGGATTTTTACAGTTATGTATTGAACCTTGAGGTTCTAGAGCCCAACTAAGGCACGTTCCATATTTTTAGTGCTCCGTGTTATGCTGTGTCCACACGCATCCTATTCAGACCCTTCTCCCTCCCGTACCGGGTTGTGCTGGGTTCTACCTGGTATGGCTCGGATGAGTGGGATATCCGCACGACCAGCGTACAAATTATGAGACCCAGAAGTTACCTCGAAGGGACATCATCTATGACGTGATAGCCTTTTATTTTGCTTCCAAGATAAAGGTTACCAGATGTTGCTTGCAAGATGTGCTTCAAATGTATTCATTTGGCATGATTACTTTGATGCCAACTCTTAATTATATTCTTTTGAATGTAGACATTTTAATAAAAAATCTAATGAAATAAACAGCAAGGTGTACACAAATAAAAACATGAAAAGAACATACATTCAAAACACATAAATAATTTAAAGGAGTTAACACGAAAGTATCAGTGGGTCATCTTAAAGTGGTAAATACATGTAAGAATGTGCATGCATCCTGCACCTGGGACAGACTATTTCTAGATTTGAAGCTTTCGTGACTGCAATGATTCATATTCTTAGGTTTTTTTCGGTAAAGTCACGTAGGTAAAAAACATGAAAAAGTAAAATAAAATAAAAATAAAAATCACGACGTTTCGGAGGCAACACAAGCTTCCGTCTTCAGGTGGTACCGTCACAGCCCCGACAGCTGTATCAAGTAAATGAGAGATTGCAGAAGCTACCACACCTTCTCCAACCATTATATAAACGGAGTGGTAGCTTCTGCAATCTCTCATTTACTTGATACAGCTGTCGTGGCTGTGACGGTACCACCTGAAGACGGAAGCTTGTGTTGCCTCCGAAACGTCGTGATTTTTATTTTATTTTACTTTTTAATGTTTTTTACCTACGTGACTTTACCGAAAAAACCTAAGAATATGGTACAGACTAGTTAAGATGCGACTTTTCGAAGAGCCAACCAGGTAACCAGGTAACCAGGTAACCAAACAATAATCTAACCAGGTAACCACGGTGCCTCCTGTTGCTCTGTTCTTCAGGACCTGATGGGGGCGGCTCTGAGCGCTCCACTCTGCTCCTTCCCAGTCATTTACACCCTGCCTATGCTCACCGTCAAGGAGGACAAGGGTGAGTGTGAGACAGAATGCATGTGTGTATAAGGTCGGGCTCGAATGAGCACCTGGTGCGTTGTGTAAACATCACTAGGGAGACGAAGGCAGTCGGGCGTGGCGCTGGCTACCCACTCCCTAGTGTTCAGCACTTGCCTTCATAGATGCTCGCAAACAGCACTTGCCACAAAAGTCTGTTAAGGCTAGAAGGGAGATCTTTGTTTCGTATTTGCAAGAATACAGGTGATGAATCTTCTAGTCATCCCAGTTAGTCAGCTAAACCGTAACTTATGTGTTTGTACCATGACCTGTGGAAATAATGTAGTCGCAGCTAGCCTGGTACGAGCTCCTTTATGATATCACTGCCACATTGTGGCCACTTATTGCTGCTGTTCGTGTAATAAGTTGTGGTGGCAGAATGGTCAGGGCATTATTTTGGTGAACTATGATTCCTAACCATGCAAATAACTGAAAATATACAAACACAGACATAATTTCAACTGTGATGATGGGTACAAACTTAGTAATCATTGCAAAGATGTTATCAACCACGCAAAAAAGACTTAATTACACTTTTTTGGACCATCTTATCTGACAGGCACTATTTTACTTTACTTTACCGAGTGTTAACATCCCCAGTGTTTAAAAGTACTCTCTTCATTGTTCAGCCAGCATTGGTATAAACATGGGCATTTTCGTTCTTTTTTCTATCATGTGTATCAGGCCTCCCCTCCCCCTCTCTGTCCAATGCGTTGGCGTGTGCAGCAGCAACCGCGTCCAAGCCGTCGTCCATTCTTTTGGCCCCGCCCCCCTCCCCCTCCCGATGTGTTGTACTTGGCACTCCGTGCCATCTTTGAGCCCCGCCCCCCTCCCTCCCGATACGTTCCATTCATTGGCTACCACATTCTGATGAGCTCCCCCCCTCTCCTCCCCCCTCAACTTGCTTTTAAGGGATTACATCTTGAATCATTGCCTCACTTGATGCAGCTAATCCGGCTGTGACGGTCCCACCTGATGACGGAGACTTGTGTTGCCTCCGAAACGTCGTGATTTTTATTTTATTTAATTTTCATTAATTTTGATGTTTTACCTACGTGACTTTACCGATAAAACCTAAGAATATGTATGTCTGAACCTATCAATGACCTCGCCTAGCTCAACTCGGCCGAAAATAAGTAGATCCTGTTATGTGGCCAGCAACAGCGCTGGAGGGACAGACAGCTTGGTGTGGGTGGTGCTGATTGCACTACCCCCTGACGGCATCTGATCTCACACGTGCATGTGTCTGTGCTGCTCAGGCACGGGGGTGGTGACGAGTGTTCCTTCGGACTCGCCCGATGACATCGCTGCTCTGCGCGACCTCAAGAGAAAATCAGTAAGCGCTCTCAACAGACCTTCATCCCTTACCACCCATGCACTCCCATCTACTTTCATACTCTCCCACCCCCTCTGTATTCAATCTCTCTTTCCTACTTTTGTGTTTTTAGCCCACTCTCCCACTGACTAAGGAGCCCATGAGTGTTAAGGAGGTTGTGTTTTGTAAGAAGCCTGTGATTGGTAAAAAGTCTGTGTTTTCGTGATGCTGTGTTTGGTAAGTAGCCTGTGGGTTTAAGTCATCTTTATTTCGGCAAGGAGCTGATGGTGCGATCACTGTATTGTCCTCGCAGGCCCTGCGGGAGAAGTATGGTATTACGGACGCCATGGTGCTGCCCTTCGAGCCGGTGAGTCTCTGTTTATGACGTGACCCTGATGTGTCTTTCAAAACGTTGTGTTACATATATGCTACCATGCCCAGCTAATTGATAGTGCATTTTAAAGCAATAAAATATAGTTATACAAACCTACAACAAATAGAAGGGATATGAGATAGGCTGAAAATGCCAACCAACTGATGGAACTCACAGAATTTAACCTGGAGGAGAAGATGTTATCTTACCTTTGTCCTCGCCCCTTTCAATCTATAATAGATGGCTTCACGAGTTGGATGTGAAGGGCTTTTCATTAAATCTTAGGTGATAGAATTATTATATGACCATTTGTTGTGTTACTCCGTGCCAGGTACCGATCATCGAGGTGCCTGGGCTGGGTTCTCTGGCGGCTGTGACGGTGCTCGATGAGATGGGCATCTCGAGTCAGAACGAGCGTGATCGCCTTGCCCTCGCCAAGGAGCGCGTCTACCTCAAGGGCTTCTATGAGGGGGTACGGCTTCCAACTCGGCAGTTACAACATCAACCGTAGCAGGATTGAGTATAAGCAGCAATGGGGAGTTAACTGTTCAACTCTCAGGAATGAGGGTGTGAGTTCCAATCCCGGTGGGTGGTCTTTTCTCCACCGTTGATAAAAAAATTAGTAACACTCTTGAGTGAATATTCTTTGGGTCTTTCGGTAAAGCCACGTAGATAGAATTTTTTTTTTTTTTAAATATCACGACGATTCGATCGCAACACAAGTAATCGTTATAAGGTGAACATTTTGCCTGTTAATGTAAAGATATTTAACCTGGTAATGTAACTCAGAGTCGGAAATAACTGCTAACATTGGCAGGTAGGATGGAAACATCACAGCCAGTTATGACTTAAACTGGTTAATAACGTCCTTCCAATGATTACTCAGTTTGTACCCATCTTCTCGGTTAAAATTGTGTCTGTGCTTTTATATCTGGATGGCTTCATGAACGAATCTTTGTTGATAGCCAGTGGGTTTGTAAAGTACCTTCGTCTTGGAAAAATACATTTTGATGTACCCACAGCGTTAGAACAATGATCCGCCACGGCTGAGGTATTGGTTCTACCGTGTTTCAGATTTGCCTTATGTTCACGAACACGGTCCGAGACATGTCGCTTAGTTTCCCCACTGTAACTACTGCCGCAGACACAGCTTAGTTTGTAGACACCGGGGTATTGCATGTCAGGGATCACATCCTTCACAGATGGGATCGGATCACAAATTTTATGTACTGAATCGAACCTGGATCTCATGATTTTGGAAATATTTTTGGTAACCCCTGCTATGTATGGCAAGGTGATGGTTTTGATTGGGTTCTCAAATGGTTCTTTCCAAACAGTTGGGGTTATAGCTTTACGGATTGTGTAGTCGGAATATCCATTCATCTTGAGGGCTTGGTCTACATGTTCCAGTTCACTGGCTAGGTGATGATGGTCGGAAATACAACGAGCTCTATGGTGTAGAGTTTTGATGAGGGAATTCTCCTGGGCTGGATGGTGGTGGGAGTCAGGTTTTAGGTTAGCATCCGTATGGGTGGCTTTCCTGTAGACAGTGTCCCATTGAGCCATCTGGTTTCTTTTTGATTAAAACATCCAAGAATGGTAACTTGCCATCCTTTTCCACCTCCATGGTGAATTTGATGGCTGGGTGTATGGATTTGATGTGGTTGAAGAATTGGCCCCCTGCGCTGGTAGGCCATGTGACCAGATGACGAACGTGTCATCTACGTATCTCTTCCACAAGGAAGGACGTAGGGTGGATGCCAGGATGGCATCTGTCTCAAATTTTCCATGAAAACATTGGCTACAGCTGAAAATAAGGAGAACCCATTTGGGTACCTTCAACTTGTTTGTAGAATGTTCCATTCCAGGTGAAGTTAGTGTTGGTGAGGCAGTGTCTAACCAGGGCCGGTACATCAGCATTCAGTCCTTGTTGGACCAAATCTTCAATGATTGCAATGGTATCACTCTGAATGAAATGAATTGTCCTTGTCACGATGGAGGGACTATCCCCTGTCCTGGGAATGCCATTGTCTCTGGATTAGAGTTAAGTTCTGGCCCATGGTAATTTGAGCAAAGAGACGTTTTCGTATTAACTTGAAATAATATTTCCTTTGCCACATTTCTCATGTGTCTCCCCTTGTGTGCCTGTGTTCCTGCTGGTTTTCAAGTGTTTCCCTATATAATTTCTTCCCTACGATTTCTTGCGTGGCCCCTTGTATGTCTCACCATGTCCCTCTCTGTCTGGCCTTGTGCGTCGTGCAATTTAAGTTTCCCTTCTGATGTCCTAGTGTGTATTCCCTGTGTGTCCGATGTGTCTCTGTGTACCTCGGGTGCAGGTGATGCTGGTGGCAGGGTATGAGGGGTGTCGTGTGCAGGATGTAAAGAAGGTCATCCAGGGCAAACTAATTTCAGATGTGAGTGCTGATCCGTCTTACACGAACAATACAGTTTTTGTTATTTTGGCCTGGTTCATTTAGTCTCCTAGGAATATAACAATTATTTGCTTCAAATGTAATATTAAGCTCGTAGACTGTAAAATGGCCTTAGGTCTCTTCCTGTGCTGTCTCAGTGGGTGCATAAGCTTCCACTACTGATACATCGCAATGTCTAAACCAGGGGTCGGGAACCTTTTTGACTGGGAGAGCCATAAAAGCCAAATATTTCTAAATATATTTCATTGACAGCCATATAGTATTTTTAACGTATAATAAATTAAATATGTCTTACTTTTAATGCGACTTCTGGTCACGGGACCCGTGACCCGAGAAATTTATCTTCAAAACTAATTTCTGTTTACTTTAAAATGACATGGTATTATTAAGCAATATCACAAGTATTTTAAAATCAGTTCCAAACTGATTTTATTATTATTTTATTATTATTATTATTTTCAAGCCAAATGCCGTCACCGGAAGAGCCATATATGGCTCGCGAGCCATAGGTTCCCGACCGCTGGTCTAAACCATATCCCTGACTAAAGTAATACGCTCATCCACTGGTACAAACTTTGCCTCAAGCTTCGCTATCCTTTTACACGATGTTCCCCATTCTTCATAACACTATTCCACATTGTAATCCCCATGACAACAAATAGAATTCCCCAAAAATTTCCCGGTTTACTAATGTTTGCGTCGTCCACTCTTTGCTCCATTTTGTCCATGTAACCTGGCCTAGCAGGGTGAGGCGTGGGCTAATGTGGCTCGTGTGACATTCTGTGCAGGGCCATGCGGTGCTGTACATGGAGCCAGAGAGACAGGTTATGTCCCGCTCAGGCGATGAATGTGTTGTGGCGCTGTGCGACCAGTGGTAGGGACCTTGCACTCGCTCACCTATTTACGCGCGATTACTTGTACACACGCACTGTCGTATACACAATTGGTAAACACTCGCAGTCACCCATTCCCATTTGCACATGCACTGTCACACACAGTTGTGCAGACTTGCACACAAATGTGCCCATACTGTCATATAGAAACCTCTTCATTCGCAGATTTTTTTTGCCGAAATTTTATTCTTCGCTATTTTATATTTGAATATCAGTTTTCCTTCGACTCTTCACGATTTGACAACATAGCATCATGGCGGAGGGGTACTTGCGCAGTGGTGGATTGTGACTCCCATGTGTGCGTAACCCAAATCATTGTGCAACTCATACTCGGCACGCTCACGCACAACATAAATTTTCACGCACAACATAAATTTTCACGCACATTGCTGTATGCATCTAGCCGTCCACTCGTTAAGGACGTGTCATACGGCCGCTTAAATGTGTGCGGTGATGTAACACATACCCGACACACTCGCGCACAATGCAAATTTGCACAGACGTTATTGGATGCATCTAGCTGTTAACAAGTTGAGGAATTGCCACACAGATGCCTAGATGGCATATCATTAACGTTCAAGTGACCATGACGTTTTGTGTTCAGGTAAATCAAACTTCCAAATTGACAGTATAATTTATTGAGGTTTTCTGATTCCAAAGAACACAGGATGAGATGTTACTATCCTTTGTGCAAGCACTTCCAAGAGTTCATGAACAGTGAGCCTGGTGAAATTTGGGGAGCGCATCGTCAGTAGTGACCCTTTGGTTCCTAGGGTGTTTCGGCCTTTCATACTATACACCCTCCCCAAAGGCGGCCAGCGACAGGGTGATCAATCCTACGCTTGCGTCCCATTCCCAATTAGTCATAGGAGTTGCCTTGTTGTTGGTAGCCAACATCCCATGGGACTATGCATGGCAGGGGCGTCCTCCTCCCTGAGTCAAGCATTGTTGACTGCATACCTCCTGGCCCTCTCACTTTGGGGCCCAGCTGGGGTCTTTCCTCTTCATCCAGAGCCACTGACTGCTGCCTTCTGCCGCCTCCGATACAGCTTTGATTGCCGAACGCTGACTCTGGCCCTTAATTCCCAGGTCTCTAAGCAGTCTGGTTGTAGATGTTGCCACAAAACCTCTGCAGCCCACCTCCACTGGTCGGACTTCTGTGTTCCAGCCATGATGCCGTGCTTCGGCAGCTAGATCGGCATAGCGCAGATGTTTTCGCTCATAAGCCTCATCTACTGAGTCCTCCCAAGGTACTGTGAGCTCAATGATGAAGACCTTCTTGAGCGAACGGGACCAGAGCACCATGTCAGGTCTTAGGGTGGTGGTTGCGATCTCCGGAGGAAACACAAGTTGCCGGCCAATGTCAGCTAGCATTTTCCAGTCGCGGGCCAAGCGCAGCTGGTCTCGCTCTATTGGTGTAGAGCCGCTCTTCGGTGGTTTAGCCCCTTCGCGGACAAAGGTCGTCCGTAAGGGGTGTGATGCTGCTGGGGGTGGTAGGGAGTTGGTGGCAGCTCGCTTGTCCTCCAGGGCGGACGCAAGGTTTTTAAGGACTTGGTTGTGACGCCAAGTGTAGCGTCCTTGGGTGAGGCTTGTTTTACACCCTGTAAGAATGTTCCTGAGGTTGGCTTGCATGGAACAGAGGGCACAGTCCGGATCTTCACCATACCATTGGTGAAGATTAACTGGTGTTGGAAGGATGTCATATGTTGCTTATTGAGGTTTGATTTTATTCGATATATTTTGAACTATTTGTAATGATCTCTTTGTATCATTGTGCAGTTTAATGAAGCATATGCATGTTATGTATGTGTACAGTACTGTAGATGATTAATATCCAACATTTTTATTATTTTGTTCAAGAACCCAACCCCCTTTTTACCATATACACGTAGTATCTACATTGCCGAATTCTACTTTGGCGCACACTTTCAAGAACCCAACCCTTGCGAATATCGAGGCCTAACCATTCCTATTCAGGCCTGCATACCTGAGTAGAGTGATGTTAGTGTGGTCAAAGCTTTCTGTGCGAAAATGCCCTTGGAAGTTCCACTGCTTTTGCCGATCACACGACATTGTATGCTCATTTGAGGCTGGTTCAACCTCTAGGGCAGTGGTTCTCAAAGTGTGGGTCTCCGGGCCACCAGTGGTCTGCGACGGGCCTGTAGGCGGTCCGCCGGCTGATACAAATGTAGGTTAATCCGGAAATAATGACAATTTTGATCCCTTTTGTTTTGGACATAAATGTAATTAAAAATTAGGTTAGGTAAACAACCATTATTAAACTACCCAAACCCTCAAATCTTAATGGCTTCCCCTAAAAAAAACCCTGATAGCTGCTTGAAAAAAAAAAATTCCTGGTTATTATGAATAATTTTATATGACTGGTATTCAGAGATAAGTGAATGTGTTTTGTCACCAGGGGTGGGGGGGGGCTGGGTGAGCCACAGAAATGTTTGCATCAGCTGAGTGGTCCACGGGCCAAAACAGTTTGAGAAACACTGCTCTAGGGGATACCTAGGCCAGATTCACACATCCATTGCCAATGGCGCTTGCATGGCCAATAATTGACACCCGGATCATGATTGTAGCACGCTATGCCCAAGCACTACTACACCAATACACAGACGTAGACATCCACTATTACACTTGCAAATACACTCGAAGTCTACCATTTGTTCGTCTGCCTGTAGGTACCTGGACTATGGAGAAGAGCAGTGGAAGAGCCAGGCAACAGAATGCCTTAAGAATATGGAGACGTGAGCACCCATTATTCTTGTTACGGTTCCTTGTGGTGCACACACACACACACGTGTTATTGGCAAGTTGTTTTAAGCTTCGGGAAACCGGAACTTGGGTCCGATGTCTTGAGACTAAGCTTTGAGCAGAATAGGTTGTAAAATCAATGTCTTTTTAATTAATTTTTAGGAGATCATATTTCAGGATCATGTTCGTGTGACCAAGCCAAGAGGGTCAATGACACACTGATATTACTTTTCCACTGGTACATCCAAACTCCACCGGCGCAGTGCCAAGCCAGGTTGTCGAGGGTCAGGAGTCGCAGATTGTTTTTCCATTGCGGAAGCCACCCACTGCCGCCGACGATTATAGGCATTGTGTGCATCCAGATGCGTGTAGATGATGCATTGATTGCTGGGGTTTGAGTTGACTTGCACAAACTCACAAGTCGGATTTCTACACTGATACACACATATATACACTCACACAAAGTTATACCCTCATACACACCCACCACCGACTTATGAGTGCTATGTTCATCTTCCTCAAGTGTGATAACATCAGAAACATGGAACACATAATTAGTATCACCTGAGCCGTGCTTGGCACAGAGGTCTTATGAGGCCAATGTCACGGTTTGTTCATGGCTCGGCAAGGCAAATATCCAGTGAAAAAGCAGCCACATAATCGGAGCCTCTTGCTGACTGCTTAGATGTACCAGTGGAAAAGGGTTATGATACTCTGCTCAATGAGACTTCGAAACTAAGCATCTTATAGACATGACTGAGGGAGACTAGGTTTTAGAATTGGGGATATCTTGAGCTACGTAAAAACGTGGAGACATGATGCTCTCGTGTTGGTGACGTTTTGAACGTTTGTTGATGGTGTCATGTAATCGTGTCTTAGATTCATGGATGAAACTCGTAGAAACTTTGAAGCGACACTGGAATGGCTGAAGGAGCATGCATGCTCGCGCACATACGGACTTGGTATGGACGCACGCACAAGCGCACGTTTGTACGCAGAACTTGTGCCAAGGAGTCTTGCCTGGCACAAGCCACGTGGTAATTTTACTGTCAGTGACAAGTAGGGGGAAATTATGTTTCATTTTACTTATTTTGAATAATTATCAGTTGATGTCCTATATGGGAATGTACCCCTTCACGTGTGTGCACTATAACTTGTACACGTGTGTATGCGCACTGGGCCATCAGCAGACTCGCTGTGCAAATTTGGTTCCCAATTTGGCGCATGGCTTCAGATTTGTCGAATCCTGGAATAGTGCTGAAACCGAAAAAAATCTTTATCTGGTTCATCCTATTAATTTGTAGTGTGTACCACTATTTATACAATAGTTTATTTCGTTTTGATGCCTATGTGTGCACCGGTGTGTGTTTGCATGGTAGATATGTGTTATACATTTACATGCTGTTCTGTCCAATGCGTGTAACGCGGTATGCATATGCCCCTGTGTGTGCCTGTGTGCACGATAGGAACTCGCCTGCCATGGGATGAGCGCTGGCTCATCGAATCCCTGTCGGACTCCACCATCTACATGGCGTTCTACACTGTGTGCCACCTCCTGCAGGGCGGGACGCTGGATGGACACGGGGTCTCCCCGCTCGGCATCCGGTAAGAGCATCATCAAGACCAGCACAACAAGCACTATTTTCTAGGGTTTAATAGCTCACCTTTCACCCCCAGAGATTTATTATCATGATTCATGTTTTTATTAGATTCAATTAAAATTTCAGAAAATGTTTTTTGTAATTTATTGCAGCAATCGCACAAACCCATTGCATGCCATTTCAACCTTTTACAGGTGCTTGCCAACAACACTTTTTTACCATCCCCCCAACAGTCTTCAAGGCTCTGAAGGTATATATCTGTGTTATGTATGTGTATGAGCAGGCCGGAGGACATGTCGTGCGCCGTTTGGGATTACGTTCTCTTCCCGGACGCCCCAGTTCCAGACTCTGTGATCTCAAAAGAGAAACTCGACCTTCTTCGCCGAGAGTTCCAGTTCTGGTAATGTACTCGACGCACTCGCAGGGTTCTGTGGCATGTGGTGTGAACACTTTAATGAGAAGTTCCCCTTGGCTTGTCATTTAAAGCAATTTACGTCCATGGAGGAATCATTGAAGGTGCTTTATGCAACCAAGACACTGCTCTCACGTGTCCTTCCTGTCTTTGCCCTGAATGCACCCAATCACATCAGATCTTAGAAATTAAGCCAGATGGTTAGGACTTCTATGAGAGACTGCTTTGGAATACCAGGTGTGGCCAGGAGATGAGTGGATTGCTAAATCCATGTGTATGGAGATGTAAGTGTTGCCCTCTCATATGCTTGGATTTTCTATGCTTACCCCAGTTTCTTCCTACAAGCCAAATCATTATTCATGTAATTGGACAAACATCCCCATGCATGACCCGTCTTAAAAAGTATTGAGGCACAGTGGCGCTATTCTGGATAAATAAAGGGCAGCAATCATTGTTATTTATTAAGTGCGGCTCATTAACAGTGCATGGCATAGACACCTCCATGTGCCATTGAGCTGTATGTAGCTCATTGACACTTGAAATGATGCCTTCATTAACAACGGAGACTCGCTTGAGCTCTGCTCAGCTCAGTGTTGAGTGTTGTTGAATAGGTGCTGTTTGGTTATGCTCCAGGTATCCCATGGATCTCCGAGTCTCTGGAAAAGACCTGGTGCCCAACCACCTGACTTACTACCTGTACAACCACGTGGCCATGTGGCCCAAACACAGGTGACTATGCGCGCACATCGCCACACACACCACTGTACACCCATACGCACAGGCCAGGTCTCCACAGTGGTGTTGATGTTTACACAATGTACCAGGTACTCATTTGATGTTCAGTCCACCTAGCGGAGGGCGAGGACAAGTTCTGATAACACTTGCCACTTTGACGTTAGCCGTGGCTCGGACTCAAAACTCAGGTTACCGGGTTTGTGGCATAGTGCACGAACCACGAGGCTACCTTGATTATTGTCATCATTATCAGCGTCATCGGCCAAGGTGTGCTACATTACTTAATGTGAATGTTAAACCCTGTGGCGCCTCATAGTGCTTAATGTTTTGCCATTTTGTGGCAATCTCATTTTTAAAGAACGGTTCACTGCCCCTTTTGTAATTGCTCTTAATCAGGTATCCATTGAATAGATTATAATTTCAGGAGATGTTTCATGTCATTAATAAGAGGGTTGTAAATTTGTGTTCTGTCACCACCACAGTGAGATGTGGCCCCGAGCGGTCCGAGCAAATGGGCACCTCCTGCTCAACTCTGAGAAGGTGACCCCCACAGCATAACTTCATCAACATCATAGGCATCAACATGAACGCTGTCACTGTTCTTAACGCTTTGAGGCCCTGTTAATGTGAACAAAATATTGTGAAGAGATTGTCGTCAACTGTCTTTGTCGCTACGGTTCACATTTGCCATATTTGTTAATACATTTTTATTGCAATATCACCACAATCAACAACATTAATAACACCAATGTCATTGTCAAAATCAAAGTGAAACTATTCAAAATACATGATATTGTACTCAATGACAAACACCATCACCATTATCATATAGCATTAATACACTGATCATCATTAACAATTGCCCAACGTTGGCAACTCATCAACATGATCATGAACAAGATCAACATTAACATCGCCAATGCAGTCACTTCTTCGTGAATGCCATTGTCATAATAATCACTTGATCTCATCAGCACTGGCCCTGACAATGCACACAGCTAATTAGGCAAAGTTTGTATTGTTTGTGTGGATTTATGTTGATATGTTTGTGTGTGTGTGCGTGCATGTGTCTGTGACTTAACTCTGCTCTGCAGATGTCGAAATCTACAGGGAATTTCTTGACTCTGTCAGAGGCTATTTCTAAGTTCTCTGCTGACGGTGAGTGTCTTTCAACGTGTGTGTGTTTTTGAATCGGTGTGTGTATGTGTTTGACTGAACATGTTTGACGTGTGTTTAACCTGCGTTTAATACCATGGCCAAGGTGTTCCCGTTAAAACACTCCTCACGAAGACTTGAATACCAAGTGGTGCCCGCCACCTATAAGTTTAATACAAACACACAACCTAGCTTCAATCTGAGAAACTGAAATATCCGAGTACTATCATAGAGTAGGTAAAACATAAAATAAAATAAATGAAAACAACTCAATTAAATCACGACGTTTCGGGTGCAACACAAGCGTCCGTCATCAGGTTTTTTTTACCTACGTGACTTTACCGAAAAAAGCAAAGAGTATGAATCCTTGCAGTCACGAAAGCTTCAAATCTAGACTTACTATCATAGACACTGGCAAGAAATGATTTTCCTGCCAACCAAAACTGAGCAGACATAGTGGGAAAAGTCGTGCTTATGTTGTTAAAAAGAGGAAATTTATTTTTTTAACCTCATCTGGTCTCCTAGGTCAAACTTGCTATCAAAAACGTACCGGGAGCAGTATGTAAAAATCAGCACTCGGCAGACAAAGGCGGTTGGGCATGATTCTCACCGCACAATTATCTTTTGTGCCATGCTGGTTTTATTAGGTGCTCCTAACCATAATTTGCACCTGCAACCTATGAAGGCTAAATATACGGGATCTTTATGTGTTACTTGTGTGTTGTGGTGACATCACTGTCAGTGGTGAATGGTCGCTGATGTTTTCACAAGCCAATGGAATGTGCATGCTCATGCTGTCTGCCCTTGAGTGCTGTCAAGCATGCCTTGTGCATGCTGAGTAACTGTAATGTTTAAAATGTATTATTTTTCTCACTATATATGCTTTGAATGTTTTAGAAAAATGTATCCTTTATGATTTTGATAGTTTTATGCTGTTAATTTACATGCTAAGAGCATGAACATAACTACAAATGAAACAAAAGTAAACAATAAATATTCTCCTTCTTGGTTCTTTCGGTAAAGTCACGTAGAAGGGAAGTAATAAAAGAATAAAAATTAAACATAAAATACAATTCTCACGACGTTTTGGCCACAACGCAAGCGGCTGTCCTCAGGTGAAGAACAGGGCTGTCGGAAAGACAGCGTCCGAATGAACACCACCAAACTTGACGTCTTCAGCTGAAGACGGCTGCTTGCGTTGTGACCAAAACGTCGTGAGAATTATTTTATTATGTTTTATTTTTATTATTTTATTACTTCCTTCTACGTGACTTTACCGAACGAACCAAGAAGATGAATCCCTGCGGTCACGAAAGCTTTAAATCGAAAGATAAATATTCTAAATGAGATAGCACAAATGGTTAAAAGAATTACAGTAACTTTGCAAGCTTGTCCTTGCTGTATTGGTGTGGCTATGCCCGCTTATCTTGCGATGATGACGATGATGCGGCGTGTTTCAAGGCATGCGTTTGGCCCTGGCGGATGCGGGGGACACGGTGGAGGATGCGAACTTCGTGGAGAGTGTGGCGGAGTCTGGGGTGCTGCGTCTGCACGCATGGGTGGAGTGGGCACGTGATGTCTTGCAGTCTCCACATGGACAGCGCCTGGGGCCAGCCTCCTCCTTCAACGACCGTGTGTTTATCAGGTGCCTAGTACAACCAGTTGGAGACAGCTGCCCTCCAAAATTAACAGAGGGTGTCGGAGAGAAATGCTTTCAACAATAATTGGAGCTCTGGATAGCTAAAACACACATAGTTGGCACATTGTGCATCATAGTTGGTGCATCTGCTGGTCATCTTGGACAGTAAACCCATAACACCTGGGGGGGGTCTGCTCTTCTTGCCAGTGAACCATCGACACATCATGCGAGCTCAAAAGTGCACATCGCCACCACTTGGTGGCGAACGGTGGTTCGTTTATTTATTTTCTCCAGGATGAATAAATATGATCGTGTGTGTGTGTGTTTCTAGTGAGATGAATGCAGGAGTCCATAAGACAGAGAAGCTCTATGAGAAGATGATGTTTAAAGAGGCTCTCAAAACAGGATTCTTTGAATTCCAGGTATTGATCCATGAGCACACATTCTTGCATATCCGTAAACATGTTATTCCGTGTAAAATCAATCAGAAATAGGGTGGGATTGATACGACCATAGTTTTTTTTTATGATGATTGACCTATGACCTTCCAGATACTGTAGGTTTCCTGATAGTTGATATATAAAGGTGAGTCTGGTCTCATTTTAAAGCTCTTAAAGAGATTTATCTTCATTAGTCTACGTAAAAAAGTGACGGAGGGCAAACCTTTTTTTTGCCTTGACCCTGCTGTAATGACACCTCGCGTGTTCTTAAAAATGTCACATTGTAACACATACCTGGCGTGGTGCTCGCCCCCATCCCCTCATGTGCTGTACTGCCCCTAATAGGTGCTTGCTAAACAATACTTGTTCAAAGAGCACGATTTGTCTTTGTGTGCATTCGTGTAATTTGCGTTTTTGTCCAGGCGTGCCGTGATCGCTACCGCGAGCTGGCTCTGGATGGGATGAATCGCGATCTCCTACTCCGTTTCATCGAGTTGCAAACGCTGTTGCTGGCACCCGTATGCCCACACGTTTGCGAGCACGTGTGGGAACTCCTGGGCAAGGTTCGTCTCGAACGCAACCGTCACGTACGGTTGCGATGCCGTCCCACTACGCATGAAATTAAGCATCGATTCATCGATTAAAATCTATTTTGATATTTGCAATACAGTCATACCTCGGTATACGACCGCTTTGGAATATGTCGAATTTGGTATACGTCGTGTTTTGACGAGGAAAAAATGTCTTGGGATACGACGTCTCGCTTGGGATACGACGCGCTTGCTAGAACTTGTATGGGTCGGGATGAGTCACCGCGTACCCGCGTGTACCCCGTTCACGACTGAAACAAAGCGCCGCTCCTCAGTCTGCCTGTACAGTAGATCTCATTCAGTGCACAACCCTTGCTATAACTCTCTGTGAATTTTCAGAGTTCTGGAAAGATCATTTTAATATTGTGCACTGTATAACTCTAAAAACACAAAGCCTGGCAGGAAGTTTCCTATAAGACCATCAAGGTAGAGTGATGTTAAATTGTATTTTTATTTCAATTTATTTTAATGTATGTATGGCATTTTAATAATAAGTAGTGTCTAAATAATTTTATACAACCCCATTAATGTATAATAATATGCCATATAAAATACAATTTCTTATACTCTGGAACAGATTATTTCCTTTCCTTTTATTTCTTATGGGAAAAATTCGTTTGGTGTTCTTCATTTTCGGTATAAGTCCTACCCCTTCTGGAACAAATTAACGACGTATACCGAGGTACCACTGTATATGCATTGAATCATGCATATTAATGCAGAAACCGATTCTTCGTGCAAATTTTACAACCTCAGGTTCCATCCATTTGCTCAGCATTGATGATGGGACTGAACTAAGTGTCTACATTGCTATCTGTTTACCAATACCACAGCTTTGTTCACCGGCAGTCCCAAATGACATACTCTTGATGTTCATGGAAATTGAAACAAACGACTGTACGAATGGTATACAATCAATGAGAAATATTACAAACTAAATTCGTAAAATGAGGCAAAAGTCATTCATTCGTGAATTGAATTACGACTGCAAATTGTGACAATTTGAATGCGTTTTGGTAGTGGGGGTAAATCGTCATCAGCCATCGTTTTGTCTCGGTTGCTATTATGTAGTGTCGTGTGATAGTCACATGGTGTGTTTGTGTTGTGTGTAGTTATTTATTTAGTTGTGTTAATGTGCTGCTTGGTGTGAGGAGTGAGCTGGTTTGTGGTGATGTTGGTGTTGATGTTGTTGTGGTGTTGTATTGCTAGCCAAGCTTCGTGGTGCTGTTTGTTGATGTTGGTGGTGTTGTTGTTGTGTTGTTGTGGTGTATTGCTAGCCATGCTCCGTGGTGCTCTTGATGTGTTAGTGGTGTTGTTGTTGTTGTGGTGTTGTATTGCTAGCCGGGTTCCTTGGTGTTGTTGTTGATGTTGGTGTTGGTGGTGTTGTTGTGTTGTTGTTGTAGTGTTGTATTGATAGCCATGCTCTGTGGTGCTGTTGATGTGTTAGTGGTGTTGTTGTTGTTGTGGTGTTGTATTGCTAGCCGGGCTCCTTGGTGTTGTTGTTGATGTTAGTGTTGGTGATGTTGTTGTGTTGTTATTGTGGTGGTGTATTGCTAGCCATGCTCCGTGGTGCTGTTGATGATGTGTTGTTGTTGTGGTGTTGTATTGCTAGCCGGGTTCCGTGGTGCTGTGTGTTGGTGTTGATGTTGTTGTGGTGGTGTATTGCTAGCCGGGCTCCGTGGTGCTGTATGTTGGTGTTGATGTTGTTGTTGTGTTGTTGTGGTTGTTGTGGTGGTGTATTGCTAGCCATGCTCCGTGGTGCTGTGTGTTGGTGTTGATGTTGTTGTGGTGGTGTTGTGGTTGTTGTGGTGGTGTATTGCTAGCCGGGCTCCGTGGTGCTGTGTGTTGGTATTGATAATGTTGTTGTGGTGTTGTATTGCTAGCCGGGTTCCGTGGTGTTGTGTGTTGGTATTGATGATGTTGTTGTTGTTGTTGTATTGCTAGCTGGGCTCCGTGGTGCTGTATGTTGGTGTTGATGTTGTTGTTGTGTTGTTGTGGTTGTTGTGGTGGTGTATTGCTAGCCGGGCTCCGTGGTACTGTGTGTTGGTGTTGATGATGTTGTTGTTGTGGTGTTGTATTGCTAGCCGGGCTAAGGGGTGCTGTTTGTTGATGTTGGTGTTGATGTGGTGTTGATGTTGTTGTGGTGTTGTATTGCTAGCCGGGCTCCGTGGTGCGGGAAGCGCGCTGGCCCGTGGTGGATGCCCCGGACGAGGTTCTGCTCCGCTCGGCTGAGTACATGAGGGAGGCGACCCACGATGCTCGTATCCGCCTCAAGGTCTCGCGCGCGTCCACACACAGCAGGTCCCCATCACTACTGCAGCAGCCACACGGTGGTTGCTTGAATCGGCACAAATATTTGAGGTTTCCCCCATATGCTTGGGTTTTATTCAGGTACTTTGAATTTGGCCAAATGCCTGATGTTTTTAAGAGGAGACACGTGGAGAACATTTTTAAGAAAGACAGCAAACTGGTGAGAAACAAATGAGACCAGGAGACAAAGTAAGAGAAACAGATGAATATAGGCAGAGGCAAGGGATAGATACAGAAAGATCGATACAGAGAGATGGGGACACCATCAAAGGCAGATATACAGTTTATTGAATACATACTTTTTAGAAAGTATTATTTGGCTACCAATGTAATTCGATAGTATACCCAATTAGTTATGCAATATTCAAATTGAAGAGTGCAAAGTGTTCATTGGTGCATCACTAGTTCTGCTACAGGCCAAACATTCATGAAATTGGTCAAAAACTCTTCTAAAAAAATCTCTCTAGACTTGGTGAGGTTTTCCCGTGTAAATAACAAGCATTATTAAACATGAGCGTGTATGTGTTTGTGAGTGCAGAGAGGCCCTGTTCTCTCTGGGCCACCAACTCACTGCATCTTCTACGTGGCCAAGAACTACCCACCCTGGCAACACATCACTTTGACTACACTGCAGGGACACTATCAGGTACCCTTAGTATCCAGTAATCACTCGGTACTTGATGTATACGTATGTGCACGCACTCGTAGGTGTGAGCATATGTTTACTTGGTGTGTGGACTTGTACATGTGTGAACATGTGCGTACTTGATGTCTGTGCGGAAATGTGTACTTGAATGTACGAGTGCGTGCCTTTGCGCCTATGTGGGTGTGTTCATGTGGGTAGTGGTCGTGTAGCGGTTAATGCACTGCACTACGTACCCAGCGACCCATTCCTGCTCAAGACCAATTACTTCGGTGATTATTTGAACCAGTTCTTGGCTTCCCCTAGGTCGACTCAGCCATGCAGGTGTACCGGGTGCAGCAATGAGGAGACAAAGGCAGCCTTTATAGGTGCTCGCTAACAGCACTTTCCTCAACAGTGTTGAAGGCTATATGGGGGCATCTTTATATGTTTTTGTGTGCTAATGTGTTTTGTGTGTATGTGTGTATGCTCAGGCTAATGGCAAACTTCCAGACAACAAACAGATTTCAGTTGAGCTGGGAGCCAAACCTGAGCTGAAGAAACATCTCAAGAGAGTCATGCCCTTTGTGGTGATGATCAAGGTACGTGTGTCTGTGCACATGGGAATGCATATGCTTGCAGTTAGCATGCACCGATTCACTCGACAGTGATTTGATGATTTCTCACTTGGGTTGTTATACGCCCTAAAAGTCACTTTTTTGTGATCTCGTTTTTGCCATCACGTTTGCATCAATTCTTATTCTGTCTCTTTTGTACAGTTTTCTCTCCACTTACCTAAATGTACCATTAGCTTATCATTTTGCAAAGCAATTTGTAGACATCGTAAATCTATTCTCACATGTACGACTTAACGCATGTTTTGTGACCATAAAAATTGATTCAGTGTTCCATGCCTAGAGTACCGTATGTGTATTTAAATGAAGAAGACATGGAAATGAAGGAAATGTGAATGTGTTGCCTGTCAAGCCTTTAAGGGGCAGTCCTTTCCATTGGCAAGTGTTTGACACTATAGGTGTAGACTGGATCACTGGTTTTTAAATGTGACCGCCTATTGGTGCGCCAACCACTGAACTGGGGACAACTGGTGTCTGTCCTGAAACCTCCCGTCTGTGAGCCTTTGTTACTGAGGTGCAGCCTCGCACATGGTGCAAGTACGGGGATGGTGCCACATGTGGTATCAACTGGTGGCTGCTATTGTGACTATGTTAATGTTTGTTTGTGGCTTGTATTGTTTGAGTGTGGTATATTTTATATATGGTAGGGAGTGGTAGGGCAGTGGTTAGCACACTGCGCTATGAACCTGGCAACCTGAGATTGATTCCCGACAATGGCCAACATCAGAAGCGGATGATATCTGAACTGGTCCCGAGTCCCTGCTGGGTCTGCTCAGCCTTAAATAAGTAGCTGATGCAGCATGTAAACATCAGCACTGGGGTCGGCTATGGTATTGGCCATACCACTCCCACTGTGTGCAGTACCAGCCTTATTCATATTCTTGGTTCTTTCGGGAAAAGTTAATGCAATAACAGTCCTTGTAGGCTATACAGGGATTTCCCTTAAAACATTTTGGGTGTGTTTGTCGGCATATATGAACATTACAACCTCATTGAGCATCGTAGAGCATTCTGAGTGATAAAAATAACCATTTACAATAGTAATAAGTACATGTAAACAGTCAAGCACACTTTCCAGTATCATCTGGTAAACAAGCAGTGTTTGTTGAGAAAAGCTTGACTTCTTATGAGTCCCAGGAAGATGAACACAGTCCAGAATTTGTGTGTTTAAACAAATGCTGCCGATACTCATATATAGTACAAAGCGACAGTTAATGTGTGCGTTATGTGTTTGTACGCATGTATGTGGAATTTCTTTCACACCGTACATAGCTCCAACCATGCTAATCGGAGGTCTGGGGAAAGAACAACAAATTAAAACACAAAAAGCAGTTCTAAAGAAATCCGTTTTCAATCTAGGTTTTAAAAGTGCATAGCTCCAATGGCTTCCTAATATCGGAAGAGCGTTCCAGCCGACCGTAGAAGTGCATCTGAAGGCGTGCGATGCAGTGACCATCTTTGTTCGATGGCTAGCCAAAAGCTGCTGCGAGGATGACCGGAGTTTGCATGATGGTTTCTGCTCCTTGATGAGATCAGCAAGGTATTGTGGTACAATTGTGGCAAGCGCTTTGTGTGCAATGAGTGCGCCCTTATAATGTATTCGCTTACATACGTGTGTGTGTGTGTGTGTGCATTTTCAGGATAACCTGGAGCGCCAGGGTCCCCGTGCCCTCGACTTACAGCTAGAGTTTGACGAGCGAGCTGTTCTCATGGAAAACATAGCCTACCTCACCACCACGCTGGAGGTGACACTGCTCAGGCACACCACACCACACCATACCATGCCGCACCATACCACACACCTCACCGTGCGTCACCACGTCTTACCATAGGGGAGGTTTTTCAGGTTGGAATGATGAGGTTACCTGCGTTGTGGTGCAGGTGGATGAGGTGAGGGTGGTGTTTGCGAGCGAGGCGGAGCAGCGAATCCGGGACGAGTGCCGGCCAGGAAAACCCCATGTCAACTTCCACGTGGAGGTAACTCAGGAAGACTAGAGTGCCAAGCTGTGCAGCATGCATATGGCAGTGCACATACGTGCAGTCTGCCGGTAACAGCACGCATATTTGCTGTATGGTGGGTGGGCTGCCCAGGGCATTGCATGTTTTATGGGCATTCTATCAGGTGGATGGGCCACATCTACCAACACGTGGACTTTGTGGAGAAGTCCAACAGTCAACAGTGGCTGTTATATGGACAGACTCAACACAGCTATAGGGAAGTGGAATTTCCACTAGGGCTGTGAACTGGAGATGGACACCAATGCCTCAATGATCATTTGAGTAGGGTTATTTTTGTACATTGGTGACCTGGCTAAGACCATCAGCTAGTGAAAGCAGTTTAATCATAGGAAGCTGAAACCTGGATCTAACCCAAAACTTAGCATTGCCAGTGTGTTCTGAAATGGGATAGCCATCCGCCTTCTCCCTTAATGAGGACATATGTGCGTGTGCGCGGGTGTAGCCGGGCGTGCCGGTGATGCTCATTAACCACGAGCTGTCGAACGGGCTCTTCTCGACACGCGTGACCGTGCACGATGGGGATTGCACAGACAGGATCATCCGCCGTCTCATGAAATCTGAACGTGGGATTAAAGGTGAAGGCACAACCACGCGCACATACACGTATACACACTCGCATACAAGTACACACATCTACACTCATACTCAACATGTGTATGTATATATAAGCTTGGGCACAAAAAATGTTGGCCATGTAATTTAACATGTCAGGAAAATTGCTTAGATTTTTGTGTTCTGTATTTAACAATCTCAATTAATGCTTCCTCCCTGGATGCCAGTTTTGTCGCAGGTGTCCCTGCTCCGCTACCTGGATCCTAATATGGGGCCGCGCACCATCCCCCGCCTGGGATCGCCCATGCACGGCACCACACCAATCCCGCGTGACGCCCTCTTCCACATCACGGGGACACCCAGTGGCGGTGGCTGCGGCATCCGCGTCTCCATAGGGGAGGAGAGCCACGAGGTTGGGGACACCCTCGTCTATGCACTCGCATGAGGGACGGAGGGAAGCACCCCCCTAAATTGCTGCTGGATGAAGCCAGGGGTGCTGAGTCAGCCCTCCAATGGCCTGGACTGTCTTCATTCCCTGGAGCTGGGTGTCTCTCTCTCTCAAAGGGTTCACAATGGCCATTCCAACCGTCATTGAGAGCCTGAGTTCAAGTCCTGGGACTGGAGGTCTCACTATTTCTCTAATGGAGCTCACAAAAGGTGTTTTTCAACAGTGAACCAGCACTTGGTGGAGTCCAACTTTTACGACACCCAGATGCCACCGTTGGGCAATATACAAACATATATTAGCAACGCTGAACATCAACAGATGCACTTTTTAAAGTAGCTTCATTTTCACGAGACAAAAAGTCCACAGCTGGAGTGGGATAGGGCTTTCGCTCTTGATAGCAACACCTGCAATGAATGTTCCCGGTCCACTCCCATGGATTTCTAGTTTCTAAACTCAACAGCCAATCCGTGAGCAAGGGAACAGCTGCATTAGCATGCCAAATTACCTGCTCCATATATACGGCTTCAGTTTTTCTCTACTTTTGGGCATAAGGGAGTCTCCATTTGTTTTTTTGGGTTCTGTGTCGATCACAAAATGTTGCTCCTATGGAGCATCTCTATTTCCAGAAGATTCTCCCAAGATGGCAACAGTATCCTCTTGTCTAACAGCAAGGCACCCAGGTGTTTGCAGACACCCAGAGTACCCATACAGGGTGTCCAGCGAGGGGCCTGGGGCCCTTTATATCCTGGCACCGGAGGTCATTCCCAGAATCCCACCAACCCAGTTTCAACATCCGTTCTGGCTCTCCCAGCTTATCCTGCCTCTGCAACCCAATGGTGTGTTGTGGAACCTTCCAGAACCGGTAGAATTCTCTCCATCATCAAGGCCAGGATCGCCTTCAAGCAGGAATGGATCGGCAGTTATCCAGGTTATCACCCGTGGATCGCCCTTGGACTTCACGTGGGCCTCCAACTTTTACCATGTCGTGAACTCCCCCGTTCACAGGGAACCTGCATGCAAGGAGGCTCTCCTAGTTGGGGTCAACCGGCTGAAGACCATGGGAGCTCTGGAGCTTATGCCTTCCCCGATAGAGGAAAGGGTTTCTTGTCGGAACTTCATGGTGTCGAAAGCGTCGAGTGTTTTCATCCAATTCGTGATCTTCATCTGTCGAACCATGTCATCGTGTTTGGGTTGGCTCTTGAGTTTTAAAAGTAGAAATCCATGGGAGCACATGAGCACTCGATGCTTGGACCTGCTGTCACAGACAACTGCTCTGGCCTCCCATGGATTTTTTAGCTTTTAAGATATTTTTTTAATGAAAAGAGCATCTCGATACTCAGTCCTGCTGCGACATGTACACGTGCTGTACATGGTGGCCTCTGTTAGTATAGCAGAATTTAAGGGGCGACTCGCACCCCTAACAAACATGTTTCAGGCAACATGTCTAAGAGGAGCATGAATGTCAAACTTTTGCATAAACGAGTTCTTTTGACGAGTTTAACATTTCAGCCCCATCATGTGATGTTTTCAAATTCTTCCAGTCCCATTGTAATGTGTTCTTTCCAGTTCAAGTATTAAAAAACTCTTTCAAGCCAATGTTATGACAGCCGGAGAAGTGCTGCTTCACTCCAGATCTGTTCCCTGCCAAGATGTGCCTTCTCTGTCATCACTCCGAGGTGAAAGCAATCAATGCTACAGCACATTATTGGAGAGTTTGTGCAGCCTGACTAATGGGGGGATGGCTTGTCTCAATGTCTGGTAGCTGAGTTTTAGGATGCTATGAAATGACTACCACTCAGAACCAAACTAAGGCACTAGCGTTGTGTGTGGGCTTTACAGTACAGGATTTATAATAGGCACAGAGAGATGCATTTGATCTATAAAGTATATAAGCAGTCTGAATGGCCAAATACATTAAACAAGATTAAACAAGTTAAACCCCATTCATCGTGCATTGATTTTGTGAGGGAGTGTCATGTCAGCTGGATGGTTGGTTTGTGATGAAGGGTTCTGTTGGGATTGGCCCGATGCACATTCCAGTCACGTTGATTCTAATGCCATGATCCTGGAAATGTCGCCTGGGTAGTTTGACACCAGTTATTCGCCACGATCTGCTGCTCGATGTAGGGTTCTCCACACGATTGTGCTTTGGTGCAATCCATCTCAGGAACATGATCTGATCTCATCCATCGACAAGTTGATAACCTCTGAAAACGTTCTACTTTGCTGCTATTCCATAACCAGATGTCTTATCATTCATCCCTTACAGCAGTGACCTGTCCAAGGGCATATTCATCAGTTATTCTTGTACGATGTCTGATTTGCACTTATCCTGATCACTGTGCTCTGTATTCAGAGCGTGCATCTCTCCTCGTTACCTTTCAGCTTTTGACGTTACTGCAAATATGAATGGTAAAGTTTTTGCATAAGATATGTACACCTACTGAACAATACAATTGTATGTTTGCATAATTATACATTCTCACGTGTACATTTTGCATGAGTATTCGTGTACAGCATAAATACTGCAAACCATAGATTGCCCATGACAGGTGCAGCTGTCATTGAGAGACTTGACCAGCCCAAATCCGTAAGCAATGTGTCAAATTCTCACTTGGGTTTGTGACGATTTAAGAAATCTATTGCTGTATTTTTTACCTTTTCATGCCCTATTTGCACGATTTCATTTTATCCATTGGCCTAGAGTATAATTTGCATGTAATTTACACAAAACGTAATTAATGTACACAATTCGGTGCGCTTATCAGCATGAATATTTATTTTGTTTACATTTCCGATACATGACGTGTGAACATTTTAATGAGCGATTTGATGCATCATTATATGCCTGTTATCGTCTATGGGTTCTCCACAGATTAAGATGGCAGGACTGTTCATGTGCCATGTGGTTATGTCAGGCAATGTTACCAAGTGGTCACGTGATCAACTGACATCCAGCTTCAAAAAGAGCACCCAGAACCACCCGATTCAGAATTAATGTCCCCTTACACTTGTCAATTCTGAAACTATTACTTCCACCGATGCTCCATCTTTCACAACTGCTGAAATCCTTATTCACTGATCAATAATTTCCTCACTTCCAAACGATCCAAAATGCCGCTACCAAACATCACTCACACACGCACCTTGAGACCAGACCGCCCCAATTCCCAGATTGCTTAACTCCCAAACAAGTGTGGACACATGCAAAGACAACCAATTGCAGCATCAATCCTTCCACGCCATTCCCCAAGGGCCCCTCTTGGCAACGGTCGATCTGATGCAGCCAAGATCTTGTGGCCAACCACTGGTCCTTCACCCATGAGGTACTTGAGCACTGAACCTTGATCGCCAACCAAGCAGAATTAGGCAGATGCTGACGTTGGTGTTCCCGTTTCATGCAAGAAAACGTCATTTGGTTTCCTGCAGTAGCTTATTAGGTAATCCCATCAGTACCCCAAGATTCTGTGATCCTCATTGATCCGTTTGAGTGTCCACCACTTTGCTCCATTGAGCACGAACTTTGGTCATTGTGCGAAAAATTGCAAAAATCCCAAAGACTGGTGAAGAAACCCCATTACCCCTAATCCCAGCCTCATATCTTTAAACTTTATTTCACATCTGTTTCTATACATAACTCTACCAATGTTATGAAGCCACCCAAAACCTCATCAACACCATCAGAATCAATTCAAATGATAAATAAATGTATTTTCATTCTTTGTATTTTTTAGCTTGTGCACAAAATAACTAATGCATAATCTAACTAACTTAACAGTATGCAAAAGACACAAGCCGACATGTGCAAAGTTTAACTCTTTTCAGAAGCGGAACACTTCAATCCTTCCAGAACACCTTCCATGGAAATCGTGCTTGTAACAATTGACATGTCCAAATGTAGGAATATGGAGTTTAGTGAGAGTTAAGGGGTCCTTGGCAAGGGATGGAGTTTAAAGAAGAATAGAGGCTTTAAGTAAGAGGGACAGAGTTTAAGGTTCTGATGGAGGAACAAGAGACCTAGGACAGTGGGCACTGGGTGCCAGGGAAGGTATCGGAGGCAATCTCAAGGACAGGGGTCCACCTGTAGGATGGAAAAGCTCGTGCTAGCGTTTGCGGCGGGGTTTGGGAGGGCGCGTGTAGTCATGCAGGACAGCGCGTCCCGTCTCTTTGGCCGTGCGTTTCACGAGGCCCTTGACACCCAGATGGCTGAGGTTGTAGACACAGACGCCGGCGCTCAGGGCAGCTTGGAGAGCCGACTCGGTGGTCTCACCTGCTTCTGCACCATACCTGGTATGTCAAGTACATTCACATCTTTATCAGAATCTTCATCCGGGAGAAATCCGATGAGCTATGAAGCTCTTTTTTACATGTTCAGTAACACAATTGGCTGGATTAATTTTGTGAGCAAATGGGCATAATGCATGGCTTTGGTAGATTGGCCCTAATATCTGTAGAGATATCAGGACCAAACATTTTACAAAATATTGGGAAAATGGGAAGATTTGCTAGCAAGTGAATCGGGAGTTTTTTTGTACTGTTACTGAAGCATGATGCACATTTTAAATGAAGAATCCCATGACACATTGACACATTAACACAGTGGGTGCAAGCACAATGTAAGACGAGGCACGACACAATATACAATGCACCCAGTGCTACATATGGACCATACGCATCCTAAGTAGGACAACGCACAGAAATCGGCACATTACGCACACTATCTTCACCCGTTTTCCACTGGCACATCCAAGCCAGCATGGGACCCTCACCGCACGGGTAGTTTTCCACTGGCAATGTGATAAGTGCAGGTGGAATAATTGAATAACTAGAATACAATCACTAGATGGGAACTTGCAATCCATACGGCTACCAAGGAAAACTAATCTGGCAGGAACCCAACATTGGTATATTATCAGAAACGTCCTTTCAATCAATTATAAATCTATTTGCACTTGTGTGTGCACAAGGTACATGCATGTACCTTGTGCATGCATGTTTGCATACACCAGTGTCTGCATGCATATTGTGTGCACTCATGTCTGTGGAATGCCTTCAGTTACAAGAGGGAGTGGTGGCGTAGTAAATAGTGCAATGCGCTACGTGTCTGCATGCCTGTGCGCAAACCCTACCTGTGCTGCACTGTCTGCACAGTTGCGTTTGAGACACTGCTGGCAATCGTGTGAGCGGCCGACTCCATCCCCTGCCACACCGTGGCAAAGCCTGTGGGCCAAACACCACCAGTGCAATCATGACCCACAACTTAAACCATGACCACAGCACCTTCAAAATGTAACTAAAACGTCACAAACATTACAACCACAGCCACAACATTAAGAATAATTATTACAAACATAAAATTACATCTACAACTACTATTCAGCCATGGCTGGGCATACGTATGGTTTTAGGTTAGCATTGGGTGGATGGTGTCGTAGGCGGAATGGGAGTGTGAATGAGATTGGCGAGTTTTTGGCTTGTGTAAAGTGATGCGAGTGGCAAATAAGTCGTGTGGGTGAGGTTGGGTGAATGTTGTTGGTTAGATCGAGGAAATAGATGGAAGTGTTGAATGGATGGTTGGGGTGGGGCAGTTAGTGTAGGTGGATGTTCTTTGGCTCTTCGGCTTTGTGTATGGAGTCGTGCGTGTGGATGCGTATGCATTCCTAAGTGTGCGTATGCAAGCAAATGTGTGTAGGTGGGTACCTTGCACGCCACTGGCGGCCACCACGAGGGCCCCGTCCAGTGTGGAGCCCTCTCCAGGCTGGGCCCGCGTCAGCGACTCTGGCAAAATGCGCTCCCCACAGGCCCGCACGTGGGGGGCGAGGCCACGGCCCAGACGCCCGGCCGCCCAGGACACGCCGTCCACTGCGAAACACATGGAGAGCACGCACAGGGCACATAAGGACAAACGTGGATTAATAAGCAGAATCCATTCGCAGGAAACATTACATTTCATTGGATCGATTGGGTGGTGCTGCTACATGGAGTCGTGGACATGAGATACTAAGAAAACAGATGATGCACTAACAGAAAATCAGTAAGTGCAATTATTCTAGACGGCTAAAAGCGAATACTGTGAATGCTGTGATCGGATAAAATGTGTTCAAGTGACTCTTCATATAATTTGTGTTTGAATATATTGCCATTGATAACGGGATATTGCAGACACTGCTTCTTAAAAAAGTTGATATTCTTAAAACGTACCCATAAATCTGCTGACAGTTAGCGCCCCTCCGGCCACACTGCGCGATACACGCATGGCTTCTTGGACTCGTGGGTCCACGGCGGTAGCCACTGGTGGTCCCCCGGCCTCACCCTCCCGGCCTGCCGCATCAGCTGCCTGCAATCGGGACCGGACCTCGGCACCTCCCCAGGCCACAGCACGTCCTGCCAGGCTCGCCCCACTCTCCAGTCCCCAGCTCACCCAGCCAGCACCTGTCAGGTGACACAGTTTGTGAGCAAGTAAGATAGATGCCAACCCCCGGGCGTTGGGGCCAAGCCCTCAAAATTACTTGTTGAATAAACTTAAAAGCGTGTTCTAAAATGAGAATAGGCGATGCTCATCTCATTAATAACAAAGGCAGCTGGAAAGTTGGACTGAAATTTTTTTTGTAAAATAAGTTATACGAAAAACTAATTTGCTAAACAATTCTAGATATCTGTTGGAGGGCACAACTGGAAAATAACAATATATGTAGCTAGATCAGGTGTTGAAGGCAGTCAAAATGATGAAAGTGGGTTGCAGTGCTTTTAGAAAGCTTAACCTAATAATGACAAGTAGCGTACCAATGTGCCCAAAATTTTTTTTTTTAATCAGAACACATTATTTACTGTCACATGGATTATAACCACAGACAATGACAATGAAACAAAAGCTGAAAGCACGCAAAGAGAGGTGCATATTTGAAATTAAACTGAGGAAGAAGAATACGCGGATTATAAAAACATGCAGATTAAAGACATTTTTACTGCTTAAACAAGTATGCATTGGGAGAACACATTAATGGAAGCGATTACGGCCGGTTATCGAGACTAGGAAGTGAAGTGGCAGTCAATGGAGTGAATGCCCCCGTGGACGTCCACGAGAGATGGAGGGCTGAAATTGGCTCACATGCAGATGGCGACTGCTTGGGGGTGGATTGATCATGATGGCTGATGATTATGGGGCAGTGTGAGATGGACAAGTTCTCAGATACTGCTTTTGGACACCAGCATGGCCAATATAAAGCCCTCTGAAAGAAAATAGGGACCCCCTCCCCCCCTCTGACCTCACCGGTGTTAATGCCATTTGCAATTTTCTCGCTCCACTCCGGCACGACTGGAGAAGCTTTGTAGCCCTTTGCAGGGTCCCCTGGATAGCCTGGTGGCCGCGAAGATGGTGGGCGGACAGGCACTGTGTTACTGAGCTGCGTCAGGTCACATGGAGGCTCACGCCAGCGCTGGTGGCAAAAACACACGAGTGTGGTTATGGGTTTGTGCGGACACCTGCGTTCACATGTATAATGCACTCACGGTTACTATCCACATGCCTATTGCGGTGTTATATAGACATGCTTAATCACGTGCAAAAATATGCAGAAACATTTGTACACGCGTCACGGTGCCCATGCCAGGCTAGATTCCAAGTGGAGTGGCAAGAGCTTGAAAGGAAATGGTCATAGGATAGACACAATGGAGCCAAACAAGCTGCTTGACCCAGCACAGGAGCACAGACAAGAAAGTGCACTCGCACGCACACACACTCACCTCATCCTTGAACAGGGATAACTGCAGGAGGAGGTCGTGCAGGAGGTCCTTGTAGTGATCCGCGAGATCGGCTGACAGAACCAGCCCCGCGTACACGGTGCCGGGGGGCACCAGGGGCACAGCGGCCAGAGTGGGCAAGGAGGCAGCAGGGGACGGGGCATTTGCTTCCATGGGGAAGATGTAGACTCCTCCAGCGCAGCACAGAACTGGAGAGACGCCCGGGACGAGTGGATAAACCCACGTGCATACCTGCAGCACAGTGCACACGAGTACAGCGTGCGTGAACGCGCGGCACATAGGTGGAACGATTACAGCTTGAAGGTGAAAGGTAAGAGTGTGTGTGGATTAGAAGTCTCTTTTTAAGGTAAAGAGAATAAGGACAGTTCAGATTGTGGGGCTCTTGTCCAGCGATCCCATGAGAGACCAGCCTGTCGATTGTTTAACTCCTATTTTAAACAGCAATGAACAAATAAACTCACATTCACCAATAAGGAAACATAACAGGTGACATTTTGGTAACGGGCCTTCTTCATAAACACATTAATAAAGAACAATCATTCTATTATTACATCACATGTTAGAAAGGACTAAACTAAAATGTGATATTGTTGGCCGTGCATTGCCTTTTTTAATTACCGCATTTGTCGTGGTGGGTAGAGATTAGAGCTTGGAAAGGAAAGGATGGCGGAGTTGTGGGTTTGTGGTCACTGATGGTTATAGGCAGGGGCTCAGAACTGGGTGTATTTTTCACTCAAGAGATTACACTTTTCTAAGCAGTGCAAGGTGGCCAGGAGACAACAGCATAGCAATGCATTCTTGAATCTTTCGGTGTGAAGCTTTGAGCGTTATCCCTTCGCACTTATGGGTTTTCTACAGGAACTCTTGTTCCCTCCCACAAAGATTAAAATAGAAATGGTCAAAGGGTTTTTAGACTCAATGAGGTTATCCTCTTTAGAAAAGGGATATCATATAGTTTGAGTTCTTGTCAGCTGGCACAATATTAGATCTGGCACAATTAGGTGAATTAAGTAAATTGCCAAAATACTGGAATCGACAGATTTTTTTGGGGTCGATTACTAGGGCCCCTTTGATAAATGGTAGCTGCTCTGACATCATATCTCTTCAAATCAGGAAACCCCTCAAGTCACGCCCAGTGTGACCTCCCTGATGATGGTGATGACATCACCAATCCCTGCCCATCAGATCTCATCCAGCAACACACAGGATAACAAGCAAAATGTTTTCTCCCAAGTATATCCTTGTTATACGATTAGTCAAGTAATCAAACAGGTAATCTAGAACATGAATCAATTGCTTAAATAATCAGAAAGTGCAGCTCTACACAGGGCACATAATGTAGGCCTGTGTATACAAAATAACGAGCACTTCCCCGTTGCTGTGTTTTCCTTTCTGGTTGTTATTAGGCCAGGCTTCAGATTCAGGGAAAGAGCGAGGGAGTCGTCAGGGGTTGGGCTCACCTGCAAGTATGCGGCGGGTTGTGCGGGGTCCCGCTCGGAGGAGGTCAGGATACGCAGACCACAGCTGGGTTGCAATGGGCCGTGGTGCGGCAGGGAGGACACAGAGCTGTCGCTCGCCACAAAAAAGAGCCGCGCTCCGTCGTGCAGTTCCATGAGGACTTCCAGGTCGTCCGCGTCCCCTCCGTCATCCTCAGATATATCGTCGTCGTCGTCGTCAGCAGCTGCATCAACCACATCGCTGGTGCCATTACAGGGGCCATCAACGTCGAACTTCAGCGATGGCTTGCAGCAGTGGGCAGATACCTGGAGAGGTTGGGACATGATCACCATCAACACAGTCAAGAAGAATGTAATGGACCATCATCAGCTGCCATTAAGTATTCACTGCCAAATGAAGGTCTACCCACATTGTTGCCAACCCTCATGGTCCTACAAAGACACGATCCATTACATTTTTGCACACAAGATTGTGCCATCACTCCGTCCGCATGACAGTCATCCTCTGAGGTGTTTTGTCTTTTTGGGCTGCCATTCCATCAGCAGTCTCACCCATCGACAATCACCGCTTCTTGCAATGGTACATACTGAGCAGTGTATTTGTGTTCAGTGGTGCATGCTGAGATGTGTGCGGTATCGTGTAGTGTGATAATAATATCGACACATGCATTGCTGTGTGTGGTATGTGTAGTGCAGTGTCATGGTGTGATGCTGTATGTGATGAGTAATGCAGTATTTTGTGGTGTGATACAACACATGCAATGTTGTGTGGTATAGTGTGCTGTGGTATGTTGTGTGTCACAGTGGGGTGCACTGTTTTCTGGCATGGTGCTTTATGATTCTGACCCCAGCTCCTTGTCCTTCCAAACTCGAGTGTCCAGGAGGGATGTCAGCTGTGTAGGCAGGGGGCTTATCCATGACCTCCTGTACTCACACAGGGGTGAAGGTTCGAACTCAGATTTCATAGACTAAGTGTTACCATTCATATGTTGAAGCTTACAAGTGTATGGAGCGACTTCCGCGACATGTTGTGTAGAGGGTACTTCTTATTTTATTTCTCACACTGGGCACAACACAGGCCAACCTTATTCTTTTCACTCTGAGTACAATACATAGATATTAACGGTCTACTGGCGACACACAGCCCTCACTCGGCTACGCCGCTGGCTGGCGAGGATAGCGATGGAACCCCCGCAGGAGATCTTCCACGGGGACGGACGACGGAGAGGGATGACGGCGAGCAGCGACGCAGCCCGGGCCCAAGAATCCGCACACGAACCCCGAGCCCCGGGTCTGCTCCCCTAACACATTTCTTAACACTGACCTATTGGCATTTAAATACAGTACATTATTGTGTTCCGACTTACAAACCGTTCGACTTATGAACGGAACTCAGAAATGGAATCTGTTCGTAAGCCGAGGACTGTCTGTATTTCTGCCAAAACAGACCCGGAGGTGGGGAAGGGGGGGCACACAGGACTCTCGATCAAAGTGGTGGAGAAAAACTGAAAAGCAAGAATACTCCGAATGCTTTTAGATTTGAAGCTTTCGTGACTGCAAGGATTCATATTCTTAGGTTTTGTCGGTAAAGTCACGTAGGTAAAACATTAAAATTAATAAAAGTAAAATATAATAAAAATAAAAATCACGACGTTTCGGAGGCAACACAAGCTTCCTTGTCACAGGTTGAGTCACAAACTGTACCTCTCCATAACAAAGGCTCACCCTCTTAAGCCTCACCTTACCATATGAATAAAAAGTGTGCTATACTTGGCCCTTCCCCCCTCTCCAACCATTATATAAACGGAGTCGTAGCTCCTGCAATCTCTAATTTACTTGATACAGCTGTCGTGGCTGTGACGGTTCCACCTGAAGACGGAAGCTTGTGTTGCCTCCGAAACGTCGTGATTTTTATTTTATTTAACTTTTATTAATTTTAAAGTTTTACCTACGTGACTTTACCGAAAAAACCTAAGCATATACTCCGAATGCTGCATCAGCTGATACAAATACACCGCCACTACAAGTTCAACAAATGTTGCAGACCATTTATAAGAGTGAGACGATCCCATAACACAGGCCCGCGAAGTAGCAACGGCCTAAGTGGAGTCGACCCTCGCTCGTGAGGGAATTGCCAAGGCCAACGAGGAGCATGTGGTGAGAAATGTGATCTCAGTGGGGTCATCGATGACCTTGAGAGGTCACTGTCAGGTGAGGTGTGGTCAGTGGGGGAACCTACGCTGCTCGGTGTCATTCCAGTGGCCCCATCAGCTCCCAATACTGCAAGACGCGCAGCCACCATCTCCTGCATCGCCACAAGCTCCAACTGGTGGCGCTCTTCCCCACACTGAGAAGCTGACTCCAGCAGCTCCTCGTCCACGCGCTTCAGTGCATCGCGATACAGAACGAAGGCTCGTGCGAGATCACCCACCTACAACCACACATGAGATATAACCTACTACAACCACACTTATCACATCACCCATCTACAATCACACAATTTACATCACTCACATACAACCACCTACAACCATCAACATCACCTGCTCACAACAATAAGGGAGATTACCCACCTACAACCACAGTTCACATCATCCACCTGCATCTGTACATGAGACATTGCTTACCTTTAACCACATACAAGACAAAACCACAGTTGCTGCCACATCATCTGGCCACAGCCGTAACCACAATACCCTACACTTGCACATTTATGTGCCGGGGTTCAAGCCCTCGTGTTGGTGTCTGTATAATTCTGAAATCAGTTGTTGTTACCAGCGAATAATGAACGAATAAAAAAAAAGCATGTTTTCATAAGATATGTATGAATGCTTTGATTTAAAGTACTTGGTAAACACGGAATGAAATGTACTTGTGGTAACCTAATAAGATGTTGAGACATGGATTCTGTATTGGATGAAATATGGGTTCTGTATCACATAATATAATCGTTCTACATATAATGGGTCACTATGCTTCGTTGTTTACGGATTAAAATGTCACCCTAATCTCTATACTCCGCTGCAGGATTGATGCGAGATGATTACAGGTGTTGTTAATTAACTTCAACCGAGAATAATACTGGTAGGAACCTCCTGGTTACACCAGCCCACAGGAGATTATTGTGTCCGTCTATCGTGCAGGGAGGGGCTGGGTGGGGAGGGGAGGGTGGGGCTGGGTGGGGAGGGGCTGGTTGGGGGGTGGGGAGGGACTGGTCACCCCGTGGTGCCCTTATAAAACTCAACATTTAACCTACTCACGCCGGCTTGTGCCCGCCCTCACAGTCGGGCATATTTGTGGAATACACCACGCCGCCGTTGACCCTGGCCATTGACCGAACAACCCAACGTTCCTACTAGCTCCCTCTGCAGGAATGTGTTGAAGTGATTGATTCACTCATTATTAACTGGCATGAGTGTCTCTGTGGTTTGTTAACTGGTGTGTGGCCCAAGTGCCTCACCCCTCTGTCTCCACTCACCTCATCAGCACCGAGCGCAGCGGAGATTAACTGGGCGGCAGTCTCTCCATTACCCGCAGCTCCCAACTCTTCCTCTTCCTTGCTGATCTTTGTCTTTTTTGGGGCTGCCATTGTTATGAATGCAGACGCCCTTCACATGATACGTACGTGACAAGACAAAATACACACGTCCACAATTACATATCTCCCCAGATTCCCTGGCTGACAAAGGAGGTGTTCCGGCTCATGAGAGTAAGTGGCAGGCCTATCCTCACCGTCTACCGCAATCCACGGCAGAGGATGAGAAAGCTTACTGCAGCTTTTACTCGAAGATTCGGACAGCCATTTAGTGCTGTAAACTTGAGAGGTAGTGACAGATTATGGAGGTGATGGAAACCACATAATTACAGCTATTACCATCCTTAAGGGGGAAAATGGACATCCAACCTCTCCATCTGGGTGTCTCTTCATGTGTCTCCGTGTATTTGTGAAAGTCTTAATATCTGTGTGTGTCTTTGTGTCTATCTCTTGTGTTACTTGTGTGCAACGTTTGTTCATTCTCTCTTCATGTGCATTTTCCGGGAATTTGCATTTTTGTTTTGTTATTCAATTACTCTCAGCTATCCCTTCCATAACTGTAAGTAATTGTCGTATCTTTGAAAAATTGGCAGTTGATCGGAAACTGTTTGGAAAAGCAAAATGAAAAATGCTCTGGAAAATTTCAAATAGTAAGGATATGGCAGAGGATAATAGTATTTGTGAACCCATAAACTCCTACGGAATGTAATACACGCCGTCCCCGAAATACAAACGTCTGACTTACGAACATCCACACTCACGAAAGAGCCGCCATAAGATTCTAGATTTGAAGCTTTCGTGACTGCAAGGATTCATACTCTTAGTTCTTTCGGTAAAGTCACGTAGGTAAAAAATGAAATTAAGCGTCGTGACTTTTATTGTTTTATTTTTATTAATTTTAATTTCATTTTTTACCGCCATAAGATGTAATTTTTTTTATAATAAGATGTTATTTTTTTTATAATAAGATGTTATTTTTTTTATAAGATGTTATTTTTTTATAATAAGATGTTATTTTTTATAATAAGATGTAATTTTTTTTATAATAAGATGTTATTTTTTTTATAATAAGATGTTATTTTTTTAACCATCCGACTTGCGAACGTGTGGTCGTATTTATGAAGCGTGGAATTATTTTTTCTCGGCAGAGCGATGCTCCGCGAGATGTAACGCGTCCCAGCATCCCGTTGGGAGTGTGTGCGTGCATGCACATGTGCGTGTGAAAGTGAGTGTACGTGTGTGCGCCCGCGTGCGTGCTCCTTTGTGTGCCATTGTGGGGACTCATTACGCCGCTTCCTACAAGCAAGCCAGCATCAGGAATCAAAGTGAAAATAAAACTGAATTATGTTTGCCCATGTTATTTTATGTTTTATTTACTATATACAGCGCTGGTTTGTTTCACACTTAATTTCTAATTTAGCAATCTTTGGAAGAACGTAATCAACCAGGCTATGCGTTAACTATGTGCTAATCGACTCTCTGTGTTGCACTGCATTACACTTCTTAATTTTACTAAATGTGCTTACTACCGTGCTTGTTTATGGGTCCATTCTCTCTTCCGACCGCTATGGGCAGTAATTCCACACAACTCCCCCTCTGCCCCCCACTATCTCTATTTAAGGCCTCGACACAGACGTATTTCTGTGTGCCTATGTGTGCGTCTCTCTCTCTGCTTGTGTCTCCGTGTCTATGTTTTGTCTTTCTCTCTCAAGTTTAGCAATCTTCGTAAGAACGTAATCAACTAGGTGGGGTGTTGACTGTGGTGTTGGCCGACTCTGTGTTGTATTGCATTATATTTCCAAATTTACTATGTTTGTTTTCTCATTCATTTGTACCTGATGATGGTTGCTTGTGTTGTAATCGAAACGTCGTATTATATTTTTATTTAATTAAATTCTCTTTCTACGTGACTTTACCGAAAAAACCAAAGAGTATATACAATACGTATTGCAGTATTACATGCAAATGTATATTTTTGTTATTATAATTTATGGACAGCCCCTATGAAGAAATCGACTTACGGCGGAACTGAGGAACGTAACCCGCTTGTAAATCGAGGACTGTCCATTTGCGTATATAATATGAGCCAAGGAAAAGAGGAGTTATTCTGAACCTGCTGTGGCATGGAAACAATAAACTATTCTGGGGCAATCTATTGTAGTACTGGCCCATACCCAAAACTGCTTATTGTATCGTTTTGGCATTCATATTTTCATGCTAACATCACTTAATCACCCTGACAATGTGTTTACAATTAGAGGCAATGTGTACGTGTTTGTGCGTGTACGAATGTACGTGTGTTAGTGTGACAGGAGCGTTAACTGGAATCAGATGACGCTTGGGGTCAGGTTGGAAAGGGGCTGGCTGGATGACGCAAGAGTTGACTCTTTACCCAATTACTTCTGCTCATACCACACGAGGAGGACAGGGATCAGGCCGTCGGGGGTAGCGATAGTGGTGGTTATTACGTGTGGGTCAAACACGAAAAACATTAATTTTTTTACACAAACACTCATTACACACGAACACACAATGGCGTTATGTACACACGTATGTACTGTACCCAACTCTACAAAGCACAGTACCGTGTTGTTGTGTACTGTACCATTAAAAAAGATAAGCAGAAACAAATGGGCACATGGACATATTGTATACAAACTACCAGTATATACATTTAAACTGACGCATACTCACTCGCGTGTGTATGTGTACACATGTACGTGCAATACTGACAACGCATTCATTCGTACATGTACACTTGACACACGTGTACACAGCCAATCCGTTCATATACACAGCATACACATCAACACACACTGTTTACACGTATTCCTGTACAGGGAAATTGAGCTTTTAGGTCCTTAAATGCGAGCAAAACAAGTTTGTGTCTATTTGTTTGTGTTTCTCCCCTTGTGATGGAACTTTGTCGTATGAATGTTGAGATTTATAGTGGCACGGGGTGGACCGATAAGGCCTGAATTGGCTTGTAATAAAGTAGGGGCACTGATAAAGGGTTGCCAGGTTTGATACAGTACAATGATCAACCTGAATAGACATTTACAATGTTGTGGTAAGTGCTGTTCGTGAGCACCTATTAAGACCCAAACGAGAGGTGGGTAACACACATGTCTAAAACCACGCCCGGCCGCCTTTGTCTCCCCAGTGCTCACTGATGCTGACACACAGATAGAGGGAGATCATGAACCGACTCAGATGTCATTCTCCACTCGGTTACCACCTTCTGCAGTGCAGTAGAAACCCAAACTCGCAATATTCCTCGGTCAGCACTGGCTCTATTGTCAAAACTGTGCAGTGAACGGACATAAATAATAGTTCAACACAATGCCAGGCGATACAACAGAATACCGGGTGCCAGACCTCGGTTTAAATAAATAAATAACGGTGCCAGATTTAGGGACAAAATAATTTCTTCCACTCGAACAGAGGGCAAGTCCCGCGCCATCCGGGACAGGTGGCAACCCTCTTGGCCAGTGATGTTGGCCGTGGCAGGGAATTGAAACCCGAATACACAGAAAGACAAAGATCCCCCGTGTAGCCTTGCCACACCGTAGGGGCAAGTGCTGTTAGCGAGCACCTATGAAGGCCGGAACGGTACACGAGAGGGTGGGTGGCCAGGAACACGCCCGAGCGCCTTTGTCTCCCCAGTGGCGATGTTCACACACCGTACCAGGTACTCATTTTAGGCCGAGTCGACCTAGGGGAGGACCAGTTCAGTGGATATATATATACACTCATAGCTACGCATATTCATATACTATTACACACTCATACCCATACACAACCACACATCATATACAGAACAAGCACAGTACTGCGTGGTAATGAAACTCTCACACAATCACACGTGCAAACAAGTGGACACACACGTACAGTCATAGTACTCTACACACTATCATCATTGCTATACCACACGCAGAGTGTGTGTGTAGTGACACTTGTACACATTACAAAACAATCGCACGGGTCACAAACACACTGATCACACACACACACGGAATTGTAAGCACGCACTACCCATACACAGAACTGTTCACGTGATTATACACACGATACAAGAGATTGGACACGCACTTCATATACAATCACGACTGTACACGCAGATTGTACACACACACACACACGAGTGTACACACGCACCTCCGACGTGCACGGTTGGCTACGTACGATGGGAAAGATGTTTAACGTACGTACACACACGAGTGTACATACAAGATTGTACATACACTACACATATATACACACTATACGTACACACACGAGTGTACACACACACACACGAGTATACACTACACATATATACACACACACGAGTGTGTACACACTACACATATATACACACACACACGAGTGTGTACACACTACACATATACACACGAGTGTACACACGAGAATGTACACACACACACACACGAGTGTACACACACGACACATATACACACACACATGACACATATACACACACTATACACACACTACACACACGCACGTGTACACAGATTTGTAGACGCGCCAGCACAAACCCTGATGGCGCCACATGCCCGTCAACCCCTCATCAGTGCCGACCCTATTACAAACAAATTCAGACCTTTATAGTCACCCCCGTCCCTTATAAACCTCAACGTTGATCCTACAAAGCCCCATCACAAGCGATACACACAAACAAATGAACAAAAAACAAAAGTGTGCCCGTATTGAATCGGCTACACGTCACACGGACTTGAAAATACAATGTCCCTTGTACACTAACACGGGGTTAGAGCAGGTGTAGGGTTGACACGGGGTTAGAACAGTGTAGGGTTGACACGGGGTTAGAACATGTGTAGGGTTGACACGGGGTTAGAACAGGGTCGTGTTGACACGGGGTTAGAACAGGGTCGTGTTGACACGGGGTTAGAACAGGTGTAGGGTTGACACGGGGTTAGAACAGGGTCGTGTTGACACGGGGTTAGAACAGGGTCGTGTTGACACGGGGTTAGAACAGGTGTAGGGTTGACACGGGGTTAGAACAGGGTCGTGTTGACACGGGGTTAGAACAGGGTCGTGTTGACACGGGGTTAGAACATGTGTAGGGTTGACACGGGGTTAGAACAGGGTCGTGTTGACACGGGGTTAGAACAGGGTCGTGTTGACACGGGGTTAGAACAGGTGTAGAGTTGACACGGGGTTAGAACAGGGTCGTGTTGACACGGGGTTAGAACAGGGTCGTGTTGACACGGGGTTGGAACAGGTGTAGGGTTGACACGGGGTTAGAACAGGGTCGTGTTGACACGGGGTTAGAACATGTGTAGGGTTGACACGGGGTTAGAACAGGTGTAGGGTTGACACGGGGTTAGAACATGTGTAGGGTTGACACGGGGTTAGAACATGTGTAGGGTTGACACGGGGTTAGAACATGTGTAGGGTTGACACGGGGTTAGAACATGTGTAGGGTTGACACGGGGTTAGAACATGTGTAGGGTTGACACGGGGTTAGAACAGGTGTAGGGTTGACACGGGGCTAGAACAGGTGTAGGGTTGATACGGGGTTAGAACAGGTGTAGGGTTGACACGGGGTTAGAACAGGTGCAGGGTTGACACGGGGTTAGAACATGTGTAGGGTTGACACGGGGTTTGAACATGTGTAGGGTTGACACGGGGTTAGAACATGTGTAGGGTTGACACGGGGTTAGAACAGTGTAGGGTTGACACGGGGTTAGAACAGGTGTAGTGTTGACACGGGGTTAGAACAGGTGTAGGGTTGACACGGGGCTAGAACAGGTGTAGGGTTGACACGGGGTAAGAACATGTGTAGGGTTGACACGGGGTTAGAACATGTGTAGGGTTGACACGGGGTTAGAACAGGTGTAGAGTTGACACGGGGCTAGAACAGGTGTAGTGTTGACACGGGGTTAGAACAAGTGTAGGGTTGACACGGGGTTAGAACATGTGTAGGGTTGACACGGGGTTAGAACAGGTGTAGGGTTGACACGGGGTTAGAACATGTGTAGGGTTGACACGGGGTTAGAACAGGTGTAGGGTTGACACGGGGTTAGAACATGTGTAGTGTTGACACGGGGTTAGAACATGTGTAGGGTTGACACGGGGTTAGAACATGTGTAGGGTTGACACGGGGTTAGAACATGTGTAGGGTTGACACGGGGTTAGAACATGTGTAGGGTTGACACGGGGTTAGAACATGTGTAGGGTTGACACGGGGTTAGAACAGGTGTAGGGTTGACACGGGGTTAGAACAAGTGTAGGGTTGACACGGGGTTAGAACAAGTGTAGGGTTGACACGGGGTTAGAACATGTGTAGTGTTGACACGGGGTTAGAACAGGTGTAGGGTTGACACGGGGTTAGAACAGGTGTAGGGTTGACACGGGGTTAGAACAGGTGTAGGGTTGACACGGGGTTAGAACAGGTGTAGGGTTGACACGGGGTTAGAACATGTGTAGGGTTGACACGGGGTTAGAACAGTGTAGAGTTGACACGGGGTTAGAACAGGTGTAGGGTTGACACGGGGTTAGAACATGTGTAGGGTTGACACGGGGTTAGAACAGGTGTAGGGTTGACACGGGGTTAGAACATGTGTAGGGTTGACACGGGGTTAGAACAGTGTAGGGTTGACACGGGGTTAGAACAGTGTAGGGTTGACACGGGGTTAGAACAGGTGTAGGGTTGACACGGGGTTAGAACATGTGTAGGGTTGACACGGGGTTAGAACATGTGTAGGGTTGACACGGGGTTAGACCAGGTGTAGGGTTGACACGGGGTTAGAACATGTGTAGGGTTGACACGGGGTTAGAACAGTGTAGGGTTGACACGGGGTTAGACCAGGTGTAGGGTTGACACGGGGTTAGAACAGGTGTAGGGTTGACACGGGGTTAGAACAGGGTCGTGTTGACACGGGGTTAGAACAGGTGTAGGGTTGACACGGGGTTAGAACAGGTGTAGTGTTGACACGGGGTTAGAACATGTGTAGGGTTGACACGGGGTTAGAACATGTGTAGGGTTGACACGGGGTTAGAACAAGTGTAGGGTTGACACGGGGTTAGAACAGGTGTAGGGTTGACACGGGGCTAGAACAGGGTTGTGTTGACACGGGGTTAGAACAGGTGTAGGGTTGACACGGGGCTAGAACAGGGTCGTGTTGACACGGGGTTAGAACAGGTGTAGGGTTGACACGGGGTTAGAACAGTGTAGGGTTGACACGGGGTTAGAACAGGGTCGTGTTGACACGGGGTTAGAACATGTGTAGGGTTGACACGGGGTTAGAACAGTGTAGGGTTGACACGGGGTTAGAACAGGGTCGTGTTGACACGGGGTTAGAACATGTGTAGGGTTGACACGGGGTTAGAACAGGTGTAGGGTTGACACGGTGCGGACACTGCGAACTTTCCACCGTCACCACCTCGCGGGCGGCCCTCACCTCGGCGACGATTTTGTTTTCTCTGTCGCTTCCACGAACTTCCCCTCGCATGCAGCGAGCCTCGGTCGCCTTCGACGGAACGCGATTACGGTCGGAAAATGTTTATAAATTACAACTCGACAAGAAGGACAAACGAATCGGCGGCCTCCACCACCACCGCCACCACCATCGCCAACCCACCGGGCGCTCGTCAACGAAGTTTAAAGGGATAGCGCGCGATGACGTCACGAGTCAGACCCGCGCGATGACGTCATGTGTCAGACCCGCGCGATGACGTCATGTGTCAGACCCGCGCGATGACGTCATGCGTCAGACCCGCGTGACGACCCCCCCCCACCCACCGCGCTCCGTTGCTGAAAATGAACGACAAAGCCACCCACACACGTGCGTTTTGGGGCCGTGCAACTCAATCTATGGGCGACATTGGACACCCCAGAGACCCCAAGAGACTCATAGAGATGCATGTGACCCAATGAGATACGTGGATATCATTTAAAGCCACTGTGCAATCCAAAACGATGGCGCATACAGCTAATGTGGAAAATATATATTTATAACTCATCGGATTCCTCCAGTTTAAATACAGTATTCTGAACCACTGTAGCATGTCCTCCTTCAATGGATAAATATCAAAACTACACCAACTCTCTCATCATGTTTATCAGACCTCGAGGATTGGCATTTAGCTCATTAACATATTGGCAACATGAAAGAATAAAATTGTCACCATTAATACCTAATTTGCCAATAAAATATTATTGTTTTTTTACCCTTTTATCTGGCAACAAAACTTGACACCTTTTCTACAAGGAGTCATGTTTGCATTGACCACAATACCTGCAGTCATAATGTAAACAAAAAACAACTCTGATAATGTATGCACTGTCCTTGAAGTTGATTGGTCCACACCCGAGACAGCTTTCCTTAGAGCCTAGTCTCACATGGTATTGGACCAAACATGACTCCTTGTAAAAAAATGTGTCAGTTTTGTTGCCAGATAAAAGGGTAAAAACCAATTATGATAAAATTGTCGTGACATCGATCGTGTTCGATATATCGCTCTCCTTTAAGCTGGAACGTCTCAAGAGCGTTCTTACGTCTCCTCGTGCTATCTTTTCCCCGTGGGTACAAAGTGACAGCACCTGGCGTGTTAAGTCAGTCATTAAGAGGCCATGATTGTGTGTAATCCCAGCAGAGTAGTTTGGATCTGAATTTCGAGGCTTTTTCCATGCGTATTGGCATTACACTCGACCACTGGCTAGAAGTTCTTCAAGCGACACGTCCTGCTCAAACCATGTGCTTTTATTAACGCACACAGTGTGGCTGTGTCCTTGGCTAACGCCAAAGTAATTGGGATTTACTCGAGTGTCAGTAGTGCATGATGTCAGATGGTTGTCTTCGCCAACCCACATTAACTAAGAATGAAGGATTTAAGGATTTGCATTGAGCACTGAAGTGCACCCATAATCTAAAAGCATCTTACAATTACTCCAGTGTCCAATTGTAATTCTCTTTTCGTCACGTGGACTCCTTGCTCACAGCTATCCCTCTCTGGCATAAGGTGACAGCACCAGCCTGCACGTTTGTCATTTGGGGAGGCGATGTTGCAATTGTTTTTTCCAATTAAATATGGATGCATATATTTCCCTATCAACAGTGGCAGGTTAGGTTAGGGGATGTTAAGAGTATCTGGGTATAGCACTAGTGGCATAAGAGGCTGGGCAGATTGGTAACAGTACATGGGTCCAAACGGGATCAGTAAACTAGGTGTGCAGGACTTGACAAGAGGGACATACAGCCTGGCAGCAACATGTCTTGAATTTAAGAACCTTCTTTGTGGTCCAAATAAGGGAGAAGGGACAGAGCCCCCACGGGTACAAAAGGTGCATGCACAGCAGGTTCTGAGAGGAATTGAGACTGAAGACGACCTGCAAAAGACAAGGGTACTGTAGAGTGTGCAGATATATGAATCCGATGTAACAGTATACACTGGTTTATATCAAGTCCATTGGAGTACCGCATTTAATGTTAAATTAATGTGTAGCAATTAACACATTCTCTGCGGAGGGAGCTGGTAGGAACGTTGGGTTGCTCGGTCAATGGCCAGGGTCAATGGCGGCGTGGTGTATTCCGCAAATATGCCCGACTGAGGGCGGGCACAAGCCGGCGTGAGTAGGTTAAACGTTGAGTTTTAGAAGGGCACCACGGGGTGACCAGCCCCTCCCCACCCCTCCCACCCTCCCCTCCCCACCCAGCCCCTCCCTACACGACGGACGGCCACAATAATCCCCTGTGGGCTGGTGTAACCAGGAGGTTCCTACCAGTATAACTTTAGTTATGTATATATATTCTCAAGTTACAATGACATTCATCTGCAAGAGAAATCACCTGATTGAATTGAAGACAAATAACACGTTATCAATCAACATTTATCACACATCTCGAAAAAAATAAATTTTAAAATAAAATGTTTCCTTCATCGATGGGTGTTATCATTATGAACCTCATGAAATACATATGCTAAGAAAAGGACACAGGATGTTAAGGAATGGCCATCCATTACAATAATCAGCAATGCTGGCTTCGCATGCATAAAATGGCAATGCATGAAGTCCCTGAGATAGTCTCAGTTTTAGGGCTCTAACAACTTAATATCCACTCTGTTTCAGCCATTATCAGCCCGAGCATCCTGGCTACCTCCTGTTGTCATTAAAAGTCTTCATCAAAATCATCATCTGTTTGAAATAATGTGACATGCTTGCTATTTTGAAGAAAGACTGAGCTAGTATTTTCCTGGGAGCACATAGAGACCACTTTTTGGTGAGAAAACATTTTGTCAGTTTTGCTCTGAGGGCAAAAGTTGCTTTTACCTTGGGAGGCAAGAGGGTATGTTTTGTCCTGATTAAAATCAATTTTGCTCTGAGAGGAAACAATGTCAGTTTTGCCTTGAGGAAAGACAGCACTGGTGTTTTCTTGATTGCAAATATATTCAATTTTATCCTGAATGTGTACAGAATTGCCTTGGTCCTGAGAGCAGGTCATGTCACTTTTTCCGTGAGAGCAGAGAGGGTCTACTGTGGCTTGAAGGAAAGGTAGATTGGTTTTGCCTTGTGGGCAAATAGTGTCATTTGCATATGGTGTCCAGGCAGCGAGAGTTCGATTTCTCTTTGCGATGTGAGGCAATGTTTCTTCATCTTCTTTGGGACCCTGTCTTCTTCGTACCCGCGTCAAGCCCCTACCTTGGCGTCGACATCTGTGAACAACACAATCCAAGCAAGAATGAGACTCGAAGGCTTAACACACAATTCTGAACACTTGTTATCACTGTGTCAAAGCAATGTCTTCGATAGACCATCAGACAACTTTTAAACCAAACTCTTACATCTAAGGGACCTTTTTTATCAGTATCAAAATGATGAAAAATGTATAAGCAATCATTGCGAAAAAGGGATAGCTATTTTTTAATATCATTTTTACAAAAAAATCATGGAAAATAAATGGTGACCAGAATAAGACTATCAAACCCTACTGTGTATGACCATAATTTGTTTGAGATACCAGAGTCAAAGGAATTAACCCTGACTTCTGCAATGCTCAGTGACAACACGGCAATTTCTCCATGTGACATAAACATTTACTTAAATGTAAATCCACTGCTGGAAGAAAGGTGTCCTCAAGCTGTGCAGCTTGTGGGGGTTATTTGATCATACTTCACCACACTGGTCAGTGCAGAATGATGGCGGGGAGCATAGTCGTGGGGGCATAGAAGTACAGTACAGAATTAACTTTTGGTGCCCATAATGTAATGCTGCAGTACAAATGAAATGAGCAGCGGATAAGTGAATGCAATAATCAATGCATTTGGAATGATAATTTATAAGTCTGCTTTTAGTGCAAATATTCCTCTCCAGTCACTCACCCCATCCACTCACTCTGGTTGAGAGTGACCGACTCAGCCTCCTCGTCATTGTCAGCATCTTCACATCGTGCAGTTGACTCCACAAACCTGGCCCACCGCCTGTAACCCACATGCTACTGTGTCACTTATCAGTGGTACACTTCCTCGAGCTCATAACCAACATTACAGCACAACCCTTTTTCACATTTTAATCAATAAATGCTGTTATACAAATGGGCTAGTTATTTCTGTTAATGTGCCAATCTTGACTTGTAAAGACAGAACCTAAAAAAATTGAATCCAAACCCCATTTTCCTGGAGCCATGTCTCAAGAGATGCGCTGACACCGATAACGAAGCCAGTAACAAGTCAATGTGGTCTCCAGAAGACCGATTTCATGGACAAACATTATGCAAGTTGGTATTAATTCTTGAACATCAAAATCCCGATCCTGGCCTCTTGGAGAAGAATCTCAAGACACCAAATACAGTATGGGACAGTGTTCCACAGCTTTGAGCAGTTCTTACGCCGATGATAAAGTTGATTTCTCCGCATCTACATCTCCACAGACATCCGGCTCGCGATCAGCAACATTGCCTCCACAGTCATCACCGTCATCATCTTTAGAGCAACCATCGTCACTCGTGCCAGCAGCCCTATGATACAAGGCGTTGACCATCATTAGTCATTTTGACAATATGGATACCCTGAGAAACACTGACCTTAGGTCCACAAGAGTGTGGCATCATACAATGTATGTGTATTTTTTGCACCACATAACAGTAATATTCAAGTGTGAAAAGCGTTAAAAACACTAGTGTGCTTTTTTGCCTAAATAAGTGTCATATTTTTGTTTGTAAAACGTACAAAAAATAATAGCAAACTAGCAAATGGCTTATTTAAAGCAAACATCCCACTCAAGATCAAGACACATTTTATCAATTCCTTAACTTATTATTTTACAAAAATGCATAATTCTATGAATAAGAATAAACAATACATTGTATGTGCATAAGCAGAGCAATTAATGCTGTTTTTAATGAAAAAAATATATGAATGTGTATTATTGTGACTGTGTGTGCACAAGCGTGTGTTGGTACTTTAAGGGTGTACGCATTGCCATAGAGCGAAAGCGTGTGCATGTTCCGTAAGTGTTATTACACAAGTATGAGCGACCTCTGGTCAAGTTTCTCTCCTTGTGAGCGGTTGAGCTGCTGCACAAGCATGCGACAGTCTTTTCCACTTGACACAGCATAGACCTGCACACATACACACAGATACACAAAATACATTCACACACACTGGCATGCATAGGTATACAAGTCGATGCACAATTTCTGTACATATGCATATCAACACACAAATGCACAGGTATTGTATACTGTACTGTTACACTATCACAGGTGTACAGGAAATAGATGAGAGGTGCACAGCTAACCTTTTTAACGGATTGCTTCTCTCCACACATTTTGCAGGTAAACTTTGAACTATTTTTCACCTGCAGATATGAAAACAGACAGACATGTTGGGAATGATGAGCTTGTACAATTCAAATAATGGACTCTACTGCAAGGGAGCCATAGTGACATAACAATAATACTGCCTTAAAAGTAAATATATAAGAGATGACGCTTCCGGCAATTGGCCTTCATTATTAATTAAATTATTTATCTGGGAAAGCCACATTTGAGTCATATGACTCTTTTCAGTAGGTAAGTAGGGTCTTGCATTGGGTTTTAATGCTAGTATGTATTAAGTAAATGCGTATTTATACAAGTGGGAGTAGACCAGAGCACTCGGAGAAAACCCACGTGCGTGAGGGAGAAACACTGTATCCCCGTACACATGGAAACACATGGTGATTAGTACACTTGCTGTACTGCCTCTTCCGGACCAGCCAGCATATGGCACCTCGACGCCCACGGGAATGGAGTCTCACAACAATTGTGTGATCCACTAACCCTCGCTACCTCCACCATGCCCTATTCCAGACGTGCGTTAGCACAAAGTCCTATAGACCATCCTATAGGGCTGTATGTGCTACATAGCACATTCAAGTTCAAGTTAATTTATTAGGTATAGCCTATATATGTCCTATGCGCTGTGCTATTTGTGCACCACTGCCAACGAACGCTGTATCGCCAAATTGTGACTAAGCTATTTATTTGCCAGTCATTAAAACAAGTATAACCCGTAAAAACAAAGTTTTTCACTATAAATCCTTTATATGCGTGGCGGCTAGAGTCCTCTCGTCCTCTGGCTTGAGATGGCTGCCACCTATGGGTCAGATGATTGCATTGCACCATTAAGCAATTGGTAATTAAATATATTTTTGTCCTAAAAAGTGTAACATTTTGGAGAAAAAAATTTCACGAACATTAATTGTCACGCACAACGAGTCTGTGTGCAAAATGTCAGCTCGATTGGATCACGGGAAGTGGGTTAAAAAACGACCGAAAGATTTGCACGGTCGTAAGCAAGCAAGCAAACTTAATATAAAGGATTTAATAAGTATAACCCGTAAAAAATTAACCCGTAAAAACAAAGTTTTTCACTATAAATCCTTTATATGCGTGGCGGCTAGAGTCCTCTCGTCCTCTGGCTTGAGATGGCTGTCACCTATGGGTCAGATGATTGTCTGCCACCATTAAGCAATTGGTAATTAAATATTACATTTTTGTCCCTAAGCAGTGTACAATTTTGGGAGAAAAAAATTTCACGAACATTAATTGTCACGCACAACGAGTCTGTGTGCAAAATGTCAGCTCGATTGGATCACGGGAAGTGGGTTAAAAAACGACCGAAAGGTTTGCACGGTCGTAAGCAAGCAAGCAAACTTAATATAAAGGATTTAATAAGTATAACCCGTAAAAAATTAACCCGTAAAAACAAAGTTTTTCACTATAAATCCTTTATATGCGTGGCGGCTAGAGTCCTCTCGTCCTCTGGCTTGAGATGGCTGTCACCTATGGGTCAGATGATTGTCTGCCACCATTAAGCAATTGGTAATTAAATATTACATTTTTGTCCCTAAGCAGTGTACAATTTTGGGAGAAAAAAATTTCACGAACATTAATTGTCACGCACAACGAGTCTGTGTGCAAAATGTCAGCTCGATTGGATCACGGGAAGTGGGTTAAAAAACGACCGAAAGGTTTGCACGGTCGTAAGCAAGCAAGCAAGCACGCAAGCAAGCGAACTTAATATAAAGCATTTAATAAAGGATTTAAAAACCCGACTGGATGACAGCGAGACAAAGTTATTGAAAAAGCCATCACATGGGGGGCGAGCCGTATGGCAGCTCAATGGAGCTCGTTCCCGATACACACAAGTTGAGCCATCGCTATCAGCATCATCATCATCGTCGAATTAACCTATCAACCATGGAGAGGAGGGTTTTTTTTATCGTAGCCAGACGTGGTGGCCCATGCAAGCCTTTCAACGACATATGCGACAATACGGCATGCAAACAAGTACTTTGGCGATACTGCTACGTTGGCAGTAGTGCACAAGGACAATGACCAGTAACCAAAACTCAACGAATGCATCGATACCACTGCAGCCTTAACACAAAATCAATGCCAGGCGATGTTTCGGGCAACGGGCCATATTCATACCGCACACATTAAAAGTGGTTAATTCGCAAGCAGACGCGCGCATAACTCGCCTGATGAACCTGGAAAGTCCCGCACGCGTAGCAGCGTAACACTTGAAAGTCGACCATGCTGGTATCAAGGCATCAAAGCGCGACAACAAGCGACGTCGTGTGATTGTAACGCCGACAACGACGCCCTGCACGACGTCGTTAACGCCTTGCACGACGAAACTTTCCCGCCTTTTTGTTAAAGGGCCGCGCGATGACGTCACGAAACGCGAGCGAGCAATGACGTCATTCCGCCCGAAGGACAATGACGTCACGCGTCAGTTGTTGAGTGGAAGTAGTCCAGCTGTAGAATTTTGACGTCTTGATTTAAAGCTTCTTTCGTGACTGCAGGGATTAATATTTTTGGTTCTTATAATATAATTAAATAAAAATATAAATCAATAAAATTATCACTATTTTATTGTTTAATATTTTATTTTTTCATTATTTCCCTTCTACGTGACTTTACCGAAAGAACCAAGAATATAATTTTGACGTCATCATGACCGCGGTAAAACGCACCGGTTGTAAACCGATGCGATGATTATTTTGCGTAGTGTATTATATATATATTTCTTCGTCGACCAAGGAACCCATGAATGAGAGAGAGAGATAGTCCTTGACTCTAAACATCTGAAAGTTGAGCCTCATTGGTTCAAACAAAGCTGATTCTGAATATCGAAACCGGTCCAGAGTTTACCTGTGTTTGAGCCAAATGCCCTCCCTATGACCGATGGGATGTTTAAATACTTATTTTTTTAATCCTGAGATGTTCTTCGAATGTTTGAATTGAAATGTGACGCATGGCACTTTGATTTTAAGTGGCAGTTAAATGTAAAAACATTTGTTATTTCACTGAACATTTATATGGTATTTTACTTATTAACTTGAGTACTTTTTGATTATTGAAAGGTTTTCTGTTTCCCAAGAGCACCGATTTGCTAACTATATACCAATTAAAAACAACTGGTCATCAGAAAACATAAAAATATATAATTCTAATCAAGGCCCCATAGTGTAGAGTGCAGACTTCAACTTTTATTATCCCCTCTGTGGCCTATGCTCTATGAAGAAAGGCTATTGCTTGAAACGTCACATTATTTTAATTTTAAGAGCACTTATTGATGAAGTTTTTTTTTTATTGCTAAGCGTCGTATTTAGACACTTCAAACATGAGTGATAAGACACTTCTAGAGTGACAAGGCATTTGTAGAGTGATTAGATATTTCTCGAGTATTTAGACAATTCTGGAGTGAGTGATAAGACACTTCTAGAGTATTTAGACACTTGTAGCATGAGTGATAAGGGGCCTTCCATAAATGACGTCACTCACCGGGGGGGGGGGGGGGGGTCAGACATTTGTGACGATGTGTGACGAGGGGAGGGTCGTGTGAGAAATTTAACGTCACATCAAACTGCTCAACTTTAAATAAATATAGACAACACGTTCCACTTAATTAAATATACGTTTTAATAAGCGTTTTCTCCTACAACATCAGAGTGCAGCGCCACATTAAATACGCACTACAATGACAATAGTTTAAAGCGATTTGAAGCAAGTTTTATTTGGGGGGGGGGGGGCAGAGCTTTGTGACGTCATAGTTGAGATGGAGTCTGACTTTTTGTGACGCCGTGTGACGAGGGGGGGGGGAGATAAAAAATCGTCCAAAATCGCGTGACGTCATTTATGGACGGCCCCTAAGACAATTCTAGAATATTTCGACACTTCTAGGGTGATGACAATAATTTCGCCACCACCACCACGTGTCACCCACGTGATGGCACGGGGCTGACGTCACCCGGTGAGCAACCGTCACGTGGTGAAACACGGGGGGGGGGGGCGCGCGCGCGGGCTGTGTGACGTAACCAGCGGGCGCGTGACGGTGACGAACGTCACGTGACGGGGGGGGAGGAGGCTGGGAATTTCCCGACGCGCATGCGCAGATGGGGTTGTTTGTTGACAGCCACGGATCGATCGCCGCATAATCGACCGATCGATTCATCGGTGCCAAGCGGCTCGCGAATGTGTTCAGTTTGTTATTTAAAGACAGCCTCTTTTGCAAGCACCCCAATGACAAAACAAATCCGTTAAATCGATTGACTTGTGAGTGAATGTTAGGTTTTATAGCAATGTGGTGATTGCATTTTGATTGAAAGCTTCTTTCGTGACTGCAGCAGGGATTCATATTCTTGGTTCTTTCGGTAAAGTCATCACGTAGAAGGGAAATAATACAATGATACAAATATAAAACAATACAAATTCTCACGACGTTTCGACTGCAACACAAGCAATCATCAGGTGTGAAATTCACAGCAAGAAAATGTGTGGATTTCACACCTGATGATTGTGTTGCAGTCGAAACGTCGTGATTTAATTAATAGTTATTTTCATTTATTATTATATTATTATTTTTACATACGTGACTTTACCGAAAGAACCTAAGAGTACGGTATAGTTCAAATCCTAGTCAATGAACGACTCTGGCCCATCTTTTGTGCGAATTGCAACAGGAATTGCAACAGTGGTTGCCCCATGTAAACACTGGCCACTAGAATGTGTAGTTTCCATCACTTGCTAAAGACCCTCAATGCCTGTTGAGAAGACGATGGGTTAAACCAAACTACAGCACTCTTAAGATCAAGATACCATCGTGGATGGCAAAAAGTCGTTCATGCCAATACCACACCTCGGAAATGCATTCTACCCTCATGTCATTGTGTGTGGTGGTGGTGGTTGATGACCGGCTCAGTACACCAGGTGTATATAGCCACTCAATGTATTTTGTGAAGCAAACGCCAACAATCTAATGTACCACTGAAAGGTCACGTATCTATATTTTTCGTTAACCATGCAATGTGCCCAGTGCTGCACTACAGAGCCGCACGTGGATTTACTGCACCGCTGTGTGACACAACAGTAGTCATTGTTTTTCCTCTTACATTGGATTGCAAAACACTCCTTCAAATACCATTGGTCACTTCCCCATGCAGGAGCCTACTGAAAAGGAGTGTGACATAGGTATTGCATTACCCCACATTACAGTACATTATTGTACATTGCAATAGACTCTTCAAATATAATTGTACATGCTAAAAAAAGGTCATTACCAAGAACGTCGCCTATTATATTAATGTTTTCTTTTAAGGCCACTTATTGGCGCTTGTGACTGTGTGCTTGAGCACCACTGCCAATGTAGGAGCATCACCAGCATTGGTCAAACATCCAAATGAAGGACCCTACCGAAAACGAGTCGTGAGACTTTGTATGTGCCCTATGTAATAAGTGGAATTAGTAAATATAATTATAATTGGATCGTACAGTACTTCAATGAGTCACCAATGACTTGCACATGGCCCTGGACTTTACAGTTCGTGCTAAACCCCACCTCACAGTTCTCATGATTACTGTTGTTACATTGTTTTTATAGCCTTATCTTGGTGATTTCGGAAACATATGGTTAAGCCATGTTTCTTGTGGAAGTGCGGAGTTGGCCTGATAACTTTAATCTAAATTGTCTTATGGTTGTTATTGTTTGACTAGCATCACACTGGGATTTTTGCACACAGCGTTGTAATAGGGTGGGATTTTTTTGGGAAGATTTGCTAGTTTATCCCAGGATGTTTCTGTTGCGCGTCGTCGCTTTAAGATGTTTTCTGTTCATATTTGTTTGTTGCGGTTGTACCCGACTCAAGAGCCACATGGCTCACAGGACTATACCTAATAAATGAAACTTGAAACCTCACATGATGTCCATGCAGGTGAGATGCGGGGCGAGTGTACAGGTGGTGTTGTGACAATGCGACCAGTGTCAGGCCAGAGTGGAAAATGCTGATTCATAGTAAAAGTAGACATTCAACGTTTTCAATATGTTGGTGAAAACTATCACTAGCATTGGTAGATTTCGACACTCTTTAAGGTTTAACTCAAATTTCCATGTTGCTATTTATCAGCAGCGTAACAAATACAATACAGAGCACTGCGGTGCCTTGGGTCCCTTTAAACTTGTACAGTATTCAGAATTTAAACCTACCAACAAGCATCGACAATTACAGACATTGTTCCTTCCACAATGGAACACTGTATTCATGTTGCGAGGAAGCTTGTGAGTCTTCAAAACCCTAGGGGCTAAATTAAATATGGGCATCCATATCAGTGGGAGGGGAGTAAAATGTTGTGCTCCCCATTCTGGTGAAGTATGGTCAAATAACCCTCCATGACCGATCCACCTAAACCACAGCTCTTAATCTTCAGAAACCGTGCATCAATTGCAATACACATTAAATCCACCTAAACCACAGCTCTTAATCTTCAGAAACCGTGCATCAATTGCAATACACATTAAACAAATATAAACATGATATTCATTCCACTAACTTAACTTCTGACAACAGTCATTTTATTCCAGCACAGGCTATCAAGCATGTCAACATATAAGTATTGTCGTAATTTATGTAGGCTCCTAAGGAGCAATATTAAATGATAAAACAGTAGAATCTGCTTCCAGAATATAATATTATCCAGATCCAAAACAACGGGGCACAGCAGCAATGCTGGCCAACAAAAGCACTATATAATTAAACATTATTTCTCAACCATAGCTTAACGACAAACCAGATGAATGCAATCATTCTCGAATTTAAAATGTCTGCGCTTATCAGAACACCCAAATGCTCGAACTTGCAATGAACAACCTGGAATAAAATAGCATTTGTGACTCAAGTACCATATAGTCTAGAATAAATTTCCCAAAGCATCCATGCTGAATGTGTTCAAGTCTCATTTAGACACTACTTAAATACAAACTATATTTTATTTGATTCCGTAGAAACGTATGCATTAATCCAATCTTTGATTAACCAATCACTTCGTGATAAAATATAGTGTCATAAAGCATTTACAAACATAGAACGACTACAATGAGTTGGCATGAGCAGAGTTCATCGCCAGAAGGGATGATAGCAGCTAGACGAGATTGGTGACGGAATGACAGCCCAAAGGAGTGAACATCCCGGTGATTAGCTCGTGTAAGATGGGATTGTGGCATTGATGCATTTGATCTGCACATAAAACCTTGCAGGCATTTTCTAAAATACCCCCAAAAAATCGACTTCACTGTTGTTTTTTAAAACGTCCCTATAGTTAAATTTCGATTTAAAGCTTTCGTGACTGCAGGGATTCATCTTCTTGGTTCTTTCGGTAAAGTCACGTAGAAGGGAAGTTATAAAATAATAAAAATAAAACATAATAAAATAATTCTCACGACGTTTCGGCTACAACGCAAGCAGCCGGCTGCAGCCGTGAGAATTATTTTATTATGTTTTATTTTTATTATTTTATTACTTCCCTTCTACGTGACTTTACCGAAAGAACCAAGAAGATGAGTCCCTATAGTTTTCATGTAACTGCAAAAATGATAAGCGGATTGTATAAAAGACAACGATTTATATGCCCATGAAAAAAAAAACTGAATCAGAAAACATTTGTAAAAATGTAATTCTCATTGGGCCCAATGGTGTAAAGTACAGTCTCAAATCCTCATTAAGGCTATCTCTCTAGCCGATGTGCTACAATCGAAACGTTGCCAGTGATATACAGTAAATGTATTTGCTTGAGTGTGTGGAGTTTTTTTGTTGTGCTTTTCCACCACTGCCAGCACAGCAGGAATGCCGAATAATTAGTATAAATGAGACTTGTGACAAGGACCTTTTGTCTAACATCTGTCATACCTTGTGTTTGTTTAAAAGTCCATTACCAACCCCATTGCACTGTGTTGCAGGATGTCATGACTTGCACAAGTCAGCCATGCTGCATGTTTACTAACACGTGTGATATCACTACTGGGCGGGAGCTGGGAGATACCAAGTGAAACTGCAGCGCCCAACGGGGGTGGGGAAGTGACATACGAACAAGGAATGTTCTCGAGTCTGAGTAATTTTACCCACAGTTTTTGCAATGTCATCAAAATATCTTATTTTTTTGTAATAACGGTGGCTGAGCACAGGCCTAAAGGCCAGACAATAAGCGGCATTGTTGAAACTGCAGAAGATAGAAGTGAAGGGGTTTTTTTAGGCAACATTGTACTAATTTGGAAAAAAAACTTTTTTTTTAAAACTCGGTACACTCGTCAACAACACGGCTTTATGAGAAAGTATATATTCGGCGACATTTTAGTCATTGGGTCCTTGTTCTTAGCACATAAACTGAGACCAAAAAGACAGAATCAATATGATTTGAAGACTGCACTTAACATCATCGGGCCTGATGAGAATTACATTTCATTTTTTCCTGAATAGTTTTTAAGCGGCAGTTGGATAGTTACCTAGTATTTAGATATATGATGGGATAGAATCCCAAATTCGAGCTGTGCGAGGAAAGAAGCAGAAAGAGAAGTGTTTTCAGCTACAGGATCATGGTTGAACAGTGTGGATGAGATGGAACGGTCTGCTAAACTTTATCCTCAACATGGGAGAAGTCAATGATTGAAGTTCATGGCAACACAGTACACATGCTGCTCACGATCCATGGGCAGATAGCCCGTAGGTGTTCACTACTTTCCTCTGTCTTATGACAAAATGCTAAATATACTGCACATCTTTCTGGCACCTGATGTCAAACCATTCTTTGTTAGGTCTTCCTCTTTTTCCAGTTCCTTCCATTGTTACGACCAACACACTTTAAATTTTAAATTTTATAATGTGTCCAAATAGTGCCAGTTTCCTTCTCATCGCTGCCTGTATCAGGTCTTCTTCTATGTGCAACCTTTTTCTTACTTCTACATTGGTGCCTCTTTGGGTCCAGCTTAGATGGAGTATTCTCCTGTAGAAATACATTTCTAGTACCAATATCTTATCTCTACGCATAATAGTAGTGATAAATGAGTGATTTATCTAGGTAGAAGAGTCATGAGGATGCGACTGACTGCCAATGAGTGATCAGTGAGTGCTGGTTATCAATAAACCTGACTGCGTTACGTTGAATTATATCAATACAGTGAGGTAGGAACTGGGTGCTCCACTCCATTCATGACAATAGTTTTCCAGATTCCACACATTTTAATGAAGAATTGGCATGCAAAAAGGTAAAGTTTATTTCATTCATCCTTAGCCAGATTAGTAACACATCTCTTCCATGGCAAGTCAGATGAGATTGTTGTGACATGCAGATGAATGGTTTTACTATGGCTAAGAATAACACTGTTAAATATGATGGGATTGTGGAATTGACAGTCTATTGTGATATCAGAAGGAGCACTAACACGTGTCAATATAATTCCATACAACAGAAAAGCGCATACTGTGAACAGCTTCAGAATGTCTAGTGCATACGTGCACGTCATTTGCAGCCTTACAATGGTCAGGGATAGTGTGCCACAACTTGGAAGTTGTTTATAAGCGCACCTCGAATTTCCTGCCCAAAACTTAGCGTACATATTTCTATTTACACCTTATCCTGCCGCGCTGGGATAAATTAGCGCGCAAGAAGTGTATCCGGCTGTATTATATTTTTTCCGTATGATTATTTTTTTCTAAAGCCATTTTCAGCTTATCCCGAATTCCGCCTTACTCGAGTCTCAATTCTCTATACTCTTAGGTTTTTTTCGGTAAAGTCATGTAGGTAAAAAATAAAAATTAATGAAAAAATGTATATAAATAATAGTACATTTATTTTATTTTTATTATAATTTCTATTATTTTTATTATTTATTTCTATGTTTTACCTACGTGACTTTACCGAAAAAAAACCTAAGAGTATGAATCCTTGCAGTCACGAAAGCTTCAAAATCTAGTCTCAATTCTCTCTCTGTTCGAGGCTTTTCGTGTCCCTCTTGGATTGCCCACCTTCAAACCCCCCCCCGCTCCCCACGTTCCCGTTGGTTTCGCCCGACGATTACCGTGACGTCACGCCGAGGCCACGCCCACGAACACAGCGCCATTGTTAGTGGCGCATCGCATATAAACAACAAGGGGGCCCGTGGCAACCTCACAGCGGGATCTTCTTGCGAGCAACCACTCCAGTCGCTATCGTTCTCTCGAGGCTGATCTTGCTTGAAGTTGTTGCTTGTCGAGTGGAGCAAGGTACCGATCTCGCTGTTTGCCGACAGACGTCAACGATGGCCTTCGTGGTGAGTGACCGGGATGACGGCGCTGCCGTGTCTAGAGCATTTTGCTGAGACGATTTACACCTAAAATGTTCGAAGCTTTACACCGCCGTTCGTTACTGTGCCAATGTTTTGTGTACGGCGAGTCGTAAAGCCCCGCGTGTTCTGATCGTGTTTGTCATCTTTGACGTGTGTAACTGCGTTGTCCGCTCAAGGTTAAAGTTGGGCCGCTGTGTAGATTTGGCAAAATGTTGCATGTTGATTTCCACGAGTTGTTTAAAGACCTCTTGTTCAGGTTGTGTTTGAATGCACTTGGGCAAGCTCGCGGTTCATCCGCCTGCTGGCGCACTTGGTGAGCAGGGAGGGATTCGTGGCGTTGAGGCGTCGTCTTGTTACTCCATCCACCTGCAGAGATCTTCCGATTGAAACCGGTGGCAATTCCACGTTACTGTGGCGGGAGGAGGATGGGGGGGGGCAGCGAGTCTTTATCCATTGTGGACGGCTCCACAAAGTAGTACAAGTTTTATCGACCGTGGAGGGATGATGGGCTGAGACAATTCCCACCAGACGGGATTTAAACTAGAATATTTCCTGTTGCGTGTTAGCTCCTAGTACTTAACATAGAGCCGCCCGGCTGGATATTTGTACGTGTTTTTTTTTTTAAGATTGTATAACAAACGCTGTATAGTGTGTGTGTATATATATACTGTTACTCATTTAAGGCTGTTTTTTAAAGAGGTTTTTTTTTCCCAACTGAGAAGCCGTTTATGCAAGGGCTCAGTCCGTGCTCAAACGTGGGGGAGGTAATGCTCTTAAAGGTAATCCATTAAATAAAGTCTTAAGTACAATGCCGTGTTGCAAATAAAGCAACCTACCCAATGGCCATGACTAGGCTTCGGAAAGGTGAAGTAATTTACCCTTTTTACCGGGTAAAAAGGGTAAAGGTGTAGGGTTAAGGTAGCGCGAAGTATATTGCCCGGTAAACACCTTGGAAATACCTTGTTTACCGGGTAAACAACCTTGTTTACCGGGTAAACAACCTTGTTTGTGTACCGCTCGCTATCAGCTCCGTGGTGCAGTCCGTGGCCTCCATTTAAAAAAAACCTTTATCATGTAGTACTATTAGTACTCCAGTAATTGCCCTGTAAACGGGTACTTTGTATGGGGTAAGGGTAAAGGTAGGCTCGTTGCTTTTGACCTTTGACCTTGCCTTGCTAAAGGGTACAAGGTAAGGTTAGAGTGATTGTATTGTTGGTAAGAGTAAAGGTAGGTAGAAGGTAGGCGCTTTGTTTTTACCTTGCCTTGTCAAGCCTAGCCACAACTCATCACGCTTGCAGTGCATGACCTAAATACTTGTCAACCACGGGGTACAAAGTGGGCCCACACTGCCACCACTCCCCACGTTTAACCTTTGCTGATACGCGCAGTCTCCAGCAGAGGGAGCCCTTAACCAGTTCCGAATGGAAAATTTCTGCTTTCTGTTTACATTGTTTATTTTTATTTGTTACACCAGCGGTCCACAACCTTTTTGGCACCAGGGACCGGTTTCGTGGAAGACAATTTTTTCATGGGTGGCGGGGGGGTTCATCATTGGGTCTTTCCCCCTTTTCAAAGAAGCTCTCCAGCCACGTTTGTTTTTTACTCCTTGTGGCTAAGGGTTAGTTAGCTTGTGGGCTTACCAACACTGTGACAAGTGCGCAGTGCGGGAAAGAAGCGCGGACGGAAGTGGTGAATAATAAAACAATGGGGGCGGGTTCCACGCGCGGACTCACCGCTCTCACCTCCTGCTGCTGTGCGGCCCGGTTCCTAACAGGCCACGGACCGGGTATGGGTCCGCGACCCGGGGGTTGGGGACCTCTGTGTTACACGGATCATCCCGTTAAGCCGGTTCGGATCCTTTGAGGGATATTCGTGGTGCGCGTGCACAGCAGCAGCAACACCAATAACAAAACCAAAAGAGAGAAACATTGCAGAGAGCGAGTAAAGGGTGCAATTTTCCTTAAGGACAACAAGTTGACCCTAGAATAATCCATTGCATTGCCTTTTAGCTCTGGTCTCCATATCTAAAATGAAATCCCTTTTTTTAGTCGTAACTAGTTTGAGTCGCAGACTTGCAGTATTATGTTAACCAGTAGCATTTTAAAAATGAGAACTTGAACCAGTTTGGTCCGCTGTGCCAAACGAGCCACAGCTCCCAATACCATATGGGGTTTGTGCGTGTGCTCCGTATGTCATAGGCTGTCGGCGCGGAAACAAGACTGTCATCCCAATAGGCAGGCATCCGTTTATTCGAATAAAGTTTGAGGGTCATGATTCATATCCATTTCATATTTATAACAACAATGCTATCTAATCGTTATGTCGTATGTAGGAATGTACTGATTTAAATACCATGGGGATATGATGATGGACACGATTTGGGGTAGCAATCAATGGAAGAGTGAATTAATTGTTGTTTCTTGTTCTGTCTCGTATAATTTTTTCCTACATCGACTACATATATATGAAAGGTTATCTCTGACGCATGTGAATGTATTAATCCGTTTTAATTTATGAACCCCAATGCATCTAAATTATGCAATTATTTTGCATAAACCCTGCTGCTGGCAGCTTTTCAGTGACTTACCATGTAATAAGTGCAGTAAAGCAAGGGAGGGGGGATTTCTGTGTTTTTATGTTAGAACCGTTGCGTTTTAAGTAGACTGTGTACCATGTGAGTGTGTGTTACACTGTGTAATCTTGGTATGAGAATGAGTCATTGCCCTAGATTGTGGTAATATTTCCTGATGGTGGTGATGTTAATTGTGTAAATGATGACGGTGTTGGTGATACTCTTGATTGCATTGTTTACATGTATGTTCAATGTGTAGGTGAAGGCATACTTATTTCATAAGAAACTAAGAATTGCATCCAAAGATGGGTGTGTTTGCTGATCATGTGTTTGGTAATAATCACGTGCTTATGATGGTGGTTCTGGTACAGGTGAAGGCTTATTTGCTGCGCAAGGATGAGTCTCGTCCGGAGATTCGCCGTGTGGCCATGGACGTGGATGCAAGCAGCAGCTTCATCTACCTCAAGGGGAAAATTGCCCAGGCCTTCCCATCCTTGGCCGATGCAGGGTTCACCATGCATTACAAAGGTGTGGCACACACCCATGTTTACCAAGTAGATAATGTCTACCATTTGTGTGTATTGTTGGCCGATGTATCTTTTGTTTGTGGATTTTGTGTTGCTTTATCAGTGGTGTTATACACTGTATCATTGTATAGGGATCCTTATGTTGTGTATCATGTGTGGTTTGTGTACCAGTTGTGGGGAGCAGTAGTGTCACGGTTAGTATGCGATTCCTACTCGCGGGCCGACGCCAGTGAAAATTATTTGAACCGGTCTTAGGCCTCTCCTAGCTCCACTTGGTCTCAAATGTGTACCTGGTGCAGTGTGTAAGCATTGCTCGTGGAGAGACAAAGGTGGTCGGGCATGGTACTTACCACCCACCCCCTCGTGTACTGTTCAGGTCTTCAAAGTTGCTTGCTAACGGCACTTGCCCCTACAGTTTGTTAAAGGCAATGAGAGATTTTTCTTTTTTAACAATTGTGCATACTATGTGGTTTGCTGCGTGCAGATTCGGAGGATGACCTCATCGCATTCTCCAGTGACCAGGAGCTTATGGAAGCTCTGGGCAACCTTTCCGAGGATGTGTTCCGCGTGTACATCAAACGTATGCACTCGCACACACGTATCCTGCATACGCAGCCAATATATGGTTCATTCTGAATATTCCAATTTCGTCTCTTATTTAAAAAAAAAATCCTCACCTATATGTAAAATCATCCACAACGTGATTTTTCTGTGTCTTGAAACTAAGCTTTTCTGGTTAAATCTTCAACCAGGTGATTAGTTCTTCAGTTGCATTTAATCACCTTTCTTTCTCTGCCCTTTGACCTCTCCAGTTGATCGTGGGCAGCGCAAGAAAGACACTGGAGATCAGGGTGGACAGGGTGGACTGGGTGGACAGGGTGGACAGGGTGGACATGGTACACCGGGTGGACAGGGTGGACATGGTACACCGGGTGGACAGGGTGGACAGGGTGGACGTGGTGCGCATGGAGGGCACGGAGGTCATGGAGGGCATGGTTGGCATGGGTGGTACGGGGGACACGGCGGACATGGGGGGGGACACGGGTGGCACGGGTGGCATGGTGGCAGCGTACACCCCCACGTGGTCTGCGATGGCTGTGACGGCCCTGTGATTGGAGTGCGATACAAGTGCTCTGTGTGCCCCAACTACGACTTGTGCCAGAGCTGTCGTGACAAGGGCACACACGGCGAGCACGAGATGACCACCATCCCCTTCCCGAACTGCCAGCAGCAAGGGCCTCACGCCTGGGCGGTATGTACCATCACACGACAGCTTGTGAGTGCACGGAAGGGTGATCCTATCACAGACGGATGTAGACAATCACAGTCATGTGTGGGTGGGATTGGTTACAGGGCCACATTCATGAACTTGATGGCAGAATTTGGATGCTTGGAAATTCCAACACAATTACATGGGAATGGTAACAGTTCAGTTAATTTATTAGGTATAGCCCTGTGAGCCCATGCGGCTCTTGAATCTGGTGCAACCGCAACAAACAAACATGAACAAGAAACAACTTAAAGTGACTACGCGCAACAGAAAAAACAAGTCTTCCAGAAAAAGAACACGGCTTGTCTACACCATGACACAAACCATTGTCTTTATTGCGCAATGGGGACTTTAACATGTTTCCCCCCCCCCCCCCATGTGTGTATGTCTCTAGTGGTTTGGCACCCCTGGGCCACATGGTGCCCATGGTGCCCATGGTGCTCATGGTGCCCATGGTGCCCATGGTGCCCATGGACGACATGGGTCCAATGGCCCCCAAGGGCATTCCTTTGATTTTGGTCGCCATGCATTTTGGGGGATGGGCTGTCCCATGGGAGGATTTTCCACAAGTGCTGGGACCTCTACAAGCTTTGGGACCTCTACACATACAAGTAAGTACACCTGGTGTGTGTAAGCAATGCACAATACAGTGGGCAGGATCAGGTGGTGCTGGGGTGACGATATCTGACTTGCCTGGTAAACAGGAGGCATAAGTTTGATCCCGACCCTTAGGCATGTGTATTTGGAGTTTGCGCGTTCTCCCCATGGTTGTGGATTTTTCTCCAGTTTTTCCCTACATTTAAAAAAACATGCTTTTAGATTATTTGGCAGTTATACATTTTCACAAGACACCTTTTTTTTTTTAGCTATCATGTGTGCCCAGATTGCTTTTGAAAAGGAGCTACTAGCTCGGCGCACTTTACCTGTTAAAAGAAAAATAGTTTGTGTTGAATTGATTTCACACCGTATGTAGCCAACTACTAATCGGAGGTGTGATGGAAGGATAAAGGGAAGTGCAATTTGATGGATCACCCAAGGTGCATTGGCCACAACATCTGATTTAGTCGTGATTCTTTTGCCACCATTTTTCTTCGAGTGCATCCAACTTTGTGGAATTGCCATTATGATGCATGTAGTTTAGTGGCGAGTTGTTTCATGTGTTACATGCATATGTAACATGATAAGATGGTGCGTAAATAATGTGATTGGCAAGTAATAGATATGCAAGGGGAACATTTTCAGTGATCTCAAATTTTTGGCACCGTCCGGTACTAAATGCTTTTCTTGGCAATTGGAGTGTGCTTTTCCACGTTTTTAGGGCATAGTCAGCAGTTGGGTATTGCAGCAAAATCAATTCAGAATCTTTTTTAAAAATCTTAATCTTGGATGAAGCTCTTTCCACAGATGTCTAGTAGGGGCAGGTCCAAAAGTTACACTACAATACCAAAAAATGCAAGGAGTGCAACATTTAGGAAGTTTATTAAATCACAGTTTTTTGCAAAAACAGTCCCAGACCACACAAAGCCAATGCACAGTCCCTGAATAAAATGGCACATTGAACTATTGATACGTGTAAGGATTAAAGTTACAAATCACATTTGCAAACGTGGTTTGTATCTAGCATTAATCTTCTGCTTCATGATATTTTTGAAGAAAGATTTCTATTAAGAAAGGAAACAAGATTGGTGCTGCAAAGGATTTGCGACCTATTTCAAATTCTTGTTCTCTTGGGCAAGTTAAAAAGCAATGGTGGATGTGTTAGTGTTTTTTTTAGTTTGACATTGGGGTTCATGAATTGGCTTCAGTATAGTGCAGATTTACCAATTAGGATTTTATGGATGAACAGGGCCCAAATATATATTTTTCTTCTTGCATCAAGTGATGTGAGATTTAATTTTAAGTAGCGTTCACAATGGTGGGTTTAGTCTATTTTTAGTCTTTCATTAGTAACTGATCTGTAAGCAGTGTCGCAGTCATCAAAAGTGGTAGAATGATTAAATCTTGACCTTAAAGCTTTCGTGACTGCAGGAATTATAATATTCTTTGGGTCTTTCGGTCAAGCCACGTAGATATAATTTGTCAAGCCACGTCGTGATAATTATAAAATATCACGACGTTTCGATCACAACACAAGCAAACGAAACGTCATGATATTTTAAAAAAAAAATTATATCTATGTGGCTTTACCGAAAGACCCAACGAATATGGTACAACGATTGCTTCAACAATTGGCAGGCACAATTCAATAGAAAAATTTTGTTTTCGGTATAAAAACCTTTTTTTATTGTTGCTTTCAACCCACTGACCATTGGTGATGTACGGTTAAATAATTCCCACAACAGGTGTGAGGGGGCCATCATCTAGCAGTGGATCGTACATGATCTAAACACATCACTCGCATATTCCACTTTAACACGCGCACCACTCACGCGCATACACAGCACTTGCACATATACACACTATTCATACCATTTGCGCACACACACACAACTTGCATTACTTACACCTGCATCAATAGTTCTCAACCCATGGGTGGTGGGGGGAGGGCAAGCTGGTGAATGTTCCAGAAGTCCAGTCGTCTTTACCAAGCAGTCAATGCACTGGCGCCCTCTAGAGGTGGCACATTTAACGTGAGGGCGAGACTAGGTAGAGGAGAAAGGCTTCAACTTTCTGGGCAAGGTGGTGCAGCCAAAGAGCAAGGCATGACTGTATACTAAAATGAGAACACTGGTTTTCCAGCAGGTTTGTGGGCATACAGCAAGTGGTTGTATGATTTAGCGAATAAAAGGGTCCCTTATCCCCCAGGCACAAATGTTCCTGGAGCCGCCACCCAGGCTGAAGAACCAGCAGCTGAAGCACCCAGAGGAGAGCAGCCAAACCCTGCAGCGGACTTCCTGCAGAACATCGGAGAGAACGTGGCAGCCATGCTGGGCCCTCTTGGTAAGCGGCTTGAGAGGGGGGAGATGGGTGGGAGGCAGGTGGGTGGCGAGGGTTGTGTGGTTGTGATTGGCCACCGTGGTGGCAAGCTGTTATCTGCCTTGTCTGATATACAGGAGGTCGTGGGTTCAATCCCGACCCCGATGCCTGTATATTTGGATGTTTGCATGTTCTCCACATGGTCGTGTGGATTTCTGTGGATTCTCCGTTTTTTTTCTCCTCCACATTTTAGAAACATGCTCTTAAATTATTTGGCTGCTATAAAGTGCCACGTGATAGCAACTTCGTTGACCTATCACCTTGTGGCCAGGTTGCCTCCTGAAGACGAGTTATATAGCTCCATGGGCTTTCCCTGGTAAAATGAGAATAGTTTAGTAATTTTAGAGGTAAGTGTGGCAATTTTTGCTTGTTTGTGTTGGTGAATGCCTCCCCTGAGTACATGTTTCGTGATGAATTAATGCTCATGGAAAGTGTAACAGTACTATTTGTTAGTAGTTTTGTTGTATTTTTATATTGTGCTGTATAGGTGTAGACTTGATGTAGCGCATGATGGGTGGTTTCGTTTTGGTTAGGTATTGATGCGATTTGGACTTTGTTATGCTGGTGTAATATTAAGTTGTGATGTTTAGCTATTTGAGTGGAGTTTGTGGCTCTGTTTAGGTATTGACGTGAGCGTCGACGTAGAACATGGTGGGCAACGGCGTCGCTGTGGAGCTCGTGCCGGCTGTGGTACTTGGGAGGCTCGTGGTCCATGCTCGGGAAAAGAGAAGGCCAAGGGAGAGAATAAGGAGGATCCCAAGGGGCAGGGAAAGGGAGAAGAGACCAAGGGACAGAGTCCATCCAAGGATGATGAACTTGGGATGGAAACCGAAGAAGTCTCCGACAATGACAAAGTAAGTTGGGTGCCAGGATGTAGTTTAATGTTGCATATTGTGCTTGTGTACAGTTTGCTGGGTGTGGTGATCTGTAGAAGGCAGTTCATGCAATTTGATCCATTTGCAACACTTTGAGTACTGCTCGCTCATGTTTCGGTTTTCTGTATTCTGTTCTGTAAGAAAAAAATATATTTGAAGTCGTGTGTACATATTTGAGTAAAGATTCATAATCAACGTTTTTGGGTTTGGATCGCGTTATTTATAAATGTGTCGTAACCCTCCACCACCTGACACGGCCAATCAGTAAAAAAGTGTCACGTTGACAAAAGACAATTCACTGCTTTAGCCCACCGGTGTGTTGAAGCGTGAAACCACAACATTTACAATTTGAGTACGACGTTTCGCTGGTAATTGCATCCAGCATCATCGGGCAATTTGCCAGAATGGTGAGGCTCTGCTGTGTCTCCCGTTCTTATATAGAGCAGCAGCAGGGTGACATCATCATTGAGTAAAGAGTTGCTTGACCTAGAACTTTTTTCATTAACATTTACCTGAGGGGCTTACTGATCATGTGATACCATGCCAGGCCATAGGTTAACATCACAGGGTTGTTGTTTCTCAATGGCTTCATAAAAGACATGTAAATGCTTTTAGGAATCCTATTAATTTGAATTATGGCCTCTCCCCTACATTATCATTTCTCAATTTAGTTTCCTCGATTTGTTCATTCGTTTGTTAGCGTGGTGTGGCGTGAGACTTGGTTTTTGGTACAATTTTTAATCTATTGCTCTCCCCGAGCAGGCCACGGCCACGGGTCCGGCTCGGGACTGGGAGACTGGGGAGGGGCCAATGGGCGGTGGCGTCACCGCCATGGATACGGTGCCCAGCAGCAGCGGAGGCGTTGCCATGGGTCCAGTTAACAACACCAGAGACAGTGTGCAGGTAGGTGGAAAGGAAGATGAATTGTAACAGGATATGAAGTGGTTAGTTACGCTTACATTTTACATTTTAAATTGTCCTGTAACTGCTTTGGAACATTACATAAAAATAGAACTGGACTGGTTTTCAGGCTGCATTGAATATGGCCATAGCAAAATGTGGCAATTTTATATCCATTACATTATACAGTTTAACAGTTCTCACAAACTTATTTTGTTTCAGTGATAAACCATTGTATTGAATTCATATTGTTGGGATACATTTCTATTCACACTACTGGATTCATCGTGTGAAATTGGTGTATATGAATCCCTTTGACTTTTTCTAAAGACTTGACTTTATTTTGATTCATTTCTTAACCTGATAAGTTTTTTGAGTAATTGATCCAATGACATATACGGTAAGGCCTCGACATTCATGAGGGGTTAGGTTTTTGAAAATATGCTCAACAAAAATGTGCGACTGTAGTTCCTGTGTTTTTTCCATATGCGGAAAAGGGTGGTTATGTTCTCATGTCTGACTGAACATACAGGGGGAAATTTTAATGTTTAATAGCATTTAATCCTGTACAGTAATTAAATAGTAAAATCCTTCAAATAGATAACACACACGACAAAATAGAATAAATAAAGTAAAACACCGGTGAATTTATTCTGTAAATGTGTAAGTTTTATTTACCTCTACACAACGTCATGGTCACTTGATCCTGAATGATACACACCATCTCGGTGGCCATATGACACGTCCTGAACAAACGGACGGCTAGATGCATATAGCAATGTGCGCAGTGCATGATCGCATAGAAGTATGTGTTGCACAATGGTTTTCATGCGCACACACGGGGGCCAGAAGCCACCACTGCGCAAGTACTACCCCTCCACTATGATGCCATGTTACCAAATTGCAAACAGTTGAGGGAGGGAAAAGGTGCAAAATCTTAACTGGTATTCAAATATAAAATTGCTAATAGTCACATTTTGGCAAAAGAAAAATCTCCCAAATGAAGAGTATTTACTATACTTGGTTTAACTCGAGTTGAAATGACAGCAATTTCATGACCTACTTAAATAGGATTGGTGACCAACAAATGAATTGGTTCTCGATTTTCTGCTTAATGGCTTATGGTGGTTTTATTATGTTTTATTTTTATTATTTCCATTCTACGTTACTTTACCGAAAGAACCAAGAAGATGAATCCCTGCAGTCACAAAAGCTTTAAATCGATAATTGTGGTGGTTTGTTTTTTCTTTTTTCCCCTTTGCAGGGCTCGCAGGTGGGGGAGGCAGGAGGCGATGATGAGTGGACCTATGTGACACCTGGGGATGATTCAGTGGGGGGCCCACGGGGGAGCACAGGAGGACCGCAGCAAGGGACAGGAGGGGCAGGAGGGTCGGAGAGCGCCGAGCCCCTCAAGGAAGACGGAGGAGGCCTGAGGGAGGCCGCCGCTTACCCCAACCTTCCCAATGGTACAGGGACACGTGTGTGCGCTCTTAAAATTTGCTTACACGCAGATGCATGCACTCGGTGACACTTAACTTGCACGTCGAAGCACACTTAGCACACGCTCAACCACAGACTGATCCAAGGAAACTCGTGTAGCATTTCACCTATAGATATTCACATACCTGCTTGCACATGTATACTTATCAGGAACACGTGATCTCATGCACGCTCACTCATAGACATGCTGTGACTCGTGCAAGCTAACATTGCACACAGTGATACATGCATTCAAACAGACCAAAGTATGACAGCAAGCGGGGTTGACACCGTGGCTCAGTGTGGGGAGCCATAAGAATATGGTCATCCCAAGTTAAGCAGGCACACGCCGGAAGCAGGTGGTGGGAGCCCTACTGTTAACAACCAGGGATGAGCGCAGGCCTGGTAGAGGGGATTTTCTGTGGGAAGAGGGACCCCCTATCTGAGCAGGATATTGGGAGAAGGATAAACCCAGGCAGGGTTGGGCAATGCCATGAAAGAAACGTGACAAAGGTGGACAAGTGATCAAAACTGGGTTGGATGGCTATTAAAAATTGTGAACATAAATCACAAACATTTTTAATAAATGAAGGTACAGCATACATACATACACATGGGGCTATACACGCCAACTTGTGTCCATCCGCCCCACTCCCTTCCCTGTGTAGATGCCGAGCCACGTCTGGTCGAAGCTCTGGCGCAGATGCTTTCCATGGGCTTCTCTGATGAGGGTGGATGGCTCGTCCGTCTGCTTCAGACCAAGGATTGCGATATTACACGCACACTCGATGCCCTGCAGCCAGGCCAGGCCAAGCCCGAGTGACCGCAACTAGTGGGAACTAAGGTCTGGTGCCTTTCCCTTGCGACTCATTCCCATGACCAGTTTTAGGCAACCAATTTTAAGTTGGGCCACCTTTGACTGATTACCTGAACAGTGCCGGAGTGGGTTATTACAATGGTTGATAACTGGGAACCCTGTGCTGTAGGCGTACTGTTATTTTTATTTACTGGTGAGAAGCATGAGTTTACCACATTTGTTTTAAAAACACAACAACAAATGGCAATAGCAAATTTTTTTTAATGGTAAACTCAACCTTAATAAAAACTGATAGTTTTAGTACCCAGTGTAAGGTTTAAACCCAATTGAAGGAGTTATTTGCAAAATGACAACCCGCCATACATTACCCCCACCCAACCTCACAATTTCCTTCCCACCAATGATTCATCCTCGCACGGTCGGGGAATTGGTGTTGACCGGCTGCACAGTTTATGGAAGTCTAAACCGGTGTGAATTTTGTCAGTTTAAAACTGGTCATAGAAATGTATATATGCTGATCGAAAACCCATCTGCATTATCTTTCGCTTGCATTGCTGTTCTGCTGTCTTGCATATGAAGGACAGCTCATTCCTGTTTCCTCCTCCCATGAACACGGCTCTTTTACCAACGTTTAGAATGCTTTTTCTCTATACTCTTCCTTGCTGTCTCACTTTGTATTTCACGTTCTCCAAACCCCAGTTTGTATTTTCATGGTCTCATCCTCGTTCCATTTTCCATTTTGAGCACGTTTCCTGGCAGTAATTATAGTCCTGGCTGGATGACGCTTAGCTTCGTCAATGCTGACCTTTATTCTCTACAGGTCTCATATTCAGCTTAAAACAACACCGTCTATAGTTTTAAGATACACGGTGTTGGGTGTTAAAATAGTTCCTGATTTAACGTGGTGAATCATTGATATATGTAATGTGCTGCATGTTTTGTGTGTATCGCAGCTAAATAACATGCATACATTTTTTAAGGTGATTTGTGATGTTGAAAGTAATGCTGGTTAAAGTGGTGATTGTTAAAGGTTTCTTCTGATTAAAACTATCGTTATACACATAAGCTGATGGTTTTGATGGAAGCTCAGTACACCCATCAAGTATCCAGAGCGATTATAAAAAAGTGCTCTCTGTTAACTGTATAACACTACCACGTAAGAAAAAATAAAATTAAAAAGTAATATATGTTTAGTAGCATCGTTGTTTTTTATTTGGAGCTGTCAGTTTAAAATGCAGTAATTAGGTTTCAATACAGATTGCAACGGTCTTTTAAAAAAAGGGTGGCTAACCTGACATCCTGCATGGAGAAGGCAGGAACCCTCTTCCCACAAACCTCATGCAGCGATTCGCATAGCCCATGATTTGAAAAAAATGCTATTAAATAATTATTTAGAATCTCATGTGTATGGCCCTCCTATTTTGGCTTTGCCACTTTCATCCCATTTATACATAATTGGATAATTTTCATGAAGAAAACGTTGCAAATCAAAAATGTACGCAATCCAATATGCATCATGAGCGGAAAAACTGAAGCCAATCTTTGCATCTGAACAAGATGGAGGCTGATGGTGCTTCTGCTGTTCTCAGGAAGAGCTACTTGTTCTTGACACAGCGCAAACTAAACGACCAACAACTGCTCAATGAGTACTGTACCGCCATGCAGCCATGGAGGAAATGGTAGATTTACGAGTGGTCTCGCTAACCACCTGGAACGTCTCCCCTAACTTAATCTATTAGGGAATTGGAGTTGTGACATGAGCTAATGCAATTTAACTCGTTTGCTACCCTGGCCAAGTTCAATAAGAAAAAAACTCTGCCTCGCATAGCTTATGGCTGGCAAATATCAGGTGTTCTCATTTAACAATGTTATTCATAGCATTATTTAACAATGTTATTCATAGGTATAGTTAAACCATTTAATCTGCCCGTTGCATTGATCTCTGATCTTTCACGGATTTCTGTGTGGCAATAATCTTGCTGAGAGGACCCAAGTTTGGATTTATTTTCCATGTCCAAAGCCTTTGGTGAACTGAACAATTGTTCATATCCATGCACAAATTACGTCAAAGTTGATGCTGCTTTCATATCTGCGATAAAGACCCAAATTATTACCTCACTACAAAACATTACCAAGCTGCAGGGTGTACACATTTTACAGGTAGGAAAAACAGGTTCCACACTGCCCACCCAGGGATTGTCGTGCATATTACAACCTCCAACACGACTACGGTATCCAACACGGATCGCACGAATGCACTGTCAACCAAGTTCCTACCTGCCCACTCTGAAGGAACGTGCTTTTCCCACGTGTCCTGACCGGTACTCCAAGATGCGATCGTGTCCATCCAGTGCTCGCTGAGCGTCATTAGCCTCCGGTTGCCGAACGAATATATTATAAGGTCTCGCTCATTAAAAACAGTGTTTGCCACAAATTAACCACAATACCCTGATCTCAACAAAGAGCATAAACCAGCAACAAGCTCCAGTCATCCTCGCAGCAAATTTTGGCTAACCAAACAAAAACGGTAACTGAATTGTCCTTTAGATGTGCTTTTTGGGCCGTGTGGAACACACTTCTGATATTAGGAGCCACTGGAGCTATGCACTTTTAAATCTAAATAGAAAATGCATTATTTTATAACTTTTTGTGTTTCGTGTCCTTCCCCCGCACCTCCGATCAGCTGTTTGCTACGTATGGTGCGAAAGAAGTTCAATATACAATGTAATGCAGTCACATTGATACAGCAACTGACCAATTCACTTGCTTCTTGCTCACCAGTAATCTGATGCCTTCTAATTACTCATTGCTACCGGTTACTGTTCGAATGATCTTCCCTCATGAATTCTCCACCCATGTTGAGGACTGTTTACCAGACTTGTTTCCTCACGACACAACCAACCAACATGCTGAAGGTCAAAACGCTGAGTTGTTTTTTGTTGGCTGTCTGGTGGTTTAGTCCTCACACTTTTTTTTAATCTACAATTTTTGAGAAATGTCTACATATCTAATGCAACGAATTGGTTTGTTGATAAATGCTTTAGAAAATGCTAATTAAATTTGTCATTATATCAAAATTTAACCCACGTTAACAGCAAAGTGAAAGTCTAAGTTTTGGTAATAACGAGGATGAAATAATACATTTCCAATGAAATCGAATGTCATCTTTGTTACAATTAGCTGTATTTAAACAAAAACTAACAAGCAGTCGGTGTACACAACACATGGTGTTCATGTTGATAGCCAGTTGTATTTTGAGATCACAAGAATACAAATACCAAGTTTGTTATTCGGCTTAATTGTCAAGCATTAAGGTTTAAGATTAGCTTCAACCGGCCAATAATCCTTTAAGCGATGTGTCCTGATCTTTTTCTGTCTGGGTGCAATTTCTAGCATGCATTTCGACATGCTTGTTGGCAAATTCCTTGCTTAATTTTCTTTGTAAATGTCAAGTATATACTTGGCATGAATTTAAAAGTGTTGCTTTTCATGATCAATTTCCAAAAGCCTTCCATTCTGTACAAGAATAAGTCTTGGATTTATTTTGCAATTTGTACACTTAATTTTTTATATTGATTTTAACTGCATAACAGAACAAAAGCATACAACTCATTGCATCCACATTGCTTTATTTACCATTGTGACAATTAATATTTATAAGTAGAAAAAAGAGAAAGCCAACACATGACAAGGTGAAGGAATTAGAAAATCGATCAACAAACATGAAAAGAGTCCAGAATAGCAATGCAACTTCAGATTCGCAATTCTGAGTGACTTATCAGTCTTGTGAAGTATTCTACATTGATGTTTATTGAGCTCCAGAAAACGAGTATATTTATGCTTGTTTTAGAAACTTTCAACTTATGTCAAACAACCCAGACAGCCAAGTGTGTGTTTGGATTGGGTATTCAATATGCCCCATGACCTGCTTGCTCCTCCCCATTTGTTTTCCGTTTGGGTTCCGGTTTTGATGTCGTTCAGTCACTCGTCGTTATCTGGAAACCGATACAGATCCGGGGGGCAGAGGGGAAGAGAGAAATGATCGATTGTGACAGCACGTCATCATTGTACTGTAAACTCTTGCAGAAGCAATGCATAGCAGCGTGTTGGAGAATGACCCGGAAAATGTAACTATTCCCGAATTGTGAAGCAGTGAGTGCACTGTGAGGAAAGGTGTTGTGGGGCAGGGCTTGTGAAGCAGGGGGTTGCGACGCAGGGGGTTGCACACCCTGGTAGGCTCCATCAGCCATGACGAGGTGCAAGATCTTCTGGTAGAAATGAGCAAAGCCCGGCTCCAACATTTCACGTGCACGTACACTCACGTCCTCAACAGACTCATCCTCATCTTCGTGAGATGCCTGAGAAATCATGCACACGTATAAAATACTATTATGTATTGAAAGGTGTGAGTCATTCCGGTAATATATATACACGCAAACGAATTACACCAACAATCTGTAAATATACCCCCTTTAATTTCATTATTTTTGTAGAGAATGGGACATGACCTGGACAGGGGGTAAAGATGCGAGTGATGGGTTTGTGATAACCTGCAAGACTAGTGTGTAGAAAGTCTACTGATAATAATACACTAAGATCCAACGTTCTTCCTCCTAAATGGTAGGGAACAGGTGCTGTTAGGTGGAGTACTAGCAATCCCGACTCGTGTTACCCACCAGCATTTGCATGCTTGAAGAATTCCTTCTGGTTTACACAAGTTAACATGAGTCTGGAAAGCTGGTAAGTCAACAAATTGAAATATATACAGTACCTGTATTTGAGTGAAGATAGTGGCAATGTTTGAATTTGCATATTTCTACACTTGCGCGTGAGACATTACCTGTATGGTGCGATAAGCTTCCAGAAACCGCTCCACACCCATCTCTGTCTCGAGTGTCACGCGCATTGCCTCCAGACGACTAAACACGCTGTCGCCTCCTTCTGCCTCACTCTCATCTGTAGGCACGCACACACAGGAGCTGTTATTCACCACCGACAGTGATGTCGTCATAGTGTCTGTGCAGGGCAAGGTGCACTTTGAAGCTACGTGAAGTGTGAAAGGCTTGCTTGCAGGAGGCCATGGCAGAGTTCCTGGTGTTTTGGATTAACTAAGATGACTGGCAGATGCAGCACCTGTACTCTGTGCCAACTTGCTGTGATTTAGCCACCTGGCACTCTGCTCATTGTTGTGAGCATTGTTTCGAGGTGACCGAGGCTCTCCATATCAACTTTGACTTCATTGCAGCGTACAATTGTGTATCATCAGAATATTGATGGAACTTGATGTCATGCGATTAATGACACCAGCAATCGGAGAGAGGGTTGATCAAACTCAGATGGCAGACCGGGATAACACATTGCCTTTCTTCATCGTCACTGTTTAATTGTTGAAGAACATCGTAGGTACTGAGCACAGATGGGGTTGACGAGTTTATGGGTAGATGGAGTGCAGCAGACCCTTCACGACACGCCAGAGCATGCAGGTCGACAGCTGACTTATTGATGTGCAGAGCATAGAAGGACAATCTGCGAGACTCAATAATGAGTCGGTTGGCAGATCTGCAGGCAGCTCCGTAAGCAAGTTGGACAATGTCGTGCAGCGTGCCACTAGTTACCATGACACAAGAACAAAGATCCCCCGTATTGCCTTAGCAGACTGTTGGGGCAAGTGCTGTTAGTGAGCACCTATAAAGGCCGTCACAGCACACAAGGGGGTGGGTGGCCAGAACCATGCCTGGCCGCCTTTGTCTCCCCAGTGGCGATGTTTACACATCGCACCAGGTACTCATTTGAGGCTGAGACGGCCTAGGGGAGGCCCAGAACAAATTCAGATAATCATCACTGATCTTGGCTGTGAGTGGGAATCAAACTTAGGTCGCCGGTTTCATAGCACTGCACGCTAACTGTTGCACTTCCGCTCCCTACAAGAACACACAGATGACACAAGAACAAAGACAAAGATCTCCTGTATAGCCTTAACAGACTGTTGGGGCAAGTGCTGTTAGCGAGCACCTATGAAGGCCAGAACGTTACACGACGGGGTGGGTGACCAGCACCACACCCAACCGCCTTTGTCTCCCTCGTGGCGATGTTTACACACCACACCAGGTACTAATTTGAAGCTGAGTCGATCTAGGGGAGGCCCAGGACCGGTTTAAATAATCGTAACTGGTGTTGGCCGTGAGCGACTCGGGTTGCTGGGTTCATAGCATAGCGTGCTAACCGCTCCACTACCACTCCCCATAAGAACACACAGGTGCACACACACAAATGCAATTGTTTACATACTGTACACACCTGTCATGAATGTATATTTAGCAATGCATGCATAAAACACACATTCACAAAAGCACTCATATATCTTCTTACACTCAAATTAACTTCTAATTTATATACATATGCACTTTCACTCACACACAATTGATCACACACACCCATCCACTCACTTGAAATTACACACTCATCCATTCACACATTCATCTCTTGACACATTCACACACAGACCTGACTGCCAGTCCTCATGAATCAGCCTGTCCTCTTGTTCGTCCGTGTGGTCAGCATCATCGCTCTCCTCCTCTAGAAGCTGAGCCATAGACGCCTGTAGCTCAGCCAGCTCGCTGTGCGGACAAGATGAGTGCCCGCACCCAACATGGCAAGTACACGGGTAAACACAGAATTGTTAAAACACCTGTACACATGACACGTACGGTAAAAGTTAACATATGCAAATCAAGTGTACACACACAATACACGGCAGAGGTCGCAATCGGGTACCCGATACCTGTACCCTACCCGATACCCGGCTACCCGGCCAGGTACGGGTACCCGTTTGCGACCCTGGTGCGGCCGGGTACGGGTAGCCGCACGTGACTCACCCCAACCAATGAGAAGGCCGTGAGTCACTGGTGAGTAACCGTTTGTCACTCATTTCCCAACGTCTTGTCTCTTCTCACAATTCAAGTTCCTAGAATCAACCCACCCGCGCCTGCAACATGGCTTCATCCCAGAGGTCGCAATCGGGTACCCGATACCCGTACCCTACCCGATACCCGGCTACCCGTACCCGGCCGGGTACGGGTAAGGAATCAAAACCCGTTTGCGACCTCCGATACATGGTCCATATAGACGCAACATGTGTGCACCAACACGCCACTTGTACGCAGGTCGTGTGCTTGTGCATGCATAACATGTGCACACACACACACAAGGTGTAAGTACATTACGTGAATGCATGTACTTAAGGGTACTCAGGTGTCTGGGTGTGCTATAAAGCTGCTGTGTGTGCATACATGCACATATGAATGCGTACATGCATGCCTGTGTGTGCATTTGTACCTGAGCGCGTGTAAGAATATGGGCGGTGAATGCGTGTGTATACATATGATCCACATACTCATCCTCTCCATCTGAAATGATGGATTCTTCCTCTGGAATCTCTCCGCAAGTCCTGCTGTTCTTCTCTAACTCCTCTAGAATTTCCTCATCACCACTGTCATCTCCATCGGTGCCACCATTATTATCACCACTGCCCTCTCCAGATGCATTGGCAATGTCTCCCTCTTCCAGTGACTCCCTTTTAGACATGCCCTGATCTTCCACATTACTGCGATGCCCTTTAATTGCTGCCCTGGGCACAAAACCATCAGAACCCTTGTAGTCCCCGGCCTCGACACAACCCCGGTCGCCATGATCTGGCTGGACCTGGCGGAGGTCAGGCATGGAGCATGTCCTTAGCATCTGCTGTGAAATGGGAGGAAACAAAACAAGTGCAATCAAAGGAAACACGATCCCCATGTCTGGCCAGGCACTGCCCAGACTTGGCCATTGAGAGACTTCTGAAGGCCATGGCAATCATTAATCCTTGCTCTAACTACACCATGTTCCATTCTAAAACAAGCGCTGCGCATACTTGGACAAACTTGATCATTGTTCCCCTAGTGGTTAACTGGAATGGCCACTGAAAATCAGACAAAGTCACACGACTACCTGAGGTTGTATGGTGATCTATAGAACGGTATTTTAAAACTCAAATTTGTATTAGCTTTACAGAACTCCTTTACTTTGTGCCATTGCCATACCAAATTTCCATTGCTGCTCAAAGCAAATGTGTGGCAGGAAATTATTTCCATAAAATTGCTCGAGTGTATCATGGCTTTGGGAGACTTGGAGATACACATTGCCCCAGGAGTTGAATACAGGCAAGCAGAGGTACTGCATTGACAGCCATGACGACCCGACTGAGAAAGAGACACAAACACGTAGCCTCAAGACTTGAATCGATGCATTCTATGGTGCTGGCTAATGGGCAATTTTATGGGAATCATCGATAATTATCACCAGCAATACATTATAAGCAACTATGGCAACCTGATACATGATTACACCATGGCATTGAGTGATGTGCCCACTAGATGATCACATCTGTACACATTTTTTGCAATAGTAACTCGTGCGGCAACTATTGCTGATGTTGATTGCCCTGAAATTGCCCCAATGTATAATCGTCTTTAAAGTCCTGATGTAGTCATCATGAGCCTAGTGACTCAAACTCACCATGGGGCTGTAGACATCGAAGAGGCCACGGGAGAGGCTCAACAGCAGCGATGAGCCGTCAACTCTGGATGCCTCTACGGGGTCCATGTGTCCCTCTCTGTGTCTGCGTGGGGACCCAGGCAACCCCCTGTTCCCTGGGGCAGTCTCCATCTCCTCCTCCATTTGTGTCTCCTTCTTCGCCGTCTTGGACACTGTCTCAATCACCGTCTCTTGCTTTGGCTCAGCTTGCTCCACTTTCTCTGGTTGTTTCTCTATTTCTCCCTTAGTCCCTCTCTCTGTCCATTTTTCCAAATCTGTCCCACTCCCTTTGACCGTCTCACTCTTTGTGTCTCCTTGTGTGAGTGTCTCTACCCGTGATTCTCTTTCCATCAATGTTTCACCTCCATTCTTACCTTCTTTGGATGTCTCGTTCTTTGTCTCTTCTTTTACCCTGCTCTCTCCAGCTATCTCTCTATCTATGCCTCCTGTCTCTCTCTGCGACTGTGTTTCTGTCTCACCATCAATGCCTATACAAGTTCCATCTGCTGCTTGTTCTGAAAAAGACTCTTCTGCAGCCAGTATTTCTGTTTTTCCTAAGCCTCCCTCCTCATGCTGAGGTATCAGTGGGGCATTTTCTTCTGCTTCCTCTCCCACCTCAGGAATTCTAGACTCTTTGGGACTTTCAACTGGGTATTTTGCAACAGTATTTGCTGGAACCACTTCTTCGGAGGTAAAACACCCTTGCTTTGCAGGGAACAGTTTGCCTTGTGGCCTCAATAGCCATATACCCGATTTTCGGGAATTCACAGGCTTAGGGTGATCTGGCGTTGGTGAAAATCCATTGTCCATGCCACGCATCCCCTGGGAGTCACCATAGCTTGTTGGAGCTCCCAATGAAAATCTTTCATCTGCCTTGAAGAGTGGAATTTTAGGATCTGCATCCTGTTGCTTCTCCATTTCTTGGCACAATCCTGGCTGTGTTGACTCTTTGGGAATTGGTAACCCAGGTTCACAGGATCCACGTGAATTTACATCAGTTCCACTTGAAACACTGGACTCTTTTGGGAATTCTGGACGGGTAACTCTGGTGAAGAGTCTTTGAGGGTCAGACTCGTGGTCTGGCGGCTGCGCTGCTGGATGTGGAGTGGCAAGACATTGTGTTACGTTAATACGACTGAATTAAAACAGCAATACAATAAACTAATTAGAGACAGGCAAGTAGATACACTCTATCCATACTCGAGTTATATATATATATCCCCAATATATATAGGGAGTGTAACAGTGGTGCAGTGATAGTCACACTGTGCTACGGACCCGATAACACAATTTAAATTCATTCACAAGGACACACAGGTTACAAACTCCTATTATGGTCAGGAAAGCATACAAGGCGTGTGATGTATCAAATACCATGCACACCAGACTAGCTTTACCTGGCTTGTGTTGATATTGCCGACACCTCACCAAGTACTAATTTTATGCTGAGTTGACTTAGGAAGAGTCCAGTCTGACTTACGATACCAATTACAATTGGCGAATGGATTTTGGGTAGGAATAAAACACAGATTCCTGGAGTATTAACACAGTATGCTCATAACTATGCCACCACTGCACAAACTTGCACACACACGTGTATGCAAAGGTACACGGACAACAACAACAACCGCCATTCGCCACTAAGTGGCGGTGACGTCACCACGATGCTTGTGCCAGGCCAAGTGCACCTTGAGGCCACGTGAAGTGTCGAAAGCCCGCTGGCAGGAGGTCACGGGGCAGACCCAGGTGCCACTGGTCGACTGACCGAGATGACCGAGATGACTGGCTGATGCACCACCTGTGCCCCCTACTGTGCCAACTTGCTGTGCTTTAGCCACCCGGCGCTCCGCTCGTTGTTGTGAGCGTCGCTCCTCCGCCCTCCGTTGTTGTTGGAGGGCGACTGCCTCCAACTGCCCAGTAGCGTCCTTCACGAGCCTCCTCCACTCAGGCCGATCTTGACACCGCTGGTACCAGTCATCTGCAAGTCCACTCAGCTCCACGTCCTCCTGTACCACATCACTCCATCTCTTCTCCAGCCCGTGCCGCGCCCGTCTAGCCCCCTCGATCCGGCCGAACAAAAGCTGTTTAGGCATGCGGTGGCTGGGCATGCGGGCTACATGACCCAGCCAACGCAGCCTTGCCTGCCGGAGGAGCTCACTGATGGGACTTTGCCCAGATCTTTCAAGGATTTGTGAGCTCCTCACACAATCCAGCCTGGTTAAACCCAGGATGGATCGTAGGCAGGCCAGCCTAAATGTTTCCAACCGGCGAAGATGCTCCACCAGGGGGGTCCACGTCTCGCAAGCGTAGAGAAGGGAGGGAATGACCGTGGCCGAGAAGACCTGAAGCTTCGTGCGGAGCGACAGACCAGGTAGCTTCCACACAGCGTTACGCAACCGATGAAAAGATATTGCCGCTCGACTGATTCGGAGTGAGACCTCTGCTGATAGACTGGAGCCGGTCATAAGCACACTGCCCAGGTATGGGAAACTCTCCACTCTCTCCACAACTGCCCCATCACCAATTGGGAGTTGTGGGGGTGGAGTGTCCGATGGTACAAAATACCCAGGCAGGTGCTTGGTTTTGGTGGGGCTGATGGTAAGGCCCCACCTCTTAGTGGCACGCTCCAGTCCCAGCAGCAGCGCCTCCAACTCCTCTTCTGAATGAGCAGCTATTACCAAATCATCGGCATACATAACGTGGTTGACCAATAGGGAGCCATCCCTTGATCGCACCCGGGCGTCGATCAGCCTCCCATTATATCTGTACCAAACGGAAATTCCCCCGGTACAGCTATTGAAGGCTTCACGAACTACGCGGTCAAAATAGATGTTAAATAATGTGGGAGCCAGAGGACATCCCTGTCGCACCCCAAGGTGTACAGGGAAAGGCTCCGACTCCCGGCCACGTAGTTTTACCCGGGCCCGCTCACCATCATGAAGGTCCTTAATGATCGTGAGCAGAGGGTCAGGGACTCCGAAAGCACGAAGAACAACCCAGAGTCCAGTCCTACTGATGGTATCATAGGCCTTGACCAGGTCAATAAAGCAGAGATGTAGGTCTTTTTGGAATTCCCTACACCTCTGCTGTAGCAGACGGACAGAAAATATGGCATCTGTGCAGGACCGCCCTTTCCTGAAACCGCATTGGGGCTCCGCAAGCCCCTCCTCAGCGTGCCTAGCAAGGCGATGTTGAATAATCCTTGCCAGGACCTTACCCGGCACACTGAGGAGTGAGATGCCCCTGTAGTTGTTACAGTCTGTGCGGTCCCCCTTCTTAAAGAGGGGGACCACCAGGGCATCCTTCCAGTCCTGCGGAACCCGTCCAGTGGTCCAGACTGTTGTTATGATGTCATATAGGGCAGTCTGTGCACAAACGCCACCCTCCCTCAGCATTTCGCTTGGGAGATCATCTCTGCCCGGTGCCTTCCCTGGTCTCAGACACGGACAGACACACACACACACACACGAAACCCTACCTGGGTGGGTACTGAGTACAGAGCTCTCAGCATCCAGTTGAACTTTTTCATTAGCCGAGGATGCAGAGGGAATGCTGGAGTCCTGCTTCTCTTCCCTGAATGACCAAAATATATAACACAACAGCACACCAAAGCTTATCACGATGATGGCCAACAAAATGAAACATGTTTAACTGCCTATACTAATTACAATAATCAAATAAGTATGGAGGTTTACGTTCGTGAAAATAAAAATATTTTTAAAAATAATGGGATTTTTTTTATAGACTAATGATTCCCCGAGGTATACATTGATTTATTATAAACACTAACCTAAAAACAAATTTCATATCCCTGACTCTTGAGTGTTGATGAATGGTTGCTCCTGCATGTAACAACAATGCACCTATTGGCAATGGTTTACAAGGCCACAACTTGAGGAGATACTGAAACTCGTACAGAACAGCCTACCCCTGCAAATGTCAGTGCCGTCTGTCACTGATGTCAATTTTACGGCAAACGAGGGAACGATGCCAACCCTAACTGCAAGCAATAATAAAATTCTCACTTGTATCTAACCGAAACCAGACTATTTTGGTTTTGAATTGGGTGCTAGGTGGATTCCCACTTCTACAGGTGATGGTCAGTGTATAGCTCAGCTCCACGGTAGGTCCTGGTACCAAAGACACTATTTTTACTGTCCTGTCACGACATCGTCCAGCAGATGTTCTTGCTTGGTTCTGGCATGCACCAAAGCAGTTGTGCGGATGCACTGGATGATGGACTTGCGTGACGATGATTACAAGCTGATGGGCTGCATAGCAGCCTAGAATATTCCTATCGCTGTGATTGAGCTGATCTGCACACATAGACAAAGATACCTCGTATAGCCTTAATAGACTTACGAGCAACTGCTGTTAGCGAGCACCGATGAAGGCTGGCACGACACATGAGGGGGTGGGTGACCAGCATCATGTCCGGCCGCCTTTGTCTCCCGAATGGCGATGTTTACACACCACACCAGATACTCATTTGAGGCTGAGTCGACTTAGAGGAGGCCCAGGATCAGTTCCGATAATCGTCACTGGTTGTGATCCTGAGCAGGAATTGAACCGGGGTCACTGGGTTTCGTAGCACAGCATGTTAACCGCTACTATACCTCAAACTGCACAAGCACACACACACACGTGCACACGTAGTGTGCATACACACACTTGCCTTTTCTGTGGATCTCCACCCCATGCATCACGAGCAGGGACTGCGATCGCATCTGCAGTGATGACGGCTCCCTCATCCAAACTCTCAGCCTCAAGATCTTCGATGTCTTCACACACGCAAAGATGTTCATTCACTATTAATGTTATTATACTGTCTATCTAAAATGTTGGCACAGTGGTCAAGAGTGTGCAACCTGCAATGAGGACTAAGTTAAAATCTCACGACAGGAGCTGACTTAGCCCTTCATCCCTCTGGGGGTTAACAAGATAAATTCCACATTGTGATAAGTTCACAGCGGACACACACTATACAGGAGACTGTACCACAAGCTCAGTGTTTGTGTGAGCAGGAGCCCACAGTTGACTGTGTGCTGTACTTTCCTGCTACCCAATTTCGAAACCCACCAGTGTTTTTGGCTCTGGTCTACATTACAAGATAGCCTGATGTTATTAATTTATTTTATTATTTCCCTTCTACATGACTTTACCGAAAGAACCAAGAATATGGTCACACCCTGCTTATGAGACTTGATGAAGTGGTGATGTTGTGAAGTTGTCATACCCACCAGTGTTGCCGAGTAGGGTGTGTGTGGTAGAGATGGGAGCATCTCTGAGTGCCCTCAATACGGTGCTCGGCTGGGCCCTCTCCCACTGTTTCCTCTCCTCTATCTCTGCATCTGAATCTCACACACACACAAAAGATTCCCATTAGCCATAGGGTAAGTACAGTTAGTGAATACCTGTGTTAGACAGAATGGTGTGGCTAGCACTGCATCTTAGCCACCTTATTTTCCACAATGGTGATGTTCACACGCAGGACCAAGTAAACACTTTAGGTTTAGTTGATCTAGGGGAGGTTTACAAATGACACTTGTGGTCTGCTGAGAATGTGTGGTACATGAGGACCTGGAAATGAATGGAATTGTTACCAGCTGGTACCAATGTCATTATTAGGCTCTCTTGAGAAGATTCGTGAATAACGTTACTTTCTTGGAAATAGGAAATGGTTTACCTCCAACAGAAGGCAGAGGGCAATGCTTATGATAATGAGTTCAGCAATGGGGAGTGAAGGTGGTGAATCTGTCTGTTACCCTGGGTCTATTAAACCATAACAACTGAATATGTTCAGCAAGAGCTATTACCACTGTATTTGGCCTCAAAGTCTACCTAGCCTGACAGAGGTGCCATGGTGATGTGACATTAGTGGCTAATTTTGGCAGTTGTTATTGTTTGATATGCATTAATGTGCACAAGTGCGAGCATGTCCATGTGAAGTTTACCCCCGACAGCGCCAGCCGTCTCCTCCAGGGAGAGATGGGAGAGACCCAATCCTTGATCTCTCCCAAATCCCCAGCGCTGTCTGTGCTTTGCCTACATGGAAACACATATCGAGACAGATAAAACCAGAGTAAAACTAGATGTCATTTTCTGCTATAATTTGTTACAAATGGTAGGCATTGTAAACAAGGAATCCATCAATATACAGATAGAACATTGTATGGATGTGAGAGACTTCCCATGACAGAAAAAGAGCAATTAAAATAAGCCATTTATACCAAGTGGTTATAACTGTTCATGGTGATGATAGTGGTGTTAGATGGAGGTGAAGGTACTCTGATGATGGCAGCGATGGTGATGATTGCTAAATGTGGTGAATATCGACAATGCCAGTGCCATTGATCATAGTCGTGATGGTGATGATGGAGGACATTTTATGATGCCGAGTGTCTTGCCGGAAGGTCGTGAGCTGACAAATCGGCTCCAGCATGGCTGTGGGGGCCAGGGTCACCCACATGGTGAGCCATGGCATCCTCCCCAACCTCTGATCCCTTGACGACCTCTGAATCCACCACACCCTCAGACTTCTTCATGACTTCCTCTTCGACCTTTGCCCCTTTTGTGACTACTACCCCCTCCTTCACATCCAAAACGTCCGCCTGCATGTTCATGTTCAGACGCCGCAATATTTCACGCTTCTCCTTCTGCAAACAAGATACACAATCACAGGCACACACTTATGTACAAAGCCATGCAAAAACACAGGGGCAGAGGCGTTATACCTACACACAGGCACAGGTGGCTCAGTATGCATGTTGAACTTCTTTTGCGTTGTACGTAGTTAACCGTGCTAATCGGAAGTGCGGGGGAAGCACAACAAACTAAACACAAAAAGCAGTTCTTAAGAAATGAGATTTCAATCTAGATTTAAAAGTGCATAGCTCCAGTGGCTTCCTAATATCGGAAGGAAGAGCGTTCCAAACGGCCGCAGAAGCACATCTGAAAGTGCGCGATGCAGTGACCGTCTTTGTTCGATGGCGAGCTAAAAGCCGCTGTGAAGATGACTGGAGTTCGCGTAATGGTTTATGTTCCTTCACGAGATCAGAAAGATATTGTGGTTCACTTTTTGGCAAGCACTTTGTAATGAGTGCGACTTTATAATGTATTCGTTCGGCAATCGGAAGCCAATGCAGCTTGGCGAGCACTGGACAGATATGGTCGGATCTAGCAATACCTGCCACGACACCTGCCAAACAATTTTGTACATGCTGCAGCTTGGTAATGTTTTTGCTAGACATCCTGTAGAGTAGTGAGGTGCAATAATCGAGACTTGTCGATACAGGTGACCCCCAACTTACGGCTAGACTTGTGACCCCTCACTTTTACGACCTTTATTATAGTAAGACCCCCACATTAGTGACCAAAACTACTGACGCCTCGTCAATTGGCGCTGCTTTGCTTTTCCGCCATCTGCATATGTACAGTCTGCAGCTGCTCCTAGAGCGAACGCAGCGTCTCTTTCGCAATGCTCTTCACTTTTTTATACATTTTCTTCAAATTTAGAAAAATCTTCACCTCTCGCTATGTATGAGAAGAGGAAATGTGATGCACATGCAGAAAAGTACTTAAGCATTCTAAAATATAGTGTTTGTTTTTACTTAACAAATGTTTGTAAAAGTTAGGTTCAGTTACAATACATTTTTGTTCGGTTTATTTTCATTTATTTTCGTTGTCAATTTTGAGACGAGGGTTTGACTTACGATGACTCGACTTGCGACCGTGGTCCAGGAACCAATTAGGTCGTAGGTGCGGGGGTTTGCCTATACGATGCTACACGCCACCATGATGGCTATGTTATGACTCAATAGTGGTCGAATGTGTCGTAGAACCCCAATATGAAAACTGCAGGACCTGACTATATTTTTTACGTGGTGATCAAATGACAAATTCTGGTCGAGTATGGTGCCGAGGCTCTTTATACGAGTATAAAACTGAATCCTGGAGTCTGCCACCGCCACCCCTGATCCTCCTACACATATTTCGCCTGAGTCTGAGTGCCAACCAGCAGTGGTAGAGCGAGTGGCTTGCAATCAGAAGTTTGCAAGTTTGAATCCTGAGGTGAAGCTGACTCAGCCCATAATCACTCCAGGGTCGATAAAATAAGTACCACATTGTGGGGAAGTCAACAGTGGTTGTTCTATGGATAAACTCACCCCTGCCATCAGAGATTTTAATCTAGACCAATGGCCTCGGGTTCTGAACAGGACATGAGCACCGATGGCTCAATGCTCCTTAGAGTAGGAAACCACTTGGTTATGTATGTAAGTCATGTGTCTCGTGTGTACCTTTGTTGGAGACAAGTGGGACTCGGCTGTTGTTGGCTCTTCAACTGGAAGGGGTTGCTCCTGGTTTTAAAACAGTAATTGCAATTACTAAAGGAGAACAGGAGGAGGTTCATTAACAGTACAGGAACACCACGTACATACATGCACATACACTCGTATAATCACACTTGAACATTCAAGTGTGCATGTGTAGAGGAGTGAAATATGTGGTGCGCACAGTTAACTGAGGGCGCACAGTTAACTGAGGGCAAACAGGTGTGCGTGTGCAACACGAGGTTTGCACGGACAAACCGCCAGTTGTTAAGGAGCGAAGCAGGTGCAAATGTGGTCGACTGGTTGTGCTCGTTGAGACCGGAGGTGTTGCCAGGGAGACGGGAGATAAGGATTGATTTGATGGGCCAACAGACGCCGGCCTGGAGAGAGCTTAAAGAGACGCACAAGATGTCTTGGATAATTAGCAGAGGGATATACGGGTGTGTGCGTGAGCGGAGAGGGAGTTGTTGCCGGGGTGGAAGAGTGAAGACATCTCGCTGCTACCGCTCCAGCCGTCAACGGGACCTCAACCCTCATGCCGTCGCAGGCCGAGTGTTGGCTGATCCCCCCGCCCGGGACAGACGGGTGAGCGGGTCTGAGGGAGCGTAGGTGAGGGCAGCGGTGAAGATGTAGAGTTGCTGTGTGCGGAGACGCTGTGTGCGGAGACGCTGTGTGCGAGGACGCTGTGTGCGGAGTCGCTGTGTGCGGAGACGCTGTGTGTGGAGACGCTGTGTGCGGAGACGCTGTGTGCGGAGACGCTGTGTGCGGAGTCGCTGTGTGCGGAGACGGTGTGTGCGGAGACGCTGTGTGCGAAGTCGCTGAGAGTAGAGCTGCTGAGTGCAGGATAAGTGAGGTGAAAGGTAGATTTAGAGTGGGGAGAAGTTAAACACAAGTGACCATTTAGATAGTTATAAAAGTGCCTACAACTGGTGCAAGATTAGGTGAATAAAGTGTAAGCAGGTGACTTGTTACAACGTGTTGGTGTGAGTAATTTTTGAAGACACTACACATGTATGGACTGATGTCCACTCACATACATATTGCACTCACATACACGTACCTCTATAAACTTGTATAAGTCCTCACACCCCTTTACCAATATATATCACACATATCATATGGCGATGTTTTCACAATGCACCAGGCACTAATTTGAGGCCGAGGAGACCGAGGGAAGGCCCAAGACTAGTTCAGATATTCATAGCTGGTCTTGGCCATGGGCGGGAATAGAATTCGGGTCACTGTGTTTGTAGCGCAGCACACTAACCGCTTCACTACCATTCCCCACAGTCACACACATTTGTAAAGACAATGAAGTCTCACCACTCCAATTGCTCCGAATGCTGCAGTCAGGGATGTGGAGGGATGAGAAGGGACTGTGGGGGTCTCGTCTGGAGGCATGGGGCCTCCTGCATCGTGGGGGAGGCCCAGCACAGAGGAAGCAGACGCGGGGCGTGGGGCAGCCTTCACCCCCTTGGCAACGAGCTGCATGGCACAGCACCCATACCATACATGTATCACAAGTATCACACACATATCACACACACCATGCCACTATACTACTTGCATCACACACCACACGCACCATACCACTTACACTAAAAACATCACATACCACACACAAAACATGCTATTCTATACATTAAAAATTATCTACATTATGGGAACCTCATTTGCCAGTAAAAATATGATAATTGGTTTTTTTACCCTTCTATCTGGCAGTTTTGTTGCCAGATAGAAGGGTAAAAAAAACAAATATCATTAAAAATTATGTTCATATTTACCACATGCGAGGAATGTAACAATGCATAAAATCATTGATATGTGCATCGTTCTCTCTTTATGAACATGTTTTATTAAGAAGTTATGGAAAAAAACAAGAAACTAAACAAATGAGACAAAAGAGATGTAACCCTAGATTGTGACAATTCATCAAATTGCCGGTGTGAATATTTACATTCCTCATACACAAACCAAACTACCCACATGTTTATTTGCCTGTACCTGTGTCTCACAAGTGTTTGTGCATCACCACATGTGTGTCAATGTATGCATGTGTTCCCACATGGGGAGTGGTAATGCAGTGGTTCACTACGAACCCGGCGACCTGAGTTCGATTCCCGCTCATGGCCAACACCATTAACAATTATTGGAACTTGTCCTGAGCCTCCGCTAGTTCAACTCAGCCTCAAATGAGTACCTCGCAAGGTGGGTTAATATCGCTACTGGGGAGACAAAGGTAGCCGGGCGTGGTACTGGCCACCCAACCATTCGTGTGCTGTGCCAGCCTTCATAGATGCTCGCTAACAGCACTTGCCCCAAAAGTCAGTTAAGGCTATACGGGGGATCTTTGTGTTCCCATATCCTCGTGTCACCACATCTCCCACGTCCCTGCAAGTGTCCCTGCGTGTCACCGCCATGCGTACGTGCTCCTCCCACATGCGCTTCTCCCTCTCGTATGCCTCCCGCCTCTTCCTCTCCAGGAGCTCTTTGAGCTGTGCGGCTCGGGCATCTGCCTGCTCCTGCACGCAAACACACACATCTCCCGTTTGTGAAAGTCTGTGTGAAGGATGGCATGGCACACAAGATTTGTATGGTCAGCAGCACACCAGACTCTTTTCGTTAACCCACTGCACCATTCGTCCACGAATGACTGTGCGTAAAGGAGGCCCAACAATGGATCAGAAATTTATTTCCAGCCATGTTATCCATGGTCAGGAATCAAACCAAATTTGCTCGGTTTGTATCGCAGGGTCCGAATTACAACGCTATTCTCCACACAGACATATACAACAATTAAGATTCCATTAAAGCCAAGATAAAATAGATTGTTGGGGAAACTCCTGTGAGCAAACACCTCATAAGGCTGGCATGGCGCTCGTAGAAATGACGTGGCCAGCACCACATAACCTTCGTCTCCTCAGTGCTGACGTTTGGACACTGCACCTGGCACTCATTGAGGCTGAGTCTAACTAGGGCAGACCCAGACCCGGCTCAGATATTCAGCTTGCCACACACAACAACAACCGCCATTCGCCACTAAGTGGCGGTGATGTCACCACGACGCTTGTGCCAGGCCATGTGCACCTTGAGGCCACGCACACACACATATACACACACACTGAAATACAGTGTGATGAGTACTTCACAAACAATTGTAGAAAAGATAGTTTAAGAAATCTACAAAACACATATTTTAAAAAGTTGCCTTCGGATAGGAGAAACTGATACCTTCAGTGCTTGGATCTTGCGTTGTCTTAACTCTCCTTCGTTCAGAACAGCTGCTGGATCTACCCCCATGGTATTTGCAACCACCTAATGCAGATCCGTAAACAGAAAACAGATACATGCACACCAATACGTACATGCACACACACATATGGACGTAAAAGATGACAATGTTCTTTCATTTATCATTGTAAACTGTAGGAAGTATGATTAACAAACACGTATTGGGCTTGACAGAGCACAAGCGGGTCGTGTGACCAAGTCACCTTTAGCTACCTCTTGCTTTTGTCCATGGGAAGGTTGACGACAAAATTCAGATATGACTAACATCAAGCAGTATGTCAACTAGTACCACCTTCTCCAACAATTATATAAACGGAGTGGTAGCGTCTGCAATCTCTCATTTACTTGATACAGCTGTCGTGGCTGTGACGGTACCACCTGAAGACGGAAGCTTGTGTTGCCTCCGAAACGTCGTGATTTTTATTTTATTTTACTTTTTAATGTTTTTTACCTACGTGACTTTACCGAAAAAACCTAAGAATATGAATCATTGCAGTCACGAAAGCTTCAAATCTAGAATTAGTACCACTACTCTATGGATAGACATAAGCACACACGTATGTATGTTTGTTGAACTTCTTTCGCACCGTATGAAGTCAATCGTGCAGGATCGGAGGTGCGAGGGAAGGACAACAATATAAATACAAAAAGCAGTTCTAAAGAAATTAATTTTCAATTTAGATTTAAAAGTGTCTAGCTCCAGTGGCTTCCTAATATCGGAAGGAAGAGCATTCCAGACGGTCGTAGAAGCGCATCTGAAAGCACGCGATACGGTGACCATCTTTGTTTGATGGTTCGCTAAAAGCCGCTGTAAGGATGACTTGAGTTTGTGTGATGGCTTATGCTCCGTGATGACATCAGCAAGATATTGTGGTTCATTTGTGGTAAGCACTTTGTGTGTCACGAGCACGACCTTATAATGTATTCGTTCAGCAACTGGAAGCCAATGCAGCTCAGTGAGCACCGGATGGACATGGTCGGAACTTGCAAAACCCATCACGACACGTGCCAACAACCACACACAGTTGCCTTTGTCTCCTGAGGTACTCGTTTAAAGTCGAGTTGACCTTAGCGGTGTGGGGGGGGGGGGGGGGGGTGCTCAGGACCAACTCAAATATTTACCACTGTTATTGATCAGGTTGCCGAGTTCATAGCAGTCTCATTTAATCACCACGTGCAGAATGTAGTCAAATCCTGCAATATCAGAACTCTACGACACATTCAACCACTATTTAGTTTTGGCATAGCCAACATGCTGGCGTGTAGCATAGTATCGACAAGGCTCGATTATTGCAACTCACTACTCAGCGGGACATCTGGCAAAAACATTACCAAGCTGCAGCGTGTACACAATTCTCTGTCATGTGTCGTGATGGGTACTGCAAGATCCGCCCATGTCCATCCAGTGCTCACCGAGCTGCATTGGCTTCCGGTTGACGAACGAATATATGATAAGGTCGCACTGATTACACACAAAGTGCTTGTTACAAATGAACTACAATACCTTGCTGATCTCATCAAGGAGCATAAACTACCACATTAACTCCGGTCATCCATGCAGCAGCTTTTGGCTAACCATCGAACAAAGATGGTTACCGGATCGTGCGCTTTCAGATGCGCTTCTGCGGCCATCTGAAACGTTCTTCCTTGTGAAAATAGGAAGCCACTGGAGCTATGCACTTTTAAATCGAGATTGAAAACGAATTTCTTTCAAACTGCTTGTTGTGTGTAGTTTGCTGTCTTTTCCTCCACCTCTAATTTGCACGGTTAGCTACGTAAGATGCGAAATAGGTTAAACATACACACATTAACCACGACACTACCGCTCTCCATACACACCCATATATAATCACTACACTACCATGCCCATACACACGCACCCATACATGCACACATGTATGCAGTATATATAGTATAATATCACTATATATACACCTCACCAGCAAGGCACATACTAAACACCTGAGGAGCCAGATGCCGGTCTCTCACCTGCTGTTTCTGTAGTGCGAGCCTCTCATTGAAGTTTTGAAGTCTGATATTTTTGAGACGCAATAAATACTCCTGTGCAAAGGCACATACAACACACATAGACACAAGCAACTACATGTGAGTGCTTGTGTATCGTGAGCATACACGCGTGTTGTCAAGTTACACGTACATTGTGTGTGCATACGTATTATTGTATAGGCAGCCTCTCTCCGTGCAACCCCGTAGAACACGGATTCGTTTTAGGACTCTGTGTCCTGGACAAAAATGTTATGAAATTAAATTAAGAAAATATAAAAGCGTTTATGAGTGAGAACATGCAGCGCAGGCTGAGTAATCATACCTGCCCCCACCATTCGCTAAAGCTAAAAGAGCGTAGACACAAACTCTGAGCCATACAGACCCCACCCCCCACGATTCGATTATCACGATTCGTAGCGACGATTTAAAAAAAAAATTTCTTCAATGTTATTACAGTACAGTATTTAGCCAGGTGAGAACTCACGAGACCAGGATAGAGCCTCAGGCTCTACCAAAAAAGAAAGCTCATGAGAAAACTTAAGACCGAAGGCACCACGCAGATCACGGAGGTCCTGGAGCTCGTCTCTGAGAATGAGCCGGACTGGGAGCACAACAGGTCCTCCAAGCTTATCTCCCATCACTGGCTTTGTAGAGGTACAGTACAATGCACTCGTGAGTACAGTACATATCATAAATCATTTTTCATTCGTGTATTATGAGCGCCATTGCCGATACCCTAATGAAGCCCTCATATATTGCTCATACGAAATAACGCTGTTGGGAACGCATCCCCATATGTACAATGGTATAATATTCCCTTTTAGCACCGATTCCATTAGCGCTCACTTCTCCAGGAACGCATCTTGAGCAGTAAGAGAGGTCTGCCTGTATATTCTGTAGAGTGGATGTATATTTATTTCAGTTTACATATACCACTGTTTGTACAAGTGTGCCATGTGTACACCAGTAGTGTAGCTATCAAGTGTTCAGGCAGTGCAGCTGCACTGGGCCCATGGGTAGGAGGAAATTGGATAGGGGCCCATATTTCAATCCTTGTACCAGGGCCCGTGCTGAACATTCTTCTCCACTGGTGTACACACATCATATTTTGCGTGTCTGTGGTCATGTGTGGTCATGTTTGCATGCACCTCTTCTTCTCTGCTGTGGCACACGACTGGAGAGTTACTCTTTGGGACACATGACACCTAAACATACAGAGGCATACACGATACTAATTAATGCTACCAGTATATGTACACACAAACATACATATTGAAGACCCGTATATAAAAATGCTGACATCATCAGTCATAATCAATTTACTGCTGGATGAAGGCCAAAGCCATTGCCATCTCTCATGATCCTGTGATGTAGTAATCCACTTAGAACCTGACCAATGAGTCCCAGTGACCACACATTCTTGTTTGCAACTTGCTGTCACCTCTTTAAACGTATTTGCCTTAACATTATGAGATCTCTTTTACCAGTGGCAAAATATATAGTAGTAGGTTTTACCCTTTTAAACTGGTACAAAACTGACACCTTTATTAAAGGCATCATGTTTGCAATAACCACAACACAAGTAGTCAAAAAAGCAAACAAGCTATCAACAAGGCAACTCCTATGACTAATTGGGAATGGGACGCAAGCGTAGGATTGATCACCCTGTCGCTGGCCGCCTTTGGGGAGGGTGTATAGTGTGAAAGGCCGAAACACCCTGGGAACCAAAGGTACACTACTGACGATGCGCTCCCCAAATTTCACCAGGCTCACTGTTCATGAACTCTTGGAAGTGCTTGCACAAAGGATAGTAACATCTCATCCTGTGTTCTTGGAATCAGTACCAGTGCTGTACTAATGTCTGGCATGGCATTACTTCTGAAAATTCACACCATGGCGGGCCCATTTGTGGCACCATGCATGCCGAATGTCCATAGATTATCATTATTATATTCAAATAATTACTCATGAAGAAAATGATGGAAAAACAAATGGAAATTGACGAAGTTATGCACAATAGTGCAGAGGAAGGGAGGTGTTGAGCCCCCTCCCACTTTTAGAAGTGAATCGGTAAGATGCCTATAATTTATGGCTGTAGGTACTGCCAATCCAAACATTAATACACAGTCCATTGCTGAATTTGGTGGAGATGATGACAATGCTACTCTGTTGACACTGACAGTGGAGATATCACACAATAACGACATTGTTTCTGTTGGTGTTACTAGTGATGTTCACAGTATTCAAACTGAAATGATGACACGTTAATCACGTGGGCATTGCTGATCGTGATGTTAGTGGAGATCTCACGGGGCGTCCTTGTGCTCGTGCCTTGTTTAAAGCCGCTTCTCTTTTCCTCTGATGGAATTCTTTTACCTGCCGCTCCCTACACTCACACACAAAGGCAAAACCCCCAGATTGCAGGGGTAAGTGCTATGAACCGCTATTTAGGCTGGAGTCGTTGACGAGGATGTATAATAGGCAGCAACATGCCTAGCCACCATTGTCTCCCCACTGTTTTTAACCTGGCCCGTAGTATTACTTAAAATAATAATAAAAAATGGCCGCTGTGGCATTGAAAATAATTATTAAGCTGTCTTAAGTCACATTATAGATTCTGCAGTGATGTGACGGGAGAGGGGGTATGGGGCAGGTTGGAGGTTAGTGAGGGTTGGAGTCCTGCAAAGTGATATCTCCAACTCAGTGGTATACATGCAGTCTTCCGTAGCGCGCACAGAGTTGAACACAAAGAGCTGATAAAAAAAGCACCTCACAAACAACCACCAATGAAGACCAAGGATATTATGAGGGCAAGGGCACTAATCCAGCTGTGGATAATCTCATGAGGATTAACATGGACAATTATAATGCTCCAACATTAGGCTCACTGGAACTGTAGGCACCTGTCAGAGGAGCTCTTGGCTTCTCTGTTCTGAGCCACTTGTGTTGGTTCCTTTTGCTGATGAGCACTCGGTTCAACACACACCTGCACATGCATATGTACAATGTTCACACATTTAGCCTTAGACGATTAGGACTCACTGTCAGTGAGCGACTATTAAGGCTGGCACGGCATATGTGTGTGGGGGTCATGTGGCCTGATATATTGAACTATTCATGTAGAGCCACCTTTGTCCTCTTAATAGGTAATGCATACATTACTGCCAACACACCTTTGAACAGCATATTTTTGGCCGAATTGATATTGCAAAATCAGTCCATTTAACTAAAGTTATACCTTTTAAAATGTATATCTGTGTTCAGAGATAAGACCTTTATATCAGCTTCTGTCTCCTCAATGCTGATGTAGACCACACACACCACAGACCCAGAAACCCAATGTAGTTACAAGGATCACCACTCCCCACTCTTCCACCTCACCACAGATAACAACACTCACAAAGATTTCGATTTAAAGCTTTCGTGACTGCAGGGATTCATCTTCTTGGTTTTTTCGGTAAAGTCACGTAGAAGGGAAGTAATAAAATAATAAAAATAAAACATAATAAAATTCTCACGACGTTTCGGCCACAACGCAAGCAGCCGTCCTCAGGAGAAGAATGAAACACCACCAAGCTTGGAGCGTATATTTATGCTGGGTTGGAGGGGGGGGGGGAGGTGGGAAGAAGAGCGCCTAGACAAAATAATTTGCATATCAAGAGGAATTTGGCATATGGAAAATGCGTAGGAGGTTGGCGGGGGGGTTTCAAATTAATATTATGCTACTCCCCTTCCCCCTCCCTTTGATGCTGCTAATCCTGCATAATGCACGGGCATATTAATTTGAAATCCCCCGGCCCACCTCCTACGCATTTTCCATATGCTAAATTCCTCTTGATATGCAAATTATTTTGTCAAGGCGCTCTTCTTCCCAACTCCCCACCTCCAACCCAGCATAAATATACGCTCCAAGCTTGGTGGTGTTTCATTCTTCACCTGAGGACGGCTGCTTGCGTTGTGGCCGAAACGTCGTGAGAATTATTTTATTATGTTTTATTTTTATTATTTTATTACTTCCCTTCTACGTGACTTTACCGAAAGAACCAAGAAGACTCACAAAGTTCACCTACTTAGCCTTAGACTGCAGAACAAAGTGTTTTAACGAATACAAATACTAGACCCCCGTTTTGCCATTCCAATCCGTTGGGCAAAATGCTGTTAGGGCACCTCCGATTACCATGGTTGGCTATGTACAGAGCGAAAGAAGTTCCACAACCATGCTAATCGGAGGTGCCCTAACAACATTTTCCCCAACGGACTGGAATGTCAAAAATGCATGATCAGTCAAGTAATGCAAAAACTGTACAGATGGGTGTGAAGCATATAGGATGATCATTCGCTGTCATGACTAGAGAATAATGGGTAGTTGTGATGCAGAATCTTACCTTTGTTACCTGTGCCGCTGGCACAATAGGGGTAGCTTGAGGGGGTGCCAGCACTCGCCTCCAGCCCTGCTGGCGTGCATGCTGCATGTACAGCTCCTGCAGGCGCACGCACGCATGCACGCCATGTGCATTAAACATACGGCAGTGTTCTCATACCTCGCATACTACTCCCATCACGTGAAACATCACACATGCTAAATATGCACGTGCAAAACACTGTGAATATCACACATAGCATGCATAAACACCCTGAACAGAAAACTTGTCATTGACGCATCCAACACCATAATCATGCGTACACATCATGCGTTATGCAACAACCATTCTAACTCACACTGCAGTACAGGATGCAACGTAATTTATTTGATTCATGACGCAATTATCTGTACACACACATGCACTGAACACCATGCATACATACATATCATCCGCCCTCATACCTCCTCCCACCACATGCACCATACACACCACGCGAGTGCGCACACCACCCCCCACTCCGCAAACCCCTCCCCCCCACTCACCTGCTGTTTCTGTAGTCTGCGTGCATTCTCCTGCTTCAATAGATTCTGTGAAAGTTACAAAATGTCTATCACATATGGGTTCCCTTATGACAAGATGTGTATATGGGTTCAAGCAGTGGTCATATTAGCTGTCCATCTGCTGCAGCAAGGTCGTAAGACATTTTAACCAAACGTATGTCTGCATTATTGCCCTGGCCAAGGAACCACAGCTCTACCAAGTGGCCAGGGCTTTTAAGTTGAATTTTGCACTTTTGTGGTCCCTGACTGACAGATCACAATGACTGAGGACGTTTGTTCACTGTGGTGTGCAGGCCCTGGTAAAATTACATGGTCAGGAGTCAAGACCAATTCAATGCACATCTAAGAGTGTGACAGGGATGTTTTCCTAGGAATAGCTCCTTGTTGATCAACCGTGTAGTGTTTATGTCATTGGCCTGATAATTACTGTCCATTGTGACGTAGTAATGAGTTGTTGCCCATGGAAGCCACCAATAAGAGGTGTGGAAGTTGTACTGTGTGCAATCACACCTGATGTTCCTTCCTGTTGCTCTCTTTCTCCTGATCCCGCTGTCTCCGTTTGACATTTTCCTAGGAGAACATATGTGGAAACACCAGCATAGTGAACATGAACACAAAGGATGTTGATGGTGAAGTTATCTGATGCAATTGTAGTTTATGCTGCTGGTTATATTTTCATAATAATTGTGAAGTTTGTGAAGTCATAGGCTCACGGGTGTGCTTGCTGGCCGAGGGTAGTGGTTGCTGAGGGGAATCCCATATTTGGCTGCAGGACGAGTCACCTTTTGATTCCCACAGCCCATGGCAGGGGCAGCTCGCTTCACACCTGCACAAAGCAACAATCACTCACTCACCAAACCACATGCTCATGAACTCACTTAACTACTTGTTCCCCCATCAAATCACCCACTAATTCGCTCAAACACCAACTCACACTCACTCACAGTTACACTCTCATAATCAATTACAAAATTACTCACCCACGATCTAATTTATTTACAAACCCACCCATCAATTCAGTTTCATCCACACACCTACCAACACAAAGTCACATATTTACTTCACCGATTATTCACCTGTTCACCCACCAATGCACTCTCACTCACTTGTCTCATGTCTCGTGTATACACACTCATTCATTAACTCATTCACTTGCGAAGGACAACTTTATTACACCAACACTACATCTTAGAAGCAGTCAATAACTCATTCCCGGATTAATTTCTGAGCTTTCATTTACTCTCTCTCTCGATGGCTTATTTCATGACTACACACTTCACAGGCACTTGTTGAGGGGAGAGGGGAAGTAGAACCTTGAGGGTGAGAGGGGCCTGCAGCAGCAGCACCAGCAGGAGCCGGTGGACCAACTGGGCTAGCACGAGTCGTAATGGGGTAGCCCGCACTCGATGCCTCCTGCTCCTAAAGCAAAAGAAAAATTAATGGCGAATCTGTACCAACACACACCAGCGCAAGAGTTTGTGTGCATTTATATATTTTTTACTGACATACACTCACACTTGATTACAAATAGATAAATAAACTAGTTGATCATGTTAAGTGCTTTTTCACGTGAAATGTTCAAGAAATTATCATAGGAAATGTTCTTTGTAGCTTAACTAAAGTATAGTGGTCTTCATTGCAAAATAAACTTGGCCACATAAGACGGGTGGCCTTGCTTTTGAGAAGGGGGGGGGGTGGTGGGGGAATGGACAAGAAAACATGAAAAAGTACACAAAGAAGCACCCACATAACGTAACAAAACATCTCAAGAACACCTGCATACTGTGAGTTTCCCTAAATGCGCAACTGCTCACTGACCATCAGTCTTTGTGCCCTCGCCATAAGCAGGGGCCGCGAGAGCAATACAGCAACGGGTGGTCGGGCGCGGGGGTCACGCCGGAGCAGCCCCGACAGCGTTGAGCGCAGCTCGGATGAGTAGTGCGCCGACACGGGCGGGAATGAGCCGCGGATGATCTTCAGCACCAGGTTTTTCATGTTCCCTGCCTCAAACTAAACGGGTCATGAGCCAAAGGTCAGTGGCAGGTTGTATGAAACACCTTAAGTTAACACTTCTAATTTGGGTTTTTATACAACACAGTATGTGTTAAGATAATAATCTGTTAAGGTGTTTTGTGCAACCAGCCACTGAGGTATATGTGGTATTATTCGTGCATCTAAACGTTGCCCGTCCACATTCATGGTTAAGCTGCTTTTTTGATCCATTTCATTCACCCCCAATAGCCAAATTCCATGCACATGTATGTTGAACTTTTTTCGCACCGTACGTAGTCAACTGTGCTAATCAGAGGCATATTCAAGTCTTAGTAGTTTATGATACTTACTGCGTGTCTCAGGGTGCACATCTCATAGAGGACACAGCCCAGTGCCCACATATCACTGAAAAGCACACACACGTAAAAACACATATGTAACCCATCGCTTCTTTCCAACAAGCAGAACATACTTAGGTGTACCAAATTTAAAAAACATGTCTATAAAAAAACACTCTTCGTCATTATGTGTAAAAAATTATCTGTAAGGTTAGAGTAGTGCTGATGGTCTTATTGATATTGGTGGTGATGATGGTGCTGTTTATTGTAGAGAGGTTTATACAAATACAGGCAAGCCTCGCTTAATGCTCGAGATGCGTTCCTGGAGAAGTGACCTCTAATCCAATCCGCGCTAAAATTATACCATTGTCTATATGGGGATGCGTTCCTGACCGCGCTATTTCTTAAGTACTAGTAATAAATGAGGGCTTCATTGGGGAACCAGTAATCACGCTAATAATACAGATGTAATGGGTTCAACTGAGTCGCAGGCGTAGACTTTGGAGGCAACACATATACTCAGTTCCAACACACGGGGTAACTTCCCCTTAACAGAATAACAACCTAAGGTGGTGACCACCCGGTTAACTACACTAGTTACTATGTAACTGTTACTATGGACTGGGACCAACGATTTCGGCTCAGGTCCACGTGTTGGAGACTTGTTGAACGGAGATCATAGACGAAGGGTTTCTTCCAGGATGAACAACAACCCTGGCCTCTCTTGGGACCCGGCTCATCGTCTCTGCGGTGTGGCCGGCTCCGCCCTTGGCCACGTCCACCTTCCAGAATCCTCGGGAAGGATCTGGATCCCAATCACATGACCACCCCCTAGCCCCCTCTTGGGGCCCCTCTGTCAACTTAACCGGTCACGTGTTCTCCCGGGTCAACCCGAGTGCCATGGCCTCACACAAGCTTATCCTTCGGTCGGCACCCACACACCCTGTCCTGTAGGGGCGGCACTGCACTTAAAGCGCGGTGCCTTCCGGCGCTATCATTCAGTGCACACCGTGCCCCTCTAGGGCCGGTACTACACCCACAACATTGTGGTATCCGGCGATATCGCTACACCAGTGGTTCTTAACCTGGGTTCGATCGAACCCCAGGGGTTCTGTGAGTCAGTCTCAGGGGTTCGACGGAGGTTAAGACACACACCCGACTCGTATGATTGTGCACCAGTAAAACATGTACCTATGTTTTGAATTTGAAAATATCATATTTTATTTTTCCAATTAATAAGGGTTTGGGGAATGCGCATATGAAACTGGTGGGGTTCGGTACCTCCAAAAAGGTTAAGAACCACTGCGCTACACAGATGATAAACATTATTTCTTAAATAAAATTACTTATTATAATAACATCAGTAAATATTATGTACTCACATGTGCATTATACCGTACTCCTGGTGGTCATAGTGTTATTGATGCGAATTATTAGTGATATTATTGATGGTGGTGTCAATGGTGGTGCTGTAGACAATCATGTTTATGGTGGTAGTGCATGAAGGCATAGGTAGTGTCATAGGTGAAACTATTGATGGAAGTTTATAGCAGTGTTGATGGTGAAGGTTGTGTTGTTGCACTTGTTGTTATCACCTCTTGTGGTTATAGGGTTTGTTCTCACATATCTCGGGGGATAGGTAGTACGGGGTGCCAATGCAGGTCTGAGCCAGCTCCATTGTACTGTAGGAACAATAACAAACCACTATAACTACAAAAAAACATATTCCACAACAATGTGTACCACCACTTAAATAGCCACAATAAAACCTACACATCAACAAATTTGATTCCACAACATTTTAACCAATCAAAATATAACCAAATCAGCTACAGAAACCACTTAGCAATAATACTCCCTCTATCACCAAAGTCAAGGTAAGCAGAGAATTTACAAACATTAAACTGCAACACTCTTCTCCTCTTCATGTGTTTTATGATGATGTTATATCACTTTATCAACCAAAATATAAATCATCTTAAACAAAGTTAACAAAATAGAAAAATATAACAGCAATAAAACCTCAAAGACTACAACACAACCACCGATATAGTGAGGCAATATTAGCAACCAGCAGGCACCTGTTGAGGACGCGGGCAATCCCAAAATCTCCGAGTTGAACAACGCCAGCCTTGGTCAGGAAAATGTTCTGGTTGGGAACATAACAGACTCCCATATAAAATGGCACAACCATTTTATCTGACCTGCCAGTGTATGGTTACATTCATAATTTGGCTAAGAAGCTTTTTTTCTATTCCAACTCAAAGCATTCTTCACCTCTGAACAGTCACTACTACTCTACAATGCAATAGTTTGGCTGAAGTTGGAATCACATCGTCACACCTCAAGGGGAGCTCCTAGTTCCGATCCAACTTTATCTGACAATTCCATTCGATGCTAAGTAGTTTGGTAGATTATCCTATGGTGACAAAATCACTTTAATCACTCACCATGAGTCAGTCTCTTCCTTATCACTCTTTTATTGCTACCAGTCATCATTCTCATGAACTTTACACCTACATACTATACTTCCACCAATTTAAATGACTAGATCTCCTGTACTGCTTCTCTCAATCTCTAGTTTTGTGGGTAAGACCCATATAGACACATTATTCTCAAAATATAATTATCTTGGAAAATATTTACGAGAGTGACCGTGGCCTCTATTACAGTGAGATAGCCAATGCATTAACATTTTTTGTGTGTTTGATAGAAAGCATTAACAGAGCATCTTTACAGGATAAGTCTTACTATGACTATTAGGCCACTCTCTTTTGCGATGTGGACATAGATCACTTTGCTTGTTCTTGCTTAATGAACAGGACTTGACTAAATTAAATGCCATACCAAATGTATCGCATTAAGGTTTATTGTGTAGTCAACAGTCCTGATATAAAAAATGCACTTTAAGTTAACAACCTGATTTTATTAATTTGTATGCGAGTATAGAAAATACATTTTCTAACTTGGCTCGAAGAAAGTCCACACAAAAGATACATCTGGCTTTTACTCATGAATACAGTATTTCATCACTTCTGATTAGGCCACAAATAGAGGTAGATATACAACCACGGGTATCAATCGCATAATCCCACTATTAGAGGCATTGAGGCAGAATTGTTCACATGTCAAAACTTTTACAGGGCATGATACCTGTGACTTAATATCGCGATGCAGAATCTTGCGGTCGTGAACATGTTTAAGAGCCAGACACAGCTGCACTAGCCAGTCCAGGATCTGTGAAACATGACACATGTACATCACAGTACAAACACAGGACACAATTAGAGATTAAACACAACACATGAATCAGAGAATTATAAACTGTAGAGAATGATTCGTCAGGTGATGAGGACGGCTCAGACACTGATCAAAAAGAATGTTAAAGCTTGGTCATGAGTGTTATCAGCATGCAGACCTGATCCTCAGAAAACAGGACACCCTTTTGAGCATTGATCCTCTTGAAGAGATCCCCCCCTTCGCAATAATCCATTACGATGTATAGATTGCCCCGTTCTGGAAACACATACACAAAAACGAATCTGCATACACACTATATACACAAAGACACATACACCATTTTAGTATGGCTTGACAGCACTGACAGCCATAAATATTAGGTATATTCCTCTCAGTTCACACAAAGTTTGTGGCTCAACACACCGAACATTTTCTTTGCTCTATGCAGAGCGAAAAACATTGCCTAATCTTTTTTCTCCATTTTTGTACACAACACAAAATAATGGTTTGCATCGTTGTGGATGATAAAAGTAACAAATAAATGAGTTCAAAATGTCTCATTCGTATATTTGTCTCTTCAAATTGAGTGCACTTGATTTCTGAGCTATCTGATGAAACTCAAAGCAGTTTGAATCAAACTTTGTATGTTGATATTTAATTCAGTCATGAAAAGTCTTAAGCCACTGGTGAGTTCTATAGGTCAGAATTTGCTCAATACATCAGAATGTATAAACAATATTTTGTACCACGGCAATATTGTTGGGTGGTGGAGGGTTATTGATATAAATTGTGGCATAAAACTAGTTTATGTTCGAACCCAAAGACAAATATAGATCATTGTCTTGGTTATGCAAACCCATGCTTTAAGCCATACTCTCTGTATGACTGTGACTGCATATGTTTAGGGAAAATCCATAGCACATACATATATATAACAAACATCAACAACCGCTGTGACGTCACCACGGTGCTTGTGCGATGCCAGGTGCACTTTGAGGCCACGTGAAGTGTCGAAGGCCTGCTGGCAGGAGGTCACAGAACAGATCCAGGTGCCATGGGTTGACTGACTGACATGAATGGCAGATGCACCAACTGTGCTCCTCACTGTGCCAACCGGAACTCCACTCGTTGTTATGCGCGTTGCTCCTCTGCCCTCCATTGTTGCTGGAGGGTGACTGCTTCCAACTCTCCAGAAACATCCTTTACGAACCTCCTCCACAGAGGCCGATCTTGACATTGCTGGAGAATTATTTTATTATATTTTATTATATTATTTTATTATGTTTTATTTTTATTATTTAATTACTTCCCTTCTACATGACTTTACCGAAAGAACCAAAAAGATTACTGGTATCATTGGCAAGTCCAAGCAACTCCATATACTTCTGTACCACATCAGTCCATCTCTTGTCTAGCCCGTGCCGGGTCAGTTTAGCCCCATCTATTCGGCCGAACAGAAACTGCGTGGGCAAGCAGTGACTGGGCATGTGGGCTACATGTTCCAGCCAGTGCAGCCTTGCTTGTTGAAGCTCATTGATGGGACTGTGTCCAGATCTTTCATGGATCTGTGAACTCCTAACACAATCCAGTTTGGTTAAACCCAGGATGGATCATAAGTAGGCCTGGCTGAATGTTTCAAACTGGCTCAGATGTTCCTTTAGAGGGCTCCACGTTTCGCAAGCATAGAGAAGGGAGGGCATAACTGTGGTCGAGAAGACCCAGAGCTTCCACACAGCGTTACGCAGCCAATGAAAAGATGCCACTCAACTGATTCGGCTTGAGACCTCGGCTGCCAAACCAGAGCTCGCCATAAGCACACTGCACAAGTACAAAAACGTATCCACTCTCTCCACAACTGCCCCATCACTCATGGAGAGTTGAGGGAGAGGAGCATTTGTTTATGGTTTTCATAATATAATAAACAGACACACACGAGAATACACATTCACAGGTCATATAACCGGATGGAGAATAGACAGGTTAGTGAGTAGATTGGGCTGTACCCTCAAAAGACTCCTTGTAGGACACGATATTGGGATGTCTCATGTTGGCCAAAACACAAACTTCCTTCCTGGCTTCATCTCGCTCCTTTGGTGACATCTGTTGACAAACACAAGTAAGTGAATGTGCTTAATCTGTAAAACATCTCGAAACCAAAACAATTGAGGGACGAGCCATTCTAATAATGAAGGATGTCTGGCATACTGCACATAATTAAATAATTTGGCAAAATTACATTTTAAAAACATTTACATGTAATTAACATCTAATATATTTAATGAACACTTAATACTAATTGACGAAATATTTACAATTTAATAATCACACTTTAATAACACTTTAGAATATCACTACTGTACAGTTCAATGTGTCACTTTACCATTAAACAGAGGTGGAAGGCTGATGTTCACGAGAGAGCACTAATAGGAGACTGAAGCGCACAAGTGCAGAGATTCACCGAATTCTATACAAAAGAAAAGTACTGTATACAGTGAAACTCCAAAAATGCACCATACACTAATCTTAAAATATGCGGCTTCCCCACAGTTTGCAATAACTCTCAATTCGCGGGTGTCCAAGATCCAAACCTCCACCTAAACTTCGTGAGATACCGCAATGGAATTTATTTTTTCAAAGCATTAAAAAAATCTATAGCTGTGTGTGCAATCGAACTAGAGATGTGTTTTAAGTGCTTTAAATACGTATCTCTCTTTTTGTGCTTTTGTTCATAGTTTGAAATTTTTATATTGTTTAAAATGTACGCATTGGTTTGTGAGAGCAACTTAAGTGCATTTAAGATTATAACCTGGCACAGATGTGATAGTGTCCCGCCTGTGATGTAAACTTTGTTCTTTTGTCATGTTGATCCAGGAGTCTCAATGGAGTAGCATATATTTTGAACATCAGTTTAGCACGTAGGCTTTCGCGACCAATATTATCCATAATGATTGCCTCACAAGTAAAGACATCAAATTTATCCCTCTATTTAAGAACGAAACAGGATTTCTCCACAAATCTGGCTGTCGTACTCAAATCGTAGATGTTGTGGGTTTACTCTCCAACACACTGGAGTGCTGTACCAGTAACGAATTGGCATGTTTTGTTTACGTGACAAACCTTACTAATTTGGCTGTCGGGTGGTGGCGGGTTTAACAACACATTTATATTTACTCGATCTAACCCAAAAAGACATCTATTATGGATTTTGAACATCTTTCACACCATATGTAGCCAACCGTGCTAATTGGTGGGTAAGGTTGGTTAAAGATAATTCAGCTGAACTGTGGGGCATAAGGGTAAGGATTTTTGAAGCCCCGATTAGGCGTGATTTTTGTGTGAACTGGAGCACTGTACCCTGGAGATGTTGATCTCTTTGATGACGTAGAGATGTCCATCAGCCTTGGATTTTACGAGCATGGCCTTACCAAACGAACCCTCGCCAATCTGAGACACCATCGTGTAGCGCTCCATGGCTCGACACACTTGTGGACAGAGGGGACAGAATAACACGGAGAGACGAGAATATTGTGGGGATTGCAATACAACCAAATCGTCCTGAACGTGCCTAGAAACTAAACAAGCTTAAGCTTGGTTAGTACTGGAGACTGCCTAAAAAGACCGGGTGTTGTAAGGTTTGGCTGCGAGGTGGGCAGGAGATGGCAGTACAGCAAAGGAATCTTAAATCTGTGCAGAGTTTTAAGTGCGGTCCTCGACAATGCATGGGTATTCTTCAGCAATTATGGTTTCTTGCTATGTGCCAAACATTAATGGATATGGTCAAACATATCAATGGAGGACCCTCCTGAAAGTGTTGAGCCTCAACGAGGTTTTCCTGAAGAGAGCAGAATTTATACTAGAGATGTGAGGAAGTAAGGTGATTAGGTAATGAATATACTGGAAGGTGAGGACATTGTGGAGACAAAGACATAAGTGATATAACATAGGAAGGCAAGGGCAGACGAAAATACATGGATGCGGAGAGGAAAGATGAAACGACAAAGATAGATATCTCATCAATGTTACCTGATTAGATGAGAATGAAACTCTAAATATAATTCTACATGGACTATTACTTGTCTAAATAAAGGCTTTGGTGAACAAACTTTTAAATCCTGTGAGACCTCCTTTACCAGTAGCAAGATATAGTAATATGGTTTTACCCTTTTATCTGGCACCAAAACTGACACCTTTATACAAGGGATCATGTTTGCAATAACCACAACACAAGCAGTCAAAATGCAAACAAAAAGACACAACTCTGATGATGATATGCACTGTCCTTGAAGTTGATTGGTCCACACCCGAGACAGCTTTTCTTAGAGCCTAGTCTCCATTGGTGTTACTAATAAACTTTTCAATATTACCTGGTTAAAGGGCATGATGGAAAACGAGACGTTAGCAGGCTCTCACCTGCTTTTAAAAGCCTTAACTTACTCATTATATTGAGTAAATTACGATATTCTCACTTGGTTAAATAAAGAGGACAACTGAAAACGTGGTGATACTTTTTTTGTAAAGTGTTATCACAGAACACGATGTGGAAAGTTGAACAACATCTCACCTGGTTCAAGCGACGAGATAATATCCGTGTCTTCACCTGTTTACAACTCGCACAAAGTTAAACACGGCCCATGTGGTACTGCGTGAACCATTAAACAATCTACTGTGCGTCCTGTTCAATACATCACGTCCACGCGGGACCTACAATTTTGTACAACAATGCAATGGATAGTTTTAACTCGCGGGAAAACGCGTTGAGATCTTGAAGTGGTGATACATTTACATTACCGTACAGCCTTTAACGCACCGATATGTACAGTAGAATAAAGTAATGTACAGTACAGTGTTTATACACGACAGGGAATTCAATTCAACATATTCAGCCACGTGTGAGGTTAATAACTCTGACCATGAACATACCTTACGTATTCTTGTATTAATATAATTGCCTTGAACGATATAATTTGGACTTAGGCAGCCGGGCGGTGTCTAATTGAACTGAATGCAACACTGAGGCACAGGATGATGTGGGCGAGTTTCGACAGCATCCAGAGGCGGCGTGAAGCTTTACAACTTCGCGAGTGGTTGCTGGTTGTTGTTGTTGTTTAAGTGTCGTTGTTATTGTTGTTGTTTAAGTGTCGCTGTTGTTGTTAAATTGTCGCCGCTTCGCCTGCAGCTGAATCGGCGTCTCCCACTCGGCTCGCGTCGTTACCAAGGCCGCGGGAATCGATTCCATCGCGCGCGAAAATTCGGAATCGATTGCCTCTGACTCAAAACAAAGTAAACAACCCTCAATGCCACCAACTCTCAATGGCACCAACTCTCAATGGCACCAACTCTCAGTGGCACCAACTCACAATGGCACCAACTCCCAATGCCACCAACTCTCAGTGGCACCAACTCTCAGTGGCACCAACTCTCAATGGCACCAACTCTCAGTGGCACCAACTCTCAATGGCACCAACTCTCAGTGGCACCAACTCTCAGTGGCACCAACTCTCAGTGGCACCAACTCTCAATGCCACCAACTCTCAGTGGCGCCAACTCTCAGTGGCACCAACTCTCAGTGGCACCAACTCTCAATGGCACCAACTCTCAGTGGCACCAACTCTCAGTGGCACCAACTCTCAGTGGCACCAACTCTCAATGGCACCAACTCTCAGTGGCACCAACTCTCAGTGGCACCAACTCTCAGTGGCACCAACTCTCAATGCCACCAACTCTCAGTGGCACCAACTCTCAGTGGCACCAACTCTCAGTGGCACCAACTCTCAATGCCACCAACTCTCAATGGCACCAACTCTCAGTGGCACCAACTCACAATGGCACCAACTCTCAATGGCACCAACTGTCAGTGGCACCAACTCTCAGTGGCACCAACTCTCAATGGCACCAACTCTCAATGGCACCAACTCTCAGTGGCACCAACTCACAATGGCACCAACTCACAATGGCACCAACTCTCAATGCCGCCAACTCTCAATGGCACCAACTCTCAGTGGCACCAACTCTCAGTGGCACCAACTCTCAATGGCACCAACTCTCAGTGGCACCAACTCTCAATGCCACCAACTCTCAGTGGCACCAACTCTCAATGGCACCAACTCTCAGTGGCACCAACTCTCAATGGCACCAACTCTCAGTGGCACCAACTCTCAATGCCACCAACTCTCAGTGGCACCAACTCTCAATGCCACCAACTCTCAGTGGCACCAACTCTCAGTGGCACCAACTCTCAGTAGCACCAACTCTCAATGGCACCAACTCTCAATGGCACCAACTCTCAATGCCACCAACTCTCAATGGCACCAACTCTCAGTGGCACCAACTCTCAATGGCACCAACTCTCAGTGGCACCAACTCTCAGTGGCACCAACTCTCAGTGGCACCAACTCTCAATGCCACCAACTCTCAATGGCACCAACTCTCAATGGCACCAACTCTCAGTGGCACCAACTCTCAGTGGCACCAACTCTCAGTGGCACCAACTCTCAATGGCACCAACTCTCAATGGCACCAACTCTCAATGGCACCAACTCTCAATGCCACCAACTCTCAGTGGCACCAACTCTCAATGGCACCAACTCTCAATGGCACCAACTCTCAGTGGCACCAACTCTCAATGCCACCAACTCTCAGTGGCACCAACTCTCAATGCCACCAACTCTCAATGCCACCAACTCTCAATGGCACCAACTCTCAATGCCACCAACTCTCAATGGCACCAACTCTCAGTGGCACCAACTCTCAGTGGCACCAACTCTCAATGGCACCAACTCTCAATGGTACCAACTCTCAATGGCACCAACTCTCAATGGCACCAACTCTCAATGCCACCAACTCTCAATGGCACCAACTCTCAGTGGCACCAACTCTCAATGCCACCAACTCTCAGTGGCACCAACTCTCAATGGCACCAACTCTCAATGGCACCAACTCTCAGTGGCACCAACTCTCAGTGGCACCAACTCTCAATGGCACCAACTCTCAATGCCACCAACTCTCAATGCCACCAACTCTCAGTGGCACCAACTCTCAACGGCACCAACTCTCAGTGGCACCAACTCTCAATGGCACCAACTCTCAGTGGCACCAACTCTCAATGGCACCAACTCTCAGTGGCACCAACTCTCAGTGGCACCAACTCTCAATGGCACCAACTCTCAATGGCACCAACTTTCAGTGGCACCAACTCTCAATGACACCAACTCTCAATGGCACCAACTTTCAGTGGCACCAACTCGCAATGCCACCAACTGTGAATTAACCAACCCTCAGTGGAAACCATTCGTGTTGCACAGCAGAATAACTTATAGTTAGGAACCTCCTGGTTACACCAGCCCACAAAGGATTATTGTGTCCGTCCGTCGTGCATCCAAAAATGGGAGGGGTGGGGCTGGGTGGAGAGGGGAGGGTGAGGAGAGTGGGGAGGGTGGGGAGGGGCTGGGTGGGGAGGGTGGGGCTGGGTGGGGGGGTGGGAGGGGTGGGGCTGGGTGGGGAGGGGCTGGTCACCCCGTGGTGCCCTTATAAAACTCAACGTTTAACCTACTCACGCCGGCGAGTGCCCGCCCTCACAGTCGGCCATATTTGCGGAATACACCACGCCGCCGTTGACCCTGGCCATTGACCGAGCAACCCAACGTTCCTACCAGCTCCCTCCGCAGGAATGTGTTCTAAGTTCAATGGGGAAAATGTCAAAACTGGGTGGTTTTTAACTTTTGCCGACAAAACTGGATCCCAAATGTCAAAACTGGGTGGTCTTGGAAAACGACAGGCAAAACAGGGTGGTGCTTTTTGATATGACAAAACTGGGTGATGTTCAATGTGGACAAATGTCAAAACTGGGTGAAGAAGGTGTACGATTTAATGTATCATTTTGTACACGTTTAGGTCCTTGCGTTATTCATCCACATGTCGCCACAGATTTAGAGCGTTCCAAATGATGTTTCTCGTGGCTCATGTTCCATACCTTGCACCACAAACTTCCCGTTTGCATACTGGCACAGTGTGCCAGCTCGCTTACTTGCCGTTTGTATACTGGCACAGTGTGCCAGCTCACTACTACAGTAACACTTACTTGCCATATGTATACTGGCACAGTGTGCCAGCTTGCAACTACAGTAACACTTTCAGCTCGCGAACATACACGAACTTGCCATTTGTATACTGGTACAGTGTGCCAGCTTGCATGCTACACCTACTACAGTAGAACAACGGTAGATAGTGTTTGCGTCGAGAAGTATGGTGCTGCACACTTAGAACAAAACATGTTTGTTACATATATATAACTACTTCGACGGGCAAGAGCGCTTGTTGTGGCCCTTGGCGCGACAGAAGGAGCACCGCGTGAGGCCCAATGGGCCACCTTCGCCACGGTTGCGAATCCGACGCTTCTTCGGGCGGCCAGCCTTCTTCTGGCGAGGAGGTGGCATCATGGTGTTGTCGCGTTGCAGCTCCTCGGCAATGGGCAGCTCGATACCGGCAACCGAGGTCCATGTCGTGTTGATGGCAGAGACTTGGTAACACACCGCACATGCGTCATAGAGCTCGGGCATCCGCCCAAACGCCATGAGGGCACGAATGTAGTGCCGACACGGCAAGCCCATCTGCTTCATGTACCCGCACGTGCACGACCGAGAGCTGAGATCGACTCGGCGCTTGGCAGAGGCGTATGCGTCTGGATCCTTGACGTATGCACGCGTCGAGGTACTCTCGTAGACCTTGTACCTCGGGGCCAACGCCTGCTGAGCGTCGATGAGTCCTTGAGCGTACGGCGTAATGACACGCCCTTGAGCGGCCCACTTCTCGGCGTCGCTGCGGTGGGCAAAGGCCGTCGTCATCATGTCTTCCATGTGGTGCATGAGGAAGTGGAAGGGGTCCATCTCGCGAGCCGGCAGGGCCTCGCTGTTCGTGGACTCCACAAAGTTCGTCGTGCGCCAGCCGTACAATGGCGTCGTGTGCAGGTGCGGGTAGAGCGCCCACGTGTGGCGGTCGATCTTGTTGCAGTACGTGGCCGCCGCAGGCAGAGCTACGCCCAAGCAGCCCAAGGAGCTGCGGAACGCGGCCTCGGAGGCGCACCCTTGGGCATCGTAGATGATGCCTTGGAGGTCGGGCGTGAACGCGGAGCTGATGTTGTCCACGCCGTTGCAGATCAAATGCCGCGTGCAGTGGATGAGCATGAGGTCCTTCCAGTCGGAGGCTAGGATGCCCGTGCCACAATCGCAGAAGACCGGCGTGCCGTCGAGCTCGATGTCGTTGGTCGTGCAGCAGTTGAGAAACCAGTCGTAGGCCGCTGCCGTCTCGGACGGCACCAGCGCCACGGCGAGAAGGACGTTGCGGTTGTTGCCGTCGCGCCCAACGAGGATGAGCATGGTTCCGTTGTAGGCGCGCGCCTTCATGTGCGACCCGTCGATGCCGACGACGCGTTGAAGACTTGGCTGCAACGAGCGTGCGATCGGGTTGCAGATGAACTGCACCCCAGAAGATGCCCGCGTCTTCTCGCACACTGCAGGTCGTCACATTGAGCTTGCCGAACGTCTCCACCAGCGAGTTGATGAACTCGAAGCCTGCATGGGCCGCACTCTCGTTCGCCGCGATGCACGTGTCCTTGGCGCGGTACATCATCCGGGTCGGGACAATGACGCGAGCAACGTCGGCGACCTGGGCAATGACAGTCGGTGCGGAGGTATGGGGGTTGGCGCGAAAGGCCGAACGGGCTGTCGTGTTCGCCTCCACTTGGCGCTGCGTGATCTTGGTAGTGCCCGTGCAGCCGTGGTGATCCGTGCACAGCGCCGAGACGCGGAAGCCGCGTCGTTCCCCCGTGAGCTTCGTCAGCTTCACCTTGAAGGAACAAGGTGTTGAACTAGAGCAGACGATGGCAACGTGCCGTCCGCCGCTTCGCTTGAGGTCAAGGACCGCGCGCTTGCCTTGTTGCAAAGCAAAGTCTTGGATGCCGTGGATGGCCTCGCGGCGCATGGTAAAAGTCTTCTTGGGGTGGAGGGTTGCCATTCGAATGTGAGCCGCTCCTCCACCTGTTTCGTGAAAAATGCTTGTGAAAAATCACGTTTCTACGTCTACTTTCAATTTTTCACGAGACAATATCTCTATTTTTATTGCCAGCAATTTGATTTTTCACACAATATTTCCGCCAATCACCGTAACGGTGGGCCAAAGGATTGACCAATCAACGAGATGCGCATTCGTTGGTTTGTTCCGCACCATTGGGACCATGGTCAGGAGCGTCAAGCAGGCTGGTCCATCTCCCAAGGACGTCGCCTTTGTCTCTGTGCTTGGTCGTTTGGCGGGCTATGGTCGAATGCATGGCAAATTTAAGGGTGTGCAGTAGCGCGTAGCATCAACCAACAATCCAAAAGTTTGGTATTGACGCGAGTCACTAGTCTAGGTCATCACGCAAGGTGGCAGTGCGCCCGCCTGGTCGCAAGCCCGCCCCGAGCTCACTTCCGAGTCCGAGCCGTAGCTTGAAATGTTGGTCGTTGGGGTGCTGGCACACTGTGCCAGCGTACAAATATCAAGTGTGTGTAGTTATATGGTGCTGGCACACTGTGCCAGCATACTAATACCAAGTGTTTAGATGAATGGGGTGCTGGCACAGTGTGCCAGTATACAAATACCAAGTGTTTGGATGAATGGGGTGCTGGCACACTGTGCTAGTATACAATTATCAAGTGTATTTGACAAATGTCAAAACTGGGTGCACCCTGAGTGTCCAAAACTCAAGTTTTTGGCCACCCAGGGTGCACCCAGTTTTGACATTTGGGATCCAGTTTTGTCGGCAAAAGTTAAAAACCACCCAGTTTTGACATTTTCCCAAGTTCAATGTGTCCACGGCGTTTGCCAAACGTAGAACGTTTACGTTGTGGCAAAAATGCTGGCAGTGGTACACAACCACAAATAACAAAAATCAACACATTCTTGAATAACTCAGTGACCTGTAAAATTAAACATAGAAAAATATGCGACGTTTCGGGAAATGGTTACTTAAAAGCTCCAACGTTCTCAGCACGGGAGAATCAACGATCCATTTTTGTTACATTATTATTCGTTGTAGTTTCGATTCCACGGGCGTGACACGGCTTTCCTATTTTTTTCCACTGCACGCAAGCTGCTTACTCCGTACCGCGCGTGAGTTACGTGACCGTAATGGGGCCAATCCCACAGCGCCAGTGGCTTGGCGACCACTCAAACGTGGCCATATCTCCGTGTAGGCGGTATTGCCTATGCCCAGGGAGTCATCATCATCAGCAACAGCCATGAGCAATCTACTGCTGGATCAATGCCTCCACAAGCCGCCACCGCCACCTCTCACGATCTTACGATGCAACTATCAACCGGGCAATCCATTTGCACGTGAACTGATTTCGTCTCCCCGGGTGGGGGGTTTGCTCGGACGCGTTCCATTCCTGTTGCCAGGGTGGACATCAAAAACGTCACCGAGCTTTACTGATTGTGCTATGGTAGTAATCATGGCATGGTGTCTCGCAAACTGCTACACACTTTAGTAGAAGAGAATGGCGCACAAACGTGGATACCAAAGAGCTACTTCTGAGATCCCTTCAAGTGACCTCTGGATACACAGAGTAGGTGGGGCGGGCAGCACAATGCACTATCAGAGTAATGAGAGCTCGGGTGAGCATCTACATAATGGGACCTCCTTTGCCAAAGTCGCGGCAACGTTGGCATGTGGTTCACTATCATGTGACAATTACGACGCTGCCAACGTGGCAATCATTACTCGATCAAAACATTTGCTGTACGATACATACTGCACATAGCATTTAAACCACGATATATTTTACAGATGAATACCCCTATAGATTTTTACGCTAAGGCCGTAGCCATGGAGTCAACATTGGGGGGGACCAAACGAATTTCCTGCCATTTCCTGCCTAAAAATATTGAAAAAAATTCACTAACGCATGGGATGGACTTTTTATTCATTTTTTACAATAATGTCTAATAGTGTATTATATTACATTGCTCTGTTTTTTTTTCTTTTCTACCTTTTCTTATTTCATTGTAATGGCAGAAATTAGGGATTAATAAAGTACAACCATAACCACAATCATATAAACAGAAATCGATTTTATAGCAATATATTGTGGGGGGGCATTAGGAGCATATTTGAATATTGGGGGGGGGGGGGGGTGTGTTCCCCCCCAATATCTATTATAATTACGTCCTTGATGCTTTACGCTGTTTATTGCTGCTTGATGAACCCCTCCAATCGCCACGGTTTGAAGTTGGCTTTCATCCAGCAATTGATTGACGAAGGGCTGCAAAAAAAAATATTCTTCTTTTCACTACATAATTATGCCACTGTAGATTCTGCATGCACAGCAACAACAAAGACTCGTCAATTAAATCGTGAGTGGTTACGTAATGTTCACTTATAAATCGTGGCCTCTCTGTGTGTGCCTTGTGAACAAAGACCATGTTACCCGATACGCCACATATATTCATATATATGTCACATATATTCATATAGTCGTCATTCATGCTCGTTGCACCACGAGCAATGCAGCAGCAAATAGGCTCGCAAAAAAAAATCTTCATTAAAATAAGATCCCCCCCCGAACACAATCTTACGTAATTCTTTGCGTGATGACGTAGCATCAATAGACGCCGTGCTACGCGGTGACGTCATGCGGTCAGCCGTGCTACGCGGTGACGTCACTGCTCAGACGGTGGCGTGGTGCCGTCGGCTCTGCAGATTCCGTGCAGGTTGCTGATGTGATGGAGACGGAGGAGATGATCTAGGCGAGTTTATTTAGCACGGACGACGTCGCCCGATCCGTGCATTGATCTCATCCCATCGCTCACCCACGGACAGGTGAGAAACACCGGCGGAAATTGACCGACGGTTCATCAATACTGATATTTAAACCCGCCCATATGCAGATTTCGTTGTCGGTTAAATGCCCTTCATCTGTTACCGCCTGGTGTCAACCTCGTCGAGGCGCAGTTAAATGGGTGATGGGCAATTGAAGTTCGTTAACTCGATTGAAACGACCTTAATTTAACCTCGGAGCGAGTTGTCCATTGATATTTGTCAGCTTAATTCCGTCCTTTGACCCCAATAGGATGGCATCGGTTGAGATTTTTGGTTCAATGAAACGTGGTACAGTATACCACAAGGTGGCAACCCATTGAGATTAGTGATATGAATACAATGTCCCTTACTGAACCACGCCACTTGCGGAACGTTGACTGTTAAGAACATTCGCTAGAAGGGATAATGATGGATATACGAACCTGGAAATAGGATTCCAGCCAAATAAAATAACACGCCCAAGAGGTTGACCATTTTGATGATGGGAAATTGGGTTTAGGTCACGTTCAGGGGCGAGATGTCAGGAGGCCCTCATCCAGCAGTGGATAGATGAAGGCAGTTGATAGGTACAAATGAGAGGTTAAAACTTGTGGGCTTGGTGACCTGTTATTTAACCATGTTATCTACAGGGTCCTCCAGATGTCTTGGTAACCCCCATTGAATTATCTAAAGCTTCATATTTTTAAAGTAAGGTTTATTTCAAACAGAAATGAATATGCAAAGGAAAACATATTAGGGTTAATTTAATTGAGGGTCAGGGGTTGTCCATAAATGACGTCACGCACCTAGGGGGGGGTCAGATTTTTGTGACGATGTGTGACGAGGGGGGGGGGGGAGAAATGTGACGTCACATCAAAATGCGCAACTTTAAATAAATATAGAATTGTAATAACAACACTAAATGTTATAACAACACTCCTACAACATCAGAGTGCAGCGCCACATTAAATACGCACTACAATGACAATAGTTTAAAGCGATTTGAAGCATGTTTTATTTTCAAAATGAAAATATTTTTTTTGGGGGGGGGGGGCAGAGCTTTGTGACGTCATATTTGAGGGGGGGGGGGGGCTGAATTTTTGTGACGCCGTGTGACGATGGGGGGGGGGGGGGTCAAAAATCGTCTAAAATCGCGTGACGTCATTTATGGACGGCCCCTCACATCTGGACCAGCTTGTATATTCATTTTGTAATTTCAAGGCTGGATGCAAGCAATGCTGCTTAGTGGAGGTGGGGAAGCATAGAGGAGACAGTACATCAATAGATTTAGTTGCACTGATCCCCACAGTGTGTTCTGCACACATTAATCCCATGTCCAAACTTGTAATATACCTTTACAGAGACCCCCACCGTATCGCCTTAATAGAATTGGGGCAAGTGTTCTTTATTTAACCTCGTAGCGAGTTGGCCGAGGGTGTGGGGGTGGCCAGCACCACGCCTGACCACCTTTGTCTCCTTACACATCGCACTCGGTACTTATTTGAGGCTGAGTCGATCTAGGGGAGACCCAGGACTGGTTCAGACAGCTCCACTACCGTTCCCCCTACTTTATCTTGGGCCTTTACCACACATACTTTGGAAGGCTACTCTTGAAACATACAATACTGGGCAGTGCTTGTCATGTGATCATCCGCTTTTACAAACTACAGTATGGTGACCTATTTTCCCACTAATCCACTCAATCAGCTGCACCCAGAGTCACGCTCAAAACAGTCCACTGTTCGATTTATATTGCACCCGGTAATGCTTGTAAGGTTTCACGATATTATTGTAATCCATGCCAGAGTATACGGCTTTGTCTTGAAATTCCCAAGAGATGTCGGACATTTGGGGATCAGTAGCGCAGTTGTGAGTGCAATGCGCTTCAATTCCCGGTCATGGTTAATTTTAGTGGCCAGTGATATCTGAACTGTGGCTTGTCCCTTTTCATAAACCAGCGTGGTGAAGCATGGTCAAACAACGCCCATGACCGATACATTGTGGACATGCCGTTATCCAGTGGCGTATCAGCAAAGAGCTGTACATTATTATTGTACTGTAAAGTGAACTCAGAATGTTCTGTGTTTATATTTGTACTGGTAGGAACCTCCTTGTTCCACCAGCCCACAGGGGATTCTTGTGTCGGTCCGTCGTGCATCAAAAAATGGGAGGGGATGGGGCTGGGTGGAGAGGGGAGGGTGGGGAGGGGCTGGGTGGGGGGGCTGGGTGGGGAGGGAGGGGCTGGGTGGAGAGGGAGGGGCTGGGTGGGGATGGAGGGGCTGGGTGGGGAGGGAGGGGCTGGGTGGGGAGGGGAGGGAGGGGCTGGGTGGGGAGGGGCTGGTCTCCCCGTGGTGCCCTTATAAAACTCAACGTTTAACCTACTCACGCCGGCTTGTGCCCGCCCTCACAGTCGGGCATATTTGCGGAATACACCACGCCGCCGTTGACCCTGGCCATTGACCGAGCAACACAACGTTTCTACCAGCTCCTTCCGCAGGAATGTGTTATTATTCCGAATTGCAAATGACTGTGTGGATTGATCAGGAACAATTTTAGTTGGTTCATAGTTTAGCTTTGTTAATTATACACAGCCATTTCCCCGGGCTGCCAGCAAGTCCTGCACTTCACATGAACGCCCTTCATCTGTGGTGACATTTTGTCCAATATTCTCTTGCGAGACCTTGTAAGTATGATTTACTTTCAGAGAAGTAGATTTAAGCACTGGATGTTGCATTTATATGAATACATAATTTCATATCCATATTAACCATTCATGTCAAACTAGTGTATAATTCCGGTGGGATTTCATACCGGCCGTATTGGTTTCTTACCTTATTTCTAGATTTGAAGCTTTCGTGACTGCAAGGATTTATATTCTTAGGTTTTTTTCGGTAAAGTCACGTAGGTAAAAAATGTTAATTAATAAAAGTAAAATAAAATAAAAATCACGACGTTTCGGAGGCAACACAAGCTTCCGTCTTCAGGTGGAACCGTCACAGCACGATAGCTGTATCTTACCTTATCTAATCGGTGTTTCCTCAGAGAGCATATAGAGAGAGCGAGTAAGCCTACGAGCGAGTGGGCGAGTAAGTGACTATAAAAGCGTGAGTCTGTGGGTAAGTGAGTCTATAGGGGCCGTCCATAAATGACGTCACGCACCTAGGGGGGGGGGAGGGTCAGACATTTGTGACGATGTGTGACGAGGGGGGGAGGGTTTGAGAAATGTGACGTCACATCACAATGCGCAACTTTAAATAAATATAGACAACACGTTCTACTTAATTCAATAGACTTTTTAATAAATGTTTTTTCCTACAACACCAGAGTGCAGCGGCACATTAAATACGCACTACAATGACAATAGTTTAAAGCGATATGAAGCATGTTTATTTTGGGGGGGCAGACCTTTGTGATGTCATATTTGAGGGGGGGGTCTGACTTTTTGTGACTCCGTGTGACGATGGGGGGGGGGGGGGGGTCAAAAAACGTCCAAAATCGCGTAACGTCATTTATGGACGGCCCCATATTTGTCTGGAAGCGCAGTCATATACGTCATCAGCAGACTATGGTCACACGAATTCAGTGTCCGAAATACACATTTGGATTTGTCAAGTCCTAAAAAAATTGGCCAAAACTTGCACTGAATCAGAATCCAGATTCTAATTTGTCCCATCCCTAATTCCTACCATACGTCCACCCAGGGCCAGCATGGAGTCAGATCTGCTGCGAGCACAAGGCCACAACTCGGGCTCTTACAACAGCTTCGGGAGCCCAAGCGACGAGGACCCGGACGAGGTGGCTTCCGACTTTGTTCCCTTGAACTCCGACCACTCCTCCGGCCCTGACCTTCCCCAAGACCCCACAGCCGGCCTCAGGCAACTGACACGCGAGCGTCCATCTTGCATCAACACAGCGGCGGCGTCTTGGAGGACAGCAGAGCAGCCTACAGCAACTGAGGGGGTCATTGGTGAGATGATGATGAGATGATGAGCTTGTGTTCGTTTTGGGGAGTGATGGTAGTTTTGCACTGTGCTATGACCAGGGTTGGAATTCCTAGCATTGATGAACATTGCCATCACCAGTGGATACTTGTATCTATACTATAACCTGTTAGAGAGCTTCCTCTGTTTCACCGAAAAAGCCTGGGTCTGTCCATTGCTGGTGTTCTACCCCCACAGTGTCTGGGACTGTCCAATACCAATGACTTTCCCACGACTAAGCTTATTCTTCGTGGGCCATTCTTGTAAATCAGCGTAAGGCTGAATGTTTTTTACCTGCCTAACAAAACACAATCTTTGCGTTTGTTCCACGAGCTCTTGAATGTAATGTGATAATGAATTGATTCTTCAATTAAAATGAGTTAATACACTCGCATTGCATAAACAGCCATCACAGAGTCAGAGTCTAACTGGATGTGAATGTGTGTGCATCTCATCAGCATAACAGTGACAAGATAAACACAAATGTAGTAACAATGCCCAACGGTGCCATGTAGGCATGGAATCGTTGGGGACCAGGTAAACATCCTTGCAGGACACCGCAATGAACCGGTCTCATTGGACATTTAAGGTCACCCATTGTGACTTAGTGTTTCTCTAATTAAGAGCGAAATCATTGTAAAGTAGCTTGAGAAATCCCCATTGAGTGTTCAGATCGCGAAAGAAGGACCCCATGCTCAATGTTGAAAACACGGTACTGAGATTAAGCAGGATGAGGATACAAGCTTGACCCTTATCCGCGAACAGCAATACATCCCTGATCACCCTCATGAGAGTTGTCTCAGTACTGTGCACGGCCCTGAAACCTGATTGAAAGGGGTCAGATATTTTATTGTAGGCCAGATGCTGGTGGTGGAAACGAGAGGTCATAGCACGTTCCAGGATATTGCATAAGTAAGGGAGGTTAGAGACAGGATGTAAGTTGTTGGGAAGTTTTGGATCAAGACCCAGCTGTTTGAAGAGTGAGTTTGACTGCAGCCATATTAAAAATGGTGGGACCGTAGCAGTCTCAAGAGACTTGTTGAAGAGGCCAAGGACAAAGGGCCCCAATGCAGAAAGTCATCTCGTTAAATGCTACAGGGGAAGGGATCCAATAGGGAGGCTTACTACAGCTTCACTCAGAGGTTCGGAGAGCTGTGCAGCCCTGCAAGGATGAGTGGTGGTCGCGAGTTGCTGAGAAAATTGAATCTGACTTAGTAGCCCATCATCACAAATCACTCATTAATTGCATTAAAAAGTAGCTTGCAGTGCCACACCTATAACCATCTTTCGGAGAAAGAAGGGTGATTTGATCTGAGACCCCAGGAACAGGTTTGTAAGTTTGCTGAGCATTTCTGTGAGGTCTTGGGGAAGAGGAAATTCCTCAGCCCAGATAACATCATGAGACAAGGTGGGGATGATTCTGCTGGAGCTGCGGTTCCTCAAATATTGGAAGAAGTTGTCACCCCCTGTAAGTGGCTGGCTGAGGTATCATTTATTCATTAAGTACGGAAGGTGAACCAGAGTCTAAGATGATGAAACGTTCTGGGCATAAATAATCTCCCTAGCAAGCTGCTGAGGGAGGGTGATATTTGTGTGCAGATTGCCCTATATGACATCATTACAACAGTCTGGAATACTGGACGGTTTCTGCAGGATTGGAAGAATCCCCTCATGGTCCTCTTCCATAAGAAGCGGGACCACCAGATTGTAACAACTAATTGGCATTTCCCTCCTCAGTGTGCCGGGTAAGGTCCTGGAAAGGATTATTCAACATTGCCTTGCCAGGCATGCTGAGGAGAGGCTTGAGGAGCCCTAATGTGGTTTCAGGCCAGGGCAGTCCTGCACACACCATATTCTCTGTCAGTCTGCTACAAATCGGAGCTGGTCATAGGCACAATCCCCAGGTATGGAAACCTCTCCACTCTTTCCACCAACTCCTCATGAGTGATGGGGCATTTGTATAAGGAGAGTAGAGGTTTCCATACCTGGACATTGTGCTAATAACCAGCTCTGTTTTGGAAGCAGAGCTCTCACTCCATATCATTGAGGCGGCATTATTTTTTAATCTGTTGTGTAACGTGTGGAAGCTACCTGGCCTTTTGCTCCACAAAAAGCTTTGGGACTTTTCGGCCACAGTCACACAAAAGCAGTTCCAAAAGAATGAGTTTTGAATTTAGAGTGTTATGTTTATGGTGTCCGTGTATGGTGTTTGTGTGTTATGTGTGTGGTGCGTGTATGTACGGTATACGTTTTTGTGGTGGGTTTGCAGGCAGCACAGTGGTGGTGAGCGATGCTGGCGGAGGTGCTGGTGTATCGGGGTTGTCTCAGCTGCTGGAGATCTTGGAGGAGCCCATCCCAGGCGTGGGAACCTACGATGACTTCCACACCATTGACTGGCTCCGGGAGAAATCGCGTGACAGAGAGAGGCACCGCACAGTACGCTGTGGCACCCACATGAAGGAATGTGTAATCATGCCAGCACTTCAGAGTAGCAGAATTGTCTCAGTCTGGTCACTTAGCTGAACCAAAAATCAGTACATTTGGGTTTTCAGTTGATTTGGCTAGATACCAGCTCTGATTATAAAAATATAAATTTTACTTTTGGATTACAAATATTTATTTTTGTAGTAGTACCTGTGTAGGGCTGTTATAAACGGGCTGTTTGTACATAGGAGCAAACGGCGAACAAACACAGTGGGCGGAGCTCCGGGAGTAAACGGGGGGGGGGGGGTGCCCGCAACAACGTCCGCATCGGGCTGCCCGGCGGTTGTGATCCGGGAGGGGGTATAAAAGGGGATGTCAGAGAGAGCTCGGGGCTCAGTATTAGAACGAAGAAGGGAAGACTGAAGACCCGGGTAGCTAGAGCCCTGGACTCCCCTGAGACGCCGCCTTGTCAGGGCCGCGCAGGACCGAGCCAGCGGCGTGGTCCCGTGAACCAGAGTCAGCACTCTGGGATTCCGGGTACCGTAGCCCGACTCACCAGTGTCGGGCCAGACAGCCTCCCCTAGCCCGTTAGTGGAGGACTCGGGGTAGGTTAGGGATAGCTAGTGGTGTATCCCCAGTTATACGGGTGAGGGGGCCGATACCCCCTCTAGTGCTGTCCTGTCGTGACAACTTGTAAAATAAATACACGTGTGCCTCAACCTTGGTGTCAAGCGTCCTCACCGGTACTTCACCTGTGAGAAATATGGCCCATAGGGAGCAAAATAAAGAGGATCACTTCAAGTGATGTCAGACGAAGTTCTGTGAATTCTTCATCCATAGGCTGGTGTCTAAATATATGGGATGCAAGCCTTTCTCATCTATTGCATCACTACCCCACAGGCTATTGACAGCCTATTGCATGCAATCGGTTTCTATACAGTCGCACTACATCGCAGCTAATAGAGTTTGGTTCTAATATCTGTAATCGAGCACAATTGCAATCAAAAACGTATTCCAATCAACGAGCAGGTCACATGACCAATGCATAGCATGTATTTGAGTGTTTACATGAAAAGATTCCTGGTTGAGGTTAAATATGTATGTATATAGGAGTGTATATATATATGCATGTGTGTGAGTGTGTCTGAGATTGTGTCAATGTATGTGTATATGTGCATGCATGTTTTGTGTATGTGTATGGCGGTTGCATAATTGTAACAACTACTGGCCCATTCCCTCAGTGTACCAAGAAAGGTCCTGGCAAGGATTATTCTACATCACCTTGCCAGGCATGCGAAGGAGAGGCCCAATGTGGTTTTTGGCTGGGGTGGTTCTTCACTTATGCCATTTTCTCTGTCCGTCTACTACAGCAGAGGTGTACGCAATTTCAACGGGACCTAAATATCTTCTTAATTGACCTGGTTAAGGTCTATGATACCATAAATAGGCGAGGGCTCTGAGTTGTTTTTCGTGCTTTCGGGGTTCCTTACTCTGCGCGAGATCATTAAGGACTTTCATGATGGTGGACAGGCCTGGGTAAAGCTGCGTGGCTGGGAGTCAGAGCTATTCCCTGTTTACCTTGGGGTTTGACAGCGATGTCCTCTAGCTTCAACATTATTTAACATATTTTTTGACGACGTAGTTATAGAAGTTTTTTATGGTTGTACCAAATACATTTCTATCTACTACAGATACAATGGAAGGCTGATCGATGCCTGGACATGGTCAACCATGTTATGCATGCTGATGATCTGGTAATTGCTGCTCACTCTGAGAAGGAGTTGGGGGTTCTGCTGCTAAACTTGGAGCATGCCACTAAAAGGTGGGGCCTTACCATCAGCCCTACGAAAACTAAGCACCTACTTGGGTATTTTGTGTCATCAGACAATCCACCCTCGCAAGTTCCCATGAGTGATTTGGCAGTTGTGGAGAGAGTGGAAAAGCTTCCATACCTGGGTAGTGTACTTATAACCAGCTCTGGTTTGGCAGCGGAGGTTTCACTCCGAATCAGTCGAGTGGCATCTTTTCATCAACTTATCAACGCTGTTTGGAAGATACCTGGTCTTTCGCTGCACACAAAGCTTTAGGTCTTCTCAGCCACTGTTATTCCCTTCCTTTCTTTATGCTTGCGAAACACGGACCCCTCTGAAAGAAACATTCAGGCTGGTCTGCCTACGATCCATCCTAGGTTTAACGAGGGCTGGATTATGTGAGGAGTTCACAAATCCTTGAAAGATCTGGACAGTTTCCCATCAGTGAGTTCCACAGGCAGGCGAGGCTGCATTGTTTGGGTTATGTAGCCCGCATGCTCAACCAACGTATATCCAAACAGCTATTGTTTGGCCAGATAGAGGAGGCTAAATGGGTGCAGCACGGGCTAGAAAGGAGATGGACTGATCTACAGAAGGATGTGGAACTGATTTGACTTGTCGATGACTTGTATCAGCGATGTCAAGATCGGCCTCTGTGGGGGAGGCTCGTGAAGAATGCTATTCGGCAGTTTGATGCAGTTGCCCTCCAACAACAGCAGAGGGCAGAGGAGCAACACTTACAACAATGAGCAAAGTGCCAGGCGGATAAAATGAAGCAAGCTGGTACAGTGGCGAACACAGTTGGTACATCTACCGGTTATCTCAGTCACTCAACCCATGGCACCTGGATCTGTTCCGTGACCTCTTGTCTCTTGTCAGCCACTTTACGTGGCCTAAAAGTGCACCTACCCTGGCAACAAGCGTCGTGGTGACATCACCGCCACTTTGTCGCAAATGGCAGTAGTTGTTGGGGAGCGGTAGTGTAGTAGTTAGTGTGCTGCGCTAAGAACCTGGTGACCCGAGTTTGATTCTCACGTCCAACACCAGTGATGATTATCTGAACTGGTCCTGGGCCTCCCCTAGCCTGGCTTAGCCTCAAATGAGTACCTGGTGTGGTGTGTAAACATTGCCACTATAGAGACAAAGTCACCCGGGCGTGGTGCTGGCGACCCACCCCCCTCATGTGCCATGCCAGCCTTGATAGGTCCTCTATAACAGCACTTGCCCCAAAAGTCTGTTCAGGCTATATGGGGGATCTTTTTTTTAAGTTCAACACATCCACAGTGGTGTAATGATGAGTGCACTGTGCTACAAACCTAATGACCTAACTTGAGTGGAAAGTAAAATATGAACATGTCCTTCCCTAGGTCGACTCAGCCTTAGATGAGTGCTTAGTGCAATGTGTGAACAGCACTTGGGTGTGGTGCTTACCACGCCACCCCCCAGGCAGTGACCCGATATTAATATGTAAATTATTTGTAACTTTTAGTGTTTTGAGAACCGTAGTTTAAGCTATGAGCAACTCTTGTTGATGACTCTTGGAACCTAAAACTTTAAATTTCTAGAAATACTAAATCCCACTCCTTCATATTTACCGTCAGCTCATGTATGGTGCTCTCAACTTTTCCTTCCCATCTTTTTATCTCGCTGATGCCAACAATATCCCAGAACGATTCCTTTCAAGTATCCGCACACTCACTGCGTGTGACGATGGTCACATAGAGCAGGCTTCCTGTTCTTACCCAGTGATTTATAACATTAGTTACACCGAAATCTACCCTGCTGTCACCATGGATGATGAAATCAGAGCTGCAAAGTTTACTGCGGACGGACATTTTCTGGCTGCACTACCATTAGGGGAAGATTAGCCGCTGTGCTTCATGCCGGTCAGTGCGGGTTGGCGAAGATACTCACCTGACGAGGGAACACCATCACTCGCATTCAGGTGACCCCATCCACTTGATAGTTAACTAGAGCAGACTTATTTATTACAGGCAGACCTCGCTTAGCACTCAAGATGTTTCTGGAGAAGTGAACTAAAATGTAATCGGTGCTAAAAGGGGTTATTATACCATTGTATATATGGGGATCTGTCTTGGAAGTATTATTTCTTACATATGAGTAATATATGAGGGCTTAATTGGAGTATCGGTAATCGCGCTAATAATAATACAGATGGAAATACAGGTTTTAAAAAAAAGAATATTTTATTAGAATAACATCGGTATATTGTCCCAGCGCATCCACCGGATGCTCAAGACCCACACCCACCTGACGGACCTTGCGACGCGTGTTTTCATCAGTAATTTTTGGTTTAAATGTTTTTCAGTATGCTTTTTCTCCATGGCAAAGAGCGCTATAACGAATCAGCGTTCTGTGGGGTTGCACTCAGCGATGTCTTCCTGTCGTTTATATTCCATTTAAATATTAATTCTATTGTTGATTTGCAATTATTTTTTATTTTAATATTTTTGTTTAAATAGGTGTATATGTTGATGATTAGAATACTTTTTGTGAGGATCCTGTTTATGTTAATTATAATGTACATGCTGCTGATGATGAGGGTGCTCGTGATGATATTGGTGAATGGAATCGTGACCTCGCAAATCACAGCAAATCATTTAATTTCCGGCAGAGTTGAACCGTATTAAGTGGAATTGTGAGTAAATAAATCAATTGATGATTTGTTACATAACTCGTTGACATAGTGTCAAAATTATTATTATGATTTGTAGATTTGGAGTCGTCGTAAGAGTTCCGTGTGGGAGTTTTTGACGAGCGTGCACGATGCCTGGTCCGGGTGGCTGGTGGTAACGCTCACAGGGCTTGCAGCAGGTACCATCTGCACCATCATCAGAATCGTCAGCATCTTTCTCATAAACATCAGCATCATCACCATAAGCAACACCCGTACTGTGAACACTATTAGCATCTTCTTAGGTTTTTTCGGTAAAGTCACGTAGGTAAAAACATTAAAAAGTAAAATAAAATAAAATATTTTTATTTATTTTATTTTACTTTTTAATGTTTTTACCGAAAAAACCTAAGAATATGAATCATTGCAGTCACGAAAGCTTCAAATCTACTATTAGCATCATCACCATCAGCAACAACAGTACAGTGAACACCATCATCAATATCAACATCATCAGCATTCTTACCACCATCAGCACCATCACCAGCATCAATAACATCAGTACTCTGAACACCATCACCACAATCAATAAGGGAAATTGCCAGAAACGTCACCCTTGTAACATTTCTTCTTAAGATAAATGGGCAGGGAATTGAAGAAGGGACTTGTAAAGACCTGAGCATGGAGTTTAATGTTCCACATGGCAGAGAAAGGCCAACATTAGAAGACTGGGAAGTTGTAAGATGTGGGTGTGGCATAGAAATGTAGAAAATCGGTTAGATCAAAAGAAAGAGTAATTGAGGAAGTGCTACTGTGGGTCTACAGGAGATTGCCTAAACTATAAAAATCCAGAAAAGGCACAATATCTAGATTGGGCATTTTATCAAGAGGAGAAGTATTGCTAAAATAGGCTCTGGAGGAAAGGATGTTTGTGAAGGTACTGCTCAATAGATAGAAAATAGTTAAGTTGCCGAAATTAAGAGGAAAGCACAATATCCGACTGGATGGAGGGAACTTGAATGACGAAGCAGTGCTGAGGCAGAGAAGCCCATAACATCTGGCTGTGCTTACGTATATGGTCCACTGCTTGCCTTGTGGTGTACTTTTCCACAGGCATAGTTGTCTGTACCAGTATTTTCTCACGCGCCTGTGCATGCGTGCGTATGCGTGCAGGTGCGTTGGCAGGCTTGATCGATATTGCGGCCGACTGGATGTCACAGCTCAAGGAGGGCATTTGCCTGCCTGCATTCTGGTTCAACCGCGAACAGTGTTGCTGGACGTCCAACGAAACCACCTTCTTGCAACGAGACCGATGTCCACAGTGGCACAGCTGGGGACAGCTTGTGATGCGTACTGATGAGGTAGGACAGCGACAAGGGAGATATGGGGCATTCAGGAGGCTCAGGTGCATGGAGATAAAGGATCCATGGGACTGTTTGTGTAACAATGCATTATTGAAGCATCATTTAGTAACACATGTAAGAATCCATTATTAATTCAGATTTTTTTAAATTTTCATTAGCAAATGGTATTCTAATTCTATATCTGGGTTAATGCAGCGAATGAGGCAGAATATGCAAGTTTATCTCTTGAGCAAAATACAACAAAGTGAACAAATAACCATGTGCTGGAGGCTCCAAGATGACATGCATGTCTGATGTTCGATGGCTAAGCCCCCACAGGGCGGAGGGAAGAGACTGAACCGTAACTTGGTGAGCCTCCAGAAATAAAAGGCCATTGCTTGCTGGTGAGGAGAGGTTGCCACTTCCTCTGCTGAGAGCTGGACCGGTATTTGTAAATGAAGGGGGGCAAGGAAGTACCGAAAAGATCATTAAGAAGAATGGATCATGTCTTGGTACATGGTGTGGTCTTTTAGGCAAAACCAGAAGACATGAAAGAAGGTTTTTGTGTGGTTTGGTTCAAACAGCTGGGGCAGCCGGGGCTCTGCTGCGGGATGTATTATTTAGCTTGATGTGAACTTGTGTCATTGGTTTGTTGTTGTGGCTGTGCAGGGTGCCGGCTCCTATATATGTAACTACATATTGTACGTGCTCTGGGCTGTCTTCCTGGCACTCGTGGCTGTCCTGCTCGTCAAGATGTTTGCTCCCTATGCGTGTGGCTCCGGGATTCCTGAGGTGACTTTTCCTGCATCTGATCATCCGATTGGAGTGTCGTGTTATTTTTTACGTGTTATTTTCCTTTATCCATGATGGTGTCGGGGGTGCTATTGGTTTATTTAATGTTTGTTCCTGTCTGTGAAATAGACTGCAGATATCCATGAGTTTATCTATGTGGATGAACTCATGGATAATAGAGATATTTTGCCAACGTCCCCAAGTGATTTCTCATCGCTATACAAATACACAAACAATACGATTAATTGATCTCTACTTCTAGATTACTCATCTTGTCAGCTAGAAGACATGGATAAGAGGTGGCCATGTGGCTCAGAGGTCAGAGTGCAACGCTGGCATAGCTCAGATTCTGGCTTCAAATCGAGGTCGCTCGATCTGACAAAACTAAAATCTCAGTTGTAGTGAGTTTTTTTCTTTCATTCTGGTCACAAATGAACAGTTTTAAAACATCACACAAATATGAATTTGGCTAAATACAATCTCTTGACTCATGAAAAATACATGAAAAAAAATTTTCTCGTAAAATTTGGCAAAATTCCAGTTGACATTTACAATATTTATTATCTGACAAACAAACACCAATCTATTAGCAGAGTAAGTGGGAAAGTGTTGCCTTTGTGCAAAAAGATAAAAGGCCACTTTAATTGTTTTTCAGAAGAACTTGTGTGAACATCTCTGGTTGCAGCCATGCTTGGATATGCCATGGGTTTGTGAGAGATTAAATAAACACAACCTAAGCAATGAAAGGCCTCTAAAGGAATCTACACTGCTTATTTTGAAACACCCCGTGATGGTCAAAGTGGCAAGTTATTCAAACTAAACAGCTCCTCCGGTGCCTGCTCTAGAACTTTTTTTTATCTGTTTCTACATCTAAATTATTTTCCCCATTCAACGTCCCTCAACCCACATCTCAAGACCTTCCAGTCATCGTATGTCTTGCTTTGTAGAGTGCACGATGTGAATGCGAGGTTGGACTTTGAAGGGAGGTTGACTCATTTTGTCTGCGTGTAAATTCAGATTAGAGGGAAAAAAATTATCCTTAAATAACGGGATTTTCCACAAATCAATTTGTAGCATGGATAAAATCATTAAGTAGCGGTTATAAAAAGTCTGCTGCAAATAAGAGGCGCTGCACTGTTATTATCCAACACCATCTCTGGTCTTTTCTCGGTCGACTCGGATGTGTGTGTTCCTGTGCTTCTGGATCCAGATCAAGACGATCCTGAGTGGCTTCATCATCCGGGGCTACCTGGGTAAGTGGACGCTGCTCATCAAGACGGTGACGCTGGTGCTCGCAGTGTCGTCCGGGCTCAGCCTGGGCAAGGAGGGGCCCTTAGTTCACGTCGCCTGCTGCTGCGGAAACATCTTCAGCTACCTCTTCCCCAAGTACCGCACCAACGAGGCCAAGAAGAGGGAGGTGCGCGCCATGGACTTCATTCTTTTTGTTTAGAACACACCTCCGCTTTTAAAAGTTGAAAATAATATAATGTCAGCTGTTTCTGTTCCTTTGTTGCTGAATAACTTCCCATTGCTGCTCACGTGTGACCAGCCATTACGCTGAGTACGATGGCATGCGCTTGTAATCCTGGCACTTTTGAGGCAAGGGTTGGTGGTCATTCTGGTTTTGTGTAACTTCTAAACCTGCCCAGCTACGTGGTGGCCAGAAGGTGGCGGCAGAGGACATTACTTGTTGAATGCTTGTGTCGAGCTTTATTATTCCTTCATATTTGCGGGTTTTCTCCCGTATGCCGGTTTCCTCCTGCATGCCATACACTCATAAATGGAATTGGCCAACGTGTCTCAATGCGTGACTCTCCTGGTAAGGAGTCTTGTGGCTTGGCGAGGCTCTCCTGGATAAATAAACACCATTATGGTTATTTTAAAACTGCTTTCCTCTTGCTTGTTTAAATCTACTTCCCCACTGAGTGGCAGTCCAAGAAGCTGCCCTTTAGGTTCTCGTACGGTGAGCCCCCCACTATGCCATTTCCTCTTTGGTGATGTTCAACAAACATTCTTCATTTGTAATATTCAACATCTCAAAATACCTACATTTTACAGTCCAACCTCGTAGTTATTTTCATGTCGTACAATATTTGAAATATGTTTATTATATTTTATGCTTCTTCACGAGAGGTTTATTTTCCACGTCTATGAAGGTGACCAGTTTTGTTTCCCTCCGTCAGATGATTCATAACGCTTGTGTCACAGCAGGCAGAAGAAGTCCATACACATTCAAAACCTGAGGAATGTGTGTGTGGGTCTATCTACAGTATCTCTAATGGGCCTCAATGTCTATGTCAGAATGTTGAGCTGGTATGGCTGAGGGACTGCATTCAACCACCTGGAATGGATGCATCCGTGTACTGTATCATAGAGTTTAGGTAAAAGTGCATCTGTACAGACAATAGAGCGCTGTCTGCTTGTACCCCAGCCATTGTGTAAATTATACATTCCTTATCGGAGGCCAGGCACTCCTTAGATCATACTTTTAGACTCTCTGCAAAGTAGTACCTATTTTTATTGACTGTGATGGTATTTGGCTGATTTGACCCCCAACTGGGATTTAGACTTGTAACCTCCTGATCATGTTAATTTGAGCCATCTAATAACAATAGAGCTTGGTTTCATGCTCTTGGTCCATGTGTGCTTCTCTCAGGGATTTATAGTGGAATTATGGATCAGCCCCCTCCGCTGTGTGTGTGTATACATGTGCGTGTCACGTATGTGGGGATCGGTAATGTGGTGGTTGGCACGCTGCGCTATGTACTCGGCGATCTGAGTTCGATTCCCGATCATGGCCGACACGAATGACGATTATCTGAACCGGTCCTCGGCCTCCCCTAGGCCAACTCAGTCTCAAATGAGTACCTGGTGTGGTGAGTAAACATTGCCACGAGGGAGACAAAGGTGGCCGGGCATGGTGCTGGCCACCTACCCCCCTCATGTGCCATGCCAGCCTTCACAGGTGCTCACTTAAAGCACTTTCCCAAAAAGTCTGTTATAGCTATATGGGGGATCTTTGTCTTGTGTCATGTGTTCCCACGCAGGTACTTTCAGCTGCCTCTGCAGCAGGGGTGTCGGTGGCATTTGGGGCACCTATTGGAGGTGTTCTCTTCAGCTTGGAGGAGGTAATCACGTAATCTACACCACCATCATTATTGTCATTATCCACATTATTTGCAGCAGGTTCTCCAGTTATAGTTGCTGGCGGGCAACACAATCAAATTAGTGTGTGCTGGTGGGCTACCTGATGTCATATGTCACGTAATGTCTTAACGTCATTGTCTATGCGACATTACATTATGAGGTCATAACGCCTCTATATAATCATCGGCCATGATCTATCGATTGTTGGATGAATGCTTCCCCAAACCATAACCAACTTTTACGGTCTTAACATGCACCAATATATTGAGCACTTGCACACAAGTTGATTTTGTCTCTCAGTGTCCACGGTAAACGTCCTCTGAGGCATGCTTCCTCCTTTGGCTGCCACTCCATCGTTAGTCTCAACCACTGGCCATAATCCTGTCTTAGCAATGTGTCCTGCCCAAGCCTGCTCACTTTTCAATACCCTCAATACGATGTATCTAACTTCCGTGTATGTTCTCCAATGCATATCACACTGCGCACATCGTCATAATCTTCCCCTTCACCTGCTGCACGAACCATTACTATATCTTCAATCCTCGTTGACCACCCACCAAACTCTTCCGCCCCCACCGCCTCCTGCCCTCGTGGCGCTGACCTCTGGTGCAGGTGAGCTACTACTTCCCGATGAAGACGCTGTGGCGCTCGTTCTTCGCGGCGCTGGTGGCAGCGTTCGTGCTCCGTGCTCTTAACCCCTTCGGGAGCAGCCACCTGGTGCTCTTCTACGTGCAGTACCGACGGCCGTGGCACCTGCCCGAGCTGCTGCCCTTCGTCGCGCTTGGCGTATTCGGAGGTCTCTGGGGTGCTGCCTTCATCAAATTCAACATTGCCTGGTGCCGCCGGCGCAAGTTTTCCCGCCTCGGACACTTCCCTGTCACCGAGGTGATGGCCACGATGATGCCATCATCATCATCATCATTGACGTCATCGTTATAATTGTTGCTATGATTGGGAGGAGTAGTGGTCAGTGCACTGCGCTGTGAACATCGAAACTGAATTTGATTCATGGTCATAGCCACCATCAGGGGAGAGTGATATTTGAAACTGACCCTGACCCCTTTCCCTTCACCAAACCAGCATCGATTAATGTGGTGATAAATGGCTAAACCTATCCCTATCACCGATGTGGATAGAAGCCTTCATCCAACAGTGGAGTGAAAAACTGTTGTAAATAATTAATATGTATTACTGTTAGTATTATTTCCACTGTACACTGTGATTGAAGTGATCACAGTCAAGACAATCATGACTTTATTGTCATCATCTTTATTACCGTCATCCTCATCACCTGTATTTGAGGTGACTGCAACCACGAGACCATCTCCTTACACAGTTTTTCAGGTGACTTTAACAGCACACATCACAATTATCATCATTATCATTATCAACATCACAGTACAATGCTCCCAAATTGTATAGGCTAACGATTTAACATCACTCTGATCAACATCCACCAAATGCTGTTCTGGTTATTATGACAATGAAGATGACATTAGCACTCGAACTGGTTGTGTTGATCATGAAAACGTCTTGTCTCTTTGTCTTCAATGGCTCTCGTGTCATTTTGTCTTCACTCGGCCCTGACCTCTCTGATCACCCAACACTTCTACCTCTGTCCCTTGGCCTCCCTGTGCCCCCTTGCTCTTATGGATCATTTTGATGACATCACTTGCTTCCTGTGTCTCTCCATATCCTCAATGGCTCTCCGTGTCCATGCTCCACTACCCTTCTCTGTCTTTGTGTCATCTCTGTCCTTTCATATCTCTCTGTCAACCATTTCTCATGTGTTTCTGTGTTGCCTAGTTCCTCCTTGTCTCTCTGTTGCGCCTTTTCTTCATTATTGCTGCATCACCTCTTTCCTTCTCTCTCTCTGTCCGTCACCCCATTCCTTTAATGTCTCTGTGAAATGCCCTGGCATCCCATGTCTCTGTTTCATTCCCCATCTTTCTGTATCAAATTTTTCCCCCATTCCTTCCTTTCCCCCATATCATCGCTGTCCTTCCATTCCTGGTTGTATCTCCACCGGGGATGCAGGTGCTGGTGGTGGCGCTGGTGACGGCTGTGCTCTCCTACCCGAACCCATACACGCGCAAGAGCAGCAGCTCCCTCATCGCAGAGCTGCTGCGCGACTGCAACCCCTTGCAGCAGGCATCCCCACTCTGCGGGCTCTCCCCTCCGTCCTCCCCGTACCCATCGCCATCCTCCTCTCCGTCCCCATCCCCGTCGGGCCTCGCCGACAACGTCACAAGTTGGACCACCCCCGTCACCACGACCACAGCTGCGCCCCCTGATCTGGATTCCCAGAATGCATCACTGTGGCTGCTTGGCCTGGCCCTCGTCTTCAAGGTGGTCATCACCGTGTTCACGTTCGGCATGAAGGTACGTAGCAGTCGACCGAGTTCATAAGGTATAGAGCGGGCACCTGTGCTCATAAGGTATGGTATTTGACCAGTGAGTATTTGGTATGTGAGGGGAAATTGAAGTACTCAGAAATAAAACATCACACACATGCAGGATTAACACTCACAGACAGATTCAATCCACAGACAGACCAAATCCATAGAATCTATTTATGAACTAAGCTCATAGCTGTATCTTCATCTGGCCACCTTGCAGCCCATACCTACAGGCAATCTTTCATCCAACGGGTATGCTCGGGCTATCATCCACGGTGGCAAAATGTTAGATACCTTTCCTAGTATGGAGGAGGTTGTGGGTTTGATCCCAACCCTGATGTCTGTATATTTGGAGTTTGCATGTTCTCCCCGTGGTTGTGTGGATTCACCTCCGGGTCCTCTGGTTTTTCCCTTCACATTTAGACACATTTGTGGCCAGGTTGCTTCTGAAAAAGAGCTTTATAGCTCAGTGGGCCTTACCTGGTAAACTTAAAAGATTTTAGTTTCGTTTTATGTATCCAAGAAATAACCAAGATCAATATCATGCCAGTATTAAAGCATGAAAAACAAGAATAGGTTTTACCCTTTCTGGAAATAAAACAGGTGTTAAGACGTTCAAACGCCAATTAGAAACCTTTTGCAAGGGCATCTATATGATCAGAGTTTGTTTGCATGTGCACCACAAGTCGTCTGGTTAATGCAGACTTGCTTTCTCGCAAAAGGTTTCTATTTGGTGTTTGAACATCTTAACACCTCTCTTATTGCCAGAAAGGGTAAAAGCTTTTCTTATTTTTCAAACCTGCTTTGACTTTGGACATGTGACAAGATTGAGAGTATTCAATGTGATTAGGATGGAGAGAGACCCTCTGTGTGTTCCGACACACATGGGCTTTGTCCCAGAGTTTCAAAAAGTGCTTGGTGAGTATAACGACACGGCTACTGTGGTGCTTGTTGTTGTGGCTGCAGGTGCCGTCGGGCCTGTTCATCCCAAGCATGGCGGTGGGCGCAGTAGCCGGGCGGCTGCTGGGCATTGGGGTGCAGCGGATGGCATGGAGCCACGGCGCTGCACTGGGCATCGATGGCTGGTGTAGCCCAGGCACAAGCTGCGTCACGCCTGGCCTCTACGCCATGGTGGGCGCCACTGCATGCCTGGGTGAGCATGAACTCTTAACTGTAACCCTCAACTTAACCCTGTCACTTATCATGACCACTTAACCATAAATTGCTTTGGAAAAACAGTCACAGTTAATAAGAAAAATATTTTTTTCATTTTATATAGCGTCATTCATGTTAATTGCTTCCCATAACTCTGCACATTAATTATATATAAGGACCAAATCCTATATCTACTACCAAGCAAATGAAAACCCGACTTCAAAGCAAAAAAAAAGAATAAATAGCTAAAGAAATTGCACCAGAAAAAAAGGCACAAACAACAAAAATGTTAGTCCATTAGGTCACATCCCAGACCACAATCCCAACTTCTCAACAAAGCCAGGAAACCTTCACAGGAGGGGTGGTGGAATGCTAAAAAGTTATGACTAATTTAGATCAATTAGGCAAATGTCCAAAATGCGTTTACCTATTTTTCAGTGTATGCCTGGATGAATAAAATAGGCCTATAGTTCGGATTTAAATACAGTAGAACCCCTCTAAAAAGACCACCCCTGTTACCGACTAATCGTTTAGTGATGGGTCTCCATAGAGCCCAATGTTTTTGCTTACGGAGCATTCTCCTGTTAACGACGGGCTGTTGTAGGTACAGTAAATATGAATTAATGCATTTATTCTTTGGTTCTTTCGGTAAAGTCGCGTAGAAATAAAATAAAATAAATAATAGAATACGACGTTTCGATTGCAACACAAGCAACCATCATCAGGTGTGAATGCAAGCTCGGAGAGAGACACATATACAGAGAGAGAGAGGACAAACACAGACACGGAGAGAGACACATACAGAGAGATAGAGAGACACACAGAGAGAGAGAGACAAACAAAGAGAGAGACACACACATGGGAGAGACACATAGAGAGACACACACGCAGAGAGAGACACGGAAAAGGAGAGATTAGAGTCAAGAATGAAACCCAGATTTCATGCCTGTTGGCTAATATATAGATCAGAGTCAAGCAAACAGATTGCTAATGCTGTGAGCTAATAGATTTTCTTTCTCAACGAAGAGGACTTTAGTCTTTCCATTATTTGGGTGAACAAAATGTGTTGCGATACAGTCAGAAACTGCAGTGAGACAGGAAGATAGAGTGGAAAGTGTATTTAAATCAGATTGATTGAAATAATATAAATCTGTGCATCATCAGCCAATGAATGGTGTCTTATACAAAAGCTTGACATGAGTCTGCCAAGAGGACTAATATATACGGTAAATAGAAGAGAACCCACAATGGTACCCTTGGGAAACACCACGAAACAAAGGCTTGTGAGAGGATGTGACACCGTTTATAGAAACGTAATACACCCGATCAGAGAGATAAGAGAACTAAGTTACTAAGGCAACAGAGCAGCCGACATGGCTGTGAAGGCACTCGAGGAGAATAGAATGACCAAGAGTGTCAGATGCAGAGGATACATCCAGGAGAAGCAAGTAAGAAAGAGGTAACGAGTCAGTGGATAAGATAATTTGAGACGAGATGTAAAGCAGTTGCAGTTGAGTGATTTTTTTTTCTTCCAATACCAGATTGAATTTGGTCATCGAGGTTATTTTGAAGAAGATGCTTAATTATATGATTGTATATGCCACGTTTGATGACCTTGGATAGGAATGGAAGATTTGAAATACGGCGGTAGTTTGCAGGCGCATCAGGATTAAGTGATGGATTCTTGATAACTGGAGTGACAGCAGCTACCTTAAGCGCAAATGGAAATACCAGGGAGTAATAAATGAAATTAAAGCAGCTGAAAGTGAAACAATGAATGAAGATGGCACAGGGTCAAGACTAACGGTGTTTTTTAAGTTATGAATAATGTTAATGATGTCATTTTCGGAAACTAATGGGGGGTAGGTCCAAGTAGTGAGGAATCAGAAAAAAAAAACAATAAAACACAGATGGGATTATGATTGATGATCTAATATTTTGCACTTTTTGATGAAAGTAATAAACGATTTCTCTCGTTGAGCCACAGATGGAGTGAGAATGAAGGATGTTTTTTTTTCGATGTGAACTAATTGTTTTGTGTAATGTTTTTGAGTCCCCTGCAGCGTCATAGACCCGATTATAATAATAGTCAGTTTTAGCTTTGATTAGTAATTGGTGGTATGATTTAAGGTGATTGTTCCAAATCTGTAAATGAACTTCACCACTAACAGTGCTTGGGTGGAGGGGCACCCTGTAATGTGCAAGATGAGGTATCAAACCCCAAACTTAAACCCGAGTTACCCCCCCCCCCCGCATCCCCAGCGCTCTCGGCCTCCCACTTCCAGCCCTGCCCACTCCCCCCCCCCTCCAGCTTCACGTCCCTCTCCTAGCGTCCACGCAACGCTCCCCCCCCTTCTCTCCCCTCTTGCCCCTCCCCTCTCTCTTATCTATATAACCTCTTACCACTGCATCTCTCTGCCACTTCAGCAAAACATTGGTTTTCCCACCTGATGATGATTGCTTGTGTTGCAATCGAAACGTCGTGATTTGTTTTTATTTTATTTCTACCTATGTGACTTTACCGAAAGAACCAAAGAGTATGGATTCCTTGAGTTACAAAGCTTCAAATCAAGATTAAACCCAAACTTAATACAACTCGTGATCTGGACTATTGCTAAGGCACAGTAATTTATTGTAAAATTCACGGCTAAGGTGCAGGGAAGAAACAGTGATTCCTTGAAAGGTCACGAAATATTGTGAGGGAAAGCCTCCTGAAAAGGCACTTAAGATTTAAAAAAGATGTTGTTACTATTAAACACGTTACAAAACAACCATCATGATGATTCAAATGAATTAAACCAAGTCGATCATTTCAAGTTAGTTTTTGGGTATTTCAATATGATTTAGATAAAATTAAAAACCAAACAATCTTAATATTAGGTGCCGTTTTGCAGAGAAACACCCCAATGTGCCTCTGTTCACCCAGCAGAATACATGGGCACACCACAGTAAGTTGATTGGCAGGTACAATGTGGGTAGGCCCACCTCTTCCAAATACATCTAAACAGGTTTGTAAGAGTGGACCAAATACCTTCTGGGGATTGCTCTTGTGGAGGCCCTTCTGCCATCAATGATGTGAGCAAGCAATTACAGGGCGGAACCTCTCACTTTTTCAGTGCCTGTAACTTTATTTGACGCCCATTAGACCTACGTGTGCTCAGGTTTGCTACCTTTTAGACCTGGCTGCCAAAGAAAACAGAGCTCATAATATCTGTGATTTTTCCACGATTTATTTGCTTTCATTGCAGAGTATCACAACAGATGAGAAAATCAATGAATAGCATTTCCCACATCAACGCGGATTTGTGGAGTTTGACGATATAATTCTTAATGTTGAGGTTAGTGATACTCGGTGAATGACAGAATCACAATCCTCTCACTCTAAAGGCATTGTTTGAGAGAATGCTTAAGTTTGCCTGTATTGAGCGATCATTTTACTTTAGAAAAACCGACGAGATTCACAACAGAATGTGGCATCCTCATTTTTTGCTCCCAACACCTGCACACTTTACTACCGACTAATCCCCACCATCTCTTCCCTGTTCATGGAAGGGACATGAGGGTTGATTCTGAAATGCGCCTAGGTTAGACTCCCACCCTCCCCTATTTCTTATCCCCCCCTTTTTTTCTGCCACATCACACGTTGTGATAGACAGTCCTTGTGTAATTTGTTTATTATGGATATTTTAATATGTTCTAACCCTTTGAAGGCATGTTGGGCTGTATCGCTCTGTTTAATTCGGTCACGTAAAATTTAATAAAACTAAATACATAATCTTCTACCACTATAAGTATATTAATTATCATCAGTATTTTATCATACTCCTCATGATTATTACTCATTATCATCCGTATTTGTCATCATCGTCGTTTTCATTCATCTTCGATGTATCTGCCATGCACTGTCGTCATCATCATCAGCAGCAGCTGCAAGATTCACGACTCAAATTTAAACCCAGAATCGTGATGACTTATTGAATCATAGCAATGAATTGTCACATGAATCATCATATCCCTGTTGTGCCCTGCGTGTGCACATGCACCTTGCGTTATGCGCGCCGTATGCCATGATTGTAACACGTTAGCGTCTTGCTAAGTCAGGTTATCACATGTGACGCACGTGCGCTCGCCTGCGCTACTCATTCCCGCGTCACTCGCCCCCCTGCCAGCGGGTGTGACTCGCATGACGGTGTCGCTGGTGGTGATCGTGTTCGAGCTGACGGGCGGCCTGGAGTACATTGTGCCACTGATGGCGGCCATCATGACGAGCAAGTGGGTGGGCGATGCCTTTGGCCGCGAGGGAATTTACGAGGCGCACATTCGCCTCAACGGGTACCCGTTCCTCGAGGCCAAGGAGGAGGTGACGCACACCACGCTGGCGGCCCACGCCATGCACCCGCGTCCCGGTGAGCCGCCGCTCACGCTCCTGACGCAGGTCAGTGTCGCACGCCCTCGGGGTAACCTTGGGCAACCGCTGGACACCGCTCGACACCGCCAGTGTAGGCGTAACTACACGCCAGTTCCGCAGCGAGCAAACATGATATAGCCACGAGAAATCACATGCCACCAGACGATACCACCACTGGTAGCCGCACACACACACACACACCTTCCAATCAGCCTACTTCCACGCGCAACCACTTGCTGCTGTCATAGGTAACCACATTCTTCTACAAAGAGCAACCACAAGCTACTTATTGCCCTGAGTAACCACATGCTACCACCATAGGAACACATTCTTCTGCTATGAGCAACCACATTCTACTGCCACAGGCAACTACATACTACTGTCACGGGCAGCCACATACTATTGTCATGAGCAACTACATGCTACTACCATGGGAAAACACACGCACCCACAAGCTACAGCCATGGATGGCTACTCACATATGCATGCAGCTACACATGCAACCACATAATACTGCCATGGGCAACCACATGCTGCCACTATGGAATATAGAAGCATCATATGTTACTACCATGACCAATCACATAGAACAACATAATTACTGCAACAGACATCTACGTGCAATTGCATATCACCCCTAGCAACCATATTCACACAAGCCACCAACATGAGAAAATGCATGCAACCACATGCTACTGCCATAAGCAACCACATGAAAACATCAGGCTGCCTCCTCTGGCAACTTTGTGCAACTACACGAACTACAGCTACAAGTGGCCACAACGAAATTCTGCTCCCCACAGGCAACTGCACAATATCACTGAATTCTGTAATGTACATCTATATGCATTCACTGGTTGCTTCCACAGACAACCACATGCAGCCAGTGCTACTGTCAAGGGCAACTGCTACAGGAAACCACATGTTAGGGTGGTCAAACATGAAACTATTGCATCTGCATTTTTGCGTGTGTTCGACATATCCAATTGGGATCTCCGTGTGTTTCTGTGTATCCGTGCGTGACTTTGTGTGTGACTTTGTGTGTGACTTTGTGTGTATCCCCGCGTGTCCCCATGTCTTCAGGAGGATATGACGGTGGGCGAGGTGCGACAGCTTGTCCATGATTCCACGTGTAACGGCTTCCCGGTGGTGGCGTCGCGCGAGTCTCACCGCCTCATCGGCTTCGCGCTCCGCAGAGACCTCACCCTGGCTCTCGGTGACGCCGCCATTGCTGCTCCGTCCTCCAAAAAAACACACAGACTCACTCCGAGGAGTGGGGTGGCTCCGTAGGCTCATAATGGCTGTGTTAAACAACTGGGCCAACGTTGCCAGGGGTTGATCGTGGATGATGATGCTGCTGAACATCTCCCACATAAATCAAGCTTCGAGAGGTTTTACTGTATAGGGAAATGTCAATTGAATTTTGTTTGTCCTTGCACTTATTATGATGAATATGACGGCGATGATGATGGTGATGATGGTGACAGTAATTATGTTCATGGCATTTACGATTATGATTTTATTGGTGGTGGTGGTGGTGATGATGATGATGATGATATTTGATGACACTGGTGATGAATGATGATTACAATAATGATGACAAAGGCCAATATGGTATATGATCATTATCTACCAGAAATCCCTTCCCTGTTGTGACGACAGAGCGTGTCACTGGTAGTCTCTCCGTAAGTGTCCGCGCATTCATCTCTCCCCTGCCGCAGAGAACGCGAGCGAGCGGGCCGAGGGCCTCGATGATTCGTCACTCGTGCTCCTCGGGCCTCCGCGGGCGGACACCGCCCGAGCCTCTGTGACCTCCGAGCCTCTGAGCTGCCCTCTACACGCAGCGCGACCTCTCAAGCTGCGCTCCATTGTGGATGATGCCCCCCTCGCTGTGTCCGACCGGACGCCTATGGATACCGTCGTGGACATGTTCCGCAAGCTCGGCCTGCGCCAGTGTCTCGTCACGCGCAACGGGTGCGCTGGGACACAACATTCACATACACGTTAGCAATGCAGAGTGGGCGTAAAGTCTGAAATTTGGCACACATGTTATCTGGTCTGTGCTTTAAGCAGATGACCAATATTAACCAAAATTAATAGAAACCCATTTGTATGTATTAGTTTCAAATGGATTCAGCTGCAGTGTAAAATATTTTTTTTATTCCTAGGTGTAAATTATTTAGTATTTCAGCATTGCCCGGACTGATAGTCTGTGTTACACGGCTAAAACCTGCAAAATGCTGTTCGTGACCAGTTGTCGAAGGTTTGTTCATTGCACTATGAATCCAAATTCTTGAATTTGATTCCTGGTCCTGGATTACATCAGTAGCGATATGATATAATCACCTATCCTGGGCCTCATCGTTGTTGACTCAAATTTAATCGAGTACCTTTGGAGCTGTGCAAATAATAGCACCGGGGCAGACAAAGGTGGGGCCCGGGCATCGTGCTGGCCACACCACGGCTTTGTGTGCTGTTCTTTTTTCGTTAGGTACTTGTGTAATAACCGGCACAGACGAGATGAATATAATACGGAACAGCTTTATTTACACTGGTAACAAAATAAACAATTAAACTAATAAGAATCAACAGTCTAAATACAGAGATTTAATGCACTGGACTAGCCAAGACTAAGCTACGACTGATATGGACAAAGCCACACAGACCATTTGCACTGTTGAACGTACGAGTACTCAATATGTTTTTGCGGGATTCCTGCCCTGTGTGACTGCTGCCTCGGACGCTAAGTGACGATTCTTCGGACTGCAGGCCCGACCTTAATTCGCGATGGTCTTTTATCTTCCTCTCTTATCCACAGCTGATCCAAAGGCACCTTTTAATTTCCTCTGTCCGTTGCTTCCAGCATGTCCCACTTTTTAATCATCACTGTCCGCTGTTCTCTATAATCTCTGCAATTTATAATTATCCACGATTCTGCTTCACCATTTCCTGCGTGTCTCTGACTCCTCAGATCTCTCCCCTATCACCGGCCATACATGTAATGCGGTGTTTCCTCTCAAACCGCTGAGCAAGGCCGTAGCCCTGTCTCCGGTCACGCGCTGACCCCTAGGTGCCCTCGAATCTGCTCTACACACAGTCCTTTGCTGGACACTCCATGGTTTCAACCTCTCCCCTGATCACTTCCTCTGAACTGCTGACCAAAGCGCCTAGTCTGCTCACATGCTCCCCCCTCCCATCTCATATCCTTTACTGTCGTAGAGGAGGGGGTCTGAACACTTGCATGGGTGTTCCAACATTCGATTTGGCGATATAGCAGATATTTTAAATTTGTCTTTATGTGCGTGTGTGTTTGTAAATGGGGAGCAGTAGTGTTGTAGTCGTTAGCACACTGCACTATGAACCTGGCGACTCGAGTTATGTTCCCGCTCGCAACCAATGACAATGGTGAATATTTGAACAAATCCTGAGCTTCCTCTAGGTCGGCTCAGCCTTAAACGAGTACCTGGTGTGGTGTGTAAACATCAGTACTGAGGAGACAATGCCACCGGATGTGGCACTGGCCCACCAACTTGTGTGCCATCCTGGCCTTCATAAGTACTTGTTAACAGCACTTGCCCCAACAGTCGATTAAACGCTATACGGGAAATCTTTGGGTTTGTAGACCTATCAGTCTCAGCACAGGGTAGGTTCTGTATCATATTGCGTGTGAACATTAGTTTGTGTGGTAATGTTCTACCTCTGTTTCGTCCTTCCTAATTTCTCCCCTTTACATTTCCCTTATTTCTCTGGTGTCTCCCCTCCAGACGGCTGCTCGGAATCATCACAAAGAAGGATGTCCTCAGACACATGGCTCAGTTGGCCAATGAAGATCCAAAATCTATAATGTTCAACTAGCCAAGAAACTGAATAACTCAAGGAGGCTCATGATGGCCACATCCCCAAGCCAGTAATCCAGTAGCATCACCAAGGTCATGGGAACTCGCCCACTCTAGATTAAATTTGGTTCTCAAGTGCAGCGAGTTGTTGGTTTCAACTCGGTCCCCAGTGACTGCACAATGTAAAAACTCATTTGACCTCACCCAGCTTTGAGGAAATCAATTAATGAAGACAATTATTGGTCGACGTTCAGAAAAATCCACATTTTGAAGAGAACGAAAGAGTCTCGTGTTGGGTAAAGTGGTCTGTTGGTATGACTTCGACTGAAGCAGTTTTGTGATGGTGTACCGTGGTGACGAGATGCTAAATTCATTTGCCTGGTATGCAGGAGGTCGTGCGTTTGATCCGGACCCTGATGCCTGCTGTATATTTGGAGTTGAATGTTTCCGTGATCACGAGAAATTTTCTCCGGGTCCTCCAGTTTTTCCCTCTACGTTTCGAAACATGTATTTGGAGTATTTGGCTGCTATAAATTTCCAAATGACAAGCCACTTTGTTGAGCCATCATTTGTCGCTAGGTCACTTCTGAAAAAGGGTTATATAGCTCAGTTGGCCTTATCTGGTAAAATAAAAAAAAGTTTAGTGCTGTCACCTTCCCAGGTGGCTCCTGAATGAAAAGGCATGTTTTGCTGGGAAACGACAATGCAGACATATTTCCTCATGTCCAGTCCAAGGTGGAGGTGACTGGTGATAGCTCATCAGATTCCTCAAGTCTAAATAAAGATTTGTATTCAGAAAAAACGTTTCCAGAAGTCAATAATCAACTGTTCCAAAAAATCATCTATCCAGCATTTGACAAGTACTGACTAAACTAGCCCTAACTAATGCTTTCATGTCCAACTTAAACGAGCGATGAGAAATGCTCAACTTCCACTGGCTCTGAGCCAGTGGTGGAAATTCCACATTCTCATGACGGGTGCCAGTTTGTCCACAGCATGACCACTGTGGAAGACGCTTTAATGATACCAGAGGGATGATGGATTGAGTCGAGAAGCCAATTATGAATTAAACTCTTCACTTTCCAATCATGAACCAAGTGTTGTAAGCACAGTGCCACGTGGGCAGATAAGATGTGCTTCACTAGCATTTCACAACATAAATACAAGTCCTCTAACTGTACGTGCAAACTAATTATCATGCACGCTCACGCTTACACGCTTGCCACTTCGGGGCTTCTTGTCAATAAGATGCTCACGGCCTTCAGGATCCTTAAGTTATCAGTGACCCACGGAGGCTTCTTGTCAATGAGTTGTACACAACTCGTTTGTGTTTCTTGCGTTAAAATTATTGGTAGGAATTATTAACTAACAGAGACATTTTCCACATGTGAAGCTTTGATACCCAATGCTGTCCGCCTGGTAATTCCTACGCTTGTGCGCTGTCACTTCCCGTGGTCAACCAAAGTGTGTCATCTGCTCGGGTGGATGTTAAACGCCCATTGATGTCATTTGCACAAGTTGGGCATTGTGTGTCACCTGCGTTTGATGTCAGACTCCAAACATCTGAACATACCTTAATTTGTCTGAGAAATTAAGCTATAATTGCCCTTAATTTAATCTTCTTCACAGGTCTTAGTTTAAACAGAGCAAATGAAACACCTGGCTCGTGTATTCTTACCTGATTAAGTGAAATACACCGGTTAGCATTGGACATCAGAAGATGATTTGCTGTTAAATGTTTATGTAGACAATTGTGTCCACCTTTCCTGTAAAGGCAGAGTGCTATGAGGCTATTAAGACTTGAACTCCAGCCTTGGGGGCTGCTGTTTTGCGAGGTTCATGGTGGCCATAGAGCACCAAGAAGGAATCTCCAAGCCCCTCTGGGCTTAGTGTGTCTCTACGAAGGTTCACAATGGCTATGTATACCACTGAGCCAGAACTTCCTAGACTGGGTTCAAGTATTTGGGGGCTTGGGTTTGTACCTCTAAAGGTTCATAATGGACATAGAATGCTGAGCCAGTTCAGCCGAGTCCGTAGGATTGAGCGCTGGGATTATGGGTGTCGTTTTTTTTAGGGGCATGCGGGCGGAAGGCTCAAAATCACTGTCTCCTTTTTTCTGCCGTGCTGAAAAAACCGTACTTCAACAGAAACTAGAAATATGCGAACTAATACTGTATTCGAATTTAACACGTTAATGTGCTATTAAGTTAAACAATAAAAACACAACCCAAATTGAAATGACTCATATGTGCATGTGTTGACTCAACTTTCGTGACTGCAGGAATTCATATTCTATGGTTCTTTCGGTAAAGTCACGTAGATAGAACAAATAATAACATTAAAATAATAAAAATGAAGTGAATAAAAAATATCACGACGTTTCGATCGCAACACATTCATTTGTATTATTTTATTGTTATTATTTTTCTTTTATCTACATGACTTTACCGAAAGAACCATAGAATATGTGCATGTGTGTACGAGTTTGTCATTGTTTGGGGAGTCACGGTGTAGTTTTTTTAGCGCGTTGAACTGCAAACGCAGCGGCCAGAGTTAAATGCCCAGCCATTCGCTAACATCAGTGGCCTAGATAGCCTCAGCGTTAAATGAGTAAATGGTGTGGTTTGTAAACGTTAGCACTGGGGATACAAAGGCGGCCGGGCATGGTGTTGGCAACCCACCCCCGTCGTATGCCGTGCCGGCCTTGATAGTTGCTGTTTACAGTCCTTGCCCCAACAGTTTGTTAAAGTCTCGAAAGGGGATCTTTGTATTTGAATAGTTGGACGATAATCTACGTGTTCGGTGAATGGCTGGCTGATGTGCCCTCTTGTTGAGGATTAGCGCAGCGTGATCCGGAGTTTGAGAACCTTCCAGGCGAACTGTGGAGGATGGTTGGCCGCACATGAATCGCAAAATTCGGAGTGAGTCTGATTTTAATGCGAAACCGGCCGTTATTCCACCAAAAATGTCTAAATCTGACTGTAGCAGCCCTTGCGAGACGCTCCTCCCCCGCCTTCCTCCTGTGTTGTGTGGAGGTTGGTCGTCGGAGGGTCGGGGAGACTGGCAGGAGATGTGAGGAGCCCCGAGGAGGAGGAGGGAGAGAGAGAGACGGGCGCGGCTGGCAGCATGGCACGGCCATGTGGGCGACCCAGTTGTGGTCGCCCTCAAATTGACAGTTACACGAGGGTGGAACATGAGGCAGGGGCCTCATCGTCCACCCTCCTTGCGTGCTGCTGCTGGTGCCTCGGGGCGACGCGGTGCGCTTGGGAAGCTCGAGAGAGAGAGAGGCGCGCACCGCAGTTGGCGGCTTGATGCCACGTGGAATCTCGTGGCTACCTGAGCCCGGGGCAATGATGCTTTCATATATTTTTTGGGGAGACAGAGACACGGACACGGGAGCAGGTTACAAAACAAATGTGCACACGAGCCATTAGTCGAGGCCATATCCACGAAATACGCTTGCAAATGTTAATTGCGAGTTCAGGGCAGATTTAACATTTGTGATATTCCAGGTAAATTGGTGAACTGGTGAGGGTGTTTGTCAAATTTCAACAGGTGCGCCTTGGTAAAGTAATTCTGAGGATGTTAATTTTAAAGCGACATTCATGGCTCATTGTGTGTGAACATATTTCATATTTCAGGTTTGAGGTAGAGACAGTCAAAGGAGAAACGTTATTCACAGGTTGTATCGGAGTCCTTAAAGCAGAGAGAGAGAGTCCTGGAGTTCAGTTTGCAGGTAGATTGGTTGACACAAGAAGCGTATCAACAGGTTTACGGGGTTACAGGTAGAGGATTGATACGGTAAGTGTATCAACAACTTTCAGTGGTTACAGGCAGAGTGGTATTTAGGTCACTCCCGGTCATCTGGATTGGTGGTCGTTCCCTGCCTTCGCCGTATGGGGCCGTCCATAAATGACATCAAGCACCTGGGGGGGGGGGGGGGGGTCAGACATTTGTGACGATGTGTGACGGGGGGGGGGGGGTGAGAAATGTGACGTCACATCAAAATGCGCAACTTTAAATAAATATAGACAACACGTTCTACTTAATTAAATATAATTTTAATAAATGTTTACTTGTACAACATCAGAGTGCAGCGCCACATTAAATACGCACTACAATGACAATAGTTTAAAGCGATTTGAAGCATGTTTTATTTTGGGGGGGGGGGGGGGCAGAGCTTTGTGACGTCATATTTGAGGAGGGGTCTGACTTTTGTGACGCCGTGTGACGAAGGGGGGGGGGGGGTGTCAAAACTCCTCAAATATCGCGTGACGTCATTTATGGACGGCCCCTTATTGCATTCAAGGAGGGAGAGAGTTCGTTGTTGATTAACTTCCCAGGTTTCCACATTTCTGCAACCGGTGACTGTGGGTGTTTGACTTCCACAGTACCGCCGAGTACAGGGACTGCGAGTCTCCCAGGCGTTCACCCTGCTGCAAGTTGTGACAGTCGTCTCTTCACTGCAGGGTCTGAGGCTGTAAGCTGCTCCTACATCACAGCTCAGGGGACTGAGGCTGTAAGCTGCTCCTGCATCACAGCTCAGGAGACTGAGGCTGTAAGCTGCTCCTACATCACAGCTCAGGAGACTGAGGCTGTAAGCTGCTCCTACATCACAGCTCAGGGGACTGAGGCTGTAAGCTGCTCCTGCATCACAGCTCAGGGGACTGAGGCTGTAAGTTGCTCCTGCATCACAGCTCAGGAGACTGAGGCTGTAAGCTGCTCCTGCATCACAGCTCAGGGGACTGAGGCTGTAAGCTGCTCCTGCATCACAGCTCAGGAGACTGAGGCTGTAAGTTGCTCCTGCATCACAACTCAGGGGACTGAGGCTGTAAACTGCTCCTGCATCACAGCTCAGGGGACTGAGGCTGTAAGCTGCTCCTGCATCACAGCTCAGGAGACTGAGGCTGTAAGCTGCTCCTGCATCACAGCTCAGGAGACTGAGGCTGTAAGTTGCTCCTGCATCACAGCTCAGGGGACTGAGGCTGTAAGTTGCTCCTACATCACAGCTCAGGGGACTGAGGCTGTAAGTTGCTCCTGCATCACAGCTCAGGGGACTGAGTCTGTAAGCTGCTCCTGCATCACAGCTCAGGAGACTGAGGCTGTAAGTTGCTCCTGCATCACAGCTCAGGGGACCGAGGCTGTAAGTTGCTCCTACATCACAGCTCAGGGGACTGAGGCTGTAAGTTGCTCCTGCATCACAGCTCAGGGGACTGAGGCTGTAAGCTGCTCCTGCATCACAGCTCAGGAGACTGAGGCTGTAAGTTGCTCCTGCATCACAGCTCAGGAGACTGAGGCTGTAAGTTGCTCCTACATCACAGCTCAGGAGACTGAGACTGTAAGCTGCTCCTACATCACAGCTCAGGGGACTGAGGCTGTAAGCTGCTCCTGCATCACAGCTCAGGAGACTGAGGCTGTAAGCTGCTCCTACATCACAGCTCAGGAGACTGAGGCTGTAAGCTGCTCCTACATCACAGCTCAGGAGACTGAGGCTGTAAGCTGCTCCTGCATCACAGCTCAGGAGACTGAGGCTGTAAGCTGCTCCTACATCACAGCTCAGGAGACTGAGGCTGTAAGCTGCTCCTACATCACAGCTCAGGAGACTGAGGCTGTAAGCTGCTCCTACATCACAGCTCAGGAGACTGAGGCTGTAAGCTGCTCCTGCATCACAGCTCAGGAGACTGAGGCTGTAAGCTGCTCCTGCATCACAGCTCAGGAGACTGAGGCTGTAAGCTGCTCCTGCATCACAGCTCAGGAGACTGAGGCTGTAAGCTGCTCCTACATCACAGCTCAGGAGACTGAGGCTGTAAGTTGCTCCTGCATCACAGCTCAGGAGACTGAGGCTGTAAGCTGCTCCTGCATCACAGCTCAGGAGACTGAGGCTGTAAGCTGCTCCTGCATCACAGCTCAGGGGACTGAGGCTGTAAGCTGCTCCTGCATCACAGCTCAGGAGACTGAGGCTGTAAGTTTCTCCTGCATCACAGCTCAGGGGACTGAGGCTGTAAGTTGCTCCTGCATCACAGCTCAGGGGACTGAGGCTGTAAGCTGCTCCTACATCACAGAGGAGACTGAGGCTGTAAGCTGCTCCTGCATCACAGAGGAGACTGAGGCTGTAAGTTGCTCCTGCATCACAGCTCAGGAGACTGAGGCTGTAAGCTGCTCCTGCATCACAGCTCAGGAGACTGAGGCTGTAAGCTGCTCCTACATCACAGCTCAGGGGACTGAGGCTGTAAGTTGCTCCTGCATCACAGCTCAGGAGACTGAGGCTGTAAGCTGCTCCTGCATCACAGCTCAGGAGACTGAGGCTGTAAGTTGCTCCTGCATCACAGCTCAGGGGACTGAGGCTGTAAGCTGCTCCTGCATCACAGCTCAGGAGACTGAGGCTGTAAGCTGCTCCTACATCACAGCTCAGGAGACTGAGGCTGTAAGCTGCTCCTGCATCACAGCTCAGGGGACTGAGGCTGTAAGTTGCTCCTGCATCACAGCTCAGGGGACTGAGGCTGTAAGCTGCTCCTGCATCACAGCTCAGGAGACTGAGACTGTAAGTTGCTCCTACATCACAGCTCAGGGGACTGAGGCTGTAAGCTGCTCCTACATCACAGCTCAGGGGACTGAGGCTGTAAGCTGCTCCTGCATCACAGCTCAGGGGACTGAGGCTGTAAGTTGCTCCTGCATCACAGCTCAGGAGACTGAGGCTGTAAGCTGCTCCTGCATCACAGCTCAGGGGACTGAGGCTGTAAGCTGCTCCTGCATCACAGCTCAGGAGACTGAGGCTGTAAGTTGCTCCTGCATCACAACTCAGGGGACTGAGGCTGTAAACTGCTCCTGCATCACAGCTCAGGGGACTGAGGCTGTAAGCTGCTCCTGCATCACAGCTCAGGAGACTGAGGCTGTAAGCTGCTCCTGCATCACAGCTCAGGAGACTGAGGCTGTAAGTTGCTCCTGCATCACAGCTCAGGGGACTGAGGCTGTAAGTTGCTCCTACATCACAGCTCAGGGGACTGAGGCTGTAAGTTGCTCCTGCATCACAGCTCAGGGGACTGAGTCTGTAAGCTGCTCCTGCATCACAGCTCAGGAGACTGAGGCTGTAAGTTGCTCCTGCATCACAGCTCAGGGGACCGAGGCTGTAAGTTGCTCCTACATCACAGCTCAGGGGACTGAGGCTGTAAGTTGCTCCTGCATCACAGCTCAGGGGACTGAGGCTGTAAGCTGCTCCTGCATCACAGCTCAGGAGACTGAGGCTGTAAGTTGCTCCTGCATCACAGCTCAGGAGACTGAGGCTGTAAGTTGCTCCTACATCACAGCTCAGGAGACTGAGACTGTAAGCTGCTCCTACATCACAGCTCAGGGGACTGAGGCTGTAAGCTGCTCCTGCATCACAGCTCAGGAGACTGAGGCTGTAAGCTGCTCCTACATCACAGCTCAGGAGACTGAGGCTGTAAGCTGCTCCTACATCACAGCTCAGGAGACTGAGGCTGTAAGCTGCTCCTGCATCACAGCTCAGGAGACTGAGGCTGTAAGCTGCTCCTACATCACAGCTCAGGAGACTGAGGCTGTAAGCTGCTCCTACATCACAGCTCAGGAGACTGAGGCTGTAAGCTGCTCCTGCATCACAGCTCAGGAGACTGAGGCTGTAAGCTGCTCCTGCATCACAGCTCAGGAGACTGAGGCTGTAAGCTGCTCCTGCATCACAGCTCAGGAGACTGAGGCTGTAAGCTGCTCCTACATCACAGCTCAGGAGACTGAGGCTGTAAGTTGCTCCTGCATCACAGCTCAGGAGACTGAGGCTGTAAGCTGCTCCTGCATCACAGCTCAGGAGACTGAGGCTGTAAGCTGCTCCTGCATCACAGCTCAGGGGACTGAGGCTGTAAGCTGCTCCTGCATCACAGCTCAGGAGACTGAGGCTGTAAGTTTCTCCTGCATCACAGCTCAGGGGACTGAGGCTGTAAGTTGCTCCTGCATCACAGCTCAGGGGACTGAGGCTGTAAGCTGCTCCTACATCACAGAGGAGACTGAGGCTGTAAGCTGCTCCTGCATCACAGAGGAGACTGAGGCTGTAAGTTGCTCCTGCATCACAGCTCAGGAGACTGAGGCTGTAAGCTGCTCCTGCATCACAGCTCAGAAGACTGAGGCTGTAAGCTGCTCCTACATCACAGCTCAGGGGACTGAGGCTGTAAGTTGCTCCTGCATCACAGCTCAGGAGACTGAGGCTGTAAGCTGCTCCTGCATCACAGCTCAGGAGACTGAGGCTGTAAGTTGCTCCTGCATCACAGCTCAGGGGACTGAGGCTGTAAGCTGCTCCTGCATCACAGCTCAGGAGACTGAGGCTGTAAGCTGCTCCTACATCACAGCTCAGGAGACTGAGGCTGTAAGCTGCTCCTGCATCACAGCTCAGGGGACTGAGGCTGTAAGTTGCTCCTGCATCACAGCTCAGGGGACTGAGGCTGTAAGCTGCTCCTGCATCACAGCTCAGGAGACTGAGACTGTAAGTTGCTCCTACATCACAGCTCAGGGGACTGAGGCTGTAAGCTGCTCCTGCATCACAGCTCAGGAGACTGAGGCTGTAAGCTGCTCCTGCATCACAGCTCAGGAGACTGAGGCTGTAAGCTGCTCCTGCATCACAGCTCAGGGGACTGAGGCTGTAAGCTGCTCCTACATCACAGCTCAGGAGACCGAGGCTGTAAGTTGCTCCTGCATCACAGCTCAGGGGACTGAGGCTGTAAGTTGATCCTACATCACAGCTCAGGAGACTGAGGCTGTAAGTTGCTCCTGCATCACAGCTCAGGAGACTGAGGCTGTAAGTTGCTCCTGCATCACAGCTCAGGAGACTGAGGCTGTAAGTTGCTCCTGCATCACAGCTCAGGGGACTGAGGCTGTAAGTTGCTCCTACATCACAGCTCAGGAGACTGAGGCTGTAAGTTGCTCCTGCATCACAGCTCAGGAGACTGAGGCTGTAAGTTGCTCCTGCATCACAGCTCAGGGGACTGAGGCTGTAAGTTGATCCTACATCACAGCTCAGGAGACTGAGGCTGTGAGTTGCTCCTGCATCACAGCTCAGGGGACTGAGACTGTAAGTTGATCCTACATCACAGCTCAGGAGACTGAGGCTGTAAGTTGCTCCTGCATCACAGCTCAGGAGACTGAGGCTGTAAGTTGATCCTACATCACAGCTCAGGAGACTGAGGCTGTGAGTTGCTCCTGCATCACAGCTCAGGAGACTGAGGCTGTGAGTTGCTCCTGCATCACAGCTCAGGAGACTGAGGCTGTAAGTTGATCCTGCATCACAGCTCAGGGGACTGAGGCTGTGAGTTGCTCCTACATCACAGCTCAGGAGACTGAGGCTGTAAGTTGATCCTACATCACAGCTCAGGGGACTGAGGCTGTGAGTTGCTCCTGCATCACAGCTCAGGAGACTGAGGCTGTGAGTTGCTCCTGCATCACAGCTCAGGGGACTGAGGCTGTGAGTTGCTCCTACATCACAGCTCAGGAGACTGAGGCTGTAAGCTGCTCCTGCATCACAGAGGAGACTGAGGCTGTAAGTTGCTCCTACATCACAGCTCAGGAGACTGAGGCTGTAAGTTGATCCTGCATCACAGAGGAGACTGAGGCTGTAAGTTGCTCCTGCATCACAGCTCAGGGGTCCTGAGGCTGTAAGTTGATCCTGCATCACAGCTCAGGGGACTGAGGCTGTGAGTTGCTCCTGCATCACAGCTCAGGAGACTGAGGCTGTAAGCTGCTCCTGCATCACAGAGGAGACTGAGGCTGTAAGCTGCTCCTACATCACAGCTCAGGAGACTGAGGCTGTAAGCTGCTCCTGCATCACAGAGGAGACTGAGGCTGTAAGTTGCTCCTACATCACAGCTCAGGAGACTGAGGCTGTAAGCTGCTCCTGCATCACAGAGGAGACTGAGGCTGTAAGCTGCTCCTACATCACAGCTCAGGGGACTGAGGCTGTGAGTTGCTCCTGCATCACAGCTCAGGGGACTGAGGCTGTAAGCTGCTCCTACATCACAGCTCAGGAGACTGAGGCTGTAAGTTGCTCCTGCATCACAGCTCAGGGGACTGAGGCTGTAAGCTGCTCCTACATCACAGCTCAGGAGACTGAGGCTGTGAGTTGCTCCTGCATCACAGCTCAGGGGACTGAGGCTGTAAGCTGCTCCTACATCACAGCTCAGGAGACTGAGGCTGTGAGTTGCTCCTGCATCACAGCTCAGGGGACTGAGGCTGTAAGCTGCTCCTACATCACAGCTCAGGGGACTGAGGCTGTGAGTTGCTCCTGCATCACAGCTCAGGAGACTGAGGCTGTAAGTTGCTCCTGAATCAGAGTTCAGGGGGACTGAGGCTGTGAGTTGCTCCTGCATCACAGCTCAGGGGACTGAGGCTGTAAGTTGCTCCTGCATCACAGCTCAGGAGACTGAGGCTGTAAGTTGCTCCTGAATCAGAGTTCAGGGGGACTGAGGCTGTAAGTTGCTCCTGCATCACAGCTCAGGGGACTGAGGCTGTGAGTTGCTCCTGCATCACAGCTCAGGAGACTGAGGCTGTAAGTTGCTCCTGAATCAGAGTTCAGGGGGACTGAGGCTGTAAGTTGCTCCTGCATCACAGCTCAGGAGACTGAGGCTGTAAGCTGCTCCTACATCACAGCTCAGGGGGTCTGAGGCTGTAAGCTTCGCTGGCACGAGGCCCGAAGGAGTTTCCAGAGTGAAGTCTCCATTGCGCGATTGGGTGACTTCCGGCGGGAGATGCGAGTTGGTTGATTGTTTTGTGATTGTTGCGTGGTGTTCAATATTGAAGTGGATTTCGTGCAAGTCGGTGATTCGCCTTCGGCCGAGCTGCACTGAGCAGTGGCTGTGTGCTGGGAGCTCGGGTGCGCTGGACTGCGTTAAGAGCTCCTGTAGGACCCTGACGGAACTGACCCAACCCTCACTGACCCTTTGTGTATGTGAGACATTGTGTGTATGAGAGACATTGTGTGTATGTGTGTGGTGGGGAGCGGTAGTGTAGCGGTTAGCGCGCTGCGCTATGAACCTGGCGACCCAGGTTCGATTACCGCTCACGGCCAACACCAGTGATGATGATCTGAACCGGTCCTGGGCCTCCCCTAGGTCGACTCAGCCTGAAATGAGTAACTGGTGCGGTGTGTAAACATCGTTACTGGGGAGACAAAGGCGGTCGGGCGTCGTGCTGACCACCCACCTCGTGTACCGTTCCGGCCTTCATAGGTGCTCGCTGACAGCACTTGCCCCTAGAGTCTGTTAAGGCTATACCGGGGATCTTTGTATGTATGTATGTGGGGAGCGGAAGTGTAGCAGTTTGCGCACTGAAATCAGCTCCAACTCGCATTCAACACCCGTGACAATAATCTGAACCGGTCGTGAGCCTCGTTGACCTCAAACGAGTACCTGGTGTGGTGTGTTAACATCGCGACGAGGGAGACAAAGCGGCCGGGCATGGTGCTGTCCACCTACTCTCATTTGTGCCGTGCCAGCCTTGATGTGGTGCTACTTGCTAAAAGCACTTTCCCCAACAGTCTGTTAAGGCTACACGGATAATCTTTGTCTTTTGTGTGACCTCTGAGTCACTCGGCCAAACCTACGCATAGCCCTGACCCTAGCCCAGGCCAAGCACTCCGGGTTGCACGGTGAAGGCATTGAGACTGAATTTCCACAGTCAATAACTCAGCGAAAGTCAGGCCATGGATTCTGCACCTTTATTGTAATGTTGCGTCATCCCGAGAGCACTGCCGACAGCGAGCGCAGGTTCAACACTTTATACATCATGCGAGTTTGAGTTAGAGTCAAGGGTGGGGTAACGGTTAATGCAAGGGTCATTAATTGGCTCCCGGACTGGGCTTAGGGTTTCATTTAGAGTCCTTTTTTAGGTTAATGTTCGGAGTAGAGGATACATTCAGGGTTCTTGCTATAAGTTCACATTAATATAAGAGATAATATTCGTGTTATTGTTTCAGTTAAGATTCGGGCTAGAATTAAGTACAGTATTATGGTTAGACTTAGGTATTAGCATTAAGGACAGGGTTGAGTATCCGGGTTAGAGTTATTGGTAATGGTTGCAAAATAAGGGTAGGATCACAGTTAGGAATTAGGATTATGGGTTAGAACTTTGTGATGATGAAGGTCTTGTAGCAGCCTGCAACAGAAAAAGAGATGATAATAGACAATATAAACATCATCCATGTAATAATTGCTACCACCCATCCATCTGCCAGACCTTTGCCTAATGTTATACATCCCACAGTTTTCCAGCATTGGTTCGGGTGGGCCTGACGCTCTATGTCAGTAAGACTTGTATTGAACCAATGATGCTAAAATTATGCACTTCAAGAAGGCCTTGCAGTTGATGGAAAGTGTAAACAAATACTGTAATTTTTTTAAGTGAAGGGAGATATATATGAAAATGCATTTCCTGCGTATTTATGTTAACATTCTCCACATCGATGATAAGCATTTTTTTGCATTGTATAGAAATTCTATTTGTGGTTGCTGTTCAGAGACTCTGTGTACTGGATACTTGCTCTGGCACACAAATACAAGTGTCATGTTTCTGCCCTGATCTCTGCATCGGCTTTAAACAGGCCTTTGACACCATCTGGCTTTATTGCGAGTATTGAGAATTTTGGGCATTCCTGATAAATTAAGCTGATAGAAAACAACTATCACGAATGATTTATAGACGAATCAATAATTAATCATTACGTGCACTTTGTTTTTACCTGTCAGGGGTATTCTGTAGAAACGAGTCGGTCATTATGTGCCTGAAAAAAAAATCACCGTGCATATTAGTACTCTGTTTTATAACCATTGCATTTATGTTCACGATCACGAGCGCATTGTCAATCCACTTCTTGATGCTGTCCCATACAGTCCTAACGTCCCCATAATCCATATCGTGAGCTGATTTCATCGCTTGAACTCCCCAGTGGTTGTCCTCTCACGTATTTTTCTCTCCTTTTCTATTCCATTGCCAGTCTCGTGCTTCCGCTGTCATCCCCTCTCGCCACAAGGTGTCCCTTCTAGCCACGAAATGTCCCTTTCTAGTCATTAAGTGTCCTGCCGAATCACGATTTAGTTTCCTTGACAGCTAATGTACCATCTCTGACATGTCTTTGTTGCCTGATCCACTTGCTCCTCTTTTTGTCTCGGTGTAATTCCCAAGCGTGCACCTCTATCTCTGCTTCTCTTTCCACTTTTTCGAATTTGTTCCTTTTTTTCCGGCAGTGTCCCAGTGATGCGCATGTCATGGGTGGTGACATGGACTGATTACAGACACTGTGATAATGCACACTGGTGTGTCACTTTTCATGATCAAATTAACATTTCCAAAAGCACTCCATTCTGCTCTTGTTCTCACATTATTGAATAATCTGATGTAGAAATGCCTTCTATAATTGCCCTGGGCATATGTATCTTTGTTTTCAAGTTGTGTCCGTCCAACAATTACTTTATTTGATGTGCAGGCTTGCGAATTAAAATCACTAATAAATGTAGAATGTGTTACACGTATTAATCTAGTACATACATTTAAAAATGAGCAATTAAAATGAAAGCATCATGAAGTAAATTAATAAATACACTGGTAAATTCAGCTCAAGTTACAAATAGTCGAATACACACAATGGCAGCCAGGTGCGGGAGCTCACACCTTGTGATGCGGCGCTTTGAAGCCAAGAGTTTGAGGATTACATCGGGTTTCGTGACATTCCCACACCCACTGCGCTGTAAGATGAACAGGAGATAGCAGTAGAACAAATAGGTTTGTGGGCCCATATGTGCGTACATTTCAGTGATACCCCCCCTCCTCCCCGTATCTGTGGATATTCCTTTGGCGCTGCTGTTTCCTCGAAAATGCAAAAAAACTAATTAAATGGAAATGGTTAAACATCCAAAAGCCACTTCCTTTTGGATTAAAGAGCCTTCAGCTCAATACGTTTTCCTGAGGAGGAGAACTACTGCTGTTGAATGCCCATAAAGTGGTACTTATTTATTGACCCTTGCAGGGTGATGGGTTGTGTCGACCCCCAACAACCTTCCAATTGTGTGGCGCTGAGGGCGCGATGGGTTTTTTTTAAATTTATGTTGCTGTGTGTCCCTGCGCCGTTTCAGTTTCGTTTTAAGGTGCACTGATGCCGACTTTATTGAGGGCGATAATGGCACGTAAAATAAAGATTGATTGAAGTGCTCAAAACACGACGCCACCTCATCTGATTACATATTGTACACGTATGCACTTCGCTGTCACCGTCTGAAATGCTCTTCCTTCTCATATTAGGAAGCCAATGGAGCTCTGCACTTTCAAATATAGATTGAAAACTAATTTCTTTCTAACTTCTTTTTGTGTTTAGTTTGTTGTCCTTTCCCCAACCTCCAATTAGAACAGTTGCGGCTGCGTACAGCGTGAAAGGAGTTCAACATACAAGCAGTTCTCAACTTACGATCACCTGACTTATGATAAACCCGCACTTAGAAACCAGCTTCCATGAAATATTTATATTTAAATTTGACTTAAAACGCGAACTCGCACTTGCAAATTGAACCGCGGAATTATTTAGTTCAGCAGAGCGATTATTATCCACGAAATGTAATGAATCAGCCTCGTGCAGAGAGAGTGAGCGTGTGTGTGTGTGCACATGCCTTTCGTTTTTGACAAGTAATATTTTGCCGCATCTACGCCTGTTTGATCTTGTGCACTAATTTTTGTGTCGGGTGAAGAGAGACATCCAATTAAGTGCACACTATACCTGTATTCTTCGCAAGTGCTGCTGGTACAGTTTGGGAACCAGATTCAGCAGCGGATGAATGACCCCCGACTGAGCAGAATGTAACAAATAACAAACAAAACATTGTTATTATTTTAATGACAATTATTTGATTCTAGAAAGCCTCAAAAGCCATGAGACTTTTTCAGGAGAGTCCTACGTAGGGCATTTTTGACGAAATCCATTGAAGAGTGATTATATGGTGCATACGGGAGGAAACCAGAGCAGCATACAAGGGAATTACTCTCAAACGCTCTGCACAGATGGATTCAATAATCTATTTTACTGCGATCTGTTGGCTACTGGCATTAGGATCAACATTTTTCAAAATCGAAAATTACCCGTAAATTACTCAATTTGGAATAACACATATAAATCATCCCACTACTGGCAGACTAAAGTCCCAAGTGGGACTATCCTGGTCTCTTGCACATAAATAAATACTATTTAGTTCTCATATATTTTTTATAAAAATAAACAAAAGCAACTTGTCAATGAAGTTTAATGCAGATATCGCCAAAAACCACACAGTTCTTACCTTGTGGTTACACGTGTGTCCTGGGCTTAACGCACGTTTGCAGCATCATAAATGAGGACAATTTTTACTTAAAAAATCAAGTCCAGGCACTCAGTCATAACGCTATAGGGAGGCTCATGCCTTGGCATTGCATTTATACGAGTGAAAATGGAACACATAATTACGTTAATTTAATGCTATGAGGGCACATTTTACCATAACTGTAAAATATTTTGTTTTAATTACGAAGCTTCGAACAACCAGGAAACACATCCTGGGTGCGGAGCTCTAAGAGCTGAGTTTTTTTTACATTTAACTAAACCTCTTTCATCTAACGCCTAAATTAGGGGTCGAACCACGCATAATTCCTACAGGATTGAATGGAAAAGTATGAGAATCTAGGATTGATGTCCTATTTTAACTAAGCCACAGTCACTGAGATTTTATGGCGCAAAGGAGACAAAGTAGATTGTACTTATGGAATTTGGCCTACACTTCCACGCTGGCCAGACCCACAAGTTGGCCCTCTAGATGCGAGCCAGCCGTAAACTGTGATGTTGTACCCGTTCATATTTTTAGATGGACAGAAGCAAGGTGGATGTCAGAAACTTGCTCATTGTTTCAACTATCGCGCAGGGAGGTCTGAATTTCAAGTCAAGTGTGGCGACCCTTACACCACGGCAGCATCCCTGTCATTAAAATGGAAATGTAATGTTAATGAAAATTACGGTATGGTTAGTGATTATAATGATAATATTATCACGTCGATAGGTTATTTTCGGTAAAGTCACGTAGACAGGTTCTTTGGAAGAGGTGTGAGGATCCACAAGTTACCCCCTCAACACGCGAGGTGCTTTGAACCTATCTACGTGACTTTACCGAAAGACCCGAAGAATATGAATTCCTGTAGTCACGAAAGCTTTAAATGAAGATTTATAATTGTAAGGTTATAACACGATACTGATAATGCTGACGATGGAATATAATGATTATCGTGGTAACGTCATGTTATTGATAATGGTGCTAAACGGCAATGTATCGATGGTGGTGAGGATTGACGGTGTTTAAAAGTGCATGCAATGGTGCTAACGTCATGTCACTAATAATGCAACGCGTGGATGATGATGTATGTGATCATGTTAGGTTGAATGTATTCTCTTACCGGTCCCATGTTGGGCGTATGCGCTGTGTTGTGAATTTGAGAATAATGAAAGAGGAACTGTTTGGATACACACATGCGTACACGTGTAAATAAAGATGCAGACATGCATGACCACATTGACATGCGATTCCAGTAAAATCTTTCAAAGCCGAACGTCAAGCTATGCCAGGGAAGCTTCCCGAAATGTTTGCGGAAATGTGAAATATGGTAAACCTCTCGAACTGGAACACGTTTTGCTTATTAATTCCGTACAATTAAACCCCAACCACGAGAGAGGGAGCAGAGTTACTATGAGCAGAGCCACGTAGTAAACCGAGGCCACACGGTTTACCACGTCAGCCATCCGGTTATCCAGAATATTCAGTGATGATTTTATGTAGGTCAGTGGGGGGGACAAAATTACTTTTTTTAAACCACGAAAAATAATGTAAATGAGACAGTAAAACTTGTAAAAAAAATGCAACTGTGGGGTAACGTTGGCATGTGATTGAAATCGTTGTGCCAACGTTGGCCAACGTTCCACGTTTACTGGGCTGGCGCTGTGCGTTGGTTCCTAATAGATTTAGTGAAGAACGCGTGCGCGGTGCTGCGTTTGTGTTGCGTTAAGTCTTGGGTTAACTCCTGCTACGAGTACTCGGTCTACTTAACTAGGAGTTGGGTTAGGTCGTAAGTGGTGGATCAAGTCTAGGTGGGTGCGTGGCGTGGGGAGAAGCGTGGGGTGTGGGTTCCTGTCAGCACTTGTGTGGCGTGCGTGTGTAACGTCGCGTACGGACGGACTCACTCGTTTATCTTCAACTTTCGGTTTCTGGTTTCAGACACAAACATTGAATGAAGAGTGAGAAGCACAGCCTGATATTATACGAACAGCTGCATCTGTAAATGTATGGGCTAGTCTCCTGTCCAGATCCCCATGCAACGCTGGGGCAACGTTGGGTGACGTTGGACAATCCATGGTTGCATATTAACTGGGGAATAGGCGCTCGCAACAGAAGCTCGGATGCCCGCACGCTCGGTCACATACGTGTCCCCGTCCCCACACTGGGTTTCAAGCAGATGTGGCAGAAGAGCATTACTCCGCTTGCACGAATTCCAAATGCAATCAATCGTGTGATCAATTCCACGGGAACGGAGTTTCCGAACGAGGCACGCAATCTGATCACCAACAGATCTAACACAATCGCCACGTGGGCTTCCCGTGGTCCCTGATAACCTCTCTTCCACGGCGCCCAGCGAAACTCAGAAGGCGCGGGTTGTTTTGCTTTTCCACTGCGGAAGCTGAGACGTGCCGCTCTGACAGTTAAATACAGTGTGTGGCTTTGATATTGCAAAAACAAATCGACGAGGCGTGTAACGCTGAGTTTCAAGTTGTAAGATCACAGATATACAAGACAACGATTCCCCATATAGCCTAAACAGACTTTAGGGGCAAGTGCTGTTTGCTAGGACCTATGAAAACCGGCATGGCACACGAGGGGGTGGGTGGCCAGCACCACGCCCGGCCGCCTTCATTTCCCAAGTGGCGACGTTAACGCACCACTACAGGTAATAATTTGAATCCGTGATCGGAAATTGAACTCGGGCCGCCGGATTCGTAGCTCAGCGCGATAACCACTGCACCACCGCTCCCCAAAAACAAAGACCCCCCGTACAGCCTTGACATACTGTTGGAGCAATTGCTGTTAGCGAGCACTCGCACACTCACAAGCACTTCTTCAGCGTTGCAAGCCTGCTTTCTCGCCTTCGACCCGCTCCGATTTACTGATCGCTAGTGTTGATATTTTTCACTTTGGCTTTACTCGGCCTCAAGCCGGATTTAGATGTATTTATTTAAGGCAAGGCAACTGCCTAACGGGTTGGTTTCAGCTAGGCTCGGCAAATTACCAGTGAATAACCATACACGCACGTGGGCTCCGCGCCGGCTCGGCTTGGATGAGCCAGAGTAGATATAAATATCCCGCAAAACAGGACGCATGGTGCCAAAGAGATCATTGCCATTGACGCGTCAAATGCGCCTGCCTTCTATATGCAGTGTAACCATTCAATCATCTTTCTTTTTTTTTATCGCAGTTTGTTTCAATAATGTTCGATTGCTTCGCTATTGTGCAAACAACGGTCACTAGCAGCTGCAGGGGTCACGTAAACTTGAAACATGCTAGAAATCAGTAAACATCGATTCATACACACCCAATGCGATGCATGCTATAATGAGCTAATTAATCGATGCATCGTTATGCTCCCTACGACTGCAAACATTGTCTTGTAATTCTGTTACCCAGGAATATTCTTGCACGTTCCACACAGAAAAAAAACAATCACACTTTTACACATGCACACACACAAAGACCCCCCCCCCCCCCCCCCACAGACTTTTGGGATAAGAGCTGTTAAGGCAGGGACGTCACAAGAAGGAGTGTGGATTGCCAGCACCACGCTCGACCGCATTTGTCTCCCCCAGTGATGATGTTTGCACACTGCACCAGCGACTCATTCAATGCTGAGCCGACCTAGTGGAGGCCCTCGGTTACGATATTCGTCACCGATGTCAGCCATGAGCGGCAATGGAACTCGAGTCGCCAAGCCTGTAGCGCAACGCCACGCGTGTTTCCTTAACACGCACAAAGACAAAGATCCCCCGTATAGCCTTTACCAGATTGTTTGGCAAGTATGAATAATTCACACGTACAAAAAAAACCCTTTCACAAATGCACACGCGCAGTACACACAGATGCATATACACGCAAACACACAAAGACCGCATGCTTACTCACCATAATGTTGTTGCCGAATTCTGTACAGGGCCGATGTATGTAGCCTCCTGTTAACGCCAAGAAAAATACATGAATGACTTGTCCCACACAGACACGCAAAACAGATAAATGTCACGTCACTCACGAATAGGGTAATGCACACGCTGCAACACACACACACACATGTCGAGCGCTCACACAAAGAATCCTCCCCCCGTACAGATTATAACAAAATGTTAACGATAACCGATGCAGGTCGGTATGGCACACGAGGGGGTGGGTCGTCAACAACACCTCTCCCCAGTTCTAATGTTCATCACACACGCACCAGATACTAATTTAAGACGAGGTTGACCTAGGGGAGGTCCAGGCACGGTTTAGGTATTTTCCACCAATGATGGCGTGAGTTCGAACCGAACTCTCGTCGCCTGGTTTGTAGCGCCAAACGCTAACCACTGTACCACCGCTCCCCACACATAAGACACATGCGCACGTGTTCATACGTACGGACAAAAATTCGCACACTACCAACCACTGTCAACCACTGCCCACTGGTTTTGTCGGGATTGGAAGCGCATTGAGTGAACGACCACTGCCACGCGCGTATTTCCTAAAAAAGACATCATCCTGGTTATTTCACTTGTCAACTCTATAAATGGCGAGAAAGCGCACATTCATTACTGACACACACAGAATTCCCACAGTTCACACGGCGCGCATCATTATTTAACAGTCAATCAATGGACGTTACCTTTGCAGAAGCTTATGAACAGCATAATCACCACTACGCTACCGACTGCAGCCTTCATAGCTAAAGGCAACTTCTACAATAGGCTACCGTAAGCACAAAAACACCCCCAAAAAAAGTCAAATATTTTTGGTCAGCTTCTCACAAAGCTCTAACAATTAACAACAACAAAAATCCCCAAAGGGCAAAACGCCCAACAGATGTTGTCCTGGTGCTGGTTAAATCAGAGACAGCCTAAGACAGCTGCTTCAGCAGATGTCGCGTTATCTCTGAAGCCGAGTTCTCATACAAGTTGAGCGAGAACGAGACGAGGCTCGCCACCTCTGCTTGGTCAGTCTGCGATGTCAGAGCCTGGAGTCGAACCCGCAAGTCTCACGTCGGCTTTGCGTTTTTATAGCGAACGGCGCCCACGTCACGACGCCGACGAGCCAAACAAGCGTCGTCGCGATCTGGTAAACGCGCGTACGTGCGTGCGTGTGCGTGCGTGCGTGCGCGTGTAATGAATCAGTGTTTGTGTGTGCGTGTAAACAATTTCATTGGCCGGGACATAGGTGAATATGTGTGAGTATCCACTGTTAACACCGCCGTTGTTATTATCATCATCATCATCAGTCACGTTCTCTCTACTGCTGCTGGAAGAACGCACGTGCGCGCGTGTGAAATTCATCATTGTTCGTGTGTGTGTGTAAACAATTGCATTGGCCGGGATATAGGTGAATATATGAGTATCACTGGCAACGCCGCCGTTGTTATTATCATCATCATCAGCCACGTTCTCTCCACTGCTGGAAGAAGACTCGTCCACACCCTCTCTCACGGTTTCGACTATTTCATGCCATGAACTGCCCTCATTCACATCGCTCCATCTCACACACGAGACAAACCCCCCCCCCCCCCACTTTAGCCTCAACAGACGTTTGGCGCATGTAGTGTTTGCGAGCACCTATGAAGGCCGGTAGGGCACGCGAGGGGGTGGGTGGCCAACGCCACCCTCGCCCGCCTTTGTCTCCCCAGTGGCGATGTTTACGCACCGCACCAGGTACGCATTTGAGACTGAGTCAATCTAGGGGAGGCCCAGGACCTGTTCAGATAATCGTCATTAGTATTGGCCGTGAGCGGAAATCGAACTCGGGTCGTCGGGTTTGAATCGCAGTGCGCTAACCACCGCACTACCGCTCCCCACACTCATATGTTGTATACACACACACACACACACGGGTTAAACACACCCGTAGCTATTTCAGTAAAAGTGAGTCGGGAGAAATGAGGGGGGGCCCATCGTCGTATCTTGCATAGCACCCCCGTTGAAAGAGGTAATTGCGCCCCTGTCCGTACTTTTGCATTTTTCGTCGTTACGGATTATGCGAGTCTCACATTACAGCAATAATGGCACGCGACCTGCGCTCACTCTCCTGACAGACTCGTGTTGCTGTCAGTCACGGGTCGCTAATGGGACGGTTCATTGCGTGTCTGTGTTTGGAGACCTATGGCGAATTCATGCTTCAGAAGCTTGGCAGCGTTGAGCCTGGTTCGTGCTTTGGATGGGAGACCAACATGCAAAAAAGCAGGTGTTATAGGCTGCTGCGGAGCGATGTTGTTGGAAGCCAAAGAGTACGAGTGCAGTACTTGGTTACTCCCATGTCAACCCACAATGACCACCAGTGCGGTGAAATGAGGTCAAAATAACCGTAAGATAATCGCAATATTACAACATTACTTAACATTAACCATATTCTAGCAAGTTACATTGCCGAGGAACGTATATGACCCTGTAAATAATGAAACAGGTACAGGTCATTGTTAGTGTTAAGCCAATGGTGTTTGAGTCATGTGTCTAGTTACCATGCGGCTTAAAGGGCCAGCGTCTAAAACAGAGAACAGAGCAGAGCAACTCAAATTGGGGATGCAATGAACTCATATGATACTGCTGCTGCTATGGAGTGACTCATGCAGCCAGCTATGGCTGCAAAGTTTGGTAGTACATGTTATGTATATCGTTTATTGTTAAATTTTAATCACAGTTCCTATGATCACTGTTACATTGCTTTTATAGCTTTATTTTGGTGATTTCTAAAACGTTTTGGTTTAGCCATATTTGTTTGTTGTAGTACAGAGTTAGACTGATAACTTTAATCTAAATTGTCTTATGGTTGTTATTGTTTGACTTGCATCCCACTGGGATTTTTGTACACAGCATTGGTGTACGGTGCTCTTTTCTGGAAGACTTTGCTGTTTTTTCCTGGATTTTTCTGTTTGCGCGTAGTCACTTTAAGATGTTTCTTGTTCATGTTTTTGTTTATTGCGGTTGTAACCGATTCAAGAGCTGACATGGATATACCAAATAAATGAAACTGAAACGGTATCATTTTCATCTTGACCAATAGCAATATATTCCAGATTCTTTGAATGAACATTGCCCGCTTTTATCTAAATTTGATCATTTTCGTCGAACGTCATCACCCAATGTATACATGTTAAACGAAAATGCATGCAGGCTCCTTTCAAATGGTCACACATACTATAATGCCCGAACATTCAGACAAGTAGCCATTGACTTTGGAGAATCATGCCTTAATTCGTGAGTTGTCCCTCGACTGTTTAAAATAAATAAAAATACATTCTGTGATATATACAAGTTTGTGTTATTTGTATGCATTTGCCACTGCTGTTGCCACTGCTGTGGCAAATCTGATACCCGATCTTCTCCATATTTGCCGACCTGAGGGGCCACCGCAATGCCGATGTCGGTGACCTGCCTCCTCCTACTTACATCTGCAACACTTTCCTGCTGTTCATCATCTGAACTTCCAAGTTACTGTTGGATCGAGAACTGCTGGGGACCACGATGTGCGTGTGGCGCTCCACCACGCTGGTCAGTGTGGGTTGCAAGGAGTACACTTTTGTCTCACCACTCGCTGAATACAGGAAGAACCTTGCCCAGTGCGCGTTGATTGAACGCGTAGTTCAGCTACACACGATTTACCTAACGGGGTCTGTTTTTTAGGAACACGGGGTGATGTTTCTGCTGCATGTGGTTTGACGCTGCTAAGATTCTCATCTCCGCATCGAATAATTGTGCCGTGAGAGTGCTTCATCCGTTTAAATGTGTCAATTAATCGACTGTGAGGACGATTTACAGTATTTACCATGGATGTTTTTGGTGCATGTTCTTGTGTGATAATGTAACGCTTTCGATACGTACAACGGCACAACAGAAATGTTCACAAACCAATTTGCCGCGTGATATAGCCGCACAGTCGTTGAGGACGTTAGTCAAATGGATGCCTGCATGGCGAATCATTCACGTTCAAGTGACAATGTTAGGGGGCGAGAATCGGGCTGGGAATTCAGTGTCAAAAATGAGCATTGGACGTGAGAAAAACAACAGAAACAGGGGTTTGTGCTGAGGTGAAGTGGAACAATATAGAGTGTCCACACACACAATAAACGGAGAGCGACTCAGCATCCTTTAATACAATAACAAGGGCGAACATCATCTATAATAAGTTAAAAAGGAATGCAACCCTATTTTTCCCGTAAGGTCTATTATTTGTCGAACGCAGTTTTGCCCAACACGGCATTTTCCAGGAACGTAACCCCTGTGTTCTGTAAAGTCTACTTAAGTTCTAATTATGCATGCTATTACTCAAATGTATAGATCTTACTTCCGACTGGCACTCTGCGATTAATGTACAGAGATTCCTTTATAATCCTTCATAATCAACTACATTTTAGGCAAGCTCGCCTTTAAACTTCCTCTGTCCAAGCGTCACTGCTAAAAAAACTTTTTCAAGCTATAATGGCCCCAGCCAAGGTCCCAGTGAACAAACCTGCGTCATCTTACCACCAAAGGGGCCGTATTCATAGCTTGAAGAAAGAGCCGAACCATGCCAGCCATACCATATTGTTTTGTGGGAGTGGCTCACATTTTTTAAATTAAAAAAATTCATACGAAAAAGGCACATTTTGCCAACGACATGAATAATTTGGCCCAAAATCTCTCACCACGAAACCATACCATGAATGGAAAACACAACATTTAATGCAACAATAATAAAACAAAACGGCAACATATTAATATCAATCTAACAATACAACACTGACATTTGTTGTGGTATTTCTGCTGTTATACAACAGCAACAGAAACAACGGCATAAGAATAACAACAGCGAACTCGGTGTAATATGAGAGCATTCACATCGAGTGTAAGAATGTACGATACAAAAAGGCTGGCCCACTCCCACCCTCCCGTTCTCCCCCCCCCCCACACTAATGAGATTACCATCACGAGTTGAGCATTGCTCTCGCTGAAATATGGACTTAATTAGACAGAGACATTATTGTTGCTATAAATCAATAGATGGAGATGAAGGGGTCCGGACTCGAGCCGGAGTTTAATTCCCTGGAGGGGCAGAGGTGATCATTACATATGAAGTTAAAAGGAACAGTATGCACGCATAACATTACAAAACATATTAAAAAGAAGTAAATAATTCGTCATCACAACACCCTTTATTGCTCAATTAATAAATGGGTTTTTGAAACATTGTGGTTGTGGCAATAAATGGTCAATAATTGCTTTTGATACTTTTTTTTATGTTGCAAGACATGTGATTATATTGTGAAAACGAACGTCCCGGGCTGTGGTTATTGTTAGAATGTGCTACGAGCATGGCAAGGTTTTATACTGAAAACTGTCCGTTGCTACAACAAATACAATCTACGGTACTTTTGTCTATGGTTAAATGGATATATTAATGTCCCCAGGTGAGAGCACATTAAGATATTTGTACTGGATGCCCCTGCAACACAATAGTCTGCACTTTTTTTGTGATGATGATATCACAGAGAATGCAACTCTTTGATCATCTCCGAAGTAGAGACTGTTGTCAACTTACCTCCCTCGGTCCCTCCTTCCATAGAGCTTACGTGGCCATTTCAGACTCCAGTGTCCAGCCTTGGTACTACACGTGGAAGGCCCCAGCCAGGATTCAAGATAATAAGTGGCAGTGGTGACACGTGTTCCTCACAGCAAGAAAGGCTTGTTCTCCCCCTGTTCTGCGTGGGGTTCCTCTGGGTTCTCTGGTTCCTCCCGTAGCTAGACACATGCAATGCAACTGAAATTGGCCAAAATATCCCAATGCTGAATAATTATTTGCAATTTACTCACTTGGGATTACACAGAGCAATATTGCCCCCCCCCCCCCCCACTCAATGAGGCTTTCCTGGGTAAATAAGCGCATTAATAACAATAAAGCAGAATAATAATAATCACACGCCAAGTCTCACCACTACAGAATCAAATAACTCACCACCACACAATGGCATGAAAATTAACTCGTACTCCAACTGCAGTGATCTCAGTTGTCCATCGATGTTCTGCAGGTAATCCGTATCGGCTTATACAGGTAGGACAAGCTCGATGCTATTTATGTGTAGAAAAAATTAGATGCTCTTGTCATCACCAGCAAGTGTATGCCGCTATGCCCAACCGCTGTAATAATTACGGTTGATTGTCGTTATCAGCATTTGTAATGCTAAAGCGATGTACTTACTTGTTGTGCGGAGTTTGGTGGACCCGTGCACTTGAACGCCTTGGTCATGCATGTGCTCACTTAAGTGTCCTCTGTCTCTTGTTTTTGCACATTTATATATTTCAGAAGATATCTTAATTCTTAAGCGTTATTAAGCAGTAAAACATTTATTTGCAATTATGTGTGACATGATATATGTGAATTCCATATAAATCAAGGAACTAAAGCAGTTTTGTGTAAGATTTGTAATCCGCGAACGTTATATCTATGCACCATATCGCAAAGGTGCTTTCCATACACGTAAGTCAATTTTATATGCCCAGAGCTGGAATTTATTTTGTACAGTCATTCGAGACCCGGCTAAGAGGTTCCACTCGCTACGTTTGAAAATCTGCATTAAACACATTCCTGCGGAGGGAGCTGGTAGGAACGTTGGGTTGCTCGGTCAATGGCCAGGATCAACGGCGGCGTGGTGTATTCCGCAAATAGGGCCGACTGTGAGGGCGGGCACAATCCGGCGTGAGTAGGTTAAACGTTGAGTTCTATAAGGGCACCACGGGGTGACCAGCCCCTCCCCACCCAGCCCCACCCCTCCCACCCCCCACCCAGCCCCTCCCCACCCAGCCCCTCCCCACCCTCCCCACCCAGCTCCTGCCCACCCTCCCCTCACCACCCAGCCCCTCCCTCCCCACCCAGCTCCTCCCTGTACGACGGACAGACGGACACAATAATCCCCTGTGGGCTGGTGGAACCAGGTGGTTCATACCAGTATAATAGGATTTACAACTCAGGTCCTCAACGGGAGCCGGCTCCATGTACTGACCCCTGAGCCTCCGGTCGGCACTTGAAACACCACAACTTAAACACCACAACTTAAACACCACAACTTAAACTCTTGCCTTGCCTTCGTGCCCCTTGCCAGAGCAATCGGTACCACGTCAGGTGAAAAGCATTTAGTGGTACCAACTTCTTTGTATTGTTGTGACAATATATCCACTTGAAACAGCTTTCACATCATTCACTTTTATTATCCATATTAAGCAATGTGTACTACTAAAGTTTCTCCACCACAGGCACCAAAGTGTGCCTCATAGTAATCAGGTTTGATGGACTAAGGCTGTGGTTGTTTGGAGAAGTTGTTTCGAGAATCAAATGAGCTGCTATCAGCCCACTGACAGCGAGGCTTGTGCGTGTCACAAGTGCTCTCACAAACACACGGAGACCGCAATTTAGCCATGTACAGCTCATTGGCAACAAGTATAACCCGTAAAAACAAAGTTTTTCACTATAAATCATTTATATGCGTGGCAGCGAACTTAATATAAAGGATTTAAAAATATATTCGCCTGTGGAGGACACTGGGATCGATCCTGCGACCTTTGGCATGGGAAGCGAGGGCGCTACCAACTGCGCTACTCCGCCACGGCCTGTGGAGGGGTTACGCTCTGGGCTCTTACACTCTGACGTTCAGCCAAAGCCATGAATGCGTTCTATTTGAATATATGTAAAATACATTTTTTTTGCCTAAAAAGTGTAAAATTTTGGGAATTTTTTTTCACGAACATTAATTGTCTGGCACAACGAGTCTTTGTGGAAAATGTCAGCTCGATTGGATCACGGTAAGTGGGTTAAAAAACGACCGAAAGATTTGCACGGTCGTAAGCAAGCAAGCAAGCACGCAAGCAAGCAAGCATGCGAACTTAATATAAAGGATTTAAAAAGCAAGCTGTGTCCTCTTGATTCTTACAACTATTGAGCTGCATGCGGCTCATTGACGAGAAGCTGCGTGGTTCGAAGGGACGTCTTGCGTGTTGTGGGATTAGTCGGCATTCGTGCCAGGAGCTGGGCAATTAGTGAGATTGGCTGCTTCTCTCGCTTGTTTGGCGCGGTTCTAAGAAGCGGAGGGAGGTGCAATTAAGAAGTGAAGGTTTTGACCCTCGGGCTAGTGGAGTAAAACAGCAACCCCCGCGCTGTTTATCGTTGCCAGTCAGCGCCACCCACTCGTGCACTAAACGTTTACATAAAACATTCACTTAACTAATGCGGCTATGTATTTAAAGCGACTGTGTGTCATGTGCGTGGGGGTTTGATCCCGACCCTGACGCCTGCATATTTAGAGTTTGCATGTTCTCCCCGTGGTCGCGTGGATTTTTCTCCAGTTCCTGCGTGATTTCCCTCCAGATTTAAACACATGCGTTTAGATTGTTTGACTGCTATACAATTTCACACGATAAGCCACTTCGTTGAGCTGTTATTTATGGCCAGGACGTTTCTGAAACAGCGCTGTATAGCTCAGCGGCCCTTACCTGCAAAAAAATGTGCGTCATATGTCTGTGTATTTATATGTATTTAAGTCTGTAAGTGCAATACGTGTGTGTGTGTGCAAATATGAATGTGGGCGGATGTTGTTGGTGCTGGTCACCCACCCTCTCGTGTGCCTTTGCGGGCCTTTGTAACTTCTCGTTCACAGCATTTTCCCCAATATTTTGTTTAGGGCTATATAGGGGATATTTTCTTTGTGTACATATATTTAGTGATGATGTTACTTTTGTAGCGACATCGCTGGATGTCACCATGCAGCGGGTGCGGTACCGACCCTAGAAGGACACGGTGTGCGCTGAATAACAGAGCTGGATGGGCACCATGCTGTAAGTGCGGTCCCGGCCCTACAGGACAGGGTGTGTGGGTGCCGACCGAAAGATAGGCTTGTGTGAGGCCATGGCACTCTGGTTGACCCGGGAGAACGTGACCGGTTAAGTTGACAGAGGGGCCCCAAGAGGGGGCTAGGGGGGGGGGGTCACGTGATTGGGATCCAGATCCTTCCCGAGGATTCTGGAAGGTGGACGTGGCCAAGGGCGGAGACGGCCATGCCACAGAGACGATGAGCCAGGTCCCGAGAGGGGCAAGGATTGTTGTTCATCCTGGAAGAAACCCTTCGTCTATGATCTCCGTTCAACGAGTCTCCAACACGTGGTCCCGAGCCGAAGTCGTTGGTCCCAGTCCGTAGTAACTAGTGTAGTTAGTCTGGTGGTTACCACCTTAGGTTGTTATTCTGTTTAAGGGAAAGTTACCCCGTGTGTTGGAACTGAATAAATGTGTTGTCTCCAAGTCTACGTCTGCGACTCTGTTGAACCCATTACACTGTTAGGGGCCGTCCATAAATTACATCACGCACCTGGGGGGGGGGGGGGGGGGTCAGACATTTGTGACGATGTGTGACGTTTGACGAGGGGGGGTGTTTGAGAAATGTGACGTCACATAAAAATGCGCATCGTTAAATAATTATAGACAACATGTTCTACTTAATTAAATAGACTTTTTAATAAATGTTTTCTCCTCCAACATCAAAATGCAGCGCCACATTAAATACGCACTACAAGGACAATAGTTTAAAGCGATTTGAAGCATTTTTATTTTCAAAATGGAAATGTTTTGGAGGGGGGGGGCAGAGCTTTGTGACGTCATATTTGAGGGAGGGGGTCTGACTTTTTTGTGCCGAGGGGGGGGTAAAAAAATCGTCCAAAATCGCGTGACGTCATTTATGGACGGCCCCTTACCCGACAACCCGAGTTCGATTTCCAGCAATGGCTACCATCAGCAGCAACAATCGGTAATTGTCCTGGGCCTCCCTTAGGTTCACTCAGCCTTAAGTTCTTAGCGCAGTGTGCAAACATTAGTACTTGGGAGACAAAGGCTGCCAGGGCATGGTGTTCAGTCGTCTATTGTCTTCTTTTGATAAAAAAAAACCTCGGTGAGTTTGTAACCACAATTAACTGTAGACTGTTTAAATATAGATACCATCCAGGTATGTCTGTCGCTGCAGCAGAGGAATGCGCCGTCACCTGGCTTAATAAAGGGTTTAATGACATAGTGATGACTCACGGACCCCTGGTTTGCGCTAATCTCCAATTTTCTGGGATGTAGCCTTACGGCTGTGGGCTTAAATCAACGCTTGCGCAGTCGATGGGGAGGCTGGTAATGGCTCCAATAAATCTCGTCGCTTATGGATGTGTAGTGTACTAATTCACATACACTAGTAGGAGGTACTCTTTTATTCCGGCCTTCACAGCCTTTAGAAGATAACCACCCACCGGGTTGGGACAGCCAACAACATGCTGCCAGACCCACAGCTTGAAGAGGGTGAAGATCACAACGATGACGGCACGTCGAGTTCCACTCCAGATCGCAGCAGCACCGACTGTGGAGTCGGAGCTCGGCTTTTATCCTGAACAGCGTGGCCAGGCTCCGCCCTCGACCCCGCACCCCTCTGGATCTCCCAGACGGCTCCGCACCTTGCCCACAGGTCCAACTGGTAGAACGCGCTGTTACCTCTAATTCTATTGTCTACCAATGTCCCAGCGGCACGCGCTCCAGTGACTCATTCCACATCACTACAGATGTATGACACGTTTACAGGAATATGTACGTACGTACACATTCCTATTCACATACATACACACCCACTCAACAACACACTGCCACTTACCACTCAATGGCAGAAACATCGCTTTAATAATGCTTGTGCCAGGCTAGGTGCACTTTGAGGCCACGTGAACCTTTGAAGCATCGCTGAAAGGTAATGGGACAGACCCATGTGTTATAGGTGAACTGGCTAAGACGACTTGCAGATGTTATAATCTGTTAGCAGCCCGGTGTTATGCTTGTCGTGGTGTATCTCCTCTGTCGGTGCAATAATCCATTTAGAATCCAGCACCAGTCTCAAACCCGTTTCCTTGGGAAGTATCTAAGAAGGGTTATTGTCTCCTATGTCTCCAAAAAACCACTCCTCTTTGGTCTCCACGGACAAAAAGAATTATAATCAGAATATTAATTTATACCAGAGAAATCCGATGGGCTATAAAGCTCGTTTCACAGATGTCCAGTCGACCGCTACAACAAACAATACAAAAATACAATAGGAGTGCAAAGTATTGGAAGGGTAAGTGAATCGCTATAAAAAAGAAACAAATAAAACTAAACGTTTTTTAAAATCTTACCAGGTAAAGCCCACTGAGCTATTTGCTTCTTTATCAGAAGCGACCAGGCCACAAATGACAGCTCAACGAACTTCCTTATCATGTGGAAATTGATAGCAGAAAACTATCTAAATAATCTCAACGCATGTTTTGAAATGTAGAGGCAAAAACCAGAGGACCCAGAGAAAAAATCCACGCGACCACGGGGAGAACATGCAAACTCTAAATATATAGGAGTCAGGGTCGGGATCGAACCCCCGACCCCTGCATACCGTGGCACCCCCTTAGATATAAATGAATACACATAATCTGGTACGATGGCTAGCGTATTGGACTTGCAATCCAGAGGTCCTTGGTTCGATTCCATCTCCAGGTGCAGCAGTTGAAATAATCGGGTAGAATTCTTAACTCCCTCCCTCGGCTCAACCCCGCCTCTGTGCACCCAATAGTATTCCACCACCGTCTATCGGCAGGTCACGTGTGGTGAG